GCGCCGTGACGTGTGAATCGTGGACCTTCTGTATAATCCCCGTGCGTAAGACCTCATTATCGGGAATCCAGATCCGTTGTCTAAAATGGAGCACCCCCCGATCGTCTAAATGGCACTCCGATAGGCTTGTCTTGATGTTTGTCTCGGTAGCGATTCGGCGCTCCCCTGTTAGCAAAGCGTGGGAGATTCGTTGGTAGATCGAGTCGGACGCCCTCGCCCTTTTCCATTCTGCCTGAAGCTCTTCTTCTTCGAAGAGGGGTATATCCTTCTCGAAATCGACCTCCTCGCTAGGTCGATCTTCGGCTGGTTGAGGGTCTAGTCGTCCCGTTTTGATCTTGACCCTTTTGAGTAGGACTCGGAAGCGGTTCGATAGCCTTTCGTCAGTGATACTCTTAGGCATATCTTGACTCCGTCGTGATAGTGCATCCGGCCTCACCGCAAGCTTGCCAGGGCGATAACGGAGGTCAAAGTTAAACTCTGTTAAGAGATCTGCCCATCGCATCTGCCGTTCGTTAAGATGTTGTGCTTTTCCGAAGTATCGAAGGTTCTTATGGTCCGTCACGATAGTGAATCGAGGCACCATTTTCAGCTCGGGTCTCCATTCGCGTAGAGCACGTATAATCGCTAAAAGCTCCTTATCGTGGATCTCGTAGTTTGATTCTGCTGGAGATAGCTTCTGAGATAGATAGGCGCATGGCCATAGCTGCCCGTCCGGTCCATATTGCGATAGAACCGCGCCAGTTGCCCAGCCGGAGGCATCAGTTTCCACGACTGTTTGGCGATCCTCTTCGAAATGTGCCAAGATTGGTGCGTTTATGAATAGCTCTTTTAGTTCCGCGAAGGCCTGTTGGCAATCGTCGTTCCATTTGAATATAGCGTCTTTCTTCATTAGCCGTGTTAACGGTGCCGAAAGGTCGGCGAATCCTGGTATAAATGGCCGGTAGAAGTTCGCAAACCCAATAAAGCTTCGCACATCCCGTATAGACTTCGGTCTCTCCCATGCTCTGATAGCTTCCACCTTCTTTGGGTCAACGTGAATCCCCTTTCCAGCTTCGACGACGAAGCCAAGGTATTTCACTGAGTCCTGTTCGAACTCCGACTTCGCAATGTCACATTGTAGCCCAGCATCCATTAGCTTCTGTAGCACATCGCCGACTTTTCGGCGGTGATCCGCTAGCGTTCCGTTGGTGTAAATTATTATGTCGTCGACGTATGCTGACACAAAGTCGTCAAGGTACTCTCGTAGCGTCTGATTGATATACCTCTGGAACGTTGCTGGTGCGCCGGTTAACCCAAAGGGCGTCACGTTCCACTCGTAGAGCCCGTATCGCGTCCGAAATGCCGTCTTCCATTCTTCTCCAGGGTGAATACGAATCTTATGGAAGGCCGCGATAATGTCAAGCTTCGTGAACCAGCGGGCTTGGCCTATATTCCGCAATGTCTCTCGAATTAGTGGTAGAGGGTAGCGATCTTTCACTGTTCGCTCATTCAACCCTCGGTAATCAACACAGAAGCGTACGCCTCCACCTGGCTTTCTGACTAGCAAGATCGGTGCCGCCGCGGGCGATTGGCTCACACGTATAAAGTTCTTCCCGAGTAGGTCTGTTAACGTTTTCCGTAGGTAAAGGAGTTCTTCCTTGTTCATGCCATAAAGAGGACCATAAGGTGGTGGCTCTTCGACGCCGTTTCGGTCGCGTTTCAAAGGGATCTTGTGATCGACCCCAGGCCGGTGTGGTGGTAGCTGATCAGCAAGTTGTTGGCTAAAAACCGCTATCCACCGCCAGTAGTGTTTTGGTAGCTTGTCCTTTGGGTCGATATGCTTCTTAGGACGAAGTGCTCTCTCGATGTCGTCTAGCGAAACCCTACCGATTCGCAGGCGATTCATATCCGATACGCTCTGTATGAGTTGCCGGATAGATAGTGCCTCGGCTTGGGCAACACGTAGTGCCCTCACCCCAATAGGCCCAATAGTGCGATCTGTGCGATTCCAGCACCTCGTCCGCTCCCCAGACCTTGTGAAAATATCTAGGTATCCTCTTCTTGCTGAATATCGCCCGTTCACGTCGTGTAACCATGGGTCTCCTAGTATCATACTATCACTTTGTGGTCCGATAATATAGGCGAACACACGGCCTTGTTGATGGCCGTGGATATCAAGGTCGAAGTGGGTGGCGTGGGTGATTCGGTACTGATTCGGTATAACTCCGTCGAGGATTCGTGGCTGTATCTTGATGCGCGGGAGGTCGAATAACTGGACTAAGGACTCATTTACTGTTGCATAACAGCGGCAACCGCTATCGACGAGAGCTTGTGTAAATTGGATTCCATTCACTCTAGCATCGACTATGAACGGTAATGTCTCACGTTCCAGTAGCTTTTCGACCCCCTTTTGCTCCTGCTCGCGGCTCAGAACAGGAGCTATTCTTTTCCCGATCCATCCTCAGTAGTCACATCTTCGTCGTCAGAGGCTGTTGTGACTGAATCTTGGTCGCTCACAGGCTTCGATTTCTTCACTTTGACCGTACGCTCCTTTCCCTTCTTGCTCGAAGCGGACGCAATCCGTGCACTACTAGGCCGTTGTGCTGGTAGTAGTGTGCACGTCCCGATAAAGTGGCCGACCTTTCCACATCGTAGGCACTTCCTATCGGCCCGCCGCTGCTCTAGTACGTCCTGGCTAACCCATTGAGCCTGCTTCGGCACTCCAGTCCTGGATCGGTGGTGTTTCGTGTAGGTTTCGGTTCGGTTTACCGACACAGTAGGCGTCGAATCCATTTCGTCGTCATTCTGTCCAGGCGTATGCGACTTGCGTGCTCGTTCCGTTCTTGTGATGTCAAGGGCATCCATATCGGAGCTAATCTCGTGAAGCCGAGAAATCAGGTCCGAAAAGGTAGCGGGGATACCCCGATTCATTAACGAATTCGTCATTGTCTTATTGAGTGCGCTAAGAAGAATCTGTCGCTTAGCCTCATTAGGCCAATCAAGAGCGTCTGCATCAGCGAATTCCTTTTCTAGCCGTGGCAGGAACCTAGAAAAGCTCATGTCTTCCGGTTGCCGAATCTGGTGGAGTCGCCTGGCTGCGCGTGCTTTGACATTCGGGTCTCCGTAGATATTCTCGAGGTAGTCGAGCAAGGCCTGTGGTTCGCCAGTGTCTCGGCGGAGTTTCACAAAGGTTCCGGTGTTCTTCCATGCAAGCTTCTCTAGTCTAGAGAAGACATATATGAATTGGTCCTGGGGAGAACCAATAGCTTCGCCGTCTACGCTAAGCTTGTTCTCAATCGAAATTCGCCAGGTTGGCCAATCGCTCGTGCTTCCCCCGAATAACTTTGGGTCTGGGAGACGGGGCTTCGGTCGGTGAATGATCTCTGTTCGTGGGGAGATCGGCACCGATTCGGTAGCCGATCGCGCTGGTGTCGCCTGTCCTTCTTTCGTCGCGGTTGTCGTTGTGGCCAGTGAGACTTGGCGCTCTAGCATTGCTTCCAGGCGACGCATCCGTTCTTCTTGAGCAGCTTCCTGTTGGTAGTGCCGCTCCCGTTCTTCGTTCTGCATAGCCTGGGTCTGTGCTATCTGTTGCAGTAGCGTTTGCGCCCACCCAGGAGGGCTCGTCGATTCCTGGTGCTGCATAGCTGCCAGGGGTTGTGTAGCGTGCCGGTAATGCTTCGGTCGCTTTTCGTCTACCTTCCGCTTCCAATGTGCCAATGATCTAATATGCCTAGGAATTGAGGTCTTCTAGGACTTTCCAATACGTCTCGAGCGCTAAGAGTTTATGCGCGAGGATTCCGTTCTAATAGGTGTTCGTCGCTGAATCGCTGGGGATTCAGGGGTATTTCCAATGAGTGCCTAGGTCGTTTTCCTAGGACTTTCCAATGACCAATGATACTTCTAGGTGTAGAAGGAAGCTTTTTGTATGTGAAGGGGCTGAAGTAAGACTTGATTCAATCTGACTAGGCCAACATGCTGTTTACAAAAAGCTTAAGGAGAAGAAGTTTATCCCGTGCGTTCCCCACGTCAACATGCCAAGGTCTCGTGATACACGTGACCTATATCGGGCACTGGCCCGTGACACTTATAGCCGCTGAGGACACTAGCGTAAGAAGAGGGGGGATGATATTACGAGGCAGACCGTTAGAAACCCGCGGGGGACAACGTCAGCTAACCAGACCCGTAAGAAAGACGACACCTATAGGAGTCACGTGTAACCAATAGGAAGTATTACATATATACTTCCTAGGAGCGAAATCACATAGAAAAGGTGCTCCTAGGAGTAAAGTGGGTCCGTGTAAGAGGGTATTTTACACAACCACGATTAGTGATCGCTTAGGGTGATCAAGGACACCGTGCCCTTAGGATAGATAATATCCTATGTGTATAGCTATATATATCTCGGACAGTGTCTGGCATAACGAATTACCTAAACAAGTAGTCACGTGACGACTTATTAAGTGATAAGCTCGACTCATCTAGCGATGAGTCCGGATAGCATCGAGTGATAAGTTCCGACTTATCGCCTGATAGGAAGGACTGGATATATAAGGACGCTCTTTCACCACTATATATTTAGTTCTTCGCGATCAATTGCACATTATTACTTAGTTACTACCTTTAGTACTTTGCACTTCATAGTTCACCCTCAAGATAACCCAACCTATAAGTAGGGGAATCACTCTGTGGTAACACTTAGTGATTGACTTACTTGGCGCGCACTCTGGCACGTTCTGTAAGACGCTTAACAGGATCTAATCCGAAGTAAGGCCTCGCGGGGTAAGGGTACGATTGAGAGACGCTCTTGGAATTCGCAGTCGATAAGTACGGAAGCTGTAATCGGCCGTTAGTTAGTAAACTTGGATTGTCCTTGTTTATAATAAGGTATTATCGCTCTACTCCACGTCTACTCACAGTGACCAGTTGGCACCGCGTAATAGTTAGAAGCCGTATTCATCGAAGTTATATACTAAACGTGCGGGGACGTTATAGAGGACGGCTTTTAGTTAGTCGTACTAGTGCTAAAGAAGGCCTGCGTCCTCCGCTTGAATTCGCTTTAGTTCCTTAGTCTTTTGTTTCACAGGACTAAGGCCAAGATCCTTCGGTAGGCGCTTCATAAAGAGATAGGGCCAATTCTTGCTAACCTGCCTATCCGGCTAGCCCGATCGGGTTAACGCACGATTTGCCCATGCGCCTACTATCGTCGGTGTGGGTGGGAGGTTCCAGCCATGCATTTGGACTATCCAATTGACTAAGGCTTTCTCCTGCGATTGGTCTAGGACGTTTTTCTGCGATTTAGGGGGTGTAGTTGGCGATTTGGCCTTTTTGACGCGATCGGACAAGGTAGTGCGAGATACACCGAATTCACGCGCAATTTTTGCGATTTTAGGCTTCTTTTGCAATAGGACTGCCTTACAGGCTTCGGCAATGCGAGATTCGTCAAATTCGGCGTTTTTAGGCATGTTGTGTGGTTGAATTGGATAGTAGTAGGTGGCTGGTAGAAAAGTGACGGGGATTGTGGAATGACGGGGATTGTGGGCACACCCATAAGCGTAAGCGGTGGGTGGGCAGTAAGACACGGATATCTCACCTAGCACCTATTAATTTAACTAGATATAGCGATTTTTACATACATTAATCCTGTGACCAATCTCCCTACACCCACTACACCTAGGCGGAGCCCTAGCTACCGGCCTAATTAGCGGACTAGGTAATTCAACCTCTATATGCGAATCTACCACGTCATCTTCTACCGGCTAGTCTAGCTGTTTAACTAGTTGTAGACCCTCTTCGACGGTTAAACCTTCTTCGCAAGGTATAAACCTATGCGACCGATTACGCTTCTTGACGATCTTCTTATTTGCTACGCGTAGATTAGCGTTCTCCTGACTAAGAAGGGCTGCGCTATGTATAACTATCTCGTACCCTTTAACAAGTTACGCTAGTACGGTCTTCGACGGCGTAGGAGGGCTATTTGACCGTTACTTTAGTAATTGCCTAAGCGAGGATGCTTACTTATATAATTAAGCGACTGTCTTAGGCGTCTTTAGTGTGAATTAGCTAGATCTGCTGCTTAGCTGGCTGCTTAGTAGTGTAGGAGTTCGTAGAGAGATATTAAGCTTGTTAAGCACTCTCTCGGTACCTAATAGTACTAGACCACTAGCTACGAAGCTGTTTTTGATAGTAGGATTGATTAATTAGAACGCTTCTAGCCGTGCGTACTAGTAATCCACTAAGAAATCGTGCTTGTCGATATAGTTATATCCTCTGCGCGTAAGATCGCTAACGAATCGACCGTACGCGCGCTTAAGCACTACAAAATACCCAATATCTAGTGGCTATAGTAGATACGATAAATGCGTAGGTATATAAAGAGGTATAATATCGTTTTCTGCATAGATTCGGTCGAATTAGGGTGTAAGGTGGCTAATATAACCGTCAAGAATTAATAGCCGAAACCGACCCCGTACGCGCGAATTCGTGTGTAGGATAAAGTGCTTTTCTAGCTAGCGTAGGCTAATATTATCGGTAGTCTAGCTATTCTTTAAGACCTCGATTCGCTAGTCTTTCGGTAGGTTTTCGTTAAACCATCCTACAATAGCCACTTTGCCTTTAAAGACTATACATAGCGGTAGTGAATAGCTATCTACGTAGATTGCTTCGATCGTAGTAACCTATTCGCGATTTCCTGGTTATAGAAGGGATCTCCGACCGTAGTATTCAGCTCTTGTGACTACTTTCTACGAAGATATAAGGCCTATTATAAAGCCTATCTTATCAAAGTTGTAGATATCCTCTAGTTATATACCGTTCTCGTCAATCACAATTTGTACGGTCGCGAACCACTACTGAATTGATTTCGGATCTTAGTTTAGGGCTCTTTGGTAATCCTTCCTTCGCGAGGAGCGTGTACGAAGCTCAGGGCGGCGGTTGATGAAGGTTGATGGCCAATTCTTTCCAACGGTAGGCGGAGGGTAGCTACCACGCGCAGCAAGAAGGATATTAGCCATTTCTCCCACAGTTACTAGCCTAGGCGCTGCTCCACGCGTATCCATAGAGAGAATCCATTCAGTAAGCGAATCCTCCTCTAACTGGGTCAGTTTATGACCGTTTAGGCGTGTATCGACGCGTGAGGGTAGGCTATTCGCCCTTCGAGATAAGGTAACATGAGATACACTAAATTACTTCGCAGCTGCGCGAATTGATTTGAATTGACCCTTTTGGAAAGCTTATAAGGCTAACAGAACCCTGCCCTCTTACTCGGTCGCTTTTTGCCAGGATTCAGTGCGAATTAGTGGCATGGTAGATTGTTGAAGTAGGTAAGTAGGTAGGAACGCGCGATTTCTGATGGGGTGTTTCACTCGACCGGGTGTTTCACTCGGGCGGGAATTACGTTAACTAGCGTATAGTAGTGTCTATACGATTAGAATAGCGATCGTAGACGGAAGGAGTACACGGCCAGGCTATTGAAAATTTAAACTACTTTTTATTAAGTAGTTACTATGTTACGCTCCGCTACTCCCGATGGTATATTATAGTTAGTCTGGTAGGTTCAAAGCTTATCAACCGATCAAGAGGTAGTTAATTACCTTGTTTAGTTGTTAGAGGAATAGACATGGGATGGCTAGTACCAATGAAAGAAATTCAGTGATATTGTCTATTTAAGTTGCGAATTGTGCCTCGCTAAACAGAGATCGGTCAAGTTTTGTGACGAAAATACATTAGATTGAGATCCCTAATGCTTTTCTCACACCTAGCCTAATTACAACCAACCTCTTTGACGCCCATTAAGCACAGAGCTCGATTGGAAATAGAGAAGATCAAGACCTCACGTAGGCTCCTGCCAGCGGAAATTCAGTACACAAAACAAACCCTGGAAACAAAATCGAGTAGAGAGACAGAAAGATTCCTTCCATGAATAATAATCCAATGACCCATATACTGGAAATATCAACCTATTAGATTCTCCTACGTGCTTTTGCGCTGAACGCTTGCATGTAAACGTCGAGACGGAGGAGGATTCGGCGTTTGAATACCTGTCCCAGTTTCCCGAGTGCTCCATTGGACAAATCACTTCCGACCAGGCAACCAGGCTATCTAATGAATGACTTGTGGTGGACGTGATTGGACTGCAGGGGGAGATGACATATCTACTTCCAATGGACGGGACGATCCATCTCACAGCGAACGATACCACAGTGATAATTGTTTTCAAGCAATAAATTTCTCTAAAATTCGAGGCATAAGAATAGAACTAACTAATTATTGTTCCTGCCTCTGGTATAAACCGTTGCTACTGCGTACTAGCAAGCCTGCGTCTCCAAGTCCATCAATGTCCGACTTATTTTGTCGGGCTAAATTTAGTTAGCGGCCACATTGTATGAAGGGTGCGCTTAGTCCTCACGCTGCATCTCCTTCATCGCCAATTCCGATATAAAGTATTTGACACTAGTTTCCTGTCTTTCCAATTAGCTGAAATACTTGAATTCTACCTTTCAAAAGTCTCAATTTTCTGGAAATTATATCCCAGGTTCAACAGCTAGATCCGAAATCGAACTTCAAGTCAGGCTCTAATACACCACGGCCGGATTTGAAAGCTAACGTATCAAAAGAGTTCAACCAAATCTCGGAGTCCATAGTAACCACCAAAGAGCTTGATGCGGAGGTACGAAACGCTGCGGGACGAAGGAATGACGAACGTGGCGGTTTGCCGCGGGCTGCACCGAGCGTTCAAGAGTTACGAGGCGGGCATACTGGGACGCGGCAGGAGGCGAGAAAGGCCGTTCATCTGCTAGATATGCCGTGGTACTCGATCCGGACTACGCCCCAGATTGCTGATTTGGTTAGTACAGCTGCAATTCATCGCCCCCATTCGGAGATACACGTTCGGTTTTGGGAGCTCTACGAGGGTTGCTGCTGCCAAAAGTTGGAATGACTGTTGATCATGGGTTCACTGTTTCAATTGGCCATGGGAGCTTCAAACAATCGCGAATAGTAAATGTAGGCTGCTTAAAACTAGCTCTACGAAAGTAGGTGTCCAGAGATGGGGGTAAAGCCATTTATTCAATTTTAGTCATGATGAAACCACAATATCTCGAGGGCTATAGGACCGCTTGCCACTGACATACATACGAAGAGTCTTCAACAGGCTGACGAGCTATGTCATAGTCCCGAGGGAAACGTAGAGTGTCCGGGAGCGACTGCGTTGTTACTCTGCTTGTTCAAATATAGAAACTCAAGAGTACTGATTGAAACTCGTAGTACAAACAGAACATGGTAATTCGAACTATTTGGCGACTGTGTTCGGTAAGAGCACGATGAGACAGTCTACCTGTGCATCAAGGACCAAAGCACTTGTAAAATGGATATAATCACCAGGCTTAAGCACTTAACCTGCAACTTCTAGTTCGGCAGAAGATAAATCTTTATCTTTCGGATCGTTATTTCCCGAATCATTATTTGCCGGATCGACAGAGAGTGGGAAAAATAGGGACCGATATGTTGGGATTAAGCCAATCTCCGCCTAGAGCGTATTTTTTGTCATAGCAGTAATTATTGTCTAAATACATTAGCTATGCTAGAGTACTTCTTATACTTGGAAATCATATCCAAAAAACATCTAAGCAGAGCTATACTCTCTTTGTTGATATATGTAACCTGAAAAAAGTCGCTTAGTATGGTGTAGAGGTTGTCCAGCACGGCCGTGTCCCGACCGGCCGTGAACCACGTTAACTAGTGAGTCCCAGCCACTGTACTGTGTGTTTGGATTCCTTCGTCACGTGCTGTCCAATCACAAATTATCTGTGCGTTGTAATTACCTTTGTCCTTGGTGAAATATTGACGTCAGGAGGCGAAATTACTTCCCATTTCTATGCACGCCTTCTCACAACCATTTTCGAGAACTATGTCGTATTTGCTTTCATCACTATTAGTTCGAAATGGATTTAGAGCATAATAACAACAGCGCACGTGGCTCTTCCCATATTCCCGAGAGTACAATGACTTATTCTTCTCCAGGAGATTTCGGACAATGATCCTGAATCGCAAGACCAAAGAAACCTAAGCGATAACCTCCCCCCACAGAAAATGAGACTCGCAGACTCGCCCGAGCCAGACCGATTTCCCACACTTGAGCACACACAGAGAACATCCGAAAACCTCCGGGCCCGAAGAAGTGGTGCAAGTCAACATCAGTCATTTTCGAGCGTATCTGGTAGAGAGATGCAATTAGCGCCAGGCAGAAGCCGTGAAATTAAAAAACCGGAACAGACAGAACGGACACATCCACATGCAAAAAGTTTGGTTACCGGCGACTTAACTGAGGCGCCTGAAAGCCCAAAAAAGAGCAACGATCAATTAAGACTACGGCTGGATCTTAACCTTGACATTGAAGTCCAATTAAAGGCCAGGATCGAGGGCGATATCACCCTCTCACTTCTGTAAGTACCGGATTATACAGGTATATGCTTCCGAATGGCTCACAACAATAACTCGGCGTAGGCAATAGGGGTCGGTTGGTTTTGGTTCTGTTTCGAAGCGATGCGCCCGGCTTCCGGCTGTCGTTAATGATGATATGATTGTCTACACCCGAGGTGTAATCTTTCTACATGAGTTGAGCTGTTCCCTCGACAGCGATGAGTTCGGCTAATACAGGCAGACCATCAGCAGCAGGAGAGCCTTGTTTCAATGATTTTCATGTTCCTGGGCGCTCGCGTTTTCCGATATTGGAGGAATTTCAAAGAGTAACCTTTTCGCTCGCTTTTGTCAGACCCGGTTCACACTGGCTCACCCCTTTGTTTGACGACTCCCGCTAGCGTAACCCCCTTCAAAAAATGAACCTAGGTCTTACTTGTGAGTCTCAAAGTTTTGCACGAAGGCCTTTTTCAATACTGCTCAAAAGACTCTGTTAATATAAATGTCCACGGTGATTGGGCGTATAAGGGATGCTACCATGACAAGTGAAGACTGTTTCACAATTTATGTTTCGAGATATTGATTTCCCAAGCTGATCTTTGTCGATTTTTTTACCACGATCTGCTTTCGTAGTCTTCGAGAAGGAAGACACTGAAGCGGGTCACCCTAGAATTGTAAGTTGTCTTTCGAATACAAGAACTCAATGGTACATAACTCACATGATTCAAAAGAGGAGGAAATGATCCAGCTATTATACTTCCTGACGTTGATGTAGATAAAGTTGCTGAAAAGGTAATTTGACCCTGCTTGTCCTTTTCTATTTCGAACTAACAATTTCAGGTGGCTTTTTTTGCATTGAACTCGGGCCGGATTTGTACCCCCAATTTCTCTCTGCCTTTATCGAGTATTTAAATGCTTTGATTTGTCTAGATTTGCCTCAACATCAAGAGAATCTACCCTCATGAATCTATTTTTGATGAATTCAAATCCAGCCTGGTGAATCATGTCAAAGCCTTCAAATTCGGCGATAGCTCCCAGCAAGGAGTTAGCCATGGCCCACTACAGAACTCTATGTAGTATGAGCGGGTCAAGACTTTCTTTGACGATATCAAAAGCCAGGATTGGGATGTTGCTGTGGGTGGAGAAATGAATAGCTCTCCTGGCTACTTTATCACTCCCACTGTGATTGATCGGCCTCCTGAGAATTCCCGTATTGTGGTTGAAGAGCCTTTTGGTGAGTAACTTCCATTATCAGCGCAGCCAAAATTAATGCTCCTAACGATGTTGTACAACGTCAGGTCCAATTGTTCCTTTGCTATCGTGGAAAGACGAAGAGGAGGTTATTTCTCGTGCGAATAATACTAGAATGGTCCTTGGAGCATCTGTGTGGACAAATGACCTGACAAAGGCCGACCGAGTCGCCAGACAGCTCCAGGCTGGAAATGTGTGGGTAAGCACACACTTTGATCTCTCTCCTATGGTGCCATGCGGTGGTCACAAGGAAAGTGGGATTGGTACAGAATGGGGCACAAACGGTCTGAAGGGATTCTGCAATGCGCAAACTCTATTTTGAATAGTTAGGAATATCATCAGCCGAGCCATTTGATTCACCAAAATGATACTATAAGACAATTTTCGTCTATTTTACTGCACTATGAATAGTCTAATTCCTATTTTACCTCCACCGACTGTAGCACGGAACTTGAGAACTTAAAAGGAAAATTTAAAGATGTTGCGAGAGATGGTCATGAACGAAGTCTGCGCCTAGAAGAGAAAATCGAGAATACATAACAAGCAGAACTTGACCACCTATGCGCTTCTCATCCCTTGTGATATATGTAGGTAAAGAATCACGTTAAAAAATATACTAAATATACTAAGCATTCCCTAAGTGAACTTCTGGGCGACCCTCAAACTTTCACCCAAGAAATGTTTCTGGTGACCGTCTGCGTCGGTTTACTGAGATCTATTGTAGATTTAGTATGTTTGGGAGAAGGACCCTATCCTATCGCAGACCATTCTGGCATTCTTACTTTTCAAAGAGATGAACTTGAATCATGTACTAGTTTGGCTGTTACAATATGTATCCATTCTGACCTATAATAATAAACATCAAAGCGACAAATCAAAATCAGAGCGACTGATGAATGAAGGATGCAAGGTTAGCGGCAAAGTCTCCCCTCATCATGCTAAAGTGATTGGCGCCATGCGCCTTCTCAATGTTAATCTCGCAACCAGGGAAGAGCCTCGCCCAACCATTATCCGAAAAGTCGGTGCGAGCCTCAGTTAAAAACTTCATTCCCTCCGTGTCCTCTTCACAGGACGGCGGCCGTGGAATATCCGCATTGTCCATGACACTTGAGCAAGCCCAGATCATCGATACGCGGGGCTTGTTAGCTTCAGTAAGCGTCAAGGGTGCAGCATAGTACTCGTGCAGTGTGTCGATCGTGGCGTTGAAATGGGGAACCAGCCATTCAGGCGCCTGGGCAGGACCTTGTTCACCTTGGCATTTGCCAAAGAGATGTACCTTGTTGCAGTAATCATAGAAGTGCTGTGGCAGACGATCCAGACCATTGGGCACGGGACTGTCGATGAGAGTGAGACTTGCAACTCGTTCTTGGTAATCCTCGATTATCATTTGAGTTGCGCGATAGGCCAAAATACCGCCTGCAGACCAACCGCCGAAGTGGTAGGGCCCGCTTGGTTGGCGACGACGGACTTCCTCAATGTAGCTCTTGATCAGGCCCTCCACGGTGCAATTGAAGAGATGTGGCTGGCGGTGGTAAGGTGAGTTCAGGCCTACAACAGAAACACTGGAGTCGACCCGTGGAATTCCTGTGTACGAGGTCGCCGAGCCAGCACCATCGGGGAAGAGGAACAACGTCTTCTCCGTCTTCGCGGGCGAGCCCTGCAAGAGAACAGATGTGGTCTTCGGCACAGGTTGGGCTGCTGGCTTTGCATCTTTGTCGCTATTACCAGACTGGAAGTACTCTGACGTCTCCGAGGATGGAGTGATGGCTCCTGAGGCCGGACTGCCATTGTTATCATCGCCTGAGCTCGAGTAATCACTGCTAGATGGATCGGCCAGGAACAGGACTTTGATCTCGCCAATGGTCGGGTAATCAGTGAAAATGGATTCAAGGGGAACGTCCATTTCCAGCTCTTCAGCGAATCGGCTAACAATCACGAGTGAAAGCAATGAGTCGATACCCATGTCAGAGAAGACACAGTCATCAGTCAACTCGGCGATGCTGATTCCACTCTCTTCAGAGATGATTGACAGTGCAGTAGTCCAATTTGAAGGGGTCGATGCCACCTTGGCCTGAGGAGCAGAGACGGGGAATTCCTCGACAGCAACAGGCGTGGGAACATCTGGGATTGGTGTTGGCGTTGTATCATTGCTTTCATGCTGGCCAAGGTACGTCTTCAAATCAGCCACTGTGGGATAGGTGATGAAGAAACCTTCAACAGGTACGTCTATGGGCAGCTCCTCGCGGAATCGACTTGTGATGACAAGAGAAAGGAGAGAGTCCAGCCCCATATCTGAAAAGACGCAGCTTTCTTCCAGCTCGGACAGAGCAACGCCACTCTCCTCCGAGATGATTTGCAGCGCAGATGCCACGAGGGAAGATGAGCTGGCTGGTGGTGGTGACTTTGCAGTCACTGGAGGTGCCGCGACCAGAGGGGATAGAGTATTTCGATGGCCAACCTTCTTTGGTGCAGGGGCTCCTGTCTTGGGTGTCTGCTTCGCAGAGGCGACAAGAGCTTTCTTAGCAGACGCGACAAGGGCTGGATCGCCGCTCTCCATCGAGAGTACGTAGCGCAACACGTGTCTGGGAACACCTTGGGACTGTTGAAAAAAAGTTAGCACCTCCAAGCAGATACCACTGGGAAATATAATTACTTACCACAACACCCTGGAAGGTTGCCACAACGGTATCCCCGTCCATCACGATCATATCGCCCTCATACATGCGGCTATCGCCCTCAGCCATCTGCACAAATGTACTGTAGTGTGCATCTGGCCGTAGGGGCTCATACAACTGCAAGCTCTTCCAGCCGTGGTTGACAAACACTTCCCGGTCAAGGTCAGCGTCATCATTGCAGTTCATCACAAATCCACTAGACTGAGCCAGGCCGTCGAGATAAGACGGGTGGGTATGGAACTTTCCAGGAGATTGCACCTCAGAGAAGCAAACGCGACCAGCAGCCTCTAGGGTCTTGCTATCAATGATAACTTCCTCAATTGTGCGATAGTCTTGGTGGAATTCGGCCAAAGGACGGATCATCTTGTACACCATAGCACGGTTGAATCGTTGCGTTTTGCCAGGCTCCAGACCCTGACGCATCTCTTGCACACGTTTCTGGATCTTAGCACGGTCTTTCTCCGCAGCTGGGCGGCGAGTTGGGCTTGAGAGAAGAATCGTGCAGTGTGCGTGCTCATTAGTGGGCTGACCCTTGGACTATCGCAGCGTCAGTATAGGATATTTCAGTATGGAGACGTGGTTAGACTTACATCGTGGGTGAGGAATCGACACAAGGCACTGCCTGCGTCCCAATTGACAGTTGTCGCCGCACGCAGAAGATGGGTGCCACTGGGCTTTGCAATAAGCGCCTTCTTGATGGTCATTTCCGTGATTGCAACCACGCTGTCGACATCCTGGCATTGGCTGCGGCTGCGGAGGTACTCACCCACCGTCATGGCAATATCGGCATATACAGACTAAAAAGCCGTCAGCATCAAAAGCCTTATGAAAGATGGAATGGGAAAGGAAGCACAAACCGGAGTACAGAGAGGAATCCCATCAACGTTGTGACCTTGTACGATGGGACTCAGATCCTTGCGACACAAATCGGCTTCAACCACGATACCATCCTTGGTCTCCTCCAAAATGCGATGGATCGTAGTTGATTCCTCCAGACGAGCATTTTGAATAATAGGCGGATCGCCTTTGCGTAGAGACCAGTCATTGACGTACTGAACCCAGTATTCTTTTAAGTTCCAGTTATACGCTGGAAGGCGAATGACGTGCTGTGCGGCAGCAAACGACCGGTGATACTCATTCCATGTAATGTCCATCCCGGCACGGTACAGAGTCGACATAGCCTCGCCCAGGCTCTGCCAGTCATCGCGTCCGCGCTGCAGAGTCGGCACGGCATGCGCCTGAGCTGTCTTCGAGGATGCTTTGATCAGGCCCGTCACCACTCCATGGGGGCCAATCTCGACGAATTGGGTGCGATCAGTGATTATGCCCGCAGTTCGAGCTACCTGCATGGCTCGATGGAAGTTCACAGTCTCACGGCAGTGTCGCTGGAGGTATTCAGGCCCGAACGTTCCTTCATTCTCCACAATCTCACCCAGCAGGGGCGACAGGACGGGGATCGACGGTTTGTTGAAAACAATCGGCTGAGCTGCCTGAACCAGATCATCCAGGATGGGCTGAACCTGGGACGAGTGGTAGGCATATGAAACGGGGATCGTCTTGGATCGCACACCCGCTTGCGACAGGGCTTGCTGAAGCGCTTCAATCTGGTCATTGGGACCCGCCAGAACTGTCTCTTCGGGCGCGTTGATACACGCAATTTCGTATTGCATCCCAGACACGACAGACTCAACATCTGCCGCTGATGCCCGTGCTACCAACATGCTGTGGGTGTGCAGAGTGCAATGCTCCTCCAAGAGCTGTGCTCGCTTACCAACAAGGAAGACGGTATCAGCATCGGACAAGACACCTGCCACATTCAAGGCGGCATATTCTCCCAGACTATGACCGAAAACGGCACTGGGGATGATTCCGAACGACGCCCAGAGACGGGCCAACGCAATTTGAAGGCATACGCTCGCCAGCTGTGCAGTCATAGGTGAGAAGCGCTTCAAGCTGGAATCGGAATCATTCTCAATAAAAGGCAGGAAGCTATCAAAGCCAAGTGATTGAGAAATGCGGTCCAAGAGCTGCATGTTGCTGCGGAATGATGGCATAGACTCGTAGAGCTGTCGGCTCATACCAACGAATTGGCTACCCTGTCCGGTGAAAGCGAACACCAGTTTAGGAATCCCGAGTGGCCGGTTAGCACCGTCACCGCGAGACAGGGCAGCCTGGAGCTGCTGCTGAATATCGGGGATGTTGGTGCCTTGCACAATAACACGATGCAGATGGTGCATGCGACGGGCAGTTGTTGTGTACGAAAGCTGCGGCAGAGAGAGGCCTTCTCCAGCGGATTCGATGAAGCCAAGTAGTGACTTGACATTCGCTTCGAGGGAAGACGCACACTTGGCTGAGACAGCAACAAGATGATTAGTTCGAGGATCGATTTCCTCAGTAGGCTCAGGCAACGGGGGTGCGTCTTCCAACAAGAGCGCAGTGTTACCACCAGCGGCGCTGAAGTTGTTCACCAGCACGCGACGAGGCTCGCCCTGTCGTTGTTCCCACGCTGTGGGAGTCAATGCAATATGAACATTGCGGTCGCCAAGATCTGTGGGGAATTTGCGGTTAATGCGAGTCTTGATACCGCAGTGAGGCGCGATGGCATTATTTTCCATCATTAACAACACCTTGATCAGACTCGACACACCAGAAGCAGCCTCTCCGTGTCCAATATTAGCCTTTGCGGATCCCAGATACAGCGGCTGATCTGGAGTGCGGTAGGGAACAGAAGATGGGGCCAGCGTAGACAGCACAGAGTTCATCTCCCCAGCATCTCCGGCCTGGGTTCCTGTTCCATGCATCTCAGCATAGCTAATGCTGTAGGGTGAAACACCAGCCGTGCGCAGAAGATTCTGGATAAGATGTTGCTGCGCACCGGAATGGGGACGGGTAATAGACTCTGCATCGGCAGAGTGGTTTGTCCCGGCACTCAAGATGAGACCGCAAATAGGATCGCGGTCTGCCAGAGCATCATCAAGACGCTTCAAAATGACAGTGCCGACACCTTCACCACGGCAGTATCCATCAGCTTCGTCATCAAACGTCTTGCAATTGCCCGTTCGAGACAAGAAGTGGCCGCGATCCAAACCAGCCGTGAAGTCGGGGTTCGTGAGGATATTGGTACCTCCTGCAATAGCAGTGTCAACTTCCCCACGCCAGAGGGCATTGCAGGCAAGGTGAATAGCTGCCAGACTAGACGAACATGCGGTGTCAACTGCATAGCTAGGACCAGTGAATTTGAAACAGTAGTTCAGCCGACCAGGAATGAAAGCCCGATTGCCACCGGGGATGAAGTACGTGTCAATGTTCTGTGCCGTGTTGGTCTCCATCCAATCATTGGATGTAACACCGTACCAGACACCGACACGGTCTTTCGCAGTGGATGGTGTGGCATTAGGTACCAGGCCAGCTCGCTCCATAGCCTCGTATGCCGTCATCAAGGCAATGCGTTGCGCAGGGTCTACCTGAGGGGCCTCACGAGGTGACAGATTGAAGAAGCGAGCATCAAACGCCGCTGGGTTCTGCAACCAACAACCATAGGGCGTGGCACTTGTGTTCTTCTTTCCCTTTCCTGGCTCTGCGACGTGAGTTCGTGCATCCCAATGCGTGGCCGGGACGACCTCGTGCACGTCAAGTCCCTTGATGAGCAGGTCCCAAAATTCCTCGTTACACTCGGCGTGTGGATACCGGCCAGAGTATCCGATGATAGCAATCTTGGAAGAGTCGATGTTTTCCGTCGGTTTCAACGCCGGGTTAGTGGAAGGGGCGGGTTGATACCGAGTGAGGCCGGTAGCAGCCTCGATTGCTTCGGCAAGACGAGGCCCTGCAGAACTACCAAATGACTGGACATGGAATTGTGGGGCTTCAGGGGTATCATGACCAGGGAGCGCCGCGATCATTCCATTGACAAAGCTCTGCCAGCGGAGAGTCTCCAGGAGAATCTGAGCCAGGGCATATTCAAATCGAGAACGGACATTGGTTCCCTCAAAGAGTCTTCCGCTCGTACTGGAGATGAACGGGATGTTGCTTGTAGTCTCCTTCTCATTGGCGAGAAGGTTACCTAGAATAGACTCAGAATCGGAAGGGTTAAAAAGAGAAGAAGAGTGATAAGGAGCAAAAATAGGGATAGATCGTGGGGCGAGACTAGTAAACTCGGCAGATTGTCTCAGGCTAAACAGACTCGTGGGCGGTCCACTGATTGTCACAGCATGAGACAGATATGCGCTGATATAGGGTCGAGTATGCGTTGGTAGATGCTACTTGTGGTTAGAACTCTCTTGGTTCATCCATATCGACGGAAAATATCAACCACCAACCTGGGCTTCAATGAATCTATCGATTCGGTGTGAAATATCATCTGGTGATCGTGTCGCAACCACCATAGACCATGACTCCGTTTCAGATTGATCAATCGCGCGCCCGACTCGCGATACATGCAGGCCCGTTCTAAATGCAATCCGGATGGTTCGTGCTCCAACATCGGGGAGTTCAGAGATAGATTGGCAACTGCTAACGGCCGCTGCAGATAGAGAGCCCAGGCAAAGACCACCGATTATGGTAGCTGAGGGCCTAGTATAGGTAGAGGCTTCGCTTTGAGCACTAGAATAAATGATTGAATGTCAGCTTCAAGCATCAACATCGACTAGAAGAGGATGGACTTACTATATGAAGTGAGCCAGCTGGTTGATACAGGTCAGAGCACTATCAATAGATGGATAGGCATTTTTCTGAGCATCCCTCCAGTCCAGCAAACTGCCAATCGACGGGAAATGAGGGTATTGTTGGCGGACTTGAAGCGGCAGTGAGCTGATCTCCGTTCGCAATCCTCGTATGGCCTTGTTCAGAAAGGCATTCAGTAATGGTTCTGCATTAGGAGTGAGAAGACAACGGAGCGAAGTAAAGTCGTCAGTTTGATCCCCAAACAGAATGATTTGCTGAACGCGTGCCATGTTGATAGAAGACTTGTTAGCACACAGGGACGTAGTAGATGCATCCCGATCTGATTCCACGGGTATTCGGCTGTCATTTTAACATCTCAAGTCCTGATCATATAGTTCATTCGTATTAGTAAGGTTTCATGACCCGAGACAAGTAGAAGCGCTTCCATGTGTCCATGCAGCCCCATCGGGTCAGCATAGACAAGCCTCGGGGATACAGCCACCAAAAGCACTTGCAAGCTTATCATGAACGAGTAATACTCGGGGTAGACAAACATGCACGATCGGAATTGCGATATCATGACCGAACCGCTGATAAATGCTGGCAGTTGAGGTCCGGCGTCCGGACTTGTACTCGGAACCCGAGTGTACCAGGTACCAAGTACCAGACCCGGTCTCCGAGGTATATTGGTGTTCGTGTCTTTCTGGTGTCTATCCTCTGATTTCCCCTTGTTTTTAATTTAGAGATTAGTGCTCCCCGGAGAATTTAGCGCCACCTTCTCATAGTATGCTCAACTATCTGTATCATTTTGTTGCCCGTGTCATGTCTCCCTTGATTTACAACGGCGTGCCTTCGCCAGTCTCGGAGGGCTCAGCAGATGCTAAGTCCCTGCCAGCTACAAAGGATGACCTGCTTAGTGAGCTGGCAAGTTCCATTTCGTCCAATGCTCAGATTGTGAGCGCCTTTTTACATGCCGAGGGCCATAATGCCCCGTCATTTGATCGCGATGCTGCTTCAACTGTAATTCCAGCCACCGCTCCCACTGATGTCCAGAAAGCACGCGAAGCACTGCTAGAAGCATCAATGAAAATCTTCCAGCTTGCATCAGGACCTAGAGAGTATCTACCAAATTTGGCAGTGCATGTGGGTGGTCCCTTTTCTCCAGCACCTCCAAGGCAGGGCACTTTGCGCCTCCTTCTGTACCTTTCCTTCTCTCTTAACTCGACTAACCATATCCACATAGTACCAATATCTGTCGTGTCTCCACTGGTTGATTCATTTCGGGATCTTCTCACGGGTTCCCTCAACCGGATCAATTACTTATGCCGAGCTGGCAGCTGATGCCGGCGTCCCCGAGCGGACACTGAAGACTGTAGCACGTATGATCATGACCAGTCAAGTATTTTACGAGCCCCAGCCAGGAAGCATTGCACACACGGCGACATCAGCGCAGTTTGTGACCAACCAGAGTTTGAACGACTGGGCCCAGTTCATGTGCGAGGCCTCCGTACCGGCCGCTCTGAGTCTGGTTGCCGCTACAGAGCGATGGCCAACCAGCCATTCGCGTACTGAGACGGCCTATAATGTCGCCGCCAACACTGACTTGCCATTCTTTGATCATTTGGCCACTCTACCCGAGCGAACCCGACAATTTGCCGGATACATGAAGAATGTCACCAGCAGTGAAGGCACAAAGCTTGACCATCTGCTCTCCGGCTTCAACTGGGCGGCACTTGGGTCAGCGAAGATCGTCGATGTAAGTCTCTCGGGCTGCTCATCCGATCAATCTGTCAAAATGACACTAACCAGTGCAAAAGGTCGGAGGCTCCACCGGAAATGCAGGCATGGCGCTAGCAAATTCATTCCCAGAGCTGCAAATCACTGTGCAGGATCTCCCCGAGAACGCTGCCGAAGGGGCCGCAACATTGAAGCCTGATCTGGCGTCGCGTGTTACTTTCCAAGCACACGATTTCTTCCAGCCACAGCCAGTCATCGGGGCTGACATTTACTTGCTCCGCATGATCCTGCACGATTGGGCTATACCCGAGGCTGTCCGCATCCTGCAGCAGCTGGTCCCGGCGATGCGTCGGGGTTCGCGAATCGTCATCATGGACTCGGTTTTGCCGCGTCCGGGATCTATAGCCTCGACTAAGGAGCGCCTTCTTCGCGTGCGCGATTTGACCATGCTTCAGGTGTTTAACAGTTGTGAGAGAGATCTGGATGATTGGATCCATTTGTTGAGTCTTGCGGATAAACGGCTGCGACTCGCGGATGTGGCGCAGCCTCGCGGTAGTGTCATGTCTCTTCTAACTGTTACCCTCGATGAGTGATTGTCCATAGCCGAACGTGCTGGAGTCGCAGCACGGTGATGTATGGCATCCCGATAATCTTATTTAAACGCAGTTGATCTCATTTGTTCGCCGCTGGTCTTGGATGTTTGTTAATTAACTCGTAAGCCAACGGAATGCAACCGCGAGGGGACGCGCTGGATTTGTTTGTATGTCGAGTCATGTGACTGTGTAGTAGTCAAGAAATCGGAATCTTGCGACCGAAAAAATAGTCGCCGTTTTTTCTTTAGTAAAGTCTTGGTGTATTTTTTTGAGTTAAATTACTAAATACCCCATGCAAGATCTGTGGATTTGTCTCCCAAGGTCCGACTGTTGGGGGTTTGGGGGTTTCAAAGCTATGGAATTTCCCATTCTATCATTTCACCCCTCTTATTCTTCTTCCTAGGTGAATATATGTCCTCCTCCTTAGAATTTCGAGTCCGAAATCTTCGAGAACTGGCCTAGGGTTGCAATTTATGCCGGGAAGGTTGGTTTATTCAATGGTTGGGTCTCCCATCTAGGTGCAAACAGTTTCCTAAGAGAACGAACTCACAACGGATATATATTGGACTCGTGAACAGTAGGTAGTGAAATAACTATGCTAGCCCGCCAACGGCAGGATGCACCCATTCCTCTCCCCGACTCATCCCTTTAACCAACAACTCTGCAATACGCTGAGATGTCTCCTTTCCTCGGGGAATATCATGCCCACCGCCATGATCCCACAACGGCGCCTCCTCCTCACATAAAGCATGCAACTGCACCGCAGCAGGGAAGCGCGGGTCCTTCGACCCACAAATATGGATAGTAGGAATGCGAATTCTCATATCAGCCGGCTTGACTGTCAAATCCAGCCCAAAAATGCTTGTTTGACGTTCTAGGCCCCGGATGACGGGACAAGTACCCGGCACTGGAGCCCATCGATCGGTGGCTGCACCGAGACCGGTCCCATTTTTTCGCTTCAACCAACTATGATCGGTAGTCTTGGATAGAAGGAGGCGCCTCGTTTCGTCATCCCATTGTTGTGCTTCTGAAGAAATTGGAAGACCCAAGTCTTCAAGAACTGGCAAGGGCACACCGCCGCAGATAAACACGGCCAATCGGAAAGGTGGTGGTGTGTTTGGGCGTGTGCGTTCGTGGTAAAGAAGGTAGCTGGCAACTAGACTGCATCCTTGCGAAAAGCAGAGTACACCGTTGTAGGGACCATCGCGGTCTAATTTGGCTTGTAATCGTTCGAGAGCGGCTTTGATAGCTGGGACTGAACTACCTTGCCAGAAAGTGTAGTACGGAGCCGAGTAGAAGGGCACTACATCTGGAGCAGGGTCAGACTCGAATGGCGCATCTATAAATTCAAAGGTTGTATCGGGTGCAAGAGATTCGAGCTTGAGTCGGAATGATGCTAAGTTCTCTGTATTAGCGCTGATGGAATAGCAATAATGGATAATCATACCAGTTTGGGACTTGAAAATGTGGGCGCTGGTTCCGCGCCCATGGAGGCAAAGGAAGCGCATGTTGGATAATCAAAAAAAGCCAAAGCTTTACGAGACTTACTAAATGAAATCATATACTTAGAACGGGTTGGAAGGATGTTCGGGAGTGAGATCGGGAAAAGTACCAGTACCTCGGGGCCCGATGTAGGCCTATTCAGGCTGACCCGAGCTGATACCAGGCCTGCATATGCAGGAGAAAAGAGAGCAACAAAGACGTCATAACAAAGCCAATCTTCCATTAATAAGACTAGGAAGTCTGCTTGAAAAAAGCACGTTCAATAACATAGATAATATAACAAAGTCAGCGAAACAGCGGGGGTGATAAACCAACGCTAGAAATGTGTGTTTTTATTCACGCGTTATAGTTTGACCATCTGCTAAGCTCGGCGAGAATCTTGCCCGTATACAATCGATTTCATCTTCTCCATCATGTAAGTCTTTGCCTTAGCCTTGTATACCAACCCACTTGGCACTCGCCAACCCCCGAGTTCCCCGACGCCTCCATCTCGGCCCACAGCCACAAACTGCGTCAGCGACGTCTTTTGCTGATAGACTCGTGTTTGACGACCGAATATCCACTCCCACCAAGTCTGGCCCCTGGAAGACACCTCCGGATACAGCACCAATTGGTCGTCCCGGAAACTGTCGGCGAGAGGCGGAACGGGCTCGATTGCGTCGAAGAAACTTCCATTGGTGAAGGAAGTAATCGAGCCCAACGCATAGACTCCAGCTATATCCTGTACACGCAGACTGTATTGGTCGGTCTTGATGTAGCCTTTAGAATCCAGCCACTTTGATGGCAGGAACGCGGTGTTAGGCGTGCTCCCAGTTGCATCAATGTAGACATCAACTGTTCGCGTAGACTGATCGCTCAGAATCACCTCCCATGGGCCTTGATCATTCTTTTTCTGGACAGCAGATGTGACCCGGACTCCGTGGACCACGTCAACGTTCAGCTTTTGGAGCATTTGCTCAGCTATCGCAGAGGTCCGAGGATTGGCATGGGGGAGCAAACATGCATTGCCAGATAACAAGGTGATTGATTTTTTTGGACCGGACCAGTGTTGTCTCATTGCTCCTAGCTCACCTGCCGTCTCAACTCCCGTCGGCCCCCCTCCAGCCACGATAATAGATTGAGCGTCTCGTAAGCGGTTCTGCGTTTCGCCGAGAACGCGCTTCGTCTCGGCGTGGGTCTCGGCTGAAGAGAACAAGGGGCTGTGAGTGGTCGTTCCGGTGGCAATTACGAGAGAGTCGTATTCCACGGAGATAACCTCACTAGTATCCGCGAGCTGTACATGCAGAGCTCGAGCTTGCTCATCGAGATTTGTAGCACGGGCCTGGATGAAAGTGAATCGAGATTCGGGATATTCCTGAAACCCATCTGCGATAGCAACAAAGGGCTCTGGGAGGCTTGAATCGGGGTCCACCAAAACGCGTGGAGCTGCGACTTTCCAATAGAAGTGCGATGATGGCGAAACGAGAGTGACATGATAAGATTGATCAAGGCCTTCAGTCAGAGCTGGTAGTGTCTGTCGGAGTAAATGATGGGCTAGTGAAATTCCAGCGACGCCGCCTCCCACTATCACGATCTTTCGAACAGCAATTTCAGCCATAGTGAAGTGGTTTGTTCTCTTTCCCTACTTCTTGGATAAGAAGATGTATATTTTGGCGTTGAGATATTTCTATCAATATATACTCGACCTTACGGAGACCGAGAGCCCGATTTCCGATTGGCAAGCCCGATTGAAGCGGGCAAACATAGCGTGCACCAAAGTGATCGGAAGAAAAAAGGAGGAAAATAGAAAACAATGAAAATCTAGATCTTGAGTAAATGTACCACGTCAAGCTACAGATAACAGAACCAATTCCAAAACCGCTACTGCCACTTCTTAGTCACATTCTTGATGCGTAGCTCCTCGCTGACCTTCAAGATGGCCTCTTCAGCGCCCTCCCATCGCTTCCGCTTACCCTCGAACAGTCGATAATGGAAAGGCAAAAGCAGACCATCCATGAGAGTGTTACATAGCGAACGGTTCGTGAGCCAGAAGTACCACCCTTGTAGGCCATATCCGAGATTCTCCTTCATTCCTAGTCCAGCGGTTTCTTCGACCCAATCTAGCCAGTCCGCACCCTTCACGAGACCTGGAGTGACGGCTCCCTTAGTTGCCAGCTCCGCAAGCCATTCATGTTGTTTATCGACTGCGCGGATCATCTCCTCACGAGGTGGGAGGGAGGATCGCCCAGACCACACCTGACCTAGGGCCATTGTAGCCAAATCGAACATGAGGAACGCCGGGTTCATGAATGACAGATTTCCCATAAATGCCAAAGACTCCGGGTGTTCCAGAGAAAGTAGATTCTGGTAAAGTCGTGGAATCTTGCGACCATTGGCACTGCGAATATCCGATCCCCGGTATATAGTGGGATCACTCTTGCCCAAGATAGAGTAGTCGACTGTGTAGCCGGTGCACCAAATGATGCCGTCAATATCAGCGACACTCCCATCTTGAAACTCAATCCTGTGAGAATCTAGGATCTTCTCAATGGGCGGCTTTGAGATTATAAGTCCGCGAGAGAGATGGTCGACCAAGTAATCACTGATAATGGGCCGTGCTTGATTCACTGAGGGTGCTGGGTCAAATCCCCACTCGGGCTTGAGATCGTAGAGTCGATCTCTGAGGCCCAGAATAACCTTGTTCATGAGCTTTGTCCAAACGTTCGGGGCATAGCGAGATAGTTGCTCGAGGAACACGCCCTTGCGATACGTTCGAATGTGATCGACAGGTTTTTTATCGACCCATCTAGGAAGCTATAGGTCATGTGAGCTACCGGAAGAGTGGTATTAAAAAGTCTGAGGTTTAGTGCTTTTCTTACCACAATGCTGCCATGTCGATGAGACAGATAGACAGTTTCAGCCTTGCCTGCAAGCTCACACGCTACATCGGCAGCGGTGTTTCCAAAACCAACAACGAGCATGCGCTTGCCAGCCCAATCCTCCGGACTAATCTGTCAGCAATCAATGTCTTGTATTAAACACGAGAAAGTATAGCACACCTTTTGAACGCAATTGAATGCACCGCTTCGCCTCCAAATTGATCCATACCTGGAATTGAGGGCACATTGGGGGTTTGATCGGGCCCCATGGAGTAGACAACCTTGTCAAAACTGCGAACAATCTTTGGCTCGTCCCCAGTAGATGTCTCTACATCCCAGAGGGCAGTATCAGTATTCCACTCTGCACGATGGACAACTGTGTCTAATCGAGCCCGTGGCAGAATACCAAAGTGCTCTGCATATGATACCAGGTACTTGTGCATATCTGCCGCTGGTGGAAAATCTGGTGTTTCTAGAAAATAGTTTAGTATTTGTTGTATGTACCCAGGGAAAGACACAGTCAGCTGGATTTACCATCTGGAAAAGGAAAGTCTGTGAAGCATCCCTAACTCTCAAGTCAGTGACCATAAACCGTCAGTTATTTTGATCAAACCCACTCTTTGCTTTGAGCCATTGGCCACAGTAGCTGGATTCTAGTCAGTCATCAATGCCAATAACGATGAACTATAAGGGGTAGTGAAAGGACCGACTTACTAGGTAGAACAGAAATTGCATCCTTGCTTTTATTGTAGTTCCACAACCCGCCAACATAAGGGTGCTTGTCGTAGCCAGTGACATCGAATCCAACCTCAAGCAGATTCTTCATGGCCACCAAGCCAAGGGCCCCTATATGACAAAGACAAACAATTAAAATTCGTAGTTCCACGATAGGAAAGGGGTGCTTTCAATATTGGCATACCTAGGCCAATGACTGCCACTGTGGGGGCTTTGTCAGTCAGGGAGTTATAGTCAGCCATGTTTTTATCGCTAGAATAGCGGTATACTGTTGGAAATGAAATTGGCTAAGTTTCCCTGGGAGAAGACTAGACTGGGAGATGATAAAAGGCCTAAAAAAATATCAGCACATTACTTTGTTTGATATCCGAAAGCTGAAATCCGTCAAAAACTGAGAACTATCTCTGTGATCATCACCGAGAAGTGATGGCCTGACATACTTGGCTGGCTGGGGATTCTGATTGGATGGACCGGTCGGTTTTCGGGGCTCGGGCTGTAGATCGGGAGGCGGTTCGGGGTAGGGATTGGTCTTGGTAGGGATAGCTCGTAGTGAAACGCCCCAATTACAGTCTTTTTTCAATGCGACTGTGATCTGGAACAGATTCGTGGAAGTTGTAGACTTCGCTATTCTTTGTGTGCTTTAGATCTGACACGAGTGACGTCCATTTGGCTTTAATCCGAGCTGGAAAATCGACCGACAACACTGAGCAAACTGCTGTGCGCGGCTTTACGGTATAGTATCCGAGCGAGGCACACCTGTGAAAAACCTCTGAATTCAAGAAATATTTTAACAAGATATGCTTCAAATTTATCACCAGTAAAGTATTCATCTGAATTAAGTTTAAATAATTTTCCTTGGTATCGATTAATGATTTATCCGGCAATTCTCGATCCATTTGACGCATTTGAAGTCTCAAGGAGGTATCAAACTTGTGGAACTTCACGGTATTCCCTGCAATCAGTAGAATATAGGCTTGGAAATCAACAACAAATTGTGCTCGGTCTACATTTTATCTAGGCTTCTGCAAGAATGCCTAGGTATGTATACCTTAGTAACCGATATACATTGACGGTTTTTGTGGGATTGATCGAAAAACATCAAGAAACGTGAATTTTGTGGATCATCTTCACTGAATATATATTTGGAGTCGTTCTCATGGGCCTGCATCAAAAGTTGAAATCCGCTCATCCATTTACGAGAGCTACTATCATTAATATCCATGAAAGTTCCTGAACCAAATGAAAACCGTAAAAAGAGTCACTACACTGTATTGGACTTGATTGTCTCAAGGAAGCCAATCATCTTCTTCAGCACCGAGTTCCAAGCTTTCGAATACCTATACGACTCAATCATTTCCATCTCAGCTGTCTGTTTCAGAACATCCCCCTGCACATCTTCGAGTGAAAGATCATGATCTGGCTTTTTCTCTGGTAGCGGCAGGTAAATCCCCGGTCGCGGGACGGGCTGCCCAGGCACGAGACCCTTTTGATTAGGAGCATATTCTGGAGGAATCTCGGGCCATGCATCGACACCATCTAACAGCGCGATGGCCATACCTCCCGCCAGATGTGTTTCGATATGACAGTGGAAAAGCCAGGGACCGGGGTTTATAGAATGATACCTAAGCACAAGCCAGGAAGGTCCATCAAAAGAAGTGATGAAAGTGTCGCGGTAATTGGGGTTTTCAAGATTGAACCTATGCGGCTCAGCAGCCATCGCTTTGTCCACACTTGTGTAGTTCCAGATACCCTCGCCCGCTCCAACTTGCCACATCTTGCCTGTGTGCTTGTGCATCATATGTGGGAACTCCTGGGGCTGGCCTGGTTGTGATCCAACCTGGATGATGAGATCGACCCAAGACCCGTTGCGGGTGCGAATGATGAGGTTTTCATCTTGAGCATCTGGCTGATCAATGTCGTAGAGCAACGGGGTGTATGCGCTGCGATCCTCTTGCCACATACCACCTCCGCTGAGAGTATACTGCCATGCGCTGCGCCATCGGTGAGTGTGGAGGACATAGTGCTCATCTGACTTTGCAGCTGGTCGTAGTGATGGGAAAGGTGGCAGATGATTGCGATCAAGCGTTACAACCGCGGTGGTATTCTGGCCTCCGTAATTGATAACTCCCTGACTGCTCGACGGAGCGCCCGTGCTCCCAGCATAACGCAGCGTGGCGAAGGACGAAATGATTTGGGTCAGCCCACTGTCCGCTACACGTATTGTGTAGTCCTTTGGCTCTTTATCCAATTGGATCATAACTGCATATCGCTCGCCAGCGTACATTTTGACTGTGTCAACCTTTTGTGGTTCGATGCGATGCCCATCTACCTCGTAAACCCACATAGGGTGTTCATCAATTGAGAAGACAGTTGTTTTAAAAGTAGCAGCACCGATGAAATTTATGCTGACCCATCTAGACTTTGGGTCGACCTGGACCAGTTCGTGATCCCCCGTGGCGGGAACACAACCCTTTTGAAGATGCAAAGGGATGGTCTCTGGTCTCCCTTGACTGAGATATGGGCCCTCAGTGGATTTCATGAATGGAAAACATCTGATACCGTTAGTAATTTAACCGGATAATTTCGCCAGTAAGCTGCTTACCCCTTGTCATTGACGTGGCCAGGATAGAGAGCCCATCTCATATATGTGCTGGTGTGATTGACCAAGTATTCTTCACCAGGACAGTAAATACTGCCCTTGCCATTAAGTAAAATGCTATCCACGCAGCTAGAAAATCCATAATTAGCGATTGACTGTAATATAAAACGGAGTTGGCCAAAGCATACAAAATTGTAAACTTCGAGGCTTCTTCAGCTTCCATATAATTCCAGGATTTGAAATGTGTCCAGTCAGACACGAGCATCTGTTTTGGATCACGGGCGGCCTTTTCCATGGCTTGGATGTCTGATTTATCTTTGGAAATCAGGCCCCATGGCCCGGGTGTATTTTCTTTTGGTCTAGGCTAGAGTTAGCCTAATATTACGCTAAAGTGACTGGCCAGAATCCAAACCTGATAAAAATGCCTCCATAGAGACCATCTAATAGAGTCGTTCGTGAATGAGCATGATACCTGTAGATATTAGCGGATCATTCAACATTAGTTCTCTCTCTCTTTTTCTTACCAATGTGTTCCGCTTGGGCTGGCCTTGAACCGGTAAATAAATAGCTCTTCGGGCTCAATAGGTAGCTGCGTCGCTCCAGGAGCGCCATCAGACCATGGTGTGCCTTGCATCCTGGGAAATTGTCAAAACATGAAAATTTGAAGAGTTTCGAAGATAGAGAATTACATTAATCCATGCCAATGAATACTCGAATTGAATGGCATTTTGTTGTGAACGATGACCTGGAGTTTCGTGAGTTGCTATTTTGGTCAAACCGAAGGGTAGCACTGTAGATTACCTCAATATCGTCATCTTCATCCCATACAAAAGATGGCCCAGGGAAATCACCATTCATCTTGATCATTTCCCTGACATGGCCGTTAGGTGCTCCCAGGTCCCATGTCAATGTGATCTCTTCACGGATAAGTTTTCCGGTAGTGAGCCTGGGCACTAGCAGCGAGCACAACGCCCAACAAAGGGCGCGACCGGAAATCATAGTTGCCACATGCGTCAATCTTCACAGTCCAAAAATCTAATCTTCATCAGAAGGATAAATTCCACGGACAATATGTGAAAGACGTTAGTGGTAAGCGATACTAGCTGCATAACGGAACCCCGAGGTCGGTTGGAGCTCGGCATAAGCCTTGCATACAAGCCCGAGTAAGCCCCGATCGAAGCATCCACTATGGGAATTTACCCAAATATGATCCAGGATATGGAATTGAGACTCACGGATTGCACTTTGAGTCGACAGCAAACTCATGATGAAATCATTCGCCAAAAGAGCCCTTTTCCAGGCCCTGCGGGTAGCGCTGGTTGCAGTGACGGTCTCCCTGGCGGTCCAGACATACCTGGATGGATGGAAGAAACCACAACTAGTGGTGATAGAATCTCGACTCGAGACCAACGAACCTTCTCTAAGCGAACCACCTACAACGGAATCTTCCTCACCGCAAACCCTATGGGATGCTCTTCAAAATGATCCTTCCTTGACCAAATTCACCAAGCTAGTTGGAGAGTTCGAAGACATTGTCGGCGGTCTCCGGGCACATAGAGCTCAACTCACAATCTACGCACCTGTCAACGAGGCATTCGACAAGGAAGAATTTCCCTATGACCTCCCGTGGTTCTACTGGAAATTCCTAGTCGGTTACCACATGGGCAAAGGAAGCGTTTCAGTCCAGGCGTTGCCCAATCAAAATACAGTCTCCTCTTTCGTGAATGCCGATATCTTTTTCAAGAACCAGCAACGCATCAGCGTGCAGGACAACCATCCAGACCCTGTGACGTTCAACTTTCGCTCCAAATTACTATCCTCCAAGCCAGCTGTCAACGGTCACCTGCACGTTGTTGACCGACTTTTGATGTTGCCAGACTCAGCCGCAGACGTGCTTCGGTATACCCCGTCTCTCGGAATATTTCGTCAGGGTTTGATCCAGACCGGACTTGCAGAGGTGGTCAACGACACATCAACACATATCGGACAGACGCTTTTCGTGCCCTCCAATGCCGCATTCCAGCAACTCGGGCCCAAAGTCAATTCCTTCCTTTTTGGTCCGGGAGGCAGTGAGTACTTGAAAGCTTTACTTGCCTACCACGTCGTGGCCAACGAGACTTTATTCTCGGATGTCCATTTCCCTGCAAAGAATGGCGATCAGGTTGTCTTTTCCCGGGAATCCACCGATCACCCCGTGGAAATGCCCACTCTTGCTGGTGGGCACTCCATTTCTGCAGATTCTATTCTACAGTCGAGTGGTCGGCGGATAATCTCAGTCAATGACGAGTGGAAGGTGAGCCGACCTGATATTGTCGTGATGGATGGGGTGATTCATGAGTTGGACGCTGTGTTACTACCACCATTTGTGGAGGGCGAAGGTCAGGTGGGGAAGCAAAACCTTAATTGGTGGTCTATGGTAAAGCGTTCTATGAACCTCGGTGGGGGAATCACAGTGGAGGATTTGATGGAGCGATTGCAGCCGCTGATAGAAAGTGAGGGATCATCTTGATAGCCTAATACGTTCACTTATCTTAAACAATGAATATACTTTGGTCGTATAAGAAGGTTTTCACCGTAGTACGATTGAGTTGGTTTCTTGTTGCAGATCCTATATACGAGCTCACTCTAGTCTCGGTGTGCACCACTATTCGTATTCCTGATTGCTGAAGAACTAACTCGTATTCCATCTCTATGAATAATCCTATCTGAAATTGACTGCTTACTCCGGCGAAAGCTACCAGCCACATCTCAACTAGTCGATCTCTAGAACATGTGTGTGTCCATGTTCACCAATTCTAATACAAAAATGGAATCATTTTCCATCGGGTTCTTCGCTTGAACTGGTCCCACTGCTCTCCATACTGTTTAAAATTAGCAACCGCATAGCCCAGAATTTCTCAATGTGGAAAAAGAAACATACCCTTTTCTCACAGTAAGCATCCAAGGCAGGAATACCTCTTCTGCGGAACTCAGCCAACAACCATAGCAGAGTCAACCCACCCCAGCCCCATCCTGACGCAGCAAGGCCAGCCGCAGCTTTCCAGATAGTATACCCACCATAGTTGATATGACGCGCAACTCGGAACAATCCCCCAGTGTACACCTTTCCGACCCCACGTCCGCTAGGATGCTTCTTGAAAGATCTGCGCTGAAGCTCAGACACAGTCTCCACAGTAATACCAACTGTGAAAATAGCACAGGCAATAGAAAGAATAGGATGCCAGCCGGTGGCGAAGTCGGGAATGTATGAGCTCGTCGCCGAGGTTGCCGCAGCACAAAACATGAGCGAGTTGACCGTTGTGGAGAATGCCTTGAATATACCCACCAACAGGGCCGTTTTCACTGGCATTTTTGTTTCGGATACGTAGAAAAGGTAGAAAATACCCTTTAGACTCCCGAGGAGCGACATGCCCAACAGAGTCAGTCGCCATGGTGAGAGGCCCAGCGCCACGGGCGCAGACTCGGGAGGCAATGGAGTGCCGCCGAATAAGCCGAGGATGGGACCTGCGAGAGAGGTAGGGCCGGGCAACAGGATACCATACTGCAAGACTGGATCTAAAATGCGTAGGGCTGCGAAGATGGCTGTGCCGAGGGGCGATGAGCCCTTGTCGCTGCGGTCACCGTGGAGGGCTCCTCGTCCACGAGGACTATGGCTGACTTTTTCGGAATGGGACATGATATCGCTAAGATTAACCGCAAAATAGTATGCATCAAAGGGGCGAGGTTCTGGTTACTATGTCATTGGCTCGATGAGTCTATATAAAGCTGTCTCCCTAATGATCGCGTTTCCGACGGCGAACTGACAGTACTGCGATTCAAAGTTTGATTATACAGCTGACCCGAGCAGAAACCGAGACCCGACTACGTACACCGAATGCCGTGGTCGTGGCCCAGCATATCGAAGTGCAGCTTGCAGCGTACAGTAGATGTGTATCCACCTACCTGTCGTAGTCGGCGATTATGGTCCCTTCTCACTAAGCTGTGGGCGCCGGCCCAGTCTCGACTATACCACATCTGATCAGTATTTCTGAGCTCTTTCCCGTCGAGGCTAGATCTTTAACGAAAATCATCAATATTTAAAAAGCCAAAATACTATTTGAATTCAGCCCATGGTGGGGCACTAAGTTCCTCTGCATGCATCCCACTGCATTAGTGTCTGAGTAGACCCAAATTTGAATCCCTGCCTAAGCCCCGCTCCGACAAGGCTTTTCTGATTTTCGGGACCGAAGCGAAAGACGGTGCCGAGCTCGGGGGTAAACAAAAGTACACTCTAGATTGTTAAGTCGATCACCACTGGAAGGGAGTCATTCGGCGCCGAGACTCCATACCCACCGAGAATGCACTCCGCATGCTTGGATGCCCACGGAGTTCATGATCCAGTGGGACACTATGCGTTTGGATGAAAAATAGGTGAAACTTGATCTAGGAGAGGAGATAGATAGGATAGATCCGTACATGAATTGACTATATACTGTATCGTTATTCCGTCTTTCATCATGGCTCGTTCTAAAATGGTGTTCATCGTTCTATCATCCGACCCTTGAAGCTCTAAGGCCAATTGCGAACATCCGATAGCCAAAGAACAAATCGCAGTCACGCAGGTAAGTAATCGGCCATGGTCGTTATCAATTGGCAAAGGTACCGATGCACATGTACGCAGAACAAAGGGGGCAAGGGGAAAGAATAAGAAAAATTGACAGGATAAAGGGAAAACAAAACAGTCACCGCGTGATAACAAACATCTGCAGGTTAGCCCAAAAGCTCTCGCGCCGTAAGAGTCACAGATTTCATTTGATGCCTTAGGTGCGCTTCCAACGCCATATGCAAGCCCTTCTCATTATCATCACCACCATACATGCCCTTCTGACGACAATACCTACGACTAAACGCCGCCAGAACCTCCTTGACCTTATCAATCTCAGCCAAAATCAACTGCGCAATCATGCGCCGTGACTGGGCTGGTTCCAAAGTGTAAGCACCCACATTAATTGACGGGATCGACACCCATTCACGGAACGACTCCGACAATCCCTGCAGGATATTACTCTCGGGGGTTGATCGTAGCGACGATGGTGCGCCGGGGCTACTTCGGCTCCGACTTCTGCTTCCGCTACCACTGCCATTACTGCTCTCGCTGTATCCACTGCTGCTGTCTGGTTCGCGGGGGAGACAGCCAGCGCTGCGGTCTAGACTTGCTTGGTACCAGGATAGAACGCGGGTGCACGTGGTTGTGACGAGGAAGATAAGATCTGTTTTGACGGAGCAGGGGCATTCGAGTATTGCTAGGACATCTTCTAGGGAAGAATGGCTGTCTTTGAGAATATCGTCGAAACTTCGTGCTCCAGGACCCGCTGTGGGTTGTATTCGTGGATCGGGGCAGTTTGAGCGGTTGAGAGATGGACATGGGGTCATTGGTGCGTCGAGTCGTGAGATAGCCGACATGGCTAGTTGGGAACATTGGTGTACAGATTGATGATGGGGTACTGGTAATGGCCAGAGGAGTTGTTTATGTGAATCGGAGGGTAATAGCCAAGGAAATTCGTCGAGAGTGCTATTGTCATTGCTGGTGTCCATCCGCGACTGTGGACTTGGCATTGGCATTTGTGGTATGGCCGATATACCAGGCAATTCGTTTGGAGAAGGTGTATTGCCGTCGAAAGACTCAAGTAACTCACTCCATTTGATTGGGCTCAATGCATCGGCGGGGAATTGAGTTCTTTCGGAGAATGGAGTGTCGATCTGAACCGGTAGTGGATCAGGGCTAGTCATGTCAACGGTGCGAACGTCGGCCATGATCTGCCCCCCATTCAATTCATCGTCTCTCCTTTGTGATCCCTGGCAAGCATCTAGGATCGACCCATTATTCCGGTCTCTCGTTGATGCAACAACTTGAGAGTGGGGAGCGGCTCCCGGCGGAGGAGTTGGCGGGGGTCGCTTTCGGGACCGTTGAGAGGGACTGTAAATGCAGGGGACGCCTTGATACAAGCATCGTTGACAAGAAGGTTGATCCTTGCTGCAGCGGACTTTCGATCTGGCACAGTTATCACAGCTAGCACGAATGATTTCCACTCGTTGTTGCACAGGGAAAGCCATCTTGATCCATGTGAAAAGAAAGAGAACAAAGCTTGACCCCGGGACCGCTAAGTAATGTAAGTCCGAATAAGAATGCGAGGGACAAGATCGCTAGAGCTGTGTGGAAAAGCTTTCGAGGCCTCCGGGCGTCCGGCAGGTTTCTGGGGCAGTGTTCACTTAATGTGGCATTTGCATCAGTTCAGGCAGCTCCGGCAGCTTAGGCCAGACGAGAGGGGGGTCAGAAAAATAAACGACTGCAGTATCAGTATAGGATCCATAATACGTTGACTAAAAAGGTCCACCAGGTTGCTGAACAATGCATGTAAGCTCGGAGAAATCTACTACTAAACCCTTTTAAGGCAAAGCAGGGGGCAAATGTAACCCTGACGACCAACCGTTTTCGACTTTGTTCAGATCTATGGCGCTTCTCGCACCTGTTTACCCCTCACAGTTCTCCTTTACTATTCTAGCGATAAGAGCTATTTAGGAGGAATCAACAGGATTTACAGAAATGCACCATGATTCAATTCTTACAGAATTTGACCCCCACTCATGATTCGTCCCTCGAATCCTTTACCTAATGACGGAATCTGACTCTACCTAACAAATTGACGAAGAACACGTTGGGGAGAGCCTTCAATTCAGCTGAACCGCTATACGACCAAAAGAAATACTTCCAATTCTTCTTCATAACTTTCATACTTTGCCGAGACGAGTAGGTTCAAACAATACGAACGCCCTGCGCTTACAACTGCAACCTGATCGACCCGTCCCGTCTGAGTGGCTTTGGAGGCGCCAAGGCCTTAGGAGTATTTCGCTCCCCCCGTCTTACCTGCAGATTATACGATCGGCCCCGAACCCGCCTTGCTCTGCAGACCTTCCAATTAGTGATGAAGATTGGGGGTTATGACTATCTAATCCTACCAAGGAATTCCCCAAACGCTAGCAGCTATCGATAATACGAGATAATGCGGAGTCGATGGCAATTATGTAGGGTGACGAAACGCCACGCAGAAGGAGCAAAAAACTTAATGTAATTGTAAGGATTGAAGAAGATAACACGGTAAGCACGAGCCAAGAAGCTTATTCAGATCATTTTAGTCTCCTAAGCCTCTCTTCCTGGTAGTCTCCACTTTAGTCTCCAATCTCCAATCTTCGATAGTCGACTACACTAGTCCTTCGTCTAAGGGAACCGGAAAACGTTGTCCGGATCCACTGACTGCTTGAGAGCTTGCAACCGCTCCCAATGCGACCCGAAACTCACACGAGGGTCCTCGTCTTCACCCATAAAACTCACGTATACGGGCTTCATGGCTTGGCGGGTAGCATTTATCTCCTTCATCAGATCGTCTACCCAGGTCCGGGCCTCGTCCATGCGCTCCGGTTCATCGCACGCGTTGATATGAAACAGCACGTGCGGTTCGCGCGTTGCAAAGGACGTGTCGGGGTTCGGTTCTGTACTTTTTCCGTGTCCAATATGCGCAATCACGTTATACTGGCGACCATCGGGAATGGCCTCGGAGTACTTTTGAAGTAGCGCGATAGTCTCGGGGGTAAACCGAGGGATGGAGGCGCTGCGAGTGCAGACGTTGACTGGCTCGTCCACCACGCGGGAGGTGATACCTTGAAACGCCTTAAACGTGGCTGTCGATCAAAAATAACGTGAGAAAGAAGTCAGCAAAAAGCAAACAAAGGACATCTGGAGAACAATCCAGACAATGCAAGACAATGGCGAAAATACAGACAATCAAGCCAAGAAATCAAGAATTCCACGAATCAGGGAGAGAAGCTTACTTTCACCAACGGTATCAACCTGGATAGCGCCCAGCCCCCTGACAGTCTCCAGCCAAGTCCGACCCTTATCGAGAGTCTCGGAATCAGGCCAAGCAAAGATCAAACTCATGCCAACCCCCCACTTGGTCTTCATGAAGCCCATCTGCAAACACATCGTATCGGGGATACCCTGATCCAGCAACTCCTGCAGACCCGAGAGCACCTTCTCACTCTCTCCCCACTGGTACGCGATGAAGCCCGCCAGAATGACGGGCATCGGGTATACTTTCACAGTGACATCGACGATGACCCCGAGACTGCCACCGGCACCTCGAACACCCCACAACAGCTCCGACCCGGGACCCGCCTCGACCAGCGATCCATCGGCCAACACCAGGCGTGCAGACAAGATATTGTCCACTCCCAGGCCGACGTAGTCATTGAAGGGACCGTATCCGCCCCACACGGCCCATCCCGTCCATCCCACGTTGCCCGCGGTCCCATTAGCAGTGCAGAGACCGTGTTCATCGAGGAATCCGACGAAATTCCGCGATGTCACGCCGCCACCGATGCGGATGGACTGGCGATCCTCGGCGAGGGTTTGCGTGTCGAGCTCGCGCATGTCGATGCTGAGGCTATCGGGCTTCAAGCCTCGTCCGTAGACATCGTGGCCCCCACAGCGTGGGACGATGGGGACTGGAGGATTCGCGGCACGGGCAGTGCGCACGATGAGTTGGATTTGTTCGATGGTTTGGGGGCGGCAGATTGCCAGAGGTTGTTGGGTGATTAGTTTGTTGTAGACGCCACGGAGGGTCTCAAAGTTTGGAGAAGAACGCGTGTACACTTTGAGGCTCGCATCGGCGTCATGAAGTGCGGTGATGATGGAAGGTGCATCTTTTATGTCGACGGTTGGGTCGAAGGGGGCGGGTTCATGGCGGTGCTCTGGAGGAGCGATGAGGGAGAGAGTTGTGGTGACGGTCATTTTGATAAAACTTGGAATTTGTATATGAATGCTTTAGTTGTGACGCAACTAATGGATTTTCATAGACGAGCCTTGCAAATCAATGTTGATGGGGATATAATGGAAGTATATACAGTGTGAATATGCATGGTCTACTACGGGCCTCACATCGGGATCGGGGATTGAATCAGGCCATACTCTAAGAATGACTGGCTATGCCCGAGACCAAAATAAGTCTATCGACTGCAGGAAAAAGCATGTATTGTTGAATTCATAGCTCGTAGTTCATACAGTAGCTGCCAACTCCAATTACAAATCCCTCCAGTAGCGTTATACTAGTAGTCTAAAAACAAGTCATATGCCCGTCGATCAAACTCTGCCAAGTCTCCCAATCAATCTGCGAGATATCGATTCCGGGCTCCAAACTCATCCGTCCAGGCATCAACAATCCCTCCGTCTCCCCGATCCTATCCTCTAGCCCCGGTCCCGGGCCCAACATTAGCGGGGCAGTGCCATTGCCGGGCGCCGACGCAGGGGACGGAGCCCGGGTATTACCTCGGAGAGCACGAAGCCGCGTAACGGACTGTGGCTCTAGCGGCTGAGACAAGATCGGACCTTGTCTCGTCCACGCAGTTCGCATTTCCCACGCCCGAAGCGTAAGTGTCCCGAGCGCGAAGAATAGTGGATTCGTCCTGGACGCCGTAATCAGATCCCCGTGGTCATGATAGACCTGATCAACCTTGGCCCACGCTTGATCCACATGTTCACCCTCACGTCGTGATAACAATTCAGTAAGGACAAGAATAAACGCTTCGAAGGGGAAACTCATGCCCACATGCCAGAGGAACGGTTGCAGGTCACGACTCGCGTAGGTCAAATTATCATACGTGAGTACCTGCAATCCCAGCGAAAACAATCGATCCCTGTCATCTCGCGACAAATCCCCGCATCGACGGGGGTGTCGGGTCGCAAGACGCATCTGACAGATTGACGAGCGGGCCAAATACAACGCCAATTGGTGGAACGGAATCGACGCATCGCAATCATTAAGATATCCATCCTCCAATCGGCCCTCTAGCGCATTAATAGCCCTTTCTTCTTCAACCATCCTCTCGGGAATACTAACGCCCACAAGTCCATGTTCCATCGCGGTTAACTTGCGCATGCAATCTCCAATCTCGAATCGGATCTCGCAGAATAACATCTCCGTAGCACCCGGTCGATCACGCGGGAGTTCCTGCATTAGCGGCGATAGGTCGCTGTCGCTTAGATTGCGGGGGCGTTCGGTGTCCCAGAAGTGGTAGGAGTGGGCATCGACGACTATCCCACATAACTGGGCTGCGCGACTGTCCATCAAAACGATTTGCCACCAGAGGCGACGACGCATTTCTCGCTCAAATGCGGGTAAAGAGCCCAGACTGCGCTCGCGGTGAAGGCCCATTGTTCGGGCGATACGGCTGGCAATGCCGGTTAAAAGCCATCGTGTTTGTACATCGTAGCGTTGTCGTGTGGCCAGCTAGAATCGACGGGTTAGAGAAAATCTCGGGAAGTGATGCAAAAATGGAAGTTATGTAGTTTGACTTACCAAATAAAGTGTAAGCGCCCGCAGAATTAAAACATTTGTAGATCGTAGGAACTCAGCATTAATTAGTGCCTGTTCAGCAGCACGCGAAAAACGCGCCATCAAGTCTGATCTCGATGCACCAAGTACTTGACGACTAGTGTCATCGTCCATGGAAGCCACCGCACAAAGATATATGCTAAACAGCAGAGCCTCCGTCGGTCGGGAAATATTGTCTAGGTCCGATGCAGCTTCGAGTATCAGTTGCTGAGTTGACGGAGCATGAAGAAGTTTCACGATGGGATTGACATTATTGAGAAATATCTGCCACAGCTGGAAATTCTGCGGTGTATTTGGATGAAGCGATCGTACTCCTTTGGGACACGACGGTCGGAACAGCAGTGTCCCTGCATCCACATTTTGGAGCGACTCGTTCTCACTGTCGTCTGCGACGCTGCTACAGCTGTCTAATTCGTTGGTCAGGCCTTGCCAGAGGGGACTGTCGAAATATCAAACCAATAATCAGCCGATGTCCTTTTTATGACCAAAAAAGAACTCAGTATCACCATACTTTTCCACATATCGAGCATGAGCCGTCTCTTTAATCAACTGTCCCTCCGGAACCGGCCACGAAGGACTCGCCATAATTCGAAAAGGCTTTCTATCCACCTCAGTCTCAGGTTCTAACGAAATCCCATGAGCCTTGACAGCCCGTTCACAAAGCTCGAGCCGTCTCGCCAATTGTTCCGTGACGCTATTAACCCCAGCATCTCTGCTCTGCGCTCGAACAGTCTGCGGGGGATGCGACTTTGATCCAACGCGTCGGATACATTCTTGTCCATTCCGTAGACACGTTGAACAGGGTCGCTGGCCATCGCAGCGTACTTTGCGCTGTTGACAGAAAACGCACGAGTGGCCTCGTGTGACTCGGGAGGTGGACGAGAGCATCGCGCGCCAATTTTGCCTATCGTAACCAGATTGGGCATTTAGATAGCGTGCGAGAGGTCCATAATATTGTGATATAGGTCATATCGGAGTTCATGGACGGTGTTTGTTCTTGTCCGATGCGACGGAGTTCCGTTAGACGGTGGTCGAGAGTGTTGGGGGAGAATGCCGTAATGTATACAAAGACTTACGGGAAAATACCGGCGCTACCTCTGTTTCGTGGCTTTTAACTACTTTCCTTAAGCCTCAATATATTTTGCAAATTATCATTCCGATAGGTCTTAAAGCTACGTTGAAGAATAGCAATAGTACTGTCCTACAAGAGAATCTAAGAACACTTTTCAAAAACAGACAGGAGGCCGAAGTATTTCGGTTGCCTGCCAGACTCCGTCTTTCGGCCCCGTTCCCGTTTGTCCGTCCGAATACAAGGATGCTCGGGACCGAGACTTTCTGGCCACCCAACTTACTCCTTGTCGTTCCCAAGACAGTTGTTTATAAGTCTGCCCCTTTCGCTGTGGATGTACCAAAATCAAGCTCATTCAACCAAGTCTTACTCTCTTCATTGCAAAAGACTTATTCAACATGGCGCATTCTATACAAGAAGAACACCCCCTTCACGAGCAACCTCGTCAGTCCTTGGATACCACCGAGAAACCCACGGAGGTCCAAGAAGATGACAGCCAATTTCCATCTGGAGCCAAATTGGTGGTGATTGTGATTTCGATCTTGTTCGCTATGTTCCTGGTTGCACTGGTATGAATGTTTCTATTTTAACTTCGGTCGTTCGCGTGGATAAAAACTAATTGCCTCCTTTGAACTATAGGACCGCACGATCATTGCCACGGCAGTCCCTCGTATCGCAAACCAATTCAATGCACTTGAGGATATTAGTTGGTACGCCAGCGCATATCTCTTGACAAGCTGTGCAACTCAACTAGCATGGGGCAAAGTCTACACATTCTACTCGACCAAGACCATTTTCCTCCTCGCGATTCTAATCTTCGAAGTCGGATCCGCTTTATGTGGTGGTGCGCCCAATTCCAAGGCCTTCATCGTCGGACGAGCAATCGCGGGTATTGGTTCAGCTGGAATCTTCTCTGGTGCGACAGTCATCATTGCACAGATTGTTCCCCTGGCTAAGCGACCGATCTATGTCGGGCTTATGGGATCTACATTCGGATTCTCGTCTATTGTCGGCCCGTTGATGGGTGGCGCATTCACGGACAATGTGACATGGCGCTGGTGCTTCTACATCAACCTTCCTATCGGTGGTTTCACCTTGGCGATGCTCTTCTTCTTCCTGCGCGTGCCTCACACGCCTCAGCCCTGCGGCTGGAAGCGACAGATCCTTCGCCTTGACCCCCTGGGAAGCGTATTGTTCCTGCCTTCCGTCATTTGCTTTTTGCTGGCCCTGCAATGGGGTGGTACTACCTATGCCTGGAATAGTGGCCGCATTATTGCCTTATTCGTGCTCTCGGGTGTCTTGATGATTGCCTTCGTCTGTGTTCAAGCTTGGCTGAAGAAGGATGCCACCGTGCCTCCGCACATCTTCAACCAGCGCAGTATCATCAGTGGTGTCGTCTTTGCCCTGTGCGTTGGTGGTGGACTCATTTCCATGTTGTACACTCTCCCTCTCTGGTTCCAGGGTGTTCGCGGTACGACGGCTGTGAAATCAGGTATTGACACGATCCCCATGGTCCTCGCCCTCGTCGTCGGTGCCATCTTCTCTGGTGGAATCATCACCGCGACTGGGTACTACGTTCCGTGGATGTTTGTCGCAACAATCCTGATGTCAACTGGTGCAGGCCTAATGACCACCTTCAAGCTGGACACTAACCACGCCGCGTGGATTGGATACCAAGTCTTATTCGGTCTGGGCATTGGCACCGGTTTGCAACAGCCGTCGCTGGCAGCGCAAACCATCCTGCCCATGGAAGAAGTTGCCATTGGTGTCTCACTCATGTTCTTCGCTCAGTCCCTTGGTGGTGCTGTCTTCATCGCTGTTGCCCAGTCCCTCTTCCAGAACTACATTGGTGCCGAACTACCCCATATCGAGGGAATCGATGCAGCCAAGGTTCTTGCTGCAGGGACGACGGGTCTCGCGGATGTTGTGCCGACTAACAAGCTTACCGAGGTACTACTGGTTTATAATGATGGTCTTCACCGATCGTTCATTGTTAGTGTAGCGGTGTCTTGTTTGATGATCTTGCCCGCTTTGACCATGGAGTGGAAGACGATTAAGAAGGATAATGTTTCTGTTCCCGCTGCTTAGAGAGATGACGGATCGCTTTAGAGAAGGAGGACACTCGGGTTTCATTTGATGTAATAGTACCTAATAGAGATACACCAACAATTTAAAAAATCCTCTCAAATGCTTGGATACACTAGAGCCTGTCAACCATCAATTAGCTGAGCTTGATACCCAACATATCAGATTCACTTTCCTCTCCCTGGCCCGATAGATTTTTAAAATACTTCTCTTGTCATGCCTACATTATATATGTGCCAACATTTGCTACAGCATTCCTAGATTGGACAAGGTATCTATTAAGAGGAATTCTAGACATAATTGGTAAGCTCGGTAAGCTTTGTCTCCTGACAAATGTCATCTTGACCAACACCCCTGAAGTCCTTCTGTCTGCAATGTATTTCATGTATAATGGCGTTTTCATCTACATACTAGCTATGCAGGGGTGGTCCCTTTTTTCTATCAAGCGCAAGGGTTTGCGTGTCTCTGCGCCTCGTGGCCCTCAGCGACCAACCACTTACCTCTAGCTCCCTTATATCTATTCGACCCCAATGCTGGTATCGGGAGGGCTTCTCCACTGGCTCCTCTCCCAGTCTTTATTACTGGCGTAAGTCTCATGCAGGGGACTGGAGCGGCACAACCTCCAACCCGGCAGTTGCCTCATTGATGCACTTGGATGGAGCCCAATTGGACTCATTTGCACTTTGGTGACTAGATTCACTATGATGGTTATTATTTGGTCGATCTGTCTCAGAAGGTTTATTAAGAATATACCACTGTGAACAAGTTGCAGTATTAGCATCAGTGCAACCTGCCATCCGGCTCCCGGAGAAGTCGACAACTTGGCGGAGCAACCTCTGTTATTTGGTGATTTAGGCTACTTTTCGGGTAGACATTCAGCTGGGAGCAGTCACTCCTATGCATCGTTTACTGCGAGAAATGCTGCGGAGAACTTAATCGAAGGGGAGCTCTTTTAGCTAATTGAGTTTTGCGTATAAAGTAATATACTTCTCGGGATACTCAACCCTGTCTTAGTTGTTTCGTCTCTATAAAGAAAACACAGATGTAGATAGACTATGATGTAATGGAGCCGCCAAACCTCTGCATAGTCAGGAGTTCTCGGTTTCTTTCTACTTACGCATCTCTGCCTTGACGTGCCCATCACTATGCGCTATAGGTACGTCCTCCATTCTCGACAACTCAAAATTTCTGCAAGAACCATTGAATTGGCCTATAATCAAGTGTCCCACAAACTTAAGAGCAATAAATCCATGAATCATGTATGCTCTATTAGGTAAACTTTCTGTCGTATATTTCAATTTCCCAGTATGCTGGAATCTGTTGATTTCGACGATAATGGCATAGCCATGGCCTGCAAAGCCTTTTACGCCTAGAAGAAGCACGAAATTGCCGAAATTGCGTGTAGATTTTACAATTCTGGGCTTTCAAAATTGATAGAGGAATTACGTAAGGTTTGACGTTCTTTAGAAGCTATGAGACATGGGGAGTGGAGACGTAAATTGCGTGTGCATTCATTCCCCTAAATTGGAAGAAGGGCGGGAAAGTATTACTCCAAACCTAGGGACAGCGGGGATCGTGACTTTCAAACTCTGTATTACCATGAAAGACACGATAAGATCAAATAATATGCGGGTTTATGAAAAGGGAGGTAAAATATGAACATATATGTGTTCAGATTTTTTTCAATCGTTTCTGTGTTTGGTGTTCCACGGAATTCGAGTGGATCCTGAGTTCCCCAGAGATATGCCATTATGCCTAACATTTTGCTGGTCCTGTTTCTATCCCCACCCCCGCCTCGGTGTAAGACTCTTGTTTGCCTGCCCTGCACAGAGAGGCCTAAATAAGTGGACACTCTGATGGAAAGGTCAAGAATCCTTAGTAGTGACTACATACATATTACAGAAAACTTTACTCTAGACCACCTACCAAACCTACAATATAGAACGGAGAAGCTGATCCGTTTTCCCACTAGCTACCTGCCGCATCGCCTAAATAGCGTTCAACTTCAGCACACAAACAAAAGTGGATGGAATATCAGTATAGCAGGCTACCTTCTGGCTTTAAATCATCGGGATACAAAGACGCTAATGTGACCATATTAAACCTCCACTATAGACGGCAATCCATGGATGTGTCAACGAGGTTTATTAAGCGGCTTGCCATGCATGTGCCTACCGTAGAAGGCGCCCTACGAGGCGAGAGGAGCGAATGCTTACTCAATAAGGAAGTATTAACTAAGCCTCCGATCTAGAATCTATGGATACTCTCTTCTCTAGTGGCCAGGCATTCCATACGAGATGAAATAAGATCTGAAATGAGGACACAAAAATGTTACGAGTGACTAACGCTCCTAAGCCATCTAATCATTAAGCCTATTTTGTTAAGGTAGTGTGTCTGCCTTGCGTGAGGTGTAACATATATCACAACACAGCTGCTCACTGTGACATAAGGCCCTTCTCTACAGGGCTGTAGACTCCGGCCCGTGACGATTTCAGAATGACCACATGGTATATTTTGCATACTTGATCTCCTCGGCTATACAATAATTGGGTGGATTTAAGGCATTGTGCTTTGAGCAAGTCCACATCGCCAGACCTCGACGCATTAGGGGTGACTCGGGTATATTTTCAAAGATAGTTAGCGCCCCCGAGCCAAGTTTATTCTAGTTACGCCTTGCCTCTTGGCTCGGCACAAATGGCTACATAGTAAGCTTTGTCCAAGCTACCGCGTCTTGGCGCTTGGCGCCTTCTTCACTTGGTTTTCCTTTCCTGGAGGCCCGTGTTGGGCGTTAGTTTGACAAGAAGCCCCGGAAGGCCATGGCCACTCGAATGACCAAATAATCTGCGTGGTATTACCTTTTTTCACACTCAGGTCACCTGAAAAATCATTCATATTATTTCACATTAGAAATGCTATTCTCAGTTGTAGGAAATGACTTAACCCCGCCCGGCACATTTGCACGTCAAAAGCTTGGTTCATCCTGCAATCGGAAGCTTATAGTCACCCTGTTAGCCTGTACGCCACAGTAACATTGCATGAGAATTGTCTTTCGACAATCACTTCCAATTTCCGTCCTAAACGGCCGGTCGCTGCTTTTTTAGTGCTAGCTCATCGAGAGATAACCATCTGTAGCTTGCATATCGCCATTCGGGGACTTCCCGGCGCCCTAAACCTAGACTTTCCTCACTTTTAACGTGCGGAGAAGTCGGAGATCCGGATTGCGCCTTTCTGCAGGGCTATTGGACCTCTGTTCGGATTGGACAATATTACAATATGGCTACCGGTGGCGGATGCAGGGCCAGGTTAACGAGTACGAGGGTTGGATACACACGCTGCCGTCGCGAATATACCTCTAGACTAAGGTAGTGGCTTGGATACTCGGGCCTCTTGCAAAAGGCGCGATATGCCCACGGCACCTTGAGCCCTTGCGGGGCTAGTTTGACCTTGCCCATCACTGTCCTGCTCCGCCAGCAAGTCTGCTCGCCCTGTCTGTAAACTGACTTGACCAGTTTTTTTATCGCCGTGTCTACAATTTTGCTTCATAACTGCAATGTTCCCTCCATAAACCCCGTTTTAACGTTGTTTTCTTGCGTGCCTATGTGTGTTCCGCTCAAGCAAATTTCCCACCCAAGGGCCTCGGGTCTTTTAATGGCTCTTTTAAAACCTTTCAATAGTATTACTGTCTGTATATGATGGATGGAACATGATAGCGCCGTGATCTTGGCATTCCTACTACCCGTGAGTGAAACCAAGTCATTTACCAAATCAAATCTGCAGAAATTCGGCTAGCGCATCGCGCGATCTAGGCTGGTGACCTTCTATTTCGGTCTCCGACGGTGTCACGCATTCGCCATTCTAGTGCACTTCTTCTATCATAAATAACGTATGGCAATGCTGGCACTGATATTGATGTTGCATCGAAAATAGCTCGCAATGAAGCAGGAGTCTGAGGAATTGAGCCTATTCGGGTCTTCAAGGTCATACATGCTTCGGCAAAGGCACATGAGGACGGGTATAAAAGCTGCTCTACTTGCCTGTTGACTTTTTCTGCTTCATCATCGAAGAACATTCACTTCGCCTTTTACAACCATCTTTCAAAACAAGCCCCTTTCCCCTAGAAACCCAATTCAGTCTTCATCATGAAGTTCTCCCTGGCGATTATTAGCACCACGCTTCTTGCGACTGCTGCTTTTGCTGCACCTCTGACTGCTAAGCGTCAAGCCCGCTATGAAGCCCGGCGTTTGGCTCGCGCAGAGTCCGGTGTGACAGAGCATCATGGCAACCCTCCGTATAAGCCCGATAGCCACGAGGTTCTGCATCTCAATGAGACCGCCCACGTGGAGTACAGCTCCAACTGGGCTGGCGCCGTTCTAATTGGCTCCGGTTATACTGCAGTCACTGGCCAATTCACGGTCCCCACCCCCAAGGTACCCAGTGGCAGCAGTAGCAGTGGAACATACTCCGCCTCTGCTTGGGTCGGTATTGACGGCGACACCTGGGGCAACGCCATCCTACAGACTGGTATCGACTTCACTATCACCAATGGCAAGGTTAGCTACGATGCCTGGTACGAGTGGTACCCCGATTACGCCTACGACTTCACTGGCATTGCGATCTCTGCTGGAGATGTCATCAAGGTCACCGTGACTGCTGCTTCCAAGTCCTCCGGTACTGCGGTTATCGAGAATGTTACCACTGGCAAGACTGTCTCCCACACATTCTCCTCTGGCAGCACCCAGGGTAGCCTTGGCGAGGTTAATGCTGAGTGGATTGTTGAGGACTTTGAGTCTGGTGGCTCTCTCGTGAACTTTGCCAACTTTGGCACTGTCACATTTACTGGGGCCCAGGCGACCGATAGTGGCTCCACGGTTGGACCTTCTGGTGCTACTCTCATCGACATCAAGCAGAACAACAAAGTTCTCACCTCTAGCTCCGTCACCTCCAACAGTGTCACAGTGAGCTACGTCTAGGATTTGACTCGCCGAGGTAATACAAGACAATCACCATTTACACAGGATATGGAGATTCGGGCATATATTGATGAAAAGAGGGGCTATGGCAGGGGCAGAGAGTATAGTCTTCTGATATTGGCAAGTTGAATCAAGCGATGTGTATCCGAGATATCACGATTTTATCACCCATGTACATACCATGGATAGTGACTAGCTAGATCATTCACACGATGAGACATTGCTATATTTTTAGAGGAACTTCTGCTATACTGAAAGTTCTGCCGGGTCGTGGCCTCGATTGGCATACCAAAAGAGTGCACTAAATTGGTCTTGCTATTGGCGGGTCCAATGGGGCTTCACCCTTCAACGAATGGGTGGCTCGTCTCTAAAACAGCAGCTTTAAGAATTGAGACAATATTCTCAAGTTCGGCGTCCGTCGTGATGTAAGGTGGGCAGACCAAGACGTGATCAACCTGGTACTCACCAGTGTGGCCCAGGTTTCCAAGTATATTCAACCCCGAGCTGAGGGCGTTCTTCACAACCTTGCCACAAAAGTTATCCTTGGGCGAGAAAGCCGTCTTGGAATTCTTGTCCAGTACAAACTCAACAGCCCAGAACAGACCACGGCCACGGATATCGCCAACTAGCGGAAGAGGGCCAATCTCCTCAGATAGTAACTTTCCAAGCTTGTGGCCCATCTGTGCCACTCGTTCAATCAGATTATCGCGCTTAATGATCTTTTGGGTCGCGACGGCGGCAGCACATGCCAGCGGGTGGGCCTAAAACAACAGATTTAGTCCTGAGCATCAACTTTCGATTCTTCGGTAACCGACCTGGAACGTGTGACCATGTGCGAGACCACCAGAGCCTGCAGATAAAGCGTCGAATATCTTCTGGTGAAGTAAAACACCGGACAGGGGAACGAAGCCTCCACCTAGCGCCTTGCCGATGGTCTGAATATCGGGGCCGCGTATACCCTCTTGCTCCCAGGCATGCATGGTGCCTGTCTTGCCCATGCCACAAATAATCTGGGATAATCGTTAGTTAAAGTACCACAGAAAATACTCTCGAGTATAAATTGCCTCTTACCTCGTCCAGAATTAACAAAATCTCATATTTATCGCAGATATCCCGAATAGCCTTAAAATAACCAGGCACGGCGGGTAGGCAGCCCAAAGTGGTGCCACTAACAGTCTCAGCAATGAAGCCTGCAACCCGATCAGGGCCAACACGTAACACCTCATTCTCGAATTGGTGAGCCAAACGTTGAGCGAACTCTTGGTCCGATTCGTGCTCGCCTTTCATACGGTATGCGTAGCAAGGATCCAAAAAGGAGACATTGGATGACAAAAAGTCCTTATAGAATTCTCTCCGTGACGCATGACCCGAGACACATAGAGCACCAATAGTGTTGCCATGATAGCTCTGTTTCCGAGAAATAAAGTGTGTCCGCTGAGGCTGGCCTCTTTCGTGCCAATACTGCACAGCTAGCTTAAGAGCCGCATCAGTCGCCTCGCTGCCCGAGTTAACAAAAATCGCTTTGGACAAGCCACCGGGCTTATCAGCGAGAAGTATATCGGCAAGCTCCTCGGTCGCGCCGTTAGTGTAAGGAGAGCCAGAGTAGACATAAGCAATGTCATTCTTGAGGTGACTTGTGATAGCGTCGAAGACTTCGGGCTGCGAGTGACCGAGACAGGACACTGAAGGGCCACAACTGGCATCGATTACTTTCTTGCCATTCTCCAGAATGAGGTTAATACCCTCCCTCCAACTATCTTGGCGGGTCGCTCAGAGAAAGCCCGGTGCAGGATGTGGGAACGGTCAACAAACTCGTCGGTCATTTTGGAAGGGCGAAGTGCTGGATCATTTTCAATCCAGAAACAGGGAGGTCGAATCAGAACATGGACTTTTTATACAGTTCTCCAGATAAAATACTGCAATCAAATACCGAAATCAGAGTAGGCCGCCGTTGACGCCGAGTACGTAAATCAAAACCAGCCGCATGGAAAGGATCCAGATTGAAAGTTGGGGTATTCGGCCAGAGCACAGAGGGGTTTAATAATAATTGGCGCAGTTTGTAGCCCCCCTGAACTGTAATCCGTGAAAGTTGGAGAAGGGACAAAGCTCAGTCATGACTGTGGAGACGGTTCATGTCTCCAATCGATCGGCTTCGCCGCCGTTGACGCCGGCAGATTAAAAACCATCTAAACTCTGTATATAAAGCGCGAGGAACTCAGAATTCGGTTGAATAAATTTTTACAATATCTTACACCACCACCTAGCCATTTTATCCGAGGTAAGAATACAATTCCAGATGAACATATCCATAACACTAACCGCCTAGTAATCAAGATGGAGAAGGGCGATCTCTCCAACGCACCCTATCGGGGCCCTAAGCTGCCAAAAGTCCCCGAAGATTTAGTGGTCACCGATGTTCTCAACTTGGAATGCGACGAACGACTCTGGGTTCCCCAGGCCAAGGACGTGTGGTTCCGCCCGCTGTGCTTCAATGTGTCGCACGGCTATTTCGTGAACATCCTGCGCGTTAGGAAGAGCGGCATTTTATCGCGCCACCGACACACGGGACCTGTTCACGCCACAGTGCTACGCGGCCGGTGGCACTACCTTGAGCACCCTTGGTGGGCTGAGGAGGGCGGATACGCCTTCGAGCCCCCTGGAGACATTCATACCTTGGAGGTACCCGACGGAGTTCAAGAAATGGTCACATTGTTCCATGTGACGGGCGCATATATCTACGTGGATGTGGACGGCAAGGCGTTGGGGATTGAGGATGTTTTCAGCAAGCTAGAGGCGGCCAGAAAGCATTATGAAGAGGTCGGTCTGGGCGCGGACTTTGCAGATCAGTTTGTGCGGTAGATTTAGTGGCATTATGTTCACCTCGTATACACTTAAGAAAGAGAAGACGATGCAATGGGTCTCAGGACAAAGAAAGATAGATCCCATCCTGTTGTACAATATCAAGCCAGTCGATTTGAGCAGAGGTCTCCTCCGATTTCCGCACAATTTTCAATCTCCAGAGCTTTTCCAAAACAGACAGCGCCACTTCCACATTGCGAAAACCCCGCGACTGAATCATATCAAGCATCCGTTTTCGAATTGACTTGATATGTGAGTCTTGCGTAGCTTCCCTCCTGCTAAAAAGAGCGGGAAGAGCAGCGTGCACTCTGGAAGACAGCGCATTGGCATCTGCTCGACACTAGTCACGATCACTGCAACCTGGGTGGTTATCTTCGTTGACAGCTCGTTCGCCTTATTCTGAAAGGCCTGGCGCATGACACGATACAAATGAATCAGAGCTGAGCTGCGATAAGACTCAGCCAGTAGCCGCAGGGACATATCTGGAGATAAAGGACACTCCCAGTCCATAAGGCCAGCCTCGAGTGAAGTAAACTTGTCCGTCAACTCGGATAGCTGAATAGATGGCTGGGGATCATCAATTTCACCCACATCAGATTCACGCCCCGCTGCATTTGCGAAAAGCAAAGATTTTACTTGCTCCCGAAGTGTGCTGATGAGAGCAAGAATCTCCAAAATCTCTGACGCAAGCCCAAAATGCGAGTCAGGTAGTCGAGGCTCATCTAGCTGCAAAAAGTGATAAGAGCTAAGCAGGGGCGCTCGATCCCGCGCAACGGACATGACAATATCGCGATATGCAAAGTTGCGGAGTAACCAACGGCCTGCATACGCATCTTCAAACTTTTGAATCATGCGTTGCGAAATCCGATGTGACTCTTCGAGTACCTCAAGGGAATTGAAATTAGAGGCAATGATCCTAGCAGCTCCTACGAGATGGAGGTACCAAGCATGACCGTTATCGGCCATTATGCTCTCCAACGAGCACAAGACCAATGACATGGCAAGAGTGATTTCCATATTGGTATTCTTGGAATCTAAAGCCTCTCGCAGGTCATGTAGAGCGGCACATCGATTCCGTATGGCGACCTGTTCGAACGACGGGTCACGTAATGACAAATGGGAAGAGGACCAAGCGATTAGCGAGGTTAGGAGGGAGGGGCTATGCATAGCCATGGGGAGGAATACTGTGGAAATGATATCAGTAACGCCGGAGTAGAATTCTACGAAGCGACGCTCAAGACCCACCAGATAAGAAACAATTGTTCTCGATATTACTCGTGAGGATCATAGCAAACGTCTGCGTGTAATAGCGGAGAAAATGGCGGCGACTAGAGGGGCTAGCACAATCAGAGTGCTCATCAACCCAAAATAAAATTGGATCAGGGCTCTGTAGGAGCAGAAATGGGACACTCTCTGCTTGATTGATTTGCTGTGGCGATCCAGATGCATTGTTGTCACCGACCATCCGAAGGTCCTCCCACCGACACATATAGTTCAATCGCATACATCCTTTGCATACAGGCTGGCCAAGATCGCATCTCTTTTTCCTAGAATAAATAAGCCCATGTTGAATATTTGGAGCAACGAGAAGGGGGTAAAATCGTCCACTCACCTCTGCCGGCATGTCAGACATCCCGTGCGCTCTCGAGTGGTCCCGCGCCTCTTCACGATCCGAGGGGCAATTCGCTCAGATGCGGGGACAATAGCAGCCTCTGTTGTAGACATGATGATAGACATTGCATATGGGTACGACGCAATGCACCGGGACGCAGAAGATCAAATAACACCGGCGCTAACGGCGCAGAATGAGCACGGGAAAAGGCAGTTCCCAGGAACCGTTATCAGACATGCGGGGAAGGCGATATGTGGAGAAGGGTTTGGGACATAACCAGACCAATCAACGAGCAAGCGGTAACGGCGCGCAAACACCGGCCAATCATTGATGCCGGATTGTCACCCGATATAATGGATTGTTGGGGTAAGGGGATAGATAGGGGTTTGGCTTGTTCTGATGGTCGATTCGACAAACGTCAAAGTAAATATAGTGATTCTTAGAATCTTTCTTGACCTTGATGGGCTCCTTATACAAGTTGAATGGGGTTTATAAACCTGGGATCACCCTATATGATATTGTAGTACAACATCAGGTCCTTTTGCTAAGATAAAGCACGATCTAAAACCATGAAGTCACTCGAATACCAAGATGACTTGGATCTTGAAGCCCGTGGGTATCGCCGTGAAATGCCCCGGCAGTTCTCAACATTCAGTCTTGTTGCTCTCTCATTCAGTCTAACGTGCACCTGGTCAGGTACTGGCTCGTCAATTGGTATCTCTCTGCAGGAAGCCTCCGCAGCAGGCACTATATGGTCGCTTCCAGTGGCCGCTCTAATGACAGCAATCCTTTCAGCCGGTGTTGCCGAATTGGCATCGGCGTATCCTGTCGCTGGGGCCCAGTACTACTGGGCATTCTGTCTTTCATCCAAAGAATGGCGAGCCTTTGCGTCTTATATGTGCGTGCTCACAACGTTTACATGGCTGTCGATGCTAACTTATTATACAGGAACGGCTGGCTAAGTATTTTGGGATGGTGGCTAGCCAGTGGTGCAGCCTGCAACTTCATTGCATCTTTAATTTTGTCGATCGTGGTTCTCTGGTACCCGGATTATGAGATCCAGAACTGGCAACAATGGCTTGTCTATGCTGGCATTGTGTGGCTCGCCGTCGCACTCAATACATGGGGTTCACAGCTGCTTCCTCTTTACAATCGTTTCAACTGTAAGCAATACACGCCGTAGTCCTTGGTCAATGCGAAGTCTAACCTTATACGTCTATTTAGTTATCGTAGCATGCGCTACTCTCACCACGACGACTATCACACTCTTCGTCTGCAGTCGAAACAATCACGCCGCTCCTAAGTGGACTTTCGGCGATGCCACTAACGGGACTGGATGGAAAAGTGAGGGATTCGCCTTTTTATTGGCAATCAGCAATGCCGTGTACGCATTTCTTGGAACAGATTGTGGGGCACACATCTGCGAGGAAATTCATGATCCAACCCGGAATACACCCAAGGTCATCTTATACCCGGTCCTCATGGGCCTAGTTACCGCGTTTCCCTTTGCTGCCGCTTGCATGAACGCCATCACCGATATCGATGCAGTGCTGAACTCGCCGTCGGGTGTCCCTCTAATTGAGATTTACTACCAAAGTACCGGTTCCAAAGCAGCCTCGTCCGTCCTATTGGCTTTGTTTGCATTTTGCTTTTTCGGGTGTACCGTTGGGAATGGTAAGTTGATGGCCTCATGGGAGATGGCTCTAGGTTACTAAATCTTTATTTTTAGGTACCACATGCTCTAGAACAATCTGGGCTGTTTCGCGAGATGATATGCTCCCATTCAGTCGAGTTTGGGCAACTGTCAACACTCAATTCCAAATCCCACTAAATGCACTTTGCCTAACTGGCACAGTTGTTTCTGTAAGTCTTTTTATCTCACAGAATTCGAGTATGTCTGACCAAGAGTACAAGCTATACGGCCTGATTTTCCTTGGCTCGTCGACAGCCTTCTCTGCAATGGTCGGCGCCGCCATTATTTTCCTTCAAACATCCTGTGCTTTACCCCAGGCTATTCTTCTATGGCGTGGGCGTCATATCTTACCTGAAAGACCCTTCTCGCTCGGCCGATTTGGGTTTGCCATCAACCTTGTCTCTGTGCTATGGGTCGTCCTCCTTGACATTCTCTGTTTCTTCCCGGTTGAGATGCCAGTGACCAAGGAGAACATGAATTATGTGTCTGTTGTCTCGATGGGTCTCACGTTCACTGTTTTTGTACTTTATTTCTTTTCAAAGAAGGGCAAGTATCTTGGGCCACGGATGCCGAACGAAGATCCAAGTCAGGCGACGTATCAGGTAGATGAAGGACAGGAAGTCAACACTGATGCACAGGTGTATTCTGAGGAGGATATGGCAAAGAAGAAGTAAATATATATATTCGATAGCTTTGTCGGGTCGATGTCCATTCGTGAGAAGGGACACGAGAATTAAAAACTAAAATACGGGAAACAATTTTCCCCTCTCCCATGGCTATAAACGGAAGCTCCGTTCACATTCCGGCTTCATTTTCAAGCTGAGCCTCTTCTTGAGCCTTGAACTGAGCAATGATACGCTCATCTAGGTTATTGTTAACCTCAATAACATCGGCAGGCCCATCTGCACTACTAGCCTTTGCATGAAATAGCAAAGCCTTGAAGGATTCCTCCAGTGAATGCACGCGATAAGACAGGGCATCTTCATTACGAACATCGAGTATTGTCATATTGTTTGAGCCACCGACCATACCATTTTCCACATCTCCATATATATGGTAGCGCACCCATACAGCATCGCCAAATCTTCCATCCCGTATGGAATTGACGTACATGGTCGCCCAGGGCTCGAGAAAGGGCGTTCCGTGGCTGTTGTTGAGAACACCCTAGATAGGAAGATCACGGAATAGTTGTTCCACCAATTTTTGTTTCTGAGATGTTTGTATGTTCTTTCAGAAATATATGGAACAATCGCCATTTTGCCGTTATCAAAGACTTTCTCGATATGTTGAGCAAGAAGTAGCCCGTTGAGTGTCGAAAAAAAGCTCGGGTTCAGCCTGTTCGCCAAAGATCGTATCCATATTGGCTTGTTCATATTTCCAGGGGAAAAGGTGTCCTGCAACAACCATATCAGAGGCGGGCCGATGTAGGCCCTCATAATAGGACACCAGATATATCCGGTGCCTGGTTGTCTGGCTTGGAGCAGATATCTAGATTTAACGAATGCTCCTTTAAAGAGTCTTTTAAAAAGTATTTCCCAATCATTTATGATATACTCTTATACCAGGAGGTTTTGATGTTCTAATTCCTTAAGAATAAGGCTCCTTCCGCTACTGCATAGTTTTCCCCGTATACATCCAACAACAACTTTCCCATTGTAGAGTTCCTGCCCTTTTAAGAAATCTAATACTAACAACCCGTAGTGAAAGCCATTTCCCCCATCCTCCCTCTTTTTCTCTTCTTCTTCCCTCTTTCAACCCAGCCAAGATGAATCCAAAGTGAGTACTTACTCATCTCGAGATCCCTGAATCTCATCTCAAAATCATATCACATCGTCCCCCGAGCACTCCCATATTCATCTCACACTCCCATCACCTATATCTCTCATCCCTCATCCCTCATCTAGATACGTCCTACACTGATCAAAGTCTTATGGCTCGCTGATACTGACATATTGGATTAACCGTGGCGAAAAACGTCCGAGCGATGAGCCTGAAGATCCCCGACGCTCTGCTCCCGTCCTGCGCTGCCTGCAGTGCAATCGACGGCACATTGGGGAATGCCTCCCAGCCTGTCTGCATTGTGCCGAAAGGCACATTGGCGATTGCCACCCGCCCTGCTCAGTCTGCCGCAAGCGCCATCTTGGCGAATGCCGTGTTCGGTGTCCTCGGTGTGGCCCCGCTGCCAATCATCCTCGTTGGAGCTGCCCTCGCCAGCGTCCAACCCATAGACGAAGACAACCTCCACCTACACCTGTGGCTCCACGCACACTACCCCCGCCTTACCTTCCCTCGCCCTGGCCTGCCGTAGGCATTGATCCGGCGGACTATCAAGAATTCCTTCAATGGCGGGAATCACGAGCTCGGGCTGCCGCAGCAACTGGCCAAGAGGGCAACCCTCCTCTCGGCTGCCCCAAGTCTGCCCCGGAGAATGGCCGGACGACTTGAATCTTTTTCTTTCTCTTCAAATTTCTCTTCCCTTTTATCCTAGTACAGCCGTCAACCTGTACTTTTGGCTGCCCTGGAACCGGCCAGAGGCCCGTGGTGGTGATGATGGTGGTGATGATGGAGGTGTTGTTGGAGTGTTGTTAGAGTGTTGTTAGAGTGTTGTTGGAGTGTCGTTGGAGTGATGTGGGAGTGTTGTGGGGGCGGAGGCTGCTCTGGAACCGGCCAGAAGGCCTGCAGTGTGGTGGAGGGTTATTGTTTCTTGTTACACTTGCTCTGGGGTTTGTCCAAGGGCGATGTTGCGATTTATATGGTATTGCAGCATCATTAAAACACACATGATACCGCCTACCACGAAATTGCCTCTGATTGACTTTCCAACATTCTTGTTCTCTAGAAACTCCGAGAGACATGATCCTCCGTATTTAAAAAGATGCCAACCCGCATCATCTTTATGAACTCCGACCTAGGTAGCTCATGCGCTGATGCGTTTCAGGTATTGTTGGATGTACACAAATATCAGTCTTTCTACAGTCTACAGTTCTTATAGAAGAGCCAAAGTTTCCTTTGAGAAAAATCAATCTTTTATTAATTATAAAGGACCAGAGGTAACGTATGCAGGTGAATTTGACTACCGATTCGTAGCCCATGTCAACCCGATTCGCAGCTCAAGGTCCTTTTTCTTCTTCCACTTTTAGTTGCTCATGAGTCACTCTTATTGATATGATCGGTGACAGCCTGGCAATATGAGTAGATAAAAGTGGCCAGCTCCTCCATGTGTGTTGCGCTGTGAATGAACCACGGTCCATATTCTTGAATCTCCAAGAAACCGTCGATCAAGTCGTCGCAATCGGTGAGGAACTTCACGTAGTCCTCGTCATATTGTGCGACGCAGAGAAACATCTCTTCATGATCCTGGGCGATCAGAAGGCTCTTGCTTGATCGATCGTCAGCGTAGTCCACAATGCCGTACGGGAGTCTGCTCACATATGGAATTCCGTGACTGGCTTATTCTTTAGCTCGTGTTTGATCCAAGCCACAAATTCGCCGGGCTCCTGCCAGAGAATTTTCTTGGTCTTATCCAGCAGAGGATATGTCTGATGAAGATTATGATGCTGAGGCTCGAAAAAACTAGGGTTAAATTGAAGTTTGTCACCTTTCAGGAGCTCAACCTGCGTAGCTTCGATCCCCAGTTCATGAAGTTTCTCAATAGAAAGATACTTCAAAGTAGTTTTATCCATAAACCTGTGGAGCCGGTAAAGCTCGTGGTAACGTGATGGTATCTTCCTCTCCATATTGTTCCAAGGGGGTAGTAAAATGAGTTGTGAAAGGTGAAGGGATCTACCGGGAAAATTAATAGGTGAAGTCGGGTGCGAAAATATCAAGCCGCATCCTAAACGGCTCGCGGCCTCAAGGATTGGATAACTTTGAGATATTTTACCATGGAAACAGTTCACTGCTTATGCATTTTCGTCAGCTACTAGTCCTGTTTGGGTTTTCTCTTACCATTCCTTTCATAAGTCATGACAGGCATCACGGGAGGATTCTATCGTTAGGTAGAGTTAGGGATGGTTGAACGGGGTAGATGGTAGACTACGGGCTATGCCCCTTTAGAAGCAAAGGGTCACAGAAAATACTAAGGACGGTAAGCATGGAGCATCCTTGCTTCCACTGAAGTGAAAGCCTGTCCTTGATGACAAGGATCGTCTTTATTGGTCGAGATAACTACCTCAGCCAGATGGGGACGAGGAGCGAGGATCGCCTATACCCTCTCTACAACGAACGCCAAGGCAGAGTATGCTAGAGTAGACAAAGGCAGGAGTTCATTTAAACGCCAGAATACGCCATGTATGTATTGTTGGATAGTCATCCTTCGCCATCCAGTGCAAAGTTAACGAGTCCCAAAACCAAAATACAGAACGGGGAATCACATCTAGTAATATACAGGAAAGGGAAACATCCAAGTATTCAAACAGGGATGAGTCCATTTCGAAAAAAGGGGGAAAGTCCATCGCTCGAAATGAGAGACAGCCTTATTTCTCTCCATCCTTCACACCGTCCTCCAAGAGAACAATACCAAGCTCCTTATCAAGCTGGTTCTCACGCTCACGGTGCTTGCGTCCTTCCTTGCTGATCTGCCGCAGTCGGCGGATATAGACGTTGCTCGCAACTTCGAGCTCGTCCTCGCCTCGGCCCTCAAGTCCCCTCATCCGACGAGTCTTGCACATCTTGTAGAGGACGTGGCCCTGTGCGGGCGACAACTCGCTCAGCTCGTACTCAACCTGCCACTTGTCATGGGCATTGAATCCTTCCGTCGGTCGGTCGACATACTCGCCATTGACCTTGTTCCGGATCGTCAAGGCCATAGCCATCAGCTCGCCCTTGGGTGCAGCTTCCTCTTCCTCAGCCTCGGCAGCGGAGGTCTCTGCCGTCTCTTCAACTTGAGGGGCATCAAGGTCGCTGTCATCTTCGCTAGGCTTGAGGTTCAGGAGGCGTTGCTGGTAGGCATCGATCTCGGCCTTCTTGGAGTTTTGAATGGCGTGAATCTCCTCCTTCGTGACGGGCTCGACGAAAATGTACATGAATGGGGTCACAGCGTCACGAGTCTCAAAGTGGAAACGAAGAGACTGCTCTGGATACTTCTCCGTTGCCTTGTTCAGAATTTCATTCCACAGCCCCAGGCTGAGCTCAAATTCCTTGTCACCCAGCGCGGTGTCCGATGTTCCGTGCAGAGTCTGGTCCATCTCAGGCAGACTGACGTACTGGAATCCAAAGATGCGCTCGACGTTGTGGAATGCGACAAAGATACCGTCCATACGGCCGATGCGAACCTGAAGAGAGTACTTGAGAAAAGCCGCGCGAATCATGTCGTAGAATTCGCGTTCGTACGACTCAAAGTCGCCGAACCGGGTCTTAATCTCGTAGCCAAGGCCATGCTCAAAGTTCTTAGCATCCATGCGAATCGAAACCACAGCGCGAGTCTTCAGGTCAAACATGCCGGTTCCGGGGAGACGTGGATCATAGGCATCCAACTGAGATCGCATGATGAAATCACCGTAAGTAGAGTAGTGGTACGATTCGGGAATTGCCTGCTCTTCCTCGTACGTGATCTTGTTCTCACTTGATCGTCGGTAGCGTTCAAAGTCCTCCTTGGGCATGGTAAGAAGCTTCTCCATCGACTTTCCAAGGTTCATCAGGATATTGGCCGAGTCAAACTCCTTGTCCGCATCGATAGCATACACCCCATCCTGATAGTGCAAGAACATGGCAGCCGGCGATCGAAGGAGGCGAGTAAAGGACCGAAGCTTGTCTGGGAAACCCTGGGACAGGGTGCGGGTGTCGATGCCTCTCCAAGCAGAAAGGAGATAGTGGAATTGGGAAAGGACAGAAGTCATACTAGAAGATGATCCACTGTATTTCTTCTTTTGCTTGATCGCATGATTCCGGAGGGTGTCATCTTTCGATGAGGTGATGTATTCCTTTAGGGCGTTGAAGTCGAATTCCGTGACAGGCATGATCTGGCCAAGATAGGGATCGAAATTGTAGACGCGCGAACGAGGATCTCTTAGTTGGTAGACACCAGGACTAGTCTCGTTGTTAGAGCTGTAAAGGGGAAAACAGGGATGTATGGGTAACTTACTTGAACAGGACTCGATCGAGACCAAAGGAAAGACCAGGCACAGGGGCCATGGGAATATCCAAGGCTTGAATATGTTAGTCAAAGCTCCCCACTCAATTTCTGGGAGAAACATCTCACCTTTCAGAGCATCGGCCTCGGAGTCGACCACTCCAGTATGCTTCTCGTTGACGAAGTTTGCGACGTGGGAGAGTTTGCCTTTTGGTCCCCTCGGTCCCCTCTTTGGCGAAGCCTTCTCGTCTAGGATTTGGTTCACTTTTTGAATCGCAGCCTTTCGTTTGCTCGTGGAGTCTGATCCATTTTTCGTCTCTCCTTCGTCCGACTTTTCATTTTCCTTTGATCGCCGCTTGTCCCGTTGTCTTGCTGTACGCCTCGCTCTCCTTGTGGCAGCCTGTTGGTTTTGAAGGTGCGCAGCGTCTGATGGCAAAGTATCGGGTAGTGATTCGTCTGCAAACTCTTGATTGGCTTGTTCGGCTTGTTCAGGGATCTTCGAATCGAGGTTTTGTCAGTTTTGGTCTATTGCCAATAACATGCTGCGGAAATCAATGATGGCATACCTTGCTAGACGAATCCTGCTCCCAATGTGGCATCGACGGCGCAGCCGGCACGTCAGCTGCGGTACTTCCTCCATTCTCACTGCTGAACTGGGCTCGGAGCGCAGGTATGCGGTGGAATCGCCGCAGATTCGTCGGCGCGGCGAATCGGCGCGCTAAGCAAGAAAAGCAGACATGGTCGCGGAGAGGGTCTGATACAGACCGGAGTGAGGCCCGAAACATACGGACCACGAATTTGAAAGAAATAAGGGGAGAAAAAAAGAGCAATGCCCGGAGATACACGACACGACGGGACTTGGACAAAAGATGGTATTGATTGCCTCGCGCGCCAGGTGTTTTTTCTGCCCCGTGATACCGCTTTGATGATCGCCACCTCAGGCACCGACTGAAAATATACTTTACTGCGAGTTAAAGCATAGATCGAGCTTTTGGATGAAGACATAATTGCATTGAAATATTGGAATGGAAATATATGGTACATTTCAATTGAGTAAACCCGGTTCTTAAAAATCTCTATAGACGGAAAGAGGTCACGCAGACAACTATATCAAGGTACTTTGGGCGAGCGAAGGCTTTTGAAGTACCAGAATAGGTTTCAAATTGTTTATACGACATCATGGTAGTTATAATTAAAAGGTCAAAATACCCATCTATAGCAAATTGACAAGTATTTTTGAAACTGCCGAAGTCTAGTGGCTCGAGTCAAATGGGTCTCCATCTCGTATGTAGGTACTTCGTAGGAAGAGTCATACCGGGTCCGACTCCGGAGAAACACCGCCGCCGGCAGAAAAAAAGTTACCCAGCACGGCGAGAACCTTACGATCTTCATCCACTCTTCCTGCAGTTGTTTCTCAGGTCTCTCTCGGCGAGGTGAGTATATCTGAACTCTCCAAATTCCCAATTACTTCCATTGCCTCTATTTTCCGTCCTCAACCAGTCAATTCCATACCTCTCAACCCAATTCATCGGAGGAGGGGCATATACCCCGCGGTGGGCTCCCACAATCGCTAACTTTATCACAGTCGCTCGAGACACTGCTTATACAATGGCTCAAGAACAATTGCGCGTCCTGGTTGTCGGCAATGGTGGCCGTGAGCATGCTTATGCTTGGAAGCTGAGCCAGTCGCCCCTCGTCGACATCGTCTATGTCGCTCCCGGAAATGGCGGTACTGGTCGGGGTTCCAGCAAGATCACCAACGCCAATGTCAAGGGTGACGATTACCCCGGCCTCGTGGCTTTCGCGCAGAAGAATGGCGTGAACCTCGTTGTGCCCGGTCCCGAGGCCCCCCTCGTCGACGGTATCCAGGGATACTTCCAAGCCGGTAAGTCGAAGAAGGCTCAACCATCATTGTACAATTGATTGCTGAGGCATTTTCCTACTCTCTATAGTCGGCATCAAGTGCTTCGGTCCCTCCAAGGCTGCCGCCCGCATGGAGGGCTCCAAGACCTTCTCCAAGGACTTCATGCAGCGTCACAACATCCCCACTGCTGCCTTTGGAAACTTCTCCGACTATGAGTCCGCCCGCAGCTACCTCGACTCCGTCTCCCACAACGTTGTGATCAAGGCCTCTGGTCTTGCCGCTGGTAAGGGTGTCGTTATCCCTACTACCAAGGAGAAGGCGCACCAGGCACTCAAGGAGATGATGCTCGACCACCAGTTCGGCACCGCTGGTGACGAGGTCGTCATCGAGGAGTATCTGGAGGGTGACGAGCTGAGCATCCTCACCTTCAGCGACGGCTACACTATCTACTCCCTGCCCCCCGCGCAGGACCACAAGCGCATCTTCGATGGTGACAAGGGCCCCAACACTGGTGGCATGGGCTGCTACGCCCCTACGCGCATTGCGCCCAAGGAGGTCCGTGACGAGATTGACCGCACTATCATTCAGCCTTCCATCGACGGCATGCGGAGAGACGGTATGTTCTACCTCAGTTTGAACCCTAAAGCATTACTCTAATATGGTTTTAGGTTTCCCCTTCGTTGGTATCCTCTTCACCGGTCTCATGATGACCAAGACCGGTCCCAAGGTCCTCGAATACAACGTCCGGGGTGGTGACCCCGAGACCCAGACCCTTCTGCCTCTGCTCAGCGAAGACACCGATCTGGCCCAGATCATGGTCGCCTGTACCGAGCACTACCTTGACGGTGTCTCTATCAAGGTCGAGCCCAACTACTCCACCACCGTTGTCGCCGTTGCTGGCGGTTACCCCGGCTCCTACGCCAAGGGCAAGCCCATCACTTTGGATCCCACTCCTGCGGGCTCCCTGATCTTCCACGCCGGTACCACCCTGTCTGGCGATGAGCTGCAGACCTCCGGTGGCCGTGTGATTGCTGCCACCGCCACCGCTGCCACCCTTGAGGAGGCCGTGTCCAAGAGCTACGAGGGCATCGCCACCATTCACTTCGAGGACATGTTCTTCCGCAAGGATATCGCCCACCGCGCCTTCCGCCAGACTGCCGACACCTCTCTGACCTACGCCGCTGCTGGTGTCTCCATCGATGCCGGTAACGAGCTGGTTAACCGCATCAAGGCCTCCGTCGGACGCACCAAGCGCCCCGGCACTGACGCCGTCATCGGCGGCTTCGGTGGTCTCTTCTCTTTGGCTGCCGCCAACCCTGAGTACCACGCCGACTCGCCCACTCTGATTGGTGCCATCGATGGTGTTGGTACCAAGCTCAAGATTGCCCACACTGTCGGTATCCACGACACCGTTGGTATCGATCTGGTTGCCATGAACGTCAACGACCTCGTTGTCCAGGGTGCCGAGCCCCTCTTCTTCCTTGACTGCTACTCCTGCGGCCACTTGGACGTCCCTACCGCCACCGCGTTCGTCACCGGTGTTGCCGACGGCTGTGTGCAAGCCGGCTGTGCCCTGATCGGTGGTGAGACCGCCGAGATGCCCGGTCTGTTCATCGACGACACCTACGACGCCGTCGGTGCGGCTGTTGGTGCCATCAACACCAGCGGTGCTTACGCCCGCCAGATCCTGCCTCACACCGACGCCATGCGCTCCGGCGACGTGCTTCTGGCCCTTGGCTCGTCCGGCCCGCACTCTAACGGTTACTCCCTGGTGCGCAAGATCGTCGAGCGCACCGGCCTGGACTTCGCCGACCCCGCCCCCTTCACCATGCCCGGTCAGACCGAGCAGCTCTCCCTGGGCCGTGCCCTGCTCACCCCCACCCGCATCTACGTCAAGTCCATCCTGGCCGCTCTGAAGGCCCACTCGACCGCCATCAAGGGTCTGGCTCACATCACCGGCGGTGGCCTCACCGAGAACATCCCCCGCATGCTGCCCTCGACTCTTACCGCCGCCGTCGACGTCAGCTCCTGGGCCCAGCCTTCCGTCTTCCAGTGGCTGCAGCGTGCCGGTAACGTCTCCCCGGTGGAGATGGCCCGCGCATTCAACTGCGGTGTTGGCATGGTCATTGCCGTTGAGGCTTCCGCCGCGGCGGAGGTTCGCCAGAGCTTCGAGGCTGCCGGTGAGACTGTCTACACTATCGGTGAGCTGCGTGCCCGTGCCCAGGGTGAGGAGGGCTGCGTGCTCAGCGGCCTGGAGTCGTGGAGCGCATGATTTGTCCGAGAGAGAGGAGGGAAGTCTTTTTCCCTGATTTGAAAATTTTTGCGATGGTCGTTGATTTGTTATGACACTTTTTTTCTTGGTTACGTTTTTGTTGGTCTGGAGACACAAAATTGGGACTTGTGGTCCTGGAATGAATGATGCTGAATATCCTGTATTATGGATGAAATGATACATACACTTATATACTGTCAAGAATTGAAGTTTTACTAGAATTATCCGCCTCTGTTCTCTCTCTCTCTCTTCGCCTCGACGGGGATGTACATGTACATAATGCATACTCCTGGCATGTACATCAATTCTGCACATCCCGCCTTGAGTTAGTCTACAATAGTAATGTACCCAATGAATCCCTACCCATGTTTACCTAGTCAGTATTCACCCTGTCTATCTCCTCTTCTTTCCCCTCCTCCTTCATGTCCTTTCAATCATCTCTGGAAAAGATTCCACTGTAATATCTTGGGTGCTAAAGAAACTCAAAACGACATCCACGAAGGATTTAGCCTAGAAAGAAATTCTCAACTCGATGGATTCGCCCAAGAATTATACAACCATAGCAGACGAACTGACATCGTAGTACAACCCTGCAAGAGCTCTCCTGTATAAATGCGGTTTCATTACACTCTCTCCGGGAGCTGCAGGGACAGGGGCTATTAGACCCTAACATAAACCATCTCACCACCAACTAACCTTCATAAATACTCACTGCGGGACACTTTCTGCTACGATTTCCACCTAATTCTACAGAATAGCATGTAGCTTAGAACCATATAATACCGAGTCCTCGAAGACATCCTCAATCCTCCAAACAATTCACTAGAAGTCCCTTCTGGTCTTGCTACACAGTCTCCCCCTTCCCCTCCTCTCCTCCTTCAATCATTGGATTACGTTAACTACATTCTAAATCTCACTCCTATCCCATACACGCATCCAAACGATAACCATACTTGAGTATCATCATAGAACCATTTCTCAGAATACCTGGCAGTGCTTTGCTTCCCCAGCTCTGGCTCTCAGTAGTAACGCTGTCATATAGAAGTCCAGTATCCTGTGAGCCCTCAAACAAATTATCCCAGTCATAACGGTGTATTTCCCGACTATACTGCCTGGAAAATAGAGATTCTTCTTTCTTCACCAGCCTCTAACTACTCCCAAGTCGAAGTCCAAGTCCAAGTCCAATTCACCATCCAGTCCAAACTAAACCAGCCTACCTTCGCAGCCAACACATACCTCAGCGAAGACAGCGATTCCAATTTAGCACTGGCACGAATGTCAATTTTGCATGTACTAATTTGCTTTCAAGTTGTAGCGCAGAGCGTTATTTAACGAGGGCGTGACCGGGACAGAAATTTCATTACGAATACGAAGAATATTCAACGGATACAAATCGTCGATGACCTAGAACTTTGCAGGAACTAGAAAAGTGGAACGAAGATAGAAAGGGGGAAGGGAAAGACACTCAGGAAGCATATCACGCAAGAAAAAGCGAATGAACAAAAAAGAGTTTGGGAAACTATCCAAAACGACCGACTCTATTCCACTAAAATCGAAGAATTTCCATTTTCAGGCTATCCGCTTGATAATGCGAGTCCAACAACGCTTGCGATCCACCAGTGCCTCCATCCTGCCTTTTGATACACCAGGAAAGTACGAGCGACGATCAAAGCTTCGAACAAAGAGAGAAAGAAGCTTAGAAGCACTTGCGGTGAACGATCGAGGGACCGCTCTCGTCGTACTCCTGCTTGGAGATCCACATCTGCTGGAAGGTGGACAGAGAGGCGAGAATGGAACCACCGATCCAGACGGAGTACTTGCGCTCGGGGGGAGCGATGATCTTGACCTTCATGGAAGAAGGAGCAAGAGCAGTGATCTCCTTCTGCATACGGTCGGAGATACCGGGGTACATGGTGGTACCACCAGACTAGAGGGGGAGAAATCAGTAATTGAGTCATTAGATAATACAAGATGGAATAACATACCATGACAATGTTGCCGTACAGATCCTTACGGACATCAACATCACACTTCATGATGGAGTTGAAGGTGGTGACGTGGATACCGCCAGACTCAAGACCCAGAACGTTGGGCTGGAACAGAGCCTCGGGAGCACGGAAGCGCTCGTTACCAATGGTGATGACCTGTCCGTCGGGCAGCTCATAGGACTTCTCAAGGCTGGAGCTCTGGGAAGCGGTCTGGATCTCCTGCTCAAAGTCGAGAGCGACGTAGCAGAGCTTCTCCTTGATGTCACGGACGATTTCACGCTCGGCAGTGGTGGAGAAGGTGTAACCGCGCTCAGCCAGGATCTTCATCAGGTAGTCGGTCAAGTCACGACCAGCCATGTCGATACGGGAGATGGCGTGGGGGAGGGAGAAACCCTCGTAGATGGGGACAACGTGGGTAACACCATCACCGGAGTCGAGAACGATACCAGTGGTACGACCGGAGGCGTACAGGGAGAGGACGGCCTGGATGGAGACGTAGAAGGCGGGGGCGTTGAAGGTCTCGAAGACAATCTGGGTCATCTTCTCACGGTTGGACTTGGGGTTGATAGGAGCCTCAGTCAAGAGGATGGGGTGCTCCTCGGGGGCCACACGGAGCTCGTTGTAGAAAGTGTGGTGCCAGATCTTCTCCATGTCGTCCCAGTTGGTGACGACACCGTGCTCAATGGGGTAGCGGAGGGTAAGGATACCACGCTTGGACTGTGCCTCATCACCGACGTAGGAGTCCTTCTGACCCATACCAATCATGATACTGGGAGCATTGCGTTAGTTGGAGGAATGTCCATTGAGGGGAGGGAGATTTTGGGGTTCTTGCGACCAGCGCATCAAGCAATATGAGGCTGATCAAGACCAGAAAAGATCGAAATTCAGGGGAGGAGATATTTACCCATGGTGACGGGGACGACCGACAATGGAGGCTATTCATTTTGGTCAGTATTGATTTTTTTCCCGATCGATGTCTCGGTCCAAAAAGTTAACAGGCGACAAATTTTCCGACCAACCCCAGCTTGACCGCAAAAGCCGACGCAAGGGTTGGCGGGGGATAATTTGCCCAGGAGGAGGGGGAGACAGATTGCCATCATAAGGAAACTTGTGTGTGGGGGGGGGGGAAGAGGGAATTTGGTTGGGACTTACGGAAGACAGCTCGAGGGGCATCGTCACCGGCGAAACCGGCCTTGCACATACCCGAGCTACAAACAACGCATCAGTAAGAGATTCTTCCATCGAAACCGGGAACAATAGAGTGGATATTGATGCTGCGAGTGGTCTGGACGGGCGATTGGGATTCCTCGGTGGTCGTGGTGGTGGGATAGGGGGTAAGATGATGGAATCGGGACCGCGCGACCGGGGCGGTTGACGAGGAACCCAAACACAGCCAGACCAGCTCTCACAGGCATCAACCCAAGTTTCATCACGTACCCATTGTCAATGACGAGAGCAGCGACTTCCTCTATAGATGAGATGATGAATTAGCATGATTCCAAATTCGAAGTTAGGTCCAACGGTCATCACGTCAGCTTCAGCGGTCCTCCCCAGACAGCTCTGAGGGGGTGAAGGCGCTGAGGTGGCCACAACGGGATTAACCACAGAGGGATGGAGGAGGAAGAATAGGAGAATGAACATACCTTCCATTGTGACTGAGATGGATGTAGATTAAAGTGGGAGAGGAGAAGAAAAGAAGGGGGAGGGAGGGGGAGGGTGAGTTGTGTGTATGGAGTACTTGTTAAGAGTGTAGGGGGGGGGGAAAGGGAGAGAAGGAGGGAAGAGGGAGAAGAAGGTGGAGAGGGGCCCGATGGGTTTGGCTGGTTTGTGATTGGAGTCCCGCTCTAGTCCAAAGCGAGTCTTGACTCTAGAGTTCTAGTACAACTAAGTTAGTTTCTGACCTGGATTAGGCTGATCAATATGAACCGCTTATCATCATTCTCTTTTCTGTATCTGACCCTATTTATGCAATCGTTCTCCCTTCCAAGGCAGACATCTTTTACCACTCGTTATGGCTCTGCCTACCACCCCCAATGGCACGCCTCCTTCCTACACCACCTAATCTGCATTGCGTATACCCTGCGCAACTCTGCGCCAGAGAACAATTCAAGAGCCTCTAGACCCTTATTACTGGGGGATTGACATCCATTGACATGGATATCTGCCTAGTGGCATCCACCACGATCATCATCACGATAACCTTTTACATTCTATCCGGGAAACTCACTGTATAGACTACGTAGTCCACGAGGCCAGGGCTTATGCTCCAAAACCAGGCTCCGACATTCATACAGTCTTTCATGTGGCGGGGGACCAGGGACGGAGGAGTCAGTGTCATTTACTCCGTTCCAAGCCAGCGGTGTCTTGTCTGGCTGGAAGGTCACTTCTAAGTATAGAACCCCTCCATATCCGCTGGCCACAGCACTGCCCCAAGCCTCGAACGGTACTTACTTGGTACGTACTCCGTACGTACGGATTGGCAACCCACATACTTCTTTGTCGTATAGCATACCACAAGTAAACCTTACGCGGATACGAGGCGTCCCACTATTTCAGAGTATGAGACTATGCCATTGAAACTTCTGTCTATAGTCTAGCGATAAATATCTACAAGATGGGTATGATTATACAAAGTACTCCGTACTGTTCTAACAAGGGTCTTACGCAAGCGCCATTCCAAGAAACATGGTTCAAGCGTGGTTCCAGTTACCGCCATTTCCCCGTGTGCGAGACGGTGAGTGGCAAGTCACGTGGTTGGAGGGGTGAGATCAAGTCACATGACATTATGCATCCAAGGGAAGTCTAGTCACATGATCGAACCTACTAGGCGCCGCACGAATCGTCCAGATTCAAGGTCAGATTAGATAAGCAGTCGCATCACGGGCTTCATATTATCAGGATTTCATAGATCGAAACAATTTTCCCTTGCCTCTCGTACAAACACACCCTTAACAAGAGCGGAAACAACCCCCTCCTCCTCCTCCTCCTACACCACACATCCCATCTACACACACCCACTCCCACCATGGATCCCACAATGAACAAGCTCCTCAAATGGAGCGTCACCAACTCCGAACAAAAAAACGCCGACGGCACCGTGACAGCCCCTCCCAGCGCCGAAGAAGCCTCTCGCACCCTGACACCGGACATGATCAACGCGCTCATGGGCGGTCCCTCGGATGCAGACTTAATGAAAGCCGCCATGGAAGTACTCCACTCTGACGAGTCCGATTTGGAGAACAAGATGATCGCCTTTGACAACTTTGAGCAACTCATCGAGGGAATCGACAATGCGAATAACCTCGAGCCGTTGGGCTTGTGGACGCCCCTGGTGCAGTTGTTGAAGCACGAGGAGGCGGATATGCGTCGGATGGCGGCTTGGTGTATTGGGACGGCGGTGCAGAATAATGAGAAGGCTCAGGATAGGGTATGTACAGCGTGATCTGGATGAGTCCCCGAGAGTTTGGATATGTGCTAATTTGGTTGATGTCTAGTTTGTCGTTTTGAACGGTATTCCTGCCCTGGTCTCTATGGCCACGGCCGATCCTAACCCCGCTGCGCGCAAGAAGTCTATTTATGCGCTTTCGTCGGCGGTGCGCAATTACCAGCCTGCTATGAATGAACTGGTCAAGGTCCTTCCTGAGGGATATCCTACCGATAAGAGTGATGCTGGTGACATGGAGGTTGTTGATGCTATTATGGACAAGCTCCGTGCCCACCCTGTCGACTCGGCGTGAGAGGTGACTAATGAGACCTTAAGTTTCCTCAGTACGGCCATCGTAAGAGGTTGTATGACCTCTGCGCGGTGAATTGAAGTGTACCAGGCCTGATTGATCATCCGTGTATGGAGGCTCCAGCCTGACGTGCACCTGCTCCGCCCATACATTGATGAAGAGCGAGACGGGCCTCCAGTCACCAGACCTGTCCTCGTTCCTTCTCCTCCACGAGTCATCTATGTTCAAGATGACTCTATCAATCACATGATTATTGTCTCGCTGGTATGGTGCAGGGTTGCATCGCTTTTGAAGCCACTCCAACCTCAGCAGAAAAGTGATTTGATCTGATATGTATATACCCTGGACTACATGTCCCACGATTTCAATTAATGCAATGCATAAACCAAGAAATTCAAGAAAATATCCACTGTTGAGAAAGAGAATTACCTAAATCGTAGTACGCGTACTTACACTCGTAGATCTCAAGCCATAGCTTGGCATCCGATATATACTTCGCTGCCTGCGACCATCACGATAACTGCCTACAACCACGAATCTACTACAACCACCCATTCAACACAAACCTAAAAGACAAGTGACCCTGAAATAGTTTATCTAATTAAAATCATACCCCACTACTCAACCATACATCCCCGACCTACCATACAAGTCGAGTGCTTCACCCTCCACACTCTCGACCAACCCCCGGCCCGACATTTCTCCGCACCCCCAGGACGCATCGTCATCGGCACCGAAGCTCACCACACCCCAAGCACTGAGCACGCCCATCAAACCCAGACATACACGAACATCATGGACGTCTCCAGCAACCGGCTCTTCCGGTTCTCGAAGCCCGAATGGCTCAACAACTCCGCCGTCCGCAACGCAGGAGTCTACACCTCCGGCGCCTTGGTACGTACCCTCACCCCAACCCCGAACCATGCCTACACCAACCCCAACACCCTCCAATGCGCCGATTATACCCTCTCCCCCTCCTATACCCCCTATACCACAATACTGCCTAATACTAACAACCTTCCTCCTCCCCCCACAGTTCGCAGCAGGCTTCTTCTTCCTCATCGACGTAGCATCCTTCTCGCACAGCGCCCGCAACGGCTCAGACGTGCACATCAAATTCGTCGACTGGATCCCGGGTATCTGCTCCGCGCTGGGCATGCTAGTTATCAACTCGATCGAGAAGTCCAGGCTGCAGGCCGACAGCTTTAGTTACAGCGGGGGCGGGGTTGCGTGGAAGGCGCGGTTTGTGTTGTTTTTGGGATTTGCGCTTTTGGCGGGTGGTTTGGCGGGGAGTGTGGTATGTGTTATAAACTTCCTCCCAGTGGATAGGGGATAGTGGATTTATTTCCATTTTGAAGGCGGCTCGAGGGGGGATTGACGAGCACTGCTAATCATTGTTCTCGGCGCAGACGGTTATGGTGCTTAAGTACCTTGTGAAAGATTATCCGATTCAGACGCTGTACTTTGGTATCGCGAATGTGGTGGCTAACGGTCTTGTTATGCTGAGGTGTGTTTTATTCGGGACGTTGACTCTGGGGGTTCTCGGGGTGTTTTTGGCTAACAATATTTTGCAGCTCTGTCGTGCTTTGGGTTTCTCAGAATATCGAGGATGATTACACTTATAACCTTGCGCTGTGAGGTTAGGGCTTTTCGACTGCGCCGGATTATCCAATGCTGAAGTGACTCGAATTGATTGGACTTGATTTGAATTGACTGGACTCGATATACCTATTTTGCGCTCGTGATGTGGCTTGTATTTTATGCGTTGATATGATGATTTGTGTTTAGCTTTTTGGAATTCGTCATCTCCGGCTGGGCGCTGGGGCTTAGCGTGTGGAATGGACTTATTCATACAACCGCTTGATGAAGTAGTTATTGTATATCTGTAGGGATGGCTCCGGCAGATGGTAGATGTTGGACCTGGATACTTGTAACTGGAATTGGGGTTGAACAAAGCAGGTATAACGGTACGGCATTAACATTTTGAACCGGGTATACACCCAACGCCTAACAAGTAAACCAAATAATCCTTGAAATCCCATGACTTGATCACCGAAAAGCAATCCTAACATGCCGTCAATCCCATCCCACAAAACACCACAAACCAAAATGCAAATTCATATTCTCATAACATAGCATACCACCCCGACCTAGACCGAACTTAATGATCCTCACAAAACAGCCTCAACAACTCATCAATACAAGTCATAGCCTTCCCCTTCTCCAGCAACACCGGCGTAGCTCCCGCCCCACCCGCCCCTGAATCCTTCAGATACTTCCGCAGCGCAAACGCAGAAGCCTTATACGTTGCATGATACATGGCTTTGAACTCGTCGTCATCCGCTGCAGCTCCGGGGGCCGGTGTCTCCGCACGCAGAGTCTCCAGTGCTGGGGTTGTGCTTCGGAGATCTGGTTCTGTCTCCGCGGACCCTTGACCGGCGGGATTCAGCTTGCTGGAGAAGGAAGAGGATGTCGAGCGTGGGTTTGAGCGGTGGAAGCCGTAGAGACGCATGCATGTGAGGATTGTGCGGGTGATTAGGTTCTTGTTTTCGGCGATGATGGCGTCTGTGGTTTTGGGCGGGGAGCTGGGTGTTGCGAGATTGTTTTCTGAGATCGATGTTGATAGGAGTGATGGAGGTTGGGTGTGTCCTGATGCGCGGCGGGATGGAGGATCGAGGAAGGGGTTTGGTAAAGTGGTGCGTTTTTGAGGATCGGCGCTTGAAGCTGACCCTGATACAGGAACTGGCGTGCCAGCTCCGCGTGCGCCGAGTCTGCTCACGGGTCTGTGTAAGCCGGCTCCGATTGATACGGATCGTGACCTGCGTGCTGCCAGTCGGTCCAGCGTTGGCAGACTAGGCGGGTCATCCTCGGGCTCGCGCTTTATTCTCAGCGTCTGGAGATTCTGTGACGAGGAAGATGGCCGAGACGAGGCCATCAATTGGGAGACGGCCTCGCCACCGCGCTGCCGGACACGCCGGTGGTGCTGCGCGGCGACTTCGAAGAGAGTCGCGACACGTTTGCGCTTGGGACTGGGCGAGCTAATGTCCGGGAGAAACTCGGCCTGCGTGGAGGCACGCTCTTCATCCGAGCTTGGTGGAGGAGATGGGAATGCTTGCGCCTGAGTGATGAGCGACGTAGATAGCGGTGCCGCGTATATCCTCAACTGATATGGTTTTCCCGGGGAGGAATTGGGCTGTCCGGGGACATCGGACGGTGACGAGTGCGGCGGGGTTGGCGGGCGTGCGCAGGACGACGCGGTCGACAACACGCCGTAGATCAAGAGGTCCGAGGTGACCACCGTAGTATTCCTCGACGGGGCCCCCTCGACACTGACCAGCAGGCCGACGGGACATTGTACAGACTGGTGGAGGTCCAGTCCATCCTGGTTCAACCATATAGCCCCCGCCAACTTGGCCTGGAACCATTGCGACGTCCCCGCGTTCAGAGTGTGTAATTCGAGGTTGGGGCCTGCCCGCGCATGAAGTGGAATCAGGGCGGGATTGATAAAGCTGCGGAGACCGAGTTTGGCAGTTTTGGATATGTCGCATTGCCAGTGGGAGGTCGGGTCGACTAAGCGGATCCCTAGTATCAAGGTTAGTCAAGGGCATGACCGTCGTGGAGCGCGTCGTAGGCTGTTACCTTCCAGCTGGCGGTCTGGGTTCAAGTCAATGGACCCTGACCAAATGTTCATTTTTAATTTCAATCACTCGGACTGCTCCCCCATGGCAGTCTGCGTTGTTGAGAGTGTTGGGCGGTCAATTAGTTGGGTCTCACAATCGACTCTTTCGTGTTGGCGGAACGCGCTATGACGCGCGACGTCACGTGAAACTATAGAGCAAAGCAGATTAATGAATGGTGACAACCGCATCATAGAGTCTCAGTTATGTAAAGTAAAACAAACTGAAAGATCATAAATACTACTCAAAAGACCTTCTAATGGGTTGTCAAAAGACACGAAGCCGAACCCTACGTACTAGGCCTTTACCCCACTGGGTTCGGATTATGATTTCCACAGTAATAGAACGAGAAAGCCATACCCATTATATGAGTGTTTGAGAAAGCAAAATCCATCAAAAAGACTCTATATATACACTGCGTTAGAATACACCCAGAGTAACATAGCCAATGACATGCTAAAGCCATCAAGCGGCAAATCGTCGCTAGAGAATCATTCCCCCGCTCCGAGAATATCATGGAATACGTATAAAATCAAACTAATCGCGCAAAAGGAAACGTCATCATGGAGGCAAGGCAATTTGGATGTTCATCGAGCCCCTATAGCCTAACAAAAACAGATTATAGGCACAACTCGCATTCCCCACCCATTCATCAACAATCAGAACTCTTCCTGCTCCTGGAAAAACATCGAGAAGCTGATGATAGTACCGTAAATCAATAGACCGCCAAAGATGGACATGATCATAGCGGGAAGCTCGATGGCTCCGCTGTGTGCCAGAACTACGGGGAGTGCTAAGAGAAGTGGGGTGTCAGCAGGTTAGTTCAGGATAATAGATGACCGCCACGCAGGTAAAACAACAGGCTCTCCTTGGTCATGGAAGCAAGGCTTTGCTGAGTGGCAGAGATGCCTGGGAATGACTGGCGGGGCACGTTGTCTGCTGGACATGGCGGTACTAGGACGCAACTCACCGATACCAGTCAGAACCAGGAACCCAGTCATGAACCGTCCAAAGTCCATAGCCGAGTTACTGGAGCTGTCCATGAAATCATCTGGGTTCGCACATCGTCCACAGATCCAATTGGGGAGCGGCGCAACGATATAGATGGCAACGACCAACAGGGGCCAGTACTTGTGCCAGAGAGCGGAGGAGAGAATAACGAGTAGGAAACCAATCGCGAGCACCTATTCCAGATCAGCAAATCGTTCCAACCAAGCGACACAAGCTAACAGGCGTGGAGTTGCATACAAACGAGAGCGCGATGATGGTCTTAAGTCCAGCGGCCATGATTGCGGAGTCGCCGAAGCTGCCCGGTTCGAGAGAAGAGGGGGTGTCGTTTGGGATGTAAAAGCGCGCAGGTCAGACGGAAATCTCAGAGGTCGTTCGAGAATGGCAGCCCCATTGACTGGGATTGAGGGGAGGAGTGAGCTTCGGAGATGGACGAGGAACGAGTGACGTTGGCGCCTGAAGGTCACTGGGTGTTGCTGCCTCAGGCCGCAAGAGCTCATGCTTCACACCGCGTCACCTTACCTGCCTGGCTCAAGCGTCCCCATCTCAGCCCCAAGCTCCATCCGCGCATTCTATTGCTCTCCTTTCTATTTCCCTATTGAATTGAAAGGGTTCTCATCTTTTTCTATACTTCTCTCGTTTTTCATCTCCTTCCGCCGCCATGTTCAGAAACAACTACGACAACGATGCTGTCACCTTGTAAGATCTACCCCGGCCGGTCCGTGACAAACCAAGCAACTTACTAACTCAAGCTTGATAAAACAGCTCTCCACAGGGTCGGATATTCCAGGTCGAGTACGCACAGGAGGCCGTGAAGCAAGGATCCGTGGTTGTCGGATTGGTGAACAAGACACATGCCGTCCTGGTCGGACTCAAGGTTCGATTACACCCAACAATCACACCCATTAGGGCATATACCATACAAGAAGCTCAAGCTAACCCTGACTCCTAACAACAGCGTAATGCCGAAGAACTCTCCTCCTATCAGAAGAAGATCATCGAGATCGACTCGCACATGGCCATTGCCATCGCCGGCCTGGCCTCAGACGCCCGCGTCCTCTCCAACTTCATGAAGCAGCAATCGCTCGGTTCCAAGATGACCTACGGCCGACCAATCCCGCTGGAACGCATCGTCACGCAGATCGGCGACCGTGCGCAAACCAACACCCAGCACTACGGCAAGCGGCCCTACGGCGTGGGCCTGCTCGTCGCCGGCGTCGACGAGTCCGGCCCGCACTTGTTCGAGTTCCAGCCCTCGGGTCTGATCCACGAGATGGTGGCTTGCGCTATTGGTGCTCGCTCCCAGATGGCGCGTACATACCTTGAGCGTAACCTTGATAAGTTTGCGGATTGCAGCCGCGACCAGCTGATCAACCATGGTCTGCGGGCGCTGAAGGAGACGCTTTCGCAGGATAAGGAGCTTACGGTGGATAATACTTCTGTTGGTGTGGTTGGGTTGGCTCCCGAGGGATCCAAGGGTCGTATTGAGAGCTTCAAGCTGTACGAGGGCCAGGAGACCGTGCCGCTTTTGGAGGCTCTCGAGCGGTCTGAAGCATCTGGCACTGTCGAGGACGAGTCGATGGAGGTTGATTCATAATTTCTCTGATTCTTAATGATTCCGCATAGACATGAAATCCTTGCTTATGCCTTGACTTTCCTTCTCAAACTTCTCGCCTTCTTACTATTCTTTGTTGTTCAAGTCCGTGGATTCTATGATCTACCGGTTTATCTGGATATATCTAAACCAAGACCAGCAGGAACATCCGCAAACAAAGATCCCAAAGCCAAAACCCGTACTCCATCCGCGATGATTCATGTATCAATTGCAAGCCGATTACTCCTCACCCCAGTTCAACTGATACCGATCACAACTGCACTGATACTCCACCAACTTAGGCACAACCTCCTCGACATTATGCGCCTCGGCCAGAATCGACCCATTCTCCCTAGAAATGAACCCCTGCTCAACGGCATTGCGCACCCAAGCAAGCAAACCATCCCAGTACCCATTGATATTCAACAACACCACGCCGACGCGGTGAATCCCCAACTGATTCCACGTAGTCATCTCCATAACCTCCTCAATCGTACCAAAGCCACCAGCCAACGAAACAAAGCCAGACCCGGGTCCACCCTCCAACACCATTGTAGCCATCAGCCGCTTACGCGTGTGCATATCGTGCACGATCGTCGTAACGCCGTATTCTGACTCGGGGATTTCTTCGCCCTCCTCCGCCTGCGGCAGTACTCGCTCCGCAGCCTTGCCGCCCTTCTCGTCGGGGGTGGGGGTGCCGTTCTCAGTGCTCTTGCCTGATACTTTGACTAGGGCTCTGGGGATCACGCCGTGGACAGCTTTGGGGCCGGAGAGAGGAGACCAGGGTCTTGGCGATCTCGCCCATTAGGCCTGTGGTGCCGCCGCCGTAGACGAGCCTGACATTGTGCTTGTGGAACTCGTAGGCTAGAGCTCGGGCTGCTTCGAGGTGGACTGGGTCTTTGCCTGCCGTTGAGCCGCAGCTGGATTACATTAAGATGGATTAGTTAGCTGAGGTATTCGCCGTGTGGCCTCAATACAAGGGCCAAGAAGTATACAGCCTGGTCATCGAAGCAATGGGGAGCGGGGTGAGGGGAAGGTATGACTCACAAGACACAGATAACCGCGGGCTGGTTCTCGGCCATGGTGGGTGGTATTTAGATTCAAATAAGTGTAAAGCTGTAGGTATGTATACAGAGCACAGTGTTGTTTGCGAAAAGGAAAAAGAAGAGGAGGTTGTCGTGCTATGTGGCAAGAGAAAGAAGTCTGGAGGCCGCGCAGGGCAATCTTTGGAAGAGCCCCACAACGATAAGATAAAGCCAGGGAGTGACGACCACGTAGGCTGAGGGTAGCCCGTGGTTGGTTACAGGCTCGTTCTTTTGCTGGTTTCCAGGGGGGTTGTGAGTGAATCACCGCATGTACTTACTTAATTGCTTGCCACCCAGGTGTCGGGGAGCGGATTTGGTCATTTCCTTGATCGACGTGGTTATCTACTTCCGCGGTTGATATGCCGAGAATGATACAATAGCGCAGGACAGGTCCATATCTAACTAAACAAGCAGAGTCTTGAAATTCGTAATTTCTATTAATTTAAACCATCCAGACGCCATCGTAGTAACTGTGCTTGTGTTCTACCTCGACACAGCACGGGTATCATTAAGTATGCAAATCAGCTCGCAACCCGGTTCTTCTTCTTCTTTCCTTTATTCTCGCCCGAGCTAGGTGGGGAGTTGCTCTTCTCCGACGCTTTCCCCGGCGTATCAATTCGGACTTGGGGGGTACTCGATCGACCTCGAACACCAGAGGGTGTATTCATTCCCGTGCCCAGGGTTGCCTTGGAAGCAGCCTTCGCTGCGGCGCCAGCGGCACGATCACTCTCGCCGACTCGGGACAAGATGAAAGAGCCCGGTTCTCCGGTAAGAGGATGCTCGTCCATGAACTCCTCGCCGTATTGCGTGAACAGGTGGAATGCCTCGGCCAAGTTTCGTGTATCTTGGAAGGTGGAGCTCGTCGTTGAGACGCCGAGGCTGGCCTTGCCTGATGATTGTGTTTCGGCAGAGGACTGAGTCGCATCGGGCATCGGGGTGTTTTCCTTGCTCTGCTGGGAAGCCTGCTGACCGGGTTCCGTGGTGCGGGCTGTAGGTGGTAGGTAAGTGTGGCCTGTGGATGGGGTGAATGTAGGCAAGGTCGATGCTGTCTTTAGGAGTCGCGAAAGTGACGTGACGGCGGTCAACTGGAAACAAAGGGCGAGTTAGCATTCAGTGATCGATTCTCGCGCATTGCTGCATCACAGAGGATAGAGCTTACGATTCGGTTTCCGACCACACTGGCGACCGATGGTGCCATATAGATAGTGTCGCCGACCACGAAATAGGTGGATATGACCGTCACCTCATCCTCCATTCCACTCCGCTTCTTCCGATCCTGCTTGCGAATCACCCAGATGTTGTTGGGTTCGAAATCGAAGCGATTCGGGTTCGACTGGGCCGCAGCTTCGAGAGGATCAAATGAGACGATGAATTCCAGGCCTTGCATCTGCTTCAGTTTTCCTTCAAATGTCGCGCGGGTTTCAACGACGTGCCGGAGGGACTCGTTATAGGTAGCTTGGGTCGCGAGGATGCCATTGTTGGATTGAGGGTCGAAGAATGTGGACTCAGCGAAGTAAAAGAGGACTATCGAGTCGAGTTAATAATGGTGAAAAGGCTTATGAGAAGTCAGAAGTAGCAAACGTACTGTTGTTGGAGTGCAGGTAACCCCCCATCATCTGCACATGCTGGGGAGATCTCCAGATGATCTCCTCCATCGGGGCCGCCTGACTCGCCATTGTGGCGTGAGAGGGTGGGAAAGAGTGAACCCCCTTGGTGTTAAATTATGTGAGCTCGGGAATTGATCCCTTGGAGTGACTGGAAGGTGGTGAGAAGCAGCTATATGAGATCAAGAGTGTTTCGGGGATTGGAGAGCGGAGAAAAAGCATGTTTTGCTTGTTTGCATTCTTACGTAGTGTGGGGCTAGAGTCCTGGAGGCATCAAACAACAAGGCAGAACATGGATCCAAGTCTGTTCATGCTGTACTAGTAGCGTATGGAATTTTGTTTATGGATCCTGGGGCATTTCGATATTGAAGAGGTTAATTAAATAAACGTGATAGACATTATTCCTAGTAGGAACCTTAACCTTGGAAGTCTTAAAAAAGAGAGCAGGCAACGAATATATATCCTAAACTACCTTCACATAGACCCCCACGGCAACAGCCACACCAGCTAGGATCACTCCCCATCGCTTCAAGCCCTGCTGGATATGATATTGAGCCGTGCGATTGATCTCTTCCGAATCATTGATCCGCGGGAACGGAATATCCTTCGGAACCTCCTTTCCAAGTGCTTTACACAAAGGCTCCCATCCATCCTTGACATCGAACAGCACAAGACGATCCTCAGGGACAGTCTCCTTAAGCCAAGCAATATGTTTGGCATATGTCTCACGACCGTGACTCCCAGCATCAGGACCATACAGCCGCTTCCACTGTATAGCCAGAAGATCGGTATACCCCACGAAATGCCTCATTGCCGGCAGCGGAAGCAGCACCGCACGTAGAAACCAGGCCATCGCCAAGCTTTGCAATTGAACCATGCTCTTTTCCCAAGCGATCGGATCGCGTGTGGTACAAATGACTTTGGCATCGGGATATATTTCAAGAAGCTCCGGGACAAACTCTGAGCATGGCGCATCGGTGACGGCTGTGTAGCCGGTTAATCGTTGTCGAACAATCTTCTGCATCTCGACACGACTGGCCGAGTCTCCCTTGATCCAGTATTGTAAGGCCTTGATCCATGATTTGACTTCGATGGGTGCACCTCGTGAGATTTGAGTGCCGCCGTGGTAGGTAGGCCCGTCCAGAAGGATTTCAAGGGCGGCGCTGAATGATGCGGTTCCGGTTCGCGGGAGACCAGCACCGATGACTTGAAGCTCTGCGCCGGCCTTAGGGACGGATGCTTGTTGACCCATGGTGTTGTAGAAAATGGATGAAGCAATGATAAATGTGTTGGATCTCTGATCACAAGTTATTATTGCGATTTGGTTCGTTTAAATGGGGAATGAACTTGAATTTTGGCCCCCAAGTTTACTCCCCGAATGAGCCCGTGAGATGACGCTGTCGCCTAAAATATAAGGCTGTAGCCTTGTCCAATTTGTACATACGTGCCGCTAAAGAAGGGCAAACGAACTATTATTGGTTGAATATTAGATTACAAGTGAGGCATATCTGAGGCTAAAAAGATGCGCTGAAATATTGGTAACATCCCGATGCCTATCGTGAAATCTGTACTATTAAGAATGTAGTCATGGATATTATAAGTGCTTATTCCCTAAACACCTAAGTGAATACATCTTACAGTGCTATTTTTGATCCTTTTTTTAATGTATCTCTAAGTACCTGTTCAATTAAGACGGTGCTCCTACTAAACCATGGAGGCAAACCTTTCCGGGACGTAAAAAACTTATAGTTAATGGATTAACGATCAACGTTGTTATCTCAAGATTATCCTCTACAATTTTCCACAACTGATTATACTACAGTGTTGTGGAGCTTGGCTTTCTCATAAGTGAATGTCAAAGTACATAGTATCGATAGTCCGTAGTAGTAAATCAAACAAAAAAAGAGGCAAATTGAACAAGACCAGCAAAGAGCTCACTGGCCTTACAATCGACCAACATCGCCTTTGTATCCACGTTCAAAGGGACAGCTTCCTTACCTAGCCCTTTCATACCTTAGCTGCACCAGCCTTCTTACGACGAACAGCTAGTCTGGTACGTTTAGCGGGGCCGTCATAATTTTCATCAATGTATCGCCGTCGCTTTTTCGGTCTCCCTTCACCACCCCCGCGGCCGCCGCCATCACCATCACCGTCGTCTCTTGATCTGCGACGCTTCTTCTTTGGAGGGGGCTTAATATCCTCAATGTCGAACTGCAAGCTCATGATTTCCGTGGCCGAGACTTCGATACTGATTTTTGAAATGCGATGGGTTCCACGTGTGAACGCACCAAGAAGTAGATATGCCACGACCGAGCCGATTCTCGTTCCCAGCAGACCTTCATATTCTGCAGTGCCCCGCGCAAAGCTTTGAGACCCAGATGCCGGCCACGCAAGACCGTTGCCGTCCGTGTAAATCTGTCGCTTGATGAAAGTTCTCGTATCTTCATTTGCCACATCAATCGCAAAGACGTGCTTCAGGGTTTCGATAGGGTATGCTCTCGTATAGAGAGCCTGAGCAATTTCTGATGCATGGTAGCCAGACGCTCTGAACATTGTCATGATGAAGAGAGAACCGTCTGCAACAAAGGATCGCCAGTCATTCCAGTCACCGGATGATCCACCGGGCGATGAGGACCCATCTTCAGAGGTGACCACGTGCATGGTCAAAGGGCCTTCCACATCGAGTCTTTCGACTGTCTCGGTAACTTCCTCATCCTCGGAGTCGGGGTCGTCAAAGGACTCGTCCACGGGAGCCCACTCTAGGAGATCTTGATATGTGATATTGCAGGGTTTGATATGACATTTAGCAACTGATGGATCCTCGATCCAAGACTGTAAAGTTCTCCCACGGGTTTGGTGTAGGCCGTAGGGAAGAGGGGGTGCTGCTGCTGCCATCTTGGAGTTGGAAGTGGATATGTGGAGAAGTTGAAATGGGAATGCACTAAAGAAATCGAGGGTTTATATGCTTCGAGGGTCTTATCAGATGGGACTTCTGAAGACTAGTGAAGGGTTGACCTTGATAAGAGTTGTGGATAAAAGAGCTTTGTTTGAAATTGAAACTATATTGCGCCGGGGATTCGCATAGCTTCGAGGTCTGGCTTTGACAACAACGGCTATGCTGGCTTGTTCAACAGAGCGCATAAAGGATTGTGCTAATTATAACCTGGAAATAAAGCCGAGTCTCTTCCAAAAATAAGAATCGTAAACAAAGAGATCCGTTCAATGTAAAGAATAATAGTATTGTCGATTCGGACGATCAAGGCCCAGCTTTGTTGTCAACCCTGGTCAACCAAAGAATTAGGTACTTACGCTGAATATAATTGCGGGAAATTTGGATTCTTTGATTGAGATGGGCAAACCTAATTTTTGATGGCCGTTGAATCACTGCATATCTCGGTGGTGAATAGTCTACCGGAAAATGACAGGGAATTTTGTGGGCGCTCAGATGCTTGGATGGATTTCCGTAACCGATGTCATGCAAAGAGACATAACACTGCATTCGCGCTTCCCGCGAGAAATTTCATAGTCAAAACCGGGGAATGAACAGATTGGCGAAATCAATTTGACCGATATTATTTATTCGATTCGTCGTATGCTCTCGTCCTAGGTACGACTGTGTATCTGGAAAGCTCAAAATAACATATGTTGATGGTCCGTAGCGGCATTGTAGGATTGATTATAGGGGCTGAGAATTCATCAAAGAGAGTACGAATTACAACCTATCTAGTATCCTTCAGATCGCTGGGCGTTGGAGGACTCGATAAATTTAGAACTCCCTCAAGTCAGACTAGCTACGTAGAAGTTAGACCAGACTCGGACTCAGTGACCCATCTTGATTTATTTGTATTTGATCATGAGTTCGAGGCTTTGCTAAAAGTTTACATCACACTGGAGACAGAAAGATTTCTAGAGTACACAAAGTCGCCAATATCCTCCTTAAACCAGATATTCCATCAAGGATCTCAGTAGTATCCTTTGAGAGGATTGTTCATGAACTCAACGATAGCTGCGCCGGTGGAATTGGCTGCACCAACTCGGCCTCCAGTTGTCTGGCCAACCCATCGAGTATAAACCGGGGAGCTTGATGATGCCTCAATCTTATTATCGATTGTGAAAGCATATTTGCCGTGCTTACTGCTATCGATATAAATAGCCCAGCTTTCCACAGGGATGCTTGCATTTAGAGGCACAGAGGTTCTAGGCCCCTGAGGAATGACCTTGATATTGGAACATCCGGACACAATAAGGTTCCCATTTTTGGCTAGGTAACCGCTGGACTTGACTTTCAATTGCTCATCAATGTGGTAGAAGAAAACAAGAGAATATTCGCCAATATTGGAGTGCCCCCAGAACCACTGGGTGAGGCCATCCATGAAGGCTGCTTGGCCCCAATTCTGTATTAATTAGCAATAAAACTAGAAAGGATTATAGAAGGTATACATACCTGATCATGATATCCAGATCCACTAAAGGTGAGGCTCGTTCCGTTGACATCCAGATCAACAGTTGCATAGGAATCAGGAACTGAATTTCCCCACTGGAGAAACTCGGCAAAGTCAAATGAGGCTCCTGCGCGATTAAGACCACAGGCAACATGGGAAGGCGCCCGAGAGCGCATAGTAATCTTGCCCGAAACTCCTACATCGGGCAGATTCAGAGACAGATGGTACGCGCTGAGATCTGATGCACCAAACCAGGTCATAGCACCATCTTCCACATAGCCTTGAGAGCCATCATCCACAGTGGTCAGGTCCAGTGTTCCAACAGAAATAGTTTCAGCAAAAGTTGTTCCGTTGGGCCAGACGATATTAAGCAAGACGGCGCTAGCATCAGCGGTCCACCCGGGATAGAACTGAGCAACGACTGCGGCTTTTGAATCATGTGAGACGACATCGAAATACCACCACTGGTAGGCGGATCCATTGTTCACGGAGATATGAGGCCCATCAAAGGCTGTAAGGCCAACTATGGTATCGGTCCCAGTTGTTCCGTTGATTTGCCCGCTGGGAATAACGTAGCTCTGTGAAGACAGGGTCGCAGATACCAGTTGCCCTAGGCCGATGGCCATGGCAGCCACATTGGTTCTCATGGCTAGCGAAAGTATTGTGTTCGGTGGAAAATTCTCACTGGGAAGCAAAATAAATGAAAAGAGCGTGGTATTAGGGGGCAAAGAGGATTCGTGATTCCTTATATAGGCTTGATGACCTCCATAATCTTTGATCATTCCTATTCGCACGGTCAAGTCGGATGTGCGGGATAGTTTAATTAATCAGTAGTCCATATTTGCCCCCCGGATTATACTCTTTATGTATTAGTTCACCTAGCTCATCCAAAGCCCCTCGTGCACAAAGGGGATATCGGCTCCTGTTAATGAGCTAAAGTGACGTATTTAGTAGTATTTAGTAAAGCGAGTTATGTACTTAAGCTCTTGGAAGTTCCTCCGTGATGATCCGTACGCTTTTGGAATTGAAATTAATTTTTTTTACTCTTGCGTCAGCAAACCTACGTATCCATATAGCGATCCTTCGTGCGCCATTTCTTCTTTGTTTGGATATGTAATTTGCCAGACATACTATACAGCTTGTTTCGGGGGCTCAAAGTTTATTTACCATACGATCTGCCTCAAGGCGGGTCAACTCCGCTGATTAAGCGGAGTCGGTGGAGCCAGGGCATTACTATATAATATAAAAAAGATGTGATTCGGATGCGCGGGATGATAAACGACCGAAACGATGAATATACAACTGTGCACGGTTTTGAGGAAACACTTTCAATACTTACCGCTGAATCTGTTCGGTTCTCCCGGTTTCCAGCTTCGTCGATGTAACCAGGAGCTCCTTGCAATTTTCAAGAGTTCATCATGGGTTCCAAGATTTTCTCAATTCTACTTCCTTAATCAATTTAATCCTTCTCGATTGGCCCCCTCTAGTAGATCTCCTCCTTACTAGATTTTTCCTTCGACGATACTCGTTGATCCCAAGTTTGCTCTGACATAGCCAGAATCTTGGTGTTTATTAATTGGGCTCCTTGACTGATTACGCTTGTGTGGGCTTTGCCCACCCACAGTTATGAATTGGAGAAGAGTGAGACTGCCATTCAATTTATTCAAACGTTGAGTCGGGGTTTCAGGAAATCGAGTGTCATTTAATGATGGCTAATATTAAACCATGACTGCCAGGTAGAATTCGGTAGGGATATCACTGAACAAGCTTCATAAAAATCATGAAGCGTTTGCGTGGCGCTTGATAGCAGCCCTTCCTAAACGACTCAACTGGGATACAAATTCTGTCACAGAATGTATTTCTTCTGGAGTCCCAAGCTCCGGATGACTGCCTGCGGCGAGATTGATGGATTCTGCGGTGTGCTCCATTAATCGAACATCGCTAATACACTCGAATGCAGATGGATCGGAGATGACATTGCTGAAAAGAGTCATGATCGACATAAGGATATAGAACAGATGAAACCTGGAGTAAATGTTATTGTTAGTAACTTTCCTTGCTATTATATGTGGACATAAGAGGATAGCTTGGAGGTGCTGTTCTCATCACTTACCAGAATGTGTCACGACCAAAGCCAGAGTCCATTGTGTTGATTTCTGTAAGCAATGAGCGACTTTCATTGACAGCAATATGAAGGCTGGAGTTGATTCCCTCCATAGACATGGCTTGCCCATCGATCCATAGTCTGCACCGACTGACGGCTTGATGGACTGCAATCACACAATAGTGATACTGTATTTCTAGCGCGTCGAATCGGGCGCTTAAATGGCGCATGGATCCAGTCTCTTTAGAGTGAATCCTTTCTCGAGCGGAAGAATTCGAGTTCATCCAGAGATCTAAATCGACATCGAGTTCTCGAATCGACATCAGCAGCTCTGTTTCTGACTTTCTCTGCGCTTTGACAGAGTAAAGCTCTCTGTAAATTCGAGACTGAAGGATGCTCAGTGGAAGGTGACAGGGGAAGAAGGGTATAAGACCCAAATCTTCGGGGCCATCGTCCCCGTGACTCAACATATCGGGCAAATCAAGGTCGCATTCGTCATCTGGGAGGGTTGGAGGACGTCCAGTACGTAGGCAAAGTTCCTTGTCAAAAGTATAAGCGATCCAGAACAGTTTCCGAACATGACGTTTGGATTGATTTATTCCTTGCGGTGAGCGAAAATGGTTCCGGTGAGCTCCTAGCATGAAAATAGATCTTGCAGTCGATGCAAGTAGGGTCTCTGTCGAGTACATGTCACCATGAAGTGTGACATAGTACAAAATCTACCGAGTGAGATATTTAGAGCCCGGCGCGTCATTAAAGACAGATACAAGAGCCCGGAGTTCCTTAAACTTACCAATATCAACCCGGTTTGTATACTGTCCAATGTAGGTGGGCCCTGCAGAACATCGAATAAGAGCCTCTGAGCTTCATATGCATATCTGCATACGTCAATGCTGGAAGAGATCTTCAAGTGGTCGGGAAATGACGACACGAGGGTCGTAAATGCGAAAACGCAGGCCCTTGCCCCTGCTTGCTGCGGTGAGTAATAGGTTAGGTCACCATCGTAAGCTGCTTGTATGGTATAAGAAAAAAGATCCTCGTTAAGAACAGGAAGCCATCGCGACAAAGGAGAATGACAGAACGCTTGAAAGTTTTGAAGAACAACGTGCCTATCTGGTAGGTTTATATGACCATTGTGCGCGAATCCATGCCTCATAGTCTCAAGGCTAAGGGTTCTTTGCCGTCTCCACGGCGGCCAAAAAAGCACATACGGATCAAAATCGACTTTTTCGCCGGTGCAGTTTTCCATTAGATGTTGGCCTTCTTTAGAAAATATTGGAAGGCCACTGAGAGCATGCGCGTCATGGACATTCTCGAAGGTCAAAGGGAAGTCCCCGGAGGATATGCCGACTGGCAATCGAGCCAAATGACCCCTTTCTGATGACAAGGTGTCTTGCGATGGGGCTGAGAACACTTCAACCTTGCGCTTGGTGGGTGAGTTTGACTGTCTGGGGTATGAATGATTCTGGGTCGCTTCGGGTTCCTGCCCCCTGTGGACTCCACCATCTCCATTAATAATTTGGATGCATGTATACAGTAACACGACTCCAACTTGCCTCAGTGCCTCTATTGAATGTTGCATGCCAGCCACAACCCGAGCATTTCGACGAAAGGTACATTGAAAATTGTGAATGGAGCACCATTCGCAAGGGATACTTGGCCCTTCACATTTGATCTATGCGCGTGTGTCAATAATTTTCCTACGTAAATGGAACATATTATAGATGGTACTAACCTTCCGCCTTGCGCATGAATCGCACGCGTATACTCGATTTACGCTGCCACGATATGCATGGTTTACTTCAGACATGTGAGCGATTGGGCGCACGATGAAATGCAATAAAGTCAATTGGCCGTTTCCACGTGCAGCAGAATATTAGCAGAATAATTTCTTTGGCAGTTATTAGCACGGAGCAGTTGACAATTGTGGCGATCGGTACAGTTAATGATAGTGGCCACTAACCGGAAGCCAACTTTGTTCGGCAGGGAACCCCTGGCAGGATCTTGAAATCTACCGAGTCCAGCCACTCTAGCAATTATTTGCGGTCGTCGGAACACAGCAGCTAGGTAGATACCCGGAGGGAGGATATACTATCTCCCGCCAAGATTAGTCACGTATTAGAGCCAATCAAAATTACCAGCCAAGGGCCATTTAGCAAGTCAGAATTTCAGACGAATTGTTGATCCTATGGTGCACCCGTATGATCCACTCGTCTATATTTTTGTCTAGTTAGTAATTGCCAGTGTGTTCATTATTATAATAATTCACCAGCGAGCGAGCCATATCGCCGAATAAGCCATCCACCCAGATAACTTCTATTATAGAGTGCATTGAATCGTCCACATTTCTATGAGCTTACGTCCGAACGTTAACACATGAGTGTCATTTACCCAAGGGAACCGAAGTCAACCTTCACCGTTAGGTTCCATTGTTAACTGACTAAATCAACATGTACTGGTTTATATATTTCGCTGATCAAATATTGCAGGCGAATTGTTGGAGATTAAACCAGCAACTTGGCAACCCATAAACCAGTTTGTCGATCCGCAACACATTTCTTGTGATTACCGGATTATCCTCCCATATCAGTCGGAGATCCAATCAGCATCGATAATAAACGCCAAACTCGAGAGAACAGGCTCACAGCTGAGGCCCATCTAGCTGTTATTCACGCAAAGGAAGCTCTGACGAAGATATGTTCTTATACCGAGCCAGTATCTCGTTGACTTCAGAGGGGTAGATGCAATGAAACACAAGCATGACCATAAACATCAACGCAGCATCAAAAATGTATACCCAGTACTCATGCTGAAGTAGGAAACCTGTAGACCCCTGGTCGTACTCCACCAGACGGAAAATACAGCGAATGAATATGAAAAGGCTGCTGGTGTAGAGAGCGTTCATGTGTCTTTTCCACGGAATATCCCCAGCAGCCAATTGGATAGACCCGTACTTCACGAGCCGAATATTGAACAGAACGGCAGTTAAGATGAAGAGGCCAAAGAATATGATTTGGAAGATCAGGCCAACCTTGATGACTTTTTCGCCTGTTTTGAAACTGCTTGCCGTTTGTTGTACAAGAATTGCGGCGCCTGTAAAGGAGAGGCATCAATAGTCATGTCAGCGTATTGGAAAAAATCCCCTATCAGGGTTCTTTGTAACGACAATAGGCACATACCGCCAGCTTGTGTGAGGAAAGCTATTATATCCCCCAAAACAAAAATCTTTGTCAACCATGACCTTCGCACAAGGGCATATTTTTCTCCTCCGGTGATGATAATGATGCGTCCTAGTGTCATGTAGACGCTAGCGGCAAAAAGAGACGGAGCAATTAGAATAAGGATTGTCTGAATAGCAATCGGTGCCATGCTGTAGTTAGGGTACTGGCTACCCGAAATGGCTCTCTGGCTCAATACCAGAATTAGTATTCATAGCAGTAAGATCATCTTGTTCTCGGAAGAATATATTCATAGGCAGAGAGACATTACTAACAGCGACGTATCCGATTATCTCAACTTTAATTTGGTCATTATCAGATAAAGTCCTCAAAGAAAGGTCAAAAAAACATTCAGATTTTCACTCACAGTAACCTCCTACAACGAACGCTGTGAAGAACCAGGTTCGAGTTCGAAATAGTTGATAGGAATGATAAAATGTTGAGGCAGCAAATAAGATTGCGAAGACTGAGGCGGCTGCAACGGACGGCACATAATTGTACTCTCCCATATATTTGACTTTGATTGCCATGATGATCGGTATGCAGTTTTGTTCTAGAACGTTTGATCAAATTGATGAGGATTGAGGGCCGAAGTATTCTCTAACCAACCAAATCTTACCACGGGCTGTCCTCGTAGTCTTATGAAGGAATAATACTATGTCTTCCGCTTATTGTATGCGAATGCAGGTAGCTAGTACTGAACATACATTACAACGGAGATTTACAACTCCGACTCCCCGACTATCGTCTAGGTCAACCCCGGTGGAAATAGTCATGCAGTCCGAGATTGGGTGGGTCCCGCAGTTTGCGCAAAGAAACGCGTTTGCCTTCCACCCAATCCAAGAACCCCTAGATTTTCCAGAGAAAAAAGCATTCTTTCTATTTGTCAATAATTTTTGAGAATAGTGTCTTAACAGAATTTCAAGTAAGGTCGAATTCGGTGTGCGACTGCGATAACTCTTACTCTAATGACCAAGCAAAGCTAGCTTTTGCTCGTAGAATCAAGTTCTATTATTAGCTCGGATAAGAGATGAAATCCCTGACTGGAGGGATATGCTGTTTTAGAATATTTATCTTTACATTTAGCCGAAATTTTGCGACGTTGAAATATAGAAAACAGAGCTAGGAACATATGGCTTCGGCTCACTATAAGGACGAATAACGATTTAGCCAAACTTGTCTTGTAGGTGGCGATCCGCAATCGAACCGTCCGAAATGTCCACAGATTACCTGTCAGGAAAATAAGAGTCCGTGCTGTGATGGTTGGAAACAGCCGCCCTGAAAAATTCAGTCCCTCAATGATCTATAATCACAACTATACTCCTTGATGCCTTACGTGGGCCCTAGAAGAATCAAGGAACTTACAAGTTGAAGGCGCCTTTTATCCATTGCCAATTACAAAATTACTGATAAGCCGCCCTTGTAGCGAGAGTATTTTGATATATTGGATTGTGAATTACCTACCCGGGGGTTTCTCGGCAACGATTGCAGAATCTAACGCGAAAGGCTACACATATTATGCTGTAAGCGAGTATATACATATACCCCTAGTCATCCATATTTGGTAGACATTAGATTCGTTCGTACTAAATGAAACCGTCTTCTTTTGCAAAAAGTATGCTCCCCCCTGGGGTTTCTCAGACTTCTTAGACATATTCAACATAACAAAATTGAAGTCTTGCACCGTTACCTCCACATCCTATTCAATTCTATTCGAAATTTACGCACAAACTTCACAATTATGATTGATTTGATTGCCACACTCATGACTGCAATTTCCGCGGCGGCTGAAACCGGCATTTTTAATGCGATTTTGTCTCTCAAAGAGCAAGGGGAGTTCAAGTCTGTGTTTCCTAGGAACCTTGCTAGTAAGTTTCTTCTAGTCGTTAGTACAAGCCTTGAGGACGCTAATTTTGCGATAACTAGAGCGCTCGTGCAGCTTTCAAGAGGAGCCTTACGTTATGATGATGACAGGATCAAGTCCAAAATTTGAGTTTAATTTTCTTCTTAATATGCTCTAGCTGCTATGAATTTTCGGCAAAGTTGGCTCAACTGGATGCAGGAATGGCGAAGGAGGCGCGGCGCTATCTCGCACATTATAGGTGATCCCATCATGTCCGTGATCAACATTCCAAACGGACTCAGACCGCACAGTGCTCGAATCCCAACGAACTGTCGAGCTCAATTTTGCGTTGCTTCCCGCAGGCGAGGGCGGACGCTGTGACCGCCATAGCTCTTCAGTAATGGTCTTTTCATGGCGCGGAAACAGCTCGATTGATCCTCGATTATCGGTTTGGAGCAGCTGCGTCGTCGATTGTGCAGAGGCACGTTTGTGGGAGAGATTCTGCCACCCGGGAGCTGGCTCCTTGAGCTGGCTAGCGTAGAAAAGGCCGACCAATAAGAATATGACAAGGACAAGGGTGAACACTGCGTTGTAGAAGAAAAACAGCACGGTCATTATTCCAGTCATGAGAGTTGGCTGATTAAAGATATCTGTAAAAACCAGGATGAAGATACTGTTGACAAGACTGAGGGCAGCGGCGGTTATGGCGAAGCTGTTGGCTTTCTTGTCAAGGTAGGGTCGCATAACTGCGGTACAGACCAGGAATGCAGCCTCAATGATGAGAAGGACAATAGCCTGTGCTGTAGGATTGTGCTGTGTGAATGCGATGACCATGCCTTTCAGTACTGTATAGAGTAGCAGAGGAGTGGCAAAGTAGTGCGCCTCGGCTTTGTAAAAGATATACAGATAGCCCCATTTCTCTTCATAGGGCGGATTAGAATGAAGTGACCAATTCGAGATTCCATTCGAAATTTTGAAAGGTCGTGCATAGCGAAAGCCTCCAAAAGACCGGAAGCCTCTAAAAGTTGCATTTCCGAGGATGATAGTCATGGCGAGCCACATGGTGATAGCGAGGACGACTTCAGCAGCTGAGTCCCGGCGATATAGCTCCCACATGCTGAACACACAGAATTGCGGGTAACCGAGATATGCGATCCGGCAAATAGCTCCTCGCATGAAAGTCTGCCAGTCGACTTGAGCTTTCAAGGCACTATAGGCCACCGTCCCGTGAATCTTGTTCCACACTGCAGGTAGGCCAAACTTGAGAGCCATGATAGCCAAGAGCATTGCAATAGCAATGAAATAAAAGACCAAATACCCGGTCATAAAGATGTTGGTAGACTCAATGCCTGCGCGGTATCCCATCCGAATGATTCCTCGAAGAATGACTTCTGCTGCACTATCTGATGTCTGCCCGCTTCTCTTCGTGAGGAGATCTGCCGAACGCTTCAGGAGACCAATTGATATATCGCCGGCTTCGGAAAAAAGATCTGAAGCTGTACCTCCTGTTGCCCGCTGGAACCAAGTGGTTATATTGTTCAGGAAATTCGCTTTTACGATGCTCATGGTCCATTGAAAATTTTGAGTCCAATTTTGGATCAGTGGCGTGAACTCTACCGCAGCGAGGCCAGCAATGGCTTGACTCTGCATGAAGCCCAGGAAGAGTAATGTGCGGAACGAAATTTGCGTCGCAATGTTGTCGTATCCGAGAATCGAAAGGAATACGCTTGCGAAAAGGCCCAGTCCGGTGATAACGGCAAGTATCCAGCTTACCGCCGCTTGGTAGACCGTAGCACCGTTGATAACACGGGCTTTGATACAGCTGACACTTTCATTTGTGGATTTGGAGATCATATTGACACGGACGATGGCATCGATATCAGGAACCGTATAGGCGATGCCTAGCAACATGCTAATGGTCAATTGGGGACGCACAAATAGACAAAGCTCGCGTTTAGAATCAATTTGCTCATACGGAGGACCAGCAAACTCACTTGGAATTTCCGATATTAAAGTATCTGACAAAGTAAGTGTCGCGTGTGGCACTGTCATGTTTTCTGGTGTCATTGGGCAAAAGCCAGACAAAGTATCGTAATCGCACGGGTCGATTTGCGTAGTCAAGAAGCTGTACCCGTAAACCAGCAGATCGATATCCATAATTATTTTGCCGGAGTAAGTAAGTTCACCGTCGAACTCGATGCTGAGACTGGCATTCCCAGGTGTCAGTGTCATCTGAAAATTGTTGGTCTTGATGATACTGGTATCGGAGCATGAGATAAGGGCGCTAGAATCAAGTAGCCTCACGGCGTCGCTCAGTCGAGCAAAATAAAGAGCTCCGATGATACCTGTGAGGCGCCATGGAGCTGGCATCATGGCGAAAACCCCCTGTGGCAACCAGAGTAATGATTGTAGTAAGAAACGATGCTAACAACTGAAGACAGAAAAGGTCCATGTCGCTACGGAAGGCGCTCCACATATTAAGGCAGCTTAATTATTTTCTTATGGCCGAGTGACGCAAGAGATAGGGGTGTGGGGAGTTTTTGTCATGGAGAACCAGTAAATCCAGTCATCGTTTGCGCCAGCTTCAACACTGCCACGATGGGACCGTGTTTCAGAGTGCGCTGACCCCGTGCCTAAAAGCAACCCGCTGTGCTGGCTCTTTGAAGGGATATATGTACGGGGATTGCCAAGAATAATCTTCCTCATCAATTAAAATTCAATTGCAATCTTGAACCAATCGGATAAAACTGCCCTGTATCCTTGGTTGTATTGTACCTGACATGCAGAAGCCGCTCGATTCAACTTTCGGAAAATACACTATACACATAGGACTTCTTTTTGTAGCGGCTTCTCCATAAAGATCCTTCCATCACTTGGAACCTTGGTCCGTTTACAGTAGTTTGCAATTATATGTATATGCGACCCCACGTCGTTTAGTTACTTGGCAGTCTTAGCTTTCTCGGACGGTTCTCCATTAAAGGGAATATATCGGGATAATGTACTTTTTTTAGGGCATGCGTCATCCACGATGTAAAATAAAATGATGTGTAGCGACTGTGCTTGTAAAGCCTTAGGTCGCTTAATGAGTTGTAGCATGCTTATACTAACTCTTGAGACTTCAAGGTCGTAGAGCCAAGCATGGAAAATCTCGAAATAATGTCAAGCAATCGGGGGCCGGGACGGAAGACGCCGGTTGAACTCAATTATTGGAATGGCTTGGGGGTGTTCATCAGAATCAGGCACGGAGGGCTAGAAGCCGGCAGTCGGAAGGCAAGAACGCCGACTTGACCCCACTCTGGCGTTTAGAATCCACCAATGATGGATAAGCTCACCTAATCTCAGCTAGGTGACTAAGCGGGGCTAACTTAGGTAAGCGACGAGGGGGGAATCCAAGTTAACTTCGCCTTTCGGGCTGATGGTTTATCATGGTTGGTACAACAGTAGGTACGAGGACGAGTTTGTTGAATGAGGTATATCCATACCTGCAGCAGGTTTTCCACCAAGGGTTATGTTTTGAAGTTGTGCTATCGCAGCACCCCAGTCTTTCTCTGGCAACAGTAATGGGAACGGGCGCCGCTTTGGAAAGTCTGAATTACCCACCGTGACTTCCGTGACACGTTGCTCGCGTCGTTAGTCTGTGGGTCGGTTGCTCATCAGCCGCGTCTCTGCTTATTTTTTTTTCCCTGGAACCTAGAGTTCAGTGATGTCCAAATTGAGAAGGAACATGTTAAATGATACAGTTTACATTGTTGCGCGCTTCTGATATCGTTTCCAAGTAGGTCTCAATCACACAATTTAGATATTTTCGATATTTTTGCTTGGGGCTGAATCCTCACCCAATGGAAGAAGAATTATCATACATATGGCCGCCCCCTTGTAATTACTATATTCTAGGATAATCAAAATCTACCAGAGAGTTGGAATATGTCCCCAGTTCTAGCAACAATGTGTATGTAATTAGCTTCTTAGGGCGAATTACCTAAGTCCCCTGAGAATCGGGTTTGTTATAATCTCTCTTCTTTATTTTTCTCCCATATCTATCGTTTTTACCTCGTTGATAGGCCCCCGTGATGCTCAAGCAGCCCTATTACATAAAGCAAGACATCAACTAGCAAAAAATATCCAACAGCTCACCCACAAGAGTATTTCGCACTTAAGTCAACCCCATAACTATCCGTAAATAAGATAATATACCGTAGTCACGATTTCTCCGTCTACCCGCGCGTGACTCCACTCTAGCTTTCTGGAGAATGGAGTATACCTCTATCTTTCCACAAGCTAGGCTCGTGGGCTAACCTATATACCATAGCATCCCGTAATGCCCTTAGTACCCACGACTCCCATGTAAATTGCCTAGATCGCGGCGCTTCCCATTGAGCAGACCGATAAGCTACATCAAGACTTAGAACGCACATCAAGGGCGGTAGAACCTATCAAGATATTCGATTGAGTCACCTCTAGCATCTATAAATGCGCGAAATACACTTTCAAGGGGCGCTATGAGACTAGAGAACTTCCTTTGAGTACGCAACATCATAGTCACGTAGAACAGGAAATATTCTACGTTATCCTTCTTTGCTGCTACCCAATCACTCAAAGCGCTGGAAAGCTTCACAACGTTCCCTTCCAAGCATAGGTTGATAGGCTGGAAATCATGCCCTATCTGCATGATTTGCACCCCCGCTGCTCCCGATGTGGCTCCAAAATCTTGCAAGTCCGATTTCTGAAGCATGGCCCCCTTGATCTTTCCGGACGGAATATGATCACAAAGATTTGGCTCTTGGCATAGCGCACGCCCGATGCCGACTCCATCCACTGTTTCCAGTGCTTTAACCATAACTTCAACGGTCCTCAAACCCCCGGTCACATATACGGATAAAGAAGCTTTTAAAAACGGGCGTCTACGAGTGATTTATCTCGACTGGATTCGACGAATTGTTCGCGAGGGTCGTATAGACTTTGAAAGGGATAATTTCGGCAGTATCATCGGTTTACGGACGAGGACGTATAAATTGCTAGAGTATACGACGCTTAATGAAAAGTATCGAGTCAATGGGGAGATCGGGAAGGAATTGTATCAATTAACTAAAGAGGATCTCACAGACCCATAAGCGGGCGCATGTAAGTTATGGATTGTGTTTGGAATTCTTAGAAAGCTCTGATAGCGATTGTTCGACATCGTTTTTGATTCATAAGAATGCAGATAAAAATGCTTTTGTTCTCTTCGATGTCTCCGTTCTTTCTTCCGTGCAGAGCGTAGTAGGCCGGGAAAGACGGAAATGGTTGGCAAAATGCCAAAATAGGAAGTCGCTACGAAAAGGAAGGAGCGGCCATAACACGGGAATATTGTGTGGTATACGTCATACCGTAGACTGTGGGAAGCATCGATTTGAAGGAGCTCTCGCTGGATAGTGGAAGGTTTATGATTTAGGACGTATCATTTGTGATGTTCGGTTCATATCATTATTTATGTTGATATTATGAATTCATGGAGTACAAGATTGGTGAACGCGGCTATCCTGAACATTACTAGACCGCTTCGTTGTATAGAAAGGGACGCGGTCTTACCAATGCAACTAAGCTAGTTATGGTCAGAGCTTACCCTAGATTGTAGTACTGCTCACGTATTTCTGACAATTTCTTGAAGAACCATCCTTCAATACCATACTTTCTCCTGACGGTGCTTCTCACTATCTCACACCGGAATTTTACCCTACTTTTGAATCATGGCGTCTTCGAATCCCCACAAGACTTTTCTCATAACCGAGATCCTAGAAATGATCCTACTCAAAACCGACATGCGCACAGTACTTACCTCTGCGCAAAGGGTCTGCCGAAAATGGCACGGTCTAATTAAAGACTCGACAAACCTACAAGAAGCCCTATTTTTCAAGCCTGTTAGATCTACTCTGCCACGAGGGGTACCAGGAATTCGCAACCCGTTACTAGCAGACTGTATATGGCCATGGTTTTGCGGAAGACACGCACGGAAATGGGGAGCACCGCCTATGGAAGCAGAGGTAAAGCTACTTCGGAGTCGTCCTCATCATAACAAACCCTTTTTCCGAGAGGGGGCAAGTTGGGAGCGAATGTTATTCCAGCAACCTCCTCGATCATGTATCGGACTCGTGGAGAAAGACGGAAAGGCTTTCAATGGCCCAGCATACACAGAATTTAAAGTTCAACCGGATGGGGACTATCTACGAATTGGCGATATAGTCGATCCTTGTACGGTGATGATGCGGCCAATACTTCACCCTCTACCAGAAGAAGGACTGCTTTGGATTGGAGAAATCCACACGGAGGAACAGTTGAAACGATGGCGGTTTCTGGCAGAATTCCCACCAATGGATGACCAACACGGGAAAATCCTACAAACCCAGGTAGCATACGCTAAGTCGATATATCTACAGGATTGTGATGTTGTGTTCTTTACTTTGGCATGCGGGCGGGCTCGAGGGCAGTTTATTCGAGAATACGACAATCACTTTCCTGCTCAGTGTTTAGATGTTTGGCTGCGTGATATGCGCATGAGTCTTATGCCTGGGCAGATATCCATTCCGATGCCGGTGACCTAGGTGCTTGCAAAATCTGCTACCTTGCTAGGTGTGATTGATAAAAGGGTCATGCTACATAGGTGCGTCCTTTTTATATACTGATGTTTGACAGCAGTCAGCTGACCCTGCCTAGACCCCCCAACCTCTTAGCTTTATCAACAATCAACACATCGTCAATCTCTCCAGACCTACCATACCAATAAGTGAATCAAGAAATGTCTAGATCCTAAAACGTAGTAATATGATCTTCACCTAATCTTCTTTCGCCACCTAGTAATGAAAAAACTCTAGAATGTCCTGAAATCCTATCTCCTTCGTCTCCAAGCACTGACGTTGCTACTGAATTACACGCTACGTTCACGTGGGGTTTCCCGAAAATATTTAGAATAGGCGGTAATATCTCCAAATGCGGTGTCTGGTGATAGCCTGTGCTTTTCGACGACATACTGTAGTCGGCTATCCATCACATTTCGTGGGGTTTCGGAGGCCTAGTAGACGATGACATACTTCTACTTTGAAGGCTGTAATAGCTCTAATAATCTCGTAACTAATATGAAAACGACTGTGGACCACCCCCACCGTTTGGCCCCGGATGGCGAAATTTTTTCTTTGTCTCATCCCTCGAGTCTCCAATCTGGGGTAAGAGTATAACACCCCCGCATTTCCCGAACATCTTGCGCGCGGAGAGGCCCACTTCGGTTGGGCAACTTTGGCCTGCCCCACGCGAACCCGATGGAGTGGAAATATTGTCTAGTAGGTCTTTATCGTTTAGCATATTTACTTTCTCCCATGACACAATTTGTCTTTCTTGGAGGCATCTACTCAAAAAGCTTCTCTTTTCCCAATATTCAGCTAGGCCACGTTAACAGCATCTAGGATAACGCCTTCCTTAGGTATATCTATGTAGTAGAGTTTCACAGGTTTAAAACCCCGACCCAACTTTCAAATTATCTCATCAACTATACCTTAAAGGATAAATCGACAAACACTACTAAGGCTCCTTGGAAAACAACTGAAATGAGAATTAAAAAGAAATTCTGGAAAATAATTAGAAATAGGGAAGGTTAAAGTGTATCCGTTAGGTCTCTCTTTCTATTTTATTCCAAATATTTGAACTACAACCATACATACAGAAACACAGATAGTTATCGGCTATACCATGCTCGATTCATAGGGTACATCCCTAATACGGTTTTGAGTTATAGTGTCACGGAGTCTTCTTGTAGTGCCGTCAGTATGATCCTTTTGCTAACCCCGATAGAGTGGCTGGACTGTGGGATCCTCTGTATGTGTTACGCAGGACACAAAGGCCAGCAAAAGAATGGAAGTATTGAAGCACTTTCACGCACTTTAAAGACATAGAACTGCATGCCCTAAAGACTTACTCAAAACCGCACGTCTCGTATGAAGGGGTAAACTTCTAATCGGCACATCCGAGGCCTGTCTGTCTAAATACCACAATAGCCTCACTGGGAGGCTGGCGAAGATTTCAAGTGAGAACACAATTTATGAGCTGGGATTCACCTCATCTACACGAAAGTATTCATACACCAAAATCCCTCAATCATTTCGATCCTTTTTTTGTCTCATACCTTGAATTCATTTGTCATGAGTCTCAATGTGATATTTTTTCACAAATAGCGAGACGATCACCAATGCGGCTGTCATGCCGCAAATCAAATCTTTATATAGAGAAAGGACTAGTTAAAAATACCTCACAGGGAAGAGAAGGCTACATACAGAAACTATCACCCATAGCATGCACAAATGATTGGCGGATTTGATCTTGTATACGTTTTGAAAAGGGATCGAGGCACTCGAGGCTTTGCATGCATTTGGTGACCAACTAGGTTTGTCAGAATGAATTAGACGAGACAGCATTTACAGATAATGCGCAGTTGCTCGAACAAGGAAATTGATGATTTGTGCGAAAAGCTCCACCAAAGCTGTCGAAAGACGCGTAGTAGTTGGCCACAACTGGAGGTACGTTTCCCAGCGCCCGATATACTGGAGTAGCTCGAGGATGCTCGAGGCTATTTTATCCGAAATGCCAATTTCGCGAATAGCTATCTATTATATTCCAGTACAGTATGTCAGTGTGGTCGTCAACTCGATAGGCGTATCAAATGAGACAAACCGAGAGCAAAGCCCTGATTCCACCCCACACAAGGGCGGTGGTGTGTGGTTGATGTTGGATCATTACGTCCACCACTAGGCAAACAGGTTTAGCAAGTGGCTAAGTAACTGAGCCTGCATTGAAGAGTATCAATAGCATGCCGGTTAAACCAGAGGAGTATCTCGTCAACTCGGCCCGAGAATTTCCAACTCCCTTGCTCCGCTCGTTCCTTGGCTTCGCGTGTGTAGTCAATGAGCTGACCTCCTACGTGTAGTAGGTATAGGGTAATTAGGCATAGGATTAATCAATGTAAGAATCGTTAGTAATAGGAAATTCTATAGGTATTGATAGAAATAATCGATTTTCAAATTCTTGATAGGTAGCAGGTGACCCGGTCATACGAGAATTACGTTACTATACGGTCATAAACCGAAAGTCTACTAGTAGTACCTAGTAGTTTTAAAAATATATAGTCTATCCATATAGCTATAATTATATATTTCTATATCTCCTATTCATAAGATAATTAAATATCCACCACTACCACTATTCTAACATCTAAACCATTATTTTTAGGGTAAAATACTAATAACTAAACGTCCTAAACTATATTTTATTATAATTTCATAAAATTTCATATCTAATTAAGTAGAATCTGAATTAGACTCAAAAGCGAAACCAAAATAAGAGTAAATAACAGTATATAATTTCTATTTTATACATATCAAGACTATAGTATAGGGGCGTCACTGTTTACACCAATAGAAATCACAATAGGTCGGAATTGCGAACAAGCCCCTACCTGGCAATTTAGGTGGGCTAAATACATGACTAATCTTGGCGGATCTACCTCCGTATAGTTTCTCCTTTCTCTGGGTAGCCACCAATCCTGGCGCTGATGGGCTTAGGAAGGGTGGCCGGAAGGGGTATAGTATACCCGCGGGACTTAGCCTTGGTTCCCCCCTAAAAAAATCCCCAATATAAACTGCCCCCTAGGGGTAGCCCCTTAACTCAGTGAGGCATCAATTGAAGTAACGCAAGAGAGGAGGGTTTTGTCTTCAACACTGAGTCAATGCATTGATAAATCATGTGGATAACGAAACTTAGATGGCGATGCATGGGTGAGGAGATGCTAAGCGTATCCACAATTAGGAAGCTGTCGTGCAACTGGAGAGGTTTATTACAGTGAAATGAAATTGGTCCATAATCAGCCCATATTCGATATGCGTTTGTAGGTAGTAGTCTTGTCTTGAGATATTCCGCTATTATGTACCAGGCGTTCATCCAGTGACACACTTCAAAATCACGCAATAAACTCAACGCTTGGCTGCCCAAGAAAGTCACGAATTGGCGCAGGCGGCCAGGGTGCTGGGAAATATGGCCTAGAAAACGAATGACGGCCCGATCCTACCCACTGATCCTCATTGTCACCAGGAAGGACGACAAGAGCCTTGCTATTCGGTGGTACGACTAGGTCCAGAACAAATGTTGAGTTATTGGCCACCTCCCAAGCACACTCAATTTTGCCGAAGGGGCTTTCATAAGTCGCTTTTGCAGATGTGATGGTGCCTCCCGGGATTGGTTGAACTTTGATCTTGCTCCAACCAGGCTCAATTTGGGTTATTCCAGCCACAGTTGTATGTAGCCAGTTCACTATGGACCCAAGGGCGTAATGGTTGAAACTGGTCATTTCGCCGCCATTAATGGAACCGTCTGCTTTCATACTATCCCAGCGTTCCCAGATAGTAGTTGCCCCCATGGTAATTGGGTAAATCCATGAAGGGCAGCCTTTCTCTAGTAGCATACGATAGGCGAGCTGTGAATATCCTGCACTAGTGAGAGCGTGTGTGATAATCGGAGTACCGACGAATCCTGTTGATACACGGTAGCCCGCAAGTCGTACAAGGTATGCGAGACGGTTTCCTGCCATGGCAACTTGCTTATCAGAGCCGAGAAGAGAGAACACCAGAGCAAGACTGAGGGCTGTTTGGGTGTCACCGATAATGAGACCAGAGGGGGCCACATATTTCTCTTGGAACACTGATTTCAGGCGCAGGTAATCAGCGTGATAGCGGGCGGAATTGGATGATTCGCGAAGCAGTTCAGAAACTTCCGCAATAACAAAGGTGACTCGTACAAGATATGCATCGGCTACCAAGGTGGCATTAGTCCGGGAATCTCCGGGTCGGTCTGGTGGTGCTGTTGGGTCAAGCCAGTCACCTAGCTGCCAATATTCAACATCCCAAAGTCCGTCTGGGCCCCGAGGAATACCTTTGTCAACCCAAGCTACCATACTCTGATATTGCCGACGTAGGATTTCAATATCACTAAATGATTGAAAAAGCGCCCAGGGTGTGAGCACAGTCACGTCATCCCATACTGCATGAGGACTTCCACTCCAGAGGTCTTCAATCGCATTTGGGACGACTAGGGGTGGAATCGAATGAACGTGGGAGAGTTGCTCGAGGGCAACATCTTGTAGCCAATCTCCTAGCATACCAGCTGTGTTGTAAAGGAAGTTCGCAGAAGGACAGAAAATTTGAATGTCACCCGTCCACCCTAGCCTCTCGTCTCGTTGAGGACAATCAGTAGGGATAGACAAAAAATTTCCACGCATGCTCCAGACAGCGTTGTTGTGAAGTTTATTCACAAGCGGGTGGGAACAGGAGAAATAGCCGGTGCGGACCATATCGGTATGCATCACCAAGGCACTGAGACTCAATGTTGTCAGAGGGCAGATCTCATCTTCCGGGGTCCACCCATCCACCTGCACATAGCGGAAGCCATGGAAAGTGTACTGGGGAGACCATTCTAGTAGTTCCTGATTAGACATGATGATTTCATCGGTACATTTTGCGTCTCGGAGGGGACGGACTCCAAGCTCTCCGTTCTCCATCACCTCGGCATGAATGAACCTTAGTTTACTTCCGGGTGGTTTCTTCAGGCGGTGGATGCACAACTTCCCAACCAAGTTTTGACCAAAATCAATAATCGTCTTCCCTGAAGGCGTCGTAAATATGTCGACCGGTTGGATCGTCTCCGTCACACGGACTGGAGGAGCATTGGGGATCACCAATCGTGCCGCGGGAAGTTGAAGTGTCTTGGTCTCAAGCCACGAGCCGTCGTCAAAGGCATTATTTCCATTCCAGCCTCCATCTTCTACTCGCGCATCATACAATTCCCCATCATATATCTCGCTTCTGATGATGGCACTGGAACTGCACTTCCACGAGTTATCAGAAACGAGCCTGAACTCCTCCCCTTGGGCTGAGATGACCTCCAGCTGAGCAAGCACTGCCAGATCTTTCCCCCAAATACAACGCTTCCCACCGAAAAATCCCAGTTTCGTCGCATACCACCCCTCCCCGACCTCGATCGCAATTGTGCTTTCCTGCCTGGGCTGAACCAGCATCCCAATGTCGAATACTTGGTAATTGATTCGATGGTTATAACTCGTCCAGCCAGGAGCCAGACACTCATCACCAACTCTACGGCCATTGATGTATGCCGTATAACTTCCTAGACTGGTAATATACAGTCTCGCTTTGCTGATTTCCCCGAATGGAATAGTAAATACCTTCCGGAATCGACGTGCTCCCTGAGGACCATCTGGTTTGCATCGTTCGACGGTCGTAATGGGACGACTGATCCAATCCGACCTGTTCAGAAAGGCGCATTCAACCATGGCCCATGGGGACCAATTTGTTGAACCCAGATCCTTTATCAGTTCACCATCTCCGACCCGCCCATGGGCACGAACCCGAACCCGAGCCCGCCCACGAGAAAGCAAGGGCCGGCTTGGCCAGGGAACCAAAACCGAATTTCCACTTGGAAAGTGATATGCTTCCACCTCCGAATCTGGAATATGTACGACTTCGATATCGTAACCAGCCTGTTCCCAATTTTGAATCGTGGATGGTGACGACAGGAAACGCCAGGAAATGCGCGGCGCAGCGACCCCAATTCCGAAGCCGGTTGGGTGTTGCTCAAATGAGGGCGGGGTGAGATTGGGCTGCTCAACGGCCATGGTCTAATATGTGCAAAGAATTGTTTAGCATGAGGAGAAATGGAGGACGGGGTGTCACAAGATTTTAAATGATTCTTTGGTAAGCCTGATAATGAACGGATGTACCCTGGGTCCACGCCTACGGGCGCCCATACGCCAGACTCGGCTGCCTTTGTCCCGAAGTCACATCGCGCTGGCCAATTTCAGCTAAATCCATTCTTTTGACTTGACGTAATCCACGGTTAATCTAGTCACACGTTTAACCTGGTCACCCAAACTGAAATCGTGTATTCTTGCTAATATACTATCTTCAGTTACCTAGAAAAAACGCTCCGAAACGTGGCAAAGATCGTCAGAGGAGGAGGGCAAGATCTTAGTAGTCTTTCAGAGTATTCAGAATGGTCAAATCAAAGCTCTACGCGAAGGAGCCAAGCTACAATATACACCCCATTCTATGCAGCAGACACGCGCTGCAGGCAAATCCTCACGTGTTAATATGTGCCACTATCGGCTTAATTTGACCCAATTAGTGGAGAATTCGCGTGTTGAATGTATACTCTTTATGGTTTAGCAGCAGCTAGGCTCTCTACTGTACGAGATGTTGCTAGTTTATTTCTTACAGTGCGTGGATCAAGGCCTCGCCCGCCCCCAAACTTTAACAGAGAGCATCAATTGGGCATCAACCTTTGTCGAACGTCGCGGTGAGCGTCGCATGCGCTCCTTGAGACAAAACGTTTATCAACTTGCCCTAGTTGAAGACCGGAAATCTCTACGAGAGTGATTCTCTACTGTATTACGCGATATCGATGAGAAGAGATTCGGCCGGAGCATGTTTACAAGTTCAATGACACTGGATTCGCGATGGGCCTTAATCAAGCGCAGGAAGTACTTACTAGAGCTGAGTACTACGGTCAGTGATCGATTCATATCTGGGGAATCGAGAATGGGTTACTGCGATCGAGGTAAATTGCACCTATGGCTATTTTGCTACTTCTATTCGTGGCAGTCAACGGCTAGAGCTATATATCTGAATCAAACCGTGGAGGATATTGGTGAATTGAGGTCTCGAGTAACGCATGGATGCAAAAGTTATTTACTCTACTAACGAATTCACGTGTACGGAATTAGTATTGGCTACGAATTTTAACGACCACCGCAAGGCTTTCCGACTCTCTTCGTTCAATCTAGATTATCCAATCTAGAGCGGGGTAATTTCAATGGGCGTAGACCCAAGAAACGGAACGGGGGCATGTTTAAACCCTCGTATTGAGAAATAGACTCTTGACCTCGAACGGCGTGTATAAATCACATGAGGTGCGGCCATGGAACCAACCAGTGTTCATTAATCGGTGTCTTTTAGGCGAAAATACTTCACTTTGGCCTAAATCCAATAAGCGTGCGAGCCAACGTATTTCATCGACCAGAAGGATCCTCGGCTAGGAAAACTGAACGTATTTGGGAATTTTGTGGGGAAATTCGTGGGGGCAACCTCTTCCCCTCCTCCCCCGTGGAGTCCCTGGGGTACTAATGGACACTCAGCTGGAAGTTTGAATACCTCGGGGGGCAATGATTCCTAAAGAGGAAGTTATAAGCATCATGTCGCAAGTTCTAAGAAGTATTAACTTAACCCGCGGAAGGCATCGGACGACATTGCGAGCAGTGACTAATATGCGCATTTCCTGTGAATGTGGGTCGTCTAGTTCAGCACGAATACGCAAATATACCCTAAACAGGCCATGGCTCGATTATGATATTGAACAAAACATAATCCAAACTTGGGACTACCGTCGACAGCACAAGATGCTCCACCGCATGTCCCAACATGCATGGCGGAAATAAAAGGCTCGTATCAGAAACCTTGCTTGATAGGTTGGAGGCAATAATTGAACCAGAAGGTAATATTTAGGCTAAATAAACCGACTCAGGAGCTCTTTCCATTCACAGAATGCTTAACATTCAATCCCGGTTCCAAAATTTCGCTAGGAGTGCGAAGTTTCCGAGTGGCTGTCGCGAAAGCTTCTGATAGGAACGGCCGTCCACAGGACTTTGGACAGCGGTTACGATTACTGCATGGAATAGCACTTTCAGGCCACATTTCGCATTGTACCATATTCTTTTCTCCGTCGGGTAATTCGTGGCAATCGGACTCAGGGATCCCCCAAGAAGAATTTGCTGATAACTCCTCCATAGACTGCAGGGTGAAGCTACTGTGGAAAAATATAACTCCCACCAGCCTTCCTGCCAGATAGCAGTTGACACCATCAACTTTTATTTTTCAATTCTGCACCCTTGTGCACAACTAGAGGATAGATGGTGATTCCCATCATGCTCACATCGCACATTGATCAGATAAATTCGGGAGATGCGGCGCCAGACCTCACAAGGCTTGCATCCCCTACTACTAAGACCCGTGTCTTCATCCTCTCGGATATCGAAAATGAACCGGATGACCAACAATCCCTCGTGCGGTATCTGCTATACGCAAACGAATTTGAAACCCAGGGAATTTGTGCTGTCACTTCCGCATGGTTGCCAACACGAACCGCCCCGGAGGCGATGCGTACAATTATCAATGCGTACGGCAAAGTTGTTCAAAACCTCAATATGCATGTACACCCTGATTCACAATACCCAACAGCAGAAACTCTGCTTCAACTTGTCTCTTCTGGATCAGCTGTAAGTGATTGTTACACAACAAAGATCGCTTGAAGTTTCTTTCTCTCCTATCAACATTGCCACGACATAGTATTCTAATTTTACTCTAGGTATATGGCAAAGAAGCACTTTCGTTGCCTCTCAGCACTGGTGCACTAAATCTTGTGAATGCACTAGAGGAGTCAGTAGAGCCGCTCTGGGTCCTGAGTTGGGGAGGGACAAATGTGCTCGCGGAGGCGCTGCAACACCTGCGCAAAACCAAATCCTCGGCCGAGGAAGGGATCTTACACTCACGACTAAGAGTATACACGATTTCTGATCAGGATGATACTGGAGAATGGATTCGAAATACATTTCCGGATGTATTTTACATTTGCTCAATCCACGGATTTGGTGCCTTTGATATGTCGACTTGGCAAGGCATCTCGCACCCGATATCTGGTGGGGACCTCACGAAGGTATCAACCGAATGGCTCCATGCGAACATACAAAAAGGACCTCTCGGGGATGTGTACCCGACGTCAATGCACATTATGGAGGGTGATACGCCAACTTTCCTCTACCTTATTCAGAATGGATTGGGAAGCCCAGAAAGACCGGAGTTTGGCAGCTGGGGCGGACGTTACAGGGCTGTTAATGTCGGTAGCGCGCACTATGCTGATGTCGTCGATACGATCATTGACGCTCATATGACAAAACGTACGGATCAAAAAGCTACGATTTGCCGGTGGCGTGATCACTTCCAGAATGATTTTATGGCACGCATTGGTTGGACATTAACATCGAATTTCTGGCAAGCTTGTCACCCTCCTGTCCCGATCGTCGATGGTCACCAAGGCCCGACCTGCATAACGCGAAAGGTGAGATCTGGTAATGTTATCGTTCTAGACGCTGGAGGATCTTACGACCCTGATCACCCGGAGGACAATTCGCAGCTGGAGTTCCAGTGGTACCAATACATGGAGCCAACTATTAGTCATCCCATTGGGGCAGAAGCCGTGCCGCGGTGCACCATACAGCCTCTTTCTCCCCCATCCGTTGCCGGAGACAAATTACCCTACAATGATTCCGGTTTTGAGAATGTGGTGCTTGGGTCGCGGGTCGAGATCATGATACCGGATAGCAAGCAACCTGCACTGTTTGGTCTACCAGCCCAACACTGGCTTCCTTACACGGGAGTTTCTAGTATGGCATACCATATCATTCTACAAGTGTCCCACAAGAATGTGCCATTCCCCGTTCGGAGGTACTTACGTATCATTCTGGATGCGGGTTTGTCGTGAGGTTGACGACTGAACGAAGACAAAGTAGTATGCCCCGAAACCGCCCTTGGGATAGTTAGAAAATTGTCGGTCCCTCCTGACATAGTCTAGAGCCGCTCTAACCGCGTCAATATCTAGTGGAGTTCTCATTTCCTGTGTAAATAAGTCCATGCGAATTTCTTGTATCCACTGTAAAGACTCTCTTGCAGGGTGATTCATACCCTGATTGATTGGATGCATATGGAGGCAGCAATTTGAGTACTTGCAAGTCTTTCGCAACACAGGAGCTTCGAATTGTGCCCCATCTTGATGTTTTTAGGTATATTATACACACGATGATTTACAATATCACTCTAACAAGACGGCACCATCTTCGAACTCACCTAGCTTTTGCCCTCGAATCAACTTGAGAAGCCGTCCTGGGTGAACGAGAGCAAATAAGAGGGCAGCTATAGAAAGTAGGGACGCATCGAAGACATAGGAATGCTTCCCGGGTAGACAGATAACCGTCAGAGCCGCCAAGAAATTCAATCAGCCTGTAGAGACAACGAGCGAAAATCAAAGAGGTCACAGCGTGTAATGTCCAAAGTGATCTCTGCCAGTGGATCGAGGGTCTTCTTGAGACAAAAGTTGGACTTTTGTTAAGCCGACGATGAAGGATCGTACACTCTGTCAGAAACCAAGCTAGTGCGACGAGTTGGACAATCAACCCCCCGATGACTATGTGCTGACCAAGCTCAACGCCCTTCAAATCCCCGCTACCTTGCATAGCAGACCCCATCATTTGGCAAACAAAGCTTGCAATATCGATCAGAACGTATATTTTAGTGATCCAGGTTGACCTCAGAATTGTGTGCTTCTCCGCTCTGAGTGATCGCACAAAGCGACCGAGGGTCATATAAACAGTGGCGGCAAGGAGTGGCGCGGACCCCAGGATAAGCATGAGCTGGAGGAGGTAAGGACTACCCAGTCGTATATTGTTATGCGACCATGCTCTGCCGTAATAACCAAATGCCTCGCCTACCTTCCCCGTTAGCCATAAGCGTACATGAAATAGATCAAACAGAAAATTACCAATGCAGCCAAGAATAAACGGGATAAAAAACCATGCCCGTAACGGGAACATATAAATGAAATGAACGGTTGTGCAGATTCCGAAAATGACAACGAAAGCCCATCCAGCTAATTTGGATGGATTGTATGGGTAAAGATCGAAAGGGGCTAGGCCGCCACGCGCTTGAATTCCATGGCTAGTCATTTGAAGGATTGTCCGAGGAATCTAAAGGAAGAGTGCTCATTAGGATTATTTCCACCAGGAATGTCGAAAATTCCAGGAGAAGTCCGCCTTATAGGGGAGGATGTGCAGCCAAAGGGATATATATTTGGAAGCTCGACTACCTCCGCAGATTGCTCAGACGGTAATACGTAGAGGTTTCGGACCGTACGGAGATGTCTTCTCAGAAGTTAGGAGATCAGGAGATCTAAATTTGGGGCGCCAGATTCCAAAATGGGTATTTTTGGGACACGAATACGGTAGGCTTTATCAAGCGGGCAGTTTGTACTCCCGGTAACGTAGTCCACAAAGCCAGTCACATAAGCGAGCCGGTCACCCTCCCCTATTACGAGATTTCAAATTACACGGATGGTTTACGTTATATTGTGGATATAACGTGACGACTTCCGTTATTCTTGCTGACTTTGTGGTCCGTTTCCCTAGCTGACTGATCCGAGATTGATTATCGGTTTTCCTTCCCTAGGATTAGCGTGTTGCATGTCAGGATAAAATATACTTCTAGGTTAGAAAAGCCTGTTGATCAGGTAAAGAAGTAAAGGTAACAGTGAGATGGCGACAAGACTGTTTTCCCTGAGGAGCGTAAGGCCTACTCTACCAGGCACAATATCTATACAGTCTCATATTTATCCCGCTCCCCCTCTCTCTTCCAAGGATGTATCCCCTCCTGTTTTAGCGACAAGATTGTATATAAATTGAGCGATGAAAAGGAGACCTTACGCTCCCCAAGGAACAGCCTTTGACTTCTTTGAACAGTCTGACCGGGTATCTTTCTCCTACCCAATTAACGGGCCTCTACCCTGACAACTATAATATCCATTTCCACTCATATCGGGATATATTTCAACAGTTTATTTATAGTAACCCATTCGCGATTTCCTGTTCAATCGCTGACTAAAATATTAATTAAAGTATTAATTAAAGTATTCTACTCTAGAACTAGCTTCTACTCGAATAGAATATCTATTACGAAGCTAGGCTTATCAAATTTATAGATTGTAAGAACATACACTAATTGTCTGGGTAAAAGACTGTCAATCAGGCAGGCAAAAATAACCAAGTCAGATTGTTCAAGGCAGTCAAAGACTGTTCCTTGAGGAGAGTAAGCTCGCCTTTTCATCACTCAATTTATATACAGTCTCGTTGCCAGTAAGGAAAGGGGATATATCCCTGGGAGGAAGAGCGGAAGGCGATGAATACCAGACGATTTAGCCGCCACCAAATGTCTTGCTTGCAGTGGTTCGTACCTCTGCCGGCTGGAAGCTTGCCGTCTCGCGAGACCATTTAGCCTGAGGCATCAACATTGTGAACAATCCCATATCATAAGATAAATATTTTTTAGTTAGATACGGTTCTCCTTAATCCTACGATATTATATTCAAAGCTACTCTTATATAGCCATTGGATCCTTATTAGGAGCGCGCCAATAATGATATCGTCTAGAGAAGCATGATCGAATCTTATCGCGCCGTTAAATGAACGAAGGCGAATTTTTCCCTATAGTAGCTATATCGCGTATTGTAGAGGCCTAGGGGCTACTCACGCAAATATATTACTGAAGAGAATCCTTTTAGTAAGCGAATACTCTTCGAATGGGGTTATATTCTCGCGTAAGATCCGACCGTTTACGCGTTTACAATATTCAGCGCGATATTTCGTATAGCTTTGCTGCTGCGCGTGTAGATGGGATACGGCTATCTTTGATATTCGAAGAACTATCAGATCCTGCCCTTTTGATCAGCTCATTTAAGTGAGGATTTGGCACGGATTGGTGGCATAGGTGGTTGAATTAGGTAAGTTGGTAGGAGGATGCGATTTTGGATGGGGTGGCCTGCTTGCCCGCGAATTACGTTAGATGTCCGACACACCATGAACTGAGGGAACCAGATCGTCGTGGTGGTTCGGCTCCTAATCGTAATTAAGCCTTCTCGACTTTTTGTAAAGGCCATTCGATCCAAGATCGGTGACGTACATGCAGAGAGCCTGATATCCCCGTCAACACGTGTTTAGCCCAGCCTTCCATAAACCACGACGTCTCCATGTACTTCAAAAGAACCGCCCAGTGAGCGAATATCACTAAAGCTCCTGGGTCACATTTTTCCGATAGATGCACAAATTCTTCAGGCCGACGGTAAATCCATCCGATCAACACATCCATCAAGAAAACGCCTGATTTTCCAACTGATATTTTCTCGTACATTTCATACAAAAGCTCAAATAAATCATGAAGAGCAGCGAGCTTTAGGTCAAGCTCATTATTTTCTGCGTTTTCTGCTTCTAAGAATAGCTGCACTTCTTCCAGGTGGATTCTATGTTCGTGAAGCTCAGCTCGCATCGCGGGTATGAATTCACATGAGATTCCCTCGCCGCTGGGCTCAAGAATTCCACTGAAGACTTTCTCATGATGTAAATGTAGAATGAGTTTCACTCCGTTCATAAGGACAACCCATTCCGCCGGACCATGCTCACTGAAAATGAGGTATTCGCCGGGCCGTGGGCCTCGCCCAAAGTAGATGAAACAGATCATGACAGCGGCCATGTAAACCATTTGACAATTTTCAGGATTGAGTTGAGAGATAATAGCTGTAACTGATTGAACACCAAACGTGAAATGATGATCGGCTTGTCGAATGTATTGGTCCCGCAATTCGGGTTGATCATGCCCTAGGTGAAGTGCCGACAGAGCAAGTATCAAGTGCAGGATAGCTGAGAACTCGAAACCCCATTCAGGGAGGTGCTTTTGCCATATGCCGAATACATCTTGGTGTTCCTCTCGCATGGTTTTGTATGTTGAGATAGTGTAGTGATGGAAAAGTTTCAAATCTGTAAGTGAGAGTTTGTCTAGGGAGATGTCCCGTGAGAGCGTAGATTGAGTCTCCGTAGAGCATGTCAGTTGCTTTTGCTGAGCCTTAGGCTTAGTGAGTTTGAATGTTTGTATCACTCCCCCTCTCGCACATTCGAAGGGTATGTATCGCCGTGGGCGAGGGCGTGCTTCGGTGATTGTTTCAGAACTTCCAGAATTCGGGGACAATCCTGCAGGCGAGTCATTGCCGGTAAATGAACATTCCACGTCGTGGTTCTTACAATTGATGCATGATGGCCGCTTCTCATCGCACTTCAAAGGATCATTAACATCCGGCCTGATTAGAGCATACCATCGCCCGCGCGGCGAACAAAGCAAGGAACGAAGCAATTCACGCATGCTTCAAATGAGGAGGTTCAAGGACCCGGAAAAAAAGGCCGGTGCAGCGTCTTCAAACGAAGGTGAAGGGGTGGAAGGAAACGTCGCATGGACTGTAATACTCACTTTAATCCGCCGCCTCTTACAATTGGCGCATCCTGACCGAGATTTATGATGAGTACGCCGGGATCGAACTTTCCTTCCGCCCTCGACATTCATTGACCGCTGCCTAGGAGGTAATATCGTAATCGTACTTTCTTGTGTCCTTCTCCGGCGCAAAGATATGCAGCTGGGTGGGGGCCACTGGATCTTGATTGTAGTTTGGTTCTGCGGTATAAAGACCAGCTATCGCGCTGGAGGAGAAGGCAAGATACGGATACGCAGAGAGTACCGCATCTGATCCAAGTCGCCCCAGAATTCGCCACGTGTCACGTGCGCAATCACCCAACGCATACTGAGTCGGCTATATCATGTGCACAATGAAACGTGGGGCAGGAAAAATCATGTGATATATACAGTGACACAGCAAAAGTTTGTAGAACACCTCCCCCACACACCCTCGATTACATAAAACTGCTGGCCAAAACTCCATAAAATTGATAACCTGCTACATACCTAGATCATGCACACCTAGTAGGGCGTATACCAACCTTCCGAATCAAAAATCGCTTGCACTCGATTAGGCATTATCTCAGAAAGGTGTTCTAGGTGGCGCATATCGATATTTTGCCATGCAATCTGCGCAGTTTCTACTAGGATTCGCTTCGTCTCAGCGTTTCTCTTTATATGTGTAAGATCAGGCGTATGAGGTGGCCAGACCATCACCTCGATCTCCAATTCTTCCAATGCATCGCGTACAATGTATGCAATATGCATAGGTGCGTTATCATGCATAACAATCCCATTTTCAGTAGGCAATATGGTTGATTAGACTCAGCGGTATAATTCTTCAGTAACGAATCGATTAACACCACCGGGTTCTGATGTAGGATCGCCGAATAGGGGTATTAAACCTGTACGTTGAGTAGCTAGATAAGAAGCCCAAAAAACTCTGCTTAACCTAATTACCACGATGCAGTAAACCCTGGCCTGGCATTCGCCCTTTTTAGGCTGTTCTCGAGGGCGTATAAAGGCTCATTCGCGGCGAATACCAATGCCACGCTCAACAGTGAGTGCAACAGACCAGTAAACACGAGCCCAATCTGCCGATTTAAAGTGTTAATATCGGCTAGCCTATTGGAGACGCTTAGCTATGTGTTCCTCATCGAGATTAAGCCCCGCTTTTTTTTATGGGCAGCATGAACAGATCCTGAGCCAAATCCTTATAAATAGACCCTTGAACCCAAATAAGAGCCACAGCACATCGTAGTAGCCAAGCCTTTTTGCCGATCCACCAACGACCGTGATTGTTCAGTTCTCATTATGCCGATTGCAGGAATACGGATACGCAAGAGTTACCGAAAAGAGGTAATTTGCCATCCACCCGTATCGCCCAGGCGAAAGGGTGGAGACTGCATATGCATTATTGCTCCACCACGTATTTATAGAAATTTGTATTGATACCATGGTTGTGAGGAGCTTACTACGAAGGCAGAAAAAAAAGACAGGCCGAAAATTCTGAAAAATCGTCAAAGCTAACGAATATAAGCTCATACCACTCCATATCTGTTCAATCCTCCGCTCAGCATCTCGTTCTGCTCTACCCCCTATTTTCAAACCCCTATCCCAAAATGCCTAAGCAAGAAGGTGCTATACTGGATCGATACTGGCATAAAAGTGGTGTCCGTGGTTGTATAGCCCGTGTTCTCCGCCCTGTGCAATTTCTCTTTGCTATCATCGTTGCCGCTCTGTACGGCATCGATTTAGCCTATGCGACAAAGACAAACACTACCGCCCCAGCAGAGTGGGTGTATGCTGAATTAGCCGTCACCTTATCCGCTATCACCTGTATTGTGTATTTCTTTGTCCCTTTCCTCCATGCTGCGTGGTCGACTTGGGATGGAATTTTATTTGTCTTCTGGCTCGCCCAGACGGGTGTTTTCGGAAACATCTATATCTCCGGCGCGCTAGACGATCACTACAAGCATGCTACTTTGTCTATTCCTCGAATGCGTGCTGCTGTCTGGATTGACCTAATCAACATGTTGTTATGGCTTTTCACGTTCATCCTAGGCATCGCTTGCTGTTGTCGTACCCGCAAACCCACAAGTCAAGGAGACGATGTCGGTGACAACAAAGACCACTTCTTGAAAAACGATGAGGAAGAGTGCCTTGGCGATAAGAAAGACGATTATATCAACAATGATGTGGAGAATTGTTCTCTACCAGAATACAAGGAGAACCCTGATGAGGATTTGGCTGCAAGTCTCGCTGCTAAAAATTAAATTCATCAATGCGACTCGGGAAAAGGATGCCTTTCAGGTTGAGATGGATATCGACAGATGGGAATTTGGATGCTGGAAAGTGGTGGAAGTATTCTGGCTTGGCCACAGATACGACATTCCTTGGATATTGCGAGGCCAAGCGGGATTTTTCAGTGCCCATAACCGCCCGTTCAATGGTCTATTCTATGTAGCAGTCACCAAACACCTCTTAAGGTTGACGTTTGATGACTCGACCCCATTGACCTCGACTACTCGGTCGTTTGGTCATGCGTCCTCCCGTTTACACCTGTATAGATTCCTCTGCAGGTTTGATGGTTCTTTCCAGGACCGACGCTGTTCTTTGTCTTGTAGACCTATTTAGGTCTTTCTCTTCTTCTTTTTCTTCTTCTTTTTCTTCTTCTTTTTCTTCTTCTTTTTCTTCTTCTTCTCTAGATCATCTTCACCATAGTCTAGGCAGACATTGACTCAGATTCTCCCTTTCTGCTTCCTCTGCGTAGGTGTCGATGACACCATCAACGTTGAATGCCTCCTTCATCTTGTACGGTGTTGCATTGAGATTCGCAAAATCTGATCATTCGCTACTACGTTTATTTTCCGCCAGTTGATCCATGCTTCTTCGAGGAAACTTTATGAGAAGATCTAGGGGTATTGTACATGAGAATATCACCCTTGCTGCCAGCCCGCTCATAAGCGGTAACAGTGTGACCAGCATAGTTCAGCCGATCAGCAGCAGCCAGAATATCTGGATGAGCCATTATACCATTACTTGTACAGTCGACTGTTTTCAAGCTCTATTCATTATGATCTAAAATGAAATTTCATTTTGTTATTGCATATCTCAACAGATTCACAGGTTGTTAAAAGGTGAATCTTGCCAGTTACCCTTACGGAGTCAACCGGTACTATATCTGGATCATCATCCTACTTGTCTCTTCCACATCCGGGAGAATAAACAGTCTGTAGCTAGGGCAATACTTGCATTTGATCTGGGCGAGACGCTCGTAGTTGAGCTGTAGAAGACCCGATGGAAGTTGCTAGTGAAGGGATAACTTAAGCTTCGCTCATCCAGGTAACTGAATTAGGTAACCACTGTCACTATATCTGCTTCTTAACCTTGTTCCACTGGGCTAATTTCAGTGAGTCTGTAACTTTGGGTTCGACAGTAGCAAAATTAAAGAAATAGAGATACGCGGAATGCTTAGTAGGAAGCAATGCACCCCATAGGACAATCAGTAAGGACAGACAAGAAGTTCCCACGCACACTCCACACAGCATTCTCGTGCAGTTTATTCACCATTGGGAGAGGCCTGCTCTTTGGCCATGATCAAGTAGCTTCAATCTGTCCAAGGAAGAACTTATATGGGAGAAGACAAAAGTAAAAGAAGACGAAAGTAAAAGAAGACGAAAAGTGGCTAGCGTTGGAGGTTTGTTTTCGCCGTAGGTTTCTGCGCAGATGTATAAAGGAAGGTTCTAACCCTCCATCAAACCCTAAAGTGGGCGCGATACTATCACACTTGGCCGTATTTGTCCCGAGTATCGTCGAGCAGATCCAATCTATTTTTCCTAAAGTCAGCTACACTGCCTGAATTGATGATTGAGATGTGGGGCCGGTCTTTCTATCCGTCTCATATCGATGCGCTGTTGGGTATATCCCTAGTTTCGTTTTCACAGTGGGTAGTTCAATGTCCCATGCCTTTTGGGCTCCACCCCTACCATCTGTAATAGGTTTACTAGTTAAGTGTGAAATTCATGTAAACGACAACATATTCCTTCACTCGTTCTTTCTATAGAACTTCTTATAGGTTGACTATAGTGGCCGGATGGATCTTATGACTCAAGCCTACTCATGGTTTTCTCAAGCGCTCTATCTCTTTACCAAAGAAGCTTTTCGCTTTTCACCCTGAAGATAACTCTCTTGTAGGAATACAAACAAGGAGCTCCGTCATCCTTCACTTCAAGAACCAGATGCAGATCCTGGCCTTCTGCTTTTGTATTCCCATTCGGAAAATCAATTACACACTTCTCCGGCCCAGGTATAGCAACCTTCACTTTCCACGTCTCGTTCCCAGTCCCTTCCAGTGGCGCAATATCGAGGTCCGCAATCTGAGGGTCAATGACCAGGCCCATCGCCGCTGTGGGTTCACGATATTGAAACCAATTAAATGCCAACCGATCTCCGTCAGGATCATAGCTTTCGGAAGCATCTAAAACGACACTCCCACCTGCCACCACATCCAATACCAAGGCCTCCGGCCCTGAACTTCCATTAACAACTACCACAGGCGCATGGTTTGCTGCCCCGAAATTGTTCGATAATGTCCAACTCATCCTCGCAGCAAAATCATGCTGATACGCTTCCCGCCACCTCCAAATAGTCGCCTGGTTACTAACGAACTTTCTTCCATTCATGCCAACAACACGATCTGCCGCGTCGGTGTAATGAGTCGCCGCAAACTTAGGATCAATGGGCGTGTACCGACCCCCCCAACTTCCGTATTCAGGGTGTTCTGGGCACCCAAGGCCATTCTGAATGAGGTATAAAAAGGTTGGGGTATCACCTTCCATGATGAATTTGTAGTCGGGGTACACGCTACCAAGAGGTCCAATCTGGATACGTTTTTTCAGCCAGGACGCGCAGACGAGAGAAGTATCCGGACCGCCATGATCGGGGAATTCGTCTCCTGTGATATCACCGGAAATTCCTGTCCAGGTGGCGAGGGCATAATTGTTCCAGCCATGAATGGAGCAGATATAGAAAATATCTGGATACGTTGTGCGGATCCAGTGGCCCGTATCATCTTGGTCGGAAATAGCGTAGACCCTAATTCTTGAGCGGAGAGTAGCAAAATTTGACGCAGATTGGCTTTTGCTGAGATGCTGCAGGGCTTGAGCGAGGACGTTCGTTCCCCCCCAACAGAGTACCCAGAGAGGATGCTCAGAGGCGGATAGCTGTTCAATTAGGAGCTCTGCGCCGTTGCTCAATTGGACGTCGGGGCCCAGGGCACGTTTGCCGTACGTGGATGGTCCAGTCCGTAGAATGTTGAGGAGATCCTCGGCGGATGGGTACTGATTGTCTGGGTGGACGTGGGCGTTGAGATTGGAGACGACAGATCCGTAGGCACGGATGATCGTCTCCATCTCTTCTGGGTGGACGACTGAGCGCAACCAGTTTGAGGTGCATGCAACAAGGCCCTTGATGTCAAACTCATTTCCGTAAAGTAAGAAGCGCACGAGTGATTCGGCATCGTCAGGCTCGTTGGCAATATCGGAGGTTACGAAGACTCGCGGTTTGTTGGGACAGAAGCGGGGAGTGCACTGGTGCGCCATTCTGTATGATGAGTGTATCGTTCCGGCCGGAGTTGATTAAATGGCAAGTGGGGGGGGGGGTTGTTTGGATTAAAACTTTTGACCAGAGGAAGTGGCCGTTGACTTGGTGTTTAATAGACAGACTAGTGCTGTGTGTATTTTTACACTAGTCTCCTCTCATGTAAATTCGGAAATAGTCTGTGCATAGAGTGACAAGCGCCCATTTATCAGAAAATAGCCTGAAATTGCCATTCATCGTCTTGTAGATAGGTTGTGATAGGACGACAGCTCGAGTCCGAATATGGAATCTGTAAGCGTTCGCTTGAGTGGTAGAATGTTAACCCGGACTTTAAGCAGGGTGGGGCTCATTGTTGACAAGAGAAAATGCCGGCATGAGGACACTCAAAAATAAAATAGGCTGAATACATTGGAGACTTTTCCGCAGACTTTTCAAATCAAGTCTTCATGTGCCGAGATCTCGTGCCCGGTAGCTAATCCCCCGAAGTTGTATGTGTGGGGGATTTGCGGGGTCTGGGGAAAGAGAACTACTATCTGTGAGTTAGGACTCATGTTGTTTTGGAATTCATGTGGAGTTCGAACTTCCCAAAAGGATGTTTTCGCTTTTCTCAATTTTTCACTTTAGCCTATCCAGCTTGCCCAGCCTGTTCGTAATATGCAATTAATTCGCCTCAGCCGATGATGGGGAGACAAATTTCAAGTCATTATTCCCGAAATTCGCGAGGAAAAAACCTTTCAGAAATTACTGTTTAGGGCATAAGCAATGGCCTCTCGTGCCCGGGGTATATATAGAGGCAATCCCGGTCAACGTTGTCATTCCAACGCTGGCAATAAGAGCTCATGATCACAGCTGAAAAATGACGAATATCAAATTTTTCATACTTTGGGGACTGGCAGTAGCATCTGCGGCCAAGAGCACTCGAAAGATTGTCGTTGATGCTTCGGAAGTCGTGGGTACTCTAAAGAACTTGCAAGGTGAGACCTACAAGAAATATGCTCAAGTCCCAGAATGAACTAACAGAAATGAAGGTGTCAATAGTGCTGATAGCGGTACGCAAGAACTCACTACCCTTGACTTTTAAGACCAGCAACATTAAGAAAATGATTAGCATACATTGCTCCGGGTGAGTGGAATCAGGATACCTTCTACAACAAGGATCCTGCGATCGGAGCTCTGTTTCCCGAATATGGAATTGAACATGTCCTTATTTGTAAGCATAATTGTGGTCAAATGTCAGAACTAACGCCGTTGAAGACTTGTACACTAAAATTCTCCCAAAAGATACCTTTCCCGATGTCTTCTTGGGGTGGGGTAAGAGCGGAGTTGATGGCGACCCTATGGTCAATGACAACTACAACTGGACTGGGGTAAGATAATCCGCATCCACAATGATAATTCGAATTCAATTGTTGACACTACAAATAAGGCCGATGATTACGTCCAGTTCGTAACCAGTAATGGGGCAAAGGTAAGGAATATTCAGCGTCACATTGGGTGTACGGTGCTAACAAAGGGTTAGGCAACGATCCAATTCAACGTATAACTATTCCCCACACCTCACATGCACATATCCACTTTCTTACTCTTTTCATAGCCTACCAATGGGACCAGTGTCAATGTATCCTCCCCGGAGATGCTAAGTCAAATTGGTTACATGGTGACTGATCGCTATATGTGAGGTTCCCAGTATCGCTTGCAGCAGGTTGGCTGACCATATTTTAGGAATGGAGCTTACGATTCCGGCTTTTATAATGCGATTGAGCTATTTGAATTCTTACCGGAGACAGATTTAGTACGACCTCTTTGTAAATGTTCTTTGCTTCATTTTTTTACAACAAAAGCAGGTGCGGGCAAGCTTTTCGAATGCGACTTACGAAAGATACTTTTCTTATTTCGCGGCCTTTAGCCTCGCTGTGACGAACGCCAGGTTAGCCTTCCTCATCTACCACCGCCAGAATTTGAGTACTAATCATATATAGCGACGCTGTTGGTGTGTACGTGTTGCAATACATCTTATGACTCTATTTCCGCTAACAATGTAATAGTGCTGCATGGGGTGGTAATCAGATATGTTCGCATGGCCGCACCCTAATCACCAAATTGTGTCTAACGGAATACAGATCCCGCTAATACCAACTACACAGTATGGTAATCTAAAGCAAATGGAAGTGTAACAGAAAAGCTGACTGTCAAGGTTTCCGATCCGTACGTTCGCCGGTTTTACAATGACTGTCACAACCGCAATGTTCCTATCAAGGCTGCGTCATTCCATTTCACGAGCACACAATTTTCCTTTGACCGTATGTTTCTGCCAACTGATCCAGTCAATGTTACTTACAATAACCAGCATACGATATCATTCGGGTAACGGATAAATTCCGAGCAGAAGTTCTGGTTCCCGCCGGGTTACCAGACCTCCCGATATGGGCCACAGAATTTGAACCTGCGCCATTCCCAGTTTTGCCCACGTAAAGCAATGCCCCTAGGTTTTGCAAAACAAGAAAGCTAATCCTTGATAAATCTAGGTCAACAAAAGCGCTCGAAGCCTTCAATGATCCAGCGTTTTTCGCGAGTTTCACCCTCGGTGTGGTAAGTTTTTCTCTGATACTTACATAGTTGCGCAACAATCCTGATCAGATTCATCACCTAGTCGATGTTTGCCCAAGACACGTCCGTCGATCAAGTCCTCCCGTGGCCTGGATTTGGTTATAATGGAACTGGAGCCGGTGACCAACCTTTCAAAGGCTTCTTCAATCGAAGCTCATCCGGTCCAATCCCTCTCAACGTGGCGAAGGCATGGTTCCTACAGGGAAAGCTTGTCAGCGATACCAAAAATCGCGTGAATGTCTTCGGAAGCTCAGAAGACGGATTTGCTGCCCTTGCAGGAATTTCGGATGATCGTACGAAAGTGCAGACCCTACTTAACAATTATCAGTTTTATTTTGACATTGCCACCGAGATCACAACACAGATGGTGAGTTCCTCAATTGAGGCTTTTGTGAATTTAGCCCCGCCTTTACTGAAAAATGCTGTAAATTACAGATTCCTATATTTAACACGTCTGCTTCAGCCTCTCCACTGCTTCAGGATAATGGGCGTAAGTGATTGGATATCTATTCGTTTTGCGGAAACTGATTCGAATTGTCTTCTTCAGTTTTGAATGGGGAATCCACTTGCTTTATCAGTGGCGGTAAGTTTCTCGTAATCCACCTTGGTCCACGACAGTCTAATCAATCTTTACAGCATGCATGACATTCCCCAAGGCCACAGTGCGCAATAACACCAGTATCGCATATCTTCTCCAGATAACTGGACTCCCGTGGCAAGAAACCGATACATATGAGCTCCAAGTCCAGAGAGTTGCCAATGGGGTCACTAACTCGACATACCTAACGAAAAATGGAAAGGGCAACAATATTAGTCAGTTTTCTATCAAGTACAGCCAAATGCATTGGGGTGATCATTAATCGATAAAGCAGACTTCACTGTTTCGTTTCCTCCCAACGCACAGGATCTCGTCATTGTGCAGAAGTTGAGTGGCTGATGAATGCTACACAATCTGAAGCTGAAGCGCTGTTATCGAGAAGCCTTTTGTCCACGAAAGTCGAACAGTGATTTACGGTCAAATTTTCCCAGCCTCTCCGTCCTCCTGTACTTTTTTTCCCATGTGAACACGGATATTGCACTGGAGCCCTGGGCCCCTCACCTTATATCCCTTGGTCTTCTAGACTGGCCATCGGCCTTTCTCGCGAATATTAAGCATGCAACCCCAACATCTGTTCTTTCGTTCTTTCGGATTCTTAATCAATTGAAGGATTTATTCAGCTTCATGGGTTCAGTATCTATGAAATTATTCATCAACTATATTCCAAGTAACACTATCTAAACTTACCCTCCCAGTACTGACTAGAAAGATGAGCTTCCGTAATTGTATTTAGCATTATACAGGCCTACACTGTGCATATTGAGGCAAACTTATGTGTCACTTTAAATTGTCGCTTAATCCGCTGCATGGTGTGATATTCGTACACGAGAACTTGCCGACGACCAAAATGAAAGGTTCGAAATCGAAGACCAGTACACATATTATGAGAATATTTATCTACACTTTTAAGTGCGAAGACCGGAACGAACCTGGTCAGTATAAGCAAATCCATAAATTCGATAATCAATGAGGAACCGAGGCGCATCCAGATTTGAAGGCACACTGGAAGCAAAGCGGTGGCCACAGAGAACGGATTTTCGAATCGTATGGCCAGCAATGGTTGTGTGAGCAATAGGCCTCATTACTGTTTCGGGTGTATTGAGGTGACACCATGTCATGAGCGGGAAAAATGAAATTGAAGCTAAGTTAGAGCAGCAGATTCACAGAAGATGATTGTCATTGAACGTCGTCCACTTATCACCCGATGCAGCTGTTCTTCCCCTCCCTAGATCACTACTCATGGAAACGCCTAGGAAGGCTATTAAAATTGACCAATCAGAGTTGAGCCATTGCTAGCCGAGCGGACACCACTCAGGTTTCATCAATCGGGGCAATGCATGCCGAACGTCTGAAATAGGCAACGTTATCGTATCCGTACTAAAGCTTGACAAGAATATAGCTTCAAAACCTTGCCTAATTTTTATGTGCAAACGTACTAAGCCCTGGGTCAGAACTGGGCATCTTTAAGCGCTTTTTATGCCAATAAAAAAACGTCTGAGTATGATTGAAATCCTAAAGTCCGACATATTTTGAGAATTAGGTTCAATAAGTGTCAAACGTCCTAGGTCGGAAATGCCTAACTCGACTTTACTTCAAGGTCTCCTCATTTCGTGTGGATTTGTAACGAAGTAAATATCTGTCGATGTATTTAGCTCAAATGAGAAACAATTGGCAACTCTAAGCGCTGCTGTTGATAAATACAATCTCGAAATTGAGGTGTGTTACGAAGCGTGAGATATTGTCCACTCTCCAGTCGGAGTTTGGCCACCCGGTCGTGCTGGCCACCTCAAAACACCATACTAAATGCGATAAATTACAACTTCATATCTCAATAACCATTCATAATTTAGATGAAATATAAAAGATACAGAGACTTAAGAGCATGATTAGCCTATATGTAGATAATGAAAAGATAGTTTCAAGTAATCAGAGAGATATACATATATGAATCTAGCACACCAAAATTACGCCGTCTTTTATGGTAACACATTTGAATAATCGTTTGAAACACTTGGAATCTATCATGGTTCTTTCTATGCCTATATAGCTGTATGTCTTAGAATTCTGACCGAAATAAATGGATGGTGGTTGAAATATAGAGGAATCAATATTCAACATCTTGTATAGTGTTTTGGGGTGGCTAGCACGACCGGGTGGCCAGATCAGCCGGGAATTACGTTAGACTATTAAAGTGACAAAGCCCAAGCCAACGGCGCAGCTAGAGCGAAAGGAATCAAGCCGCGGCGACGGGGACATTTTCGAATCCTACGGCTGGCAAGCTTAGCACAACCAATGGGCCTCGCTTTGGCATGGAGGTGTATTTGAAGCGATGTCTTGTCAGATGGCACGGAAATAGAATACGAAAGAAACAGATTGAAAGAATTGAGTGTATGCGAAGTTCGCGTACTTCCTGCCGGGTGTTCCTCTATCGTAGATCCCAGCCTGAGCTGGGAGGGGCTAAGGTACGCCGTCTAAGTTGGCCAATCAGAGGTAGCCGCTCGGCCGGCCGAATGGACGCCACAAGCAGTTGATGAACAGGCTAATAAATGCGGGACATCTCAAATAGGGAATTCTGTCGTATTCGTACTACGTAGAGTTTGATAAGAATTACTTTAAGCTTTCACACTTAATACAAATCTAGCGGGGTATATATTCATGGACTTTAGCCCAGAGGACCTACGTGGGCATCTTTAAGCACTCGTACTAAGAAATAAACCTTTGAGCATTAAAGTTTCAAAGCACGAGAATTCTGATGAATAGGTTCAAATAATGTTGAGCATACTGATGGGGGAATAACTTCCTATCCGTATTGCATCAATTTAGTGATAACTTACTCTAAAGTCTTCCGTTGTGCAAATGTTGAGGATTGTCTCTGTTGATGGGCTTAGCTCAAGGGACAGAACACAAGCACCTTTCAGCGCACTCCTTGATAAATAAACTCTCGAACCTGAGCGAACTTGTAAAGCGCGAGTCATAGCAGAATCACTAGCCAGAAGTCAGAATTACATATTAGGTGAGTGAGAAAGGCTGTGTACACTGCGTCTTTCAATAGGATAGTTCGCACCTTTAGCCTAGACCTGACAATCGTACTAGTGTTATGTTTCAACTACTGGAATGATCCCCCACTTGGCCAGCTGGACTTATCTGGTAGTAGCAAGCGCCGGTTGAAATTACAGCGAAGAGCGAGGATTTTCACAGGTACTGGTGAGAAGAATCTGGGGAAGGATCAGCACTGGTGACAACGAGTTATAATAGGGAGAGAGGTGTTCGCGGCAACAATGACAGATACCTCTATCTCTCTATCCGGAAAATTTCGTCAACCATCCATTGAACATCTACAGAACAGGTATTCTGTAGGTTCAATGGTGTACAAAAATCCAATTATTCCGGGTTTTGCCCCGGACCCTTCAATAGTCCGCATCGAGGACACATTCTATCTTGTTAACTCGTCTTTCCACCTCTACCCGGGACTGCCAATCTTTGCGTCAAAAGATTTGATCGCCTGGCGACATATCGGTAATGCCATTCATCGACCAACACAACTGTGTCTTTCGCAAAGCGGCACGAAACCAAATTCTGGCGGTGACGATTCTGGTGAAAAAGCCCCGGTAACAGGGGGACTCTACGCCCCCACGATTCGGCATCACAATGGCGTAACTTACATAGTTTGCACAAATGTCATCTACAATCCGAAAAAAGATGAAGGAGACTGGGTATCGGGTCTCAAATTCCAAAACTTCATCATCTCTACGGCGGATATACAAGGCGGTCAATGGTCTGACCCGGTCTACTTTGATCTTCACGGAATTGACCCCGATTTATTCTTTGATGACGATGGTAGAGCTTATATCTCAGGTTCATCCTGGACACCGTCTCCATCCTGCTGCATCAGTTGTTTCGAGATAGACCTCGTCACAGGTCGAAGGATGACGCAGGAAAGGGTCCTCTGGCATGGCTTTACTCGAATCATCCCTGAGGGCCCCCACATCTACAAGCGAGACGGATACTACTTCTTGCTCACTGCGGAGGGGGGAACACACGATGGGCATTGTATCAGCATTGCGCGAGCTCCAAGTATCTGGGGTCCGTACGAGTCTTGTTCCCGAAACCCAATTCTCCCGCCAACAGCGGAGCAAAACCAATCTGCATTCTGCCAATTCAACGGACACGGAGATTTGGTACAGGATTTCCTCGGCGATTGGTGGTTAGTATGTCTTGGTGTACGGAGAGACCGAGCAGGGAGAATGGTTCTAGGCCGTGAGACGTTCCTGGCTGCTGTAGACTGGCAGGACGGGAAGAGTTGGCCACGAATTCAGCAGCCGATTCCGCGGGTATTACGGCGGATTCCCGTGGGCTGCAAAGCGGGATTGGAGGATGATAGTTGTTTCTTGCCTTCCTGGCCTGTTGGGCCAGTCCCTTCACCGCTCTCGCCGAAAACAGACTTAGTCTGGATTCGCGACCCAGACTTCAGTCGTTGCCAAGTATCGCAAGATACCAAAGAGATTTCGCTTCTGCCATTGCCCACAGATCTGGGGCAATGTACGGGGGGCTCAACAGCCTTTGTTGGTCGAAGAATACGGCGGCTTGAAGGGGTCGCGACGGTTGATTTACTTGTATTGCCTACTTTAGAGCACATTGAAGGAGCGAAGATAGGGTTGGCTTACTACAAGGACGAATATCGATATGCCAGGATACTGTATGAGCCAAGTGACCATGTGATCGTTTTTGACATGGTGAACCACTTGAAAGATCCTCCCATCCTGATGTGTTCCAGAGTCAAAGCGAACAGTGCACAGGTTACGAGGATTCAGTTTCGAATATTTTATACGGAACATCTTATACATTTTTTGTATCGGCTAGGAGAGGGTGATAAATGGAATAGATGGCAATCGCATGGGTTGGTCGACGCATTGGATTTGACTGGAAAAGACTTCACGGGGCCAGTGATTGGAATTTTCGCCATTGGGAATGGAGGCGAGCGGTGTAATTTTGATAATATAGATATTTAAATAGTGTTGTTTCCTAATTTTATTTGTGAATGGCCCCTTGTTCGTTTGCACTATTTACAGTCAGGTTCCATAAGTATTTGCACCCCAAGCCCCACACCACTTATTACATAATATTCTGCCTTGTAAAGGTTTCCACTTAGAGTCTAGATAATTAGGTTCCATATAAACCGATAGCGCGTCAATCAAAACCAAGGACCTGTTTGTCTATTAGAATATTTATGTGCAGTTTATTACGCAAACTTCCCGCCTCACAGCGACGTGCTCAACCTGACGTGTGTTCTAGCTGAGTGGATACAGTAGGCGGTGTGGACCGGGGGGTTAAAAACTTATGGAACGTCACTGTAACATCGCATTGTTTGGCAGAGATCAGCTACAGAATAGTAGCGAGAACTAGTTAATATCATGCAGAGTCTCGGAGATGAGAAAAGAGATCCTAGAGATACGTCGATTGCTACAGATTTGCTTCATTTCCACCCCTGGATCCATTCGATTGCTTTTCATGAAAAAGCCCGACCAGTACTGAGAGGCCTACGGGAACCTGCTAGCGACGAAGTACCATGCTGCCGAAGTAGGTGATGCGACTGTGTTGCGTGATTGTTGTGGTACCTTTTACTACCTTGTATGTTCCAGTTCTAAAATTTGCCTGTTCTGAATTCTCTTGTACCGTGACCCATCCATGGGGACCGGATGGCCTTGAGCACCGTCTAATAATTACCCCGAGAGATACATCCAGATGGAGGGGGATGAATATTTCCAAATTGTACACGGAATCGGTTCAAAGTTTGATAAGGATCATAAATTACCATAGCATACAACAAAACCTCTCTTAATCAAAATCCCGACTCATACTCTACTTCTCAATATCTGCAGCTGAGTTACATTTATTCCACCCTTTCCCGTTAATAAAACCACCAAACCACAATTACAACTACTCCTTATCACTCTCTCCCTTCTCAATAACAGCATCCTCAACATGAGAGACAGTATCATCCCTCTTCTCATCCAAGTCTTTACCCACCGCAATATTTGCGTTGAACAGATCATCCGCGTCATCAAAGAGCACCGCGATCTCCTCCAAAGTCATACCGGTAGTCTCCACGAATGTAAAGTAGACAACGAGCAGGAGAATCATGTTCCAAACACATGTTGGTAGATAATATCGCCAGCCAATATTAGCGAGGCCAATAGGGGTAACGTAAGTTGTGAAAAAGGCCGTCACATTGATAGTGAACATGGTAATGGCGAAGTAGACACCGCGCTGCTTTGTCGTCACTGTCTCCAGGGGATACGCAATCACCAATGGTACCCAACAAAGGACGACAAAGAAGCTACCAGCGAAAATCATGACCAGGACGCCGATTCCGAGCCCAACGTGATTTGTTGCGATATAACGCTCGGATAGAACAGTCCAGATGATGAAGGTAATATTGGTCCCAATGGTGGAGAAGAGGAAGATTGTACGACGTCCGACACGGGGGATCACGAATGCCGCAAGAAACGCGCAGAGCCAGTTGAAAATGTTAATGCAGGCATTAACAAGCGTTTTGTCCTTCTCGGAGCTCATGCCAATCTGATCCAAGATGAGAGGAAGGTAGGTGGCGGTGAATCCACCACCGATAGTCTGAGACCCGACAGCAGTCCAAATACACAGCCAGAGTCTGTACCTGTTGCCCTTGGAACCAATGGTGGTTTTGACGGCCTCCCAACTGAACTTCATGACTGTTTTGTCGGCCTCCACACCCGCAATAATCTCCTGCAGTTCGAACCGTACTATCTCGTCCTCAATTCCGTTGCCATGGTATTTAATCAAGATTTGTCGTGCCTCTTCAGTCCGGCCTTTTGAAACAAGCCACCGCGGACTCTCGGGAACAAGCCAGATCATGAAAGTTTGATACGCGGGGATCATAACTTGCAGGATACACGGGAGCTTCCACGCCCACTCAGACTTCATCCTAAAGGTGCCGAAGGTAATCCAACTACCAATGATAAGTCCAATGAAAATGCTGGTATTGTATAAGGAACTGATCGTGACCCGCTGTTTTGGATGCGCGAGCTCCGTAACGAGCACCGGGGCAGCAACCTGCTGCAGGAATGCTCCAAATCCTAGTATGACTTTTCCGCCAGTGAACATAGCAAAGCTTGTCGAGAACGTTTCCATGATTGCCATTCCGGCGACTAGGGCGGCTCCGATAGAACACATGGGCCGACGACCGAATCGATCAGTCAATGGACCAGCAATAAGACATGCAACAATTCCACCGACGGACATAGACGCTCCGAAGAATCCAAGTCGGGAACCGGTAGGATGATCAAACTTGTCCATGAAGGCGTTGATAGATTGAAGGCCATTGGTCATGCTGTTATCGAAACCCCATGCTGTCGAGGTCAGAAGGGGAGCGATAAGGAGGAGGTACAGTTTGATCAAGTTGGATGATTTGTACCATGGCGGGGCGTCTCTGATCAACTGCTGAATTCGTTCCTGTTCAGGAGTAGCGGTAGTCATTTTATTAAGAACGATATGATGAGGAATTTACAACAATTGAGTTCGGACTGGTGTGACTGATTTATCCAGCTTGCTTGGTGGATGACATCGTACTACTTATATCAAAACCGAGTTGGTCGAATAATACTATGCTTTGTAGGTTTAACAGAAACGGAAGGAGCAGCTGACGATGTGTCGGGTCTATCTTGACCGAGCGTCAGGGAGTGGCTCGATTCCAGGCTAAATGGATAATGATAAATACACTGCAAGTGGTTCGAATGGTTGAGGCAAGTTTCCGCCGCTACCCCAATCAGCATGAGGTGGAATATGCCGACGCGTAGAGGAGAAGGAAAGTTTCGAGCGTTTTGTATATCGACATAGTTACGCATCTATAATGGCTACTACAGGTGCTATGAGACTTTTAGTAGGATGAGAAATTGGATAACGATAGTATTACTAGTCTATGAGGATGACCACTATTGACTGAATTAAACATGAACAGTTCACCGTGTGCATCCTCGAGGGCGAAACCTGCTTCGATAAGCTTCGCTAGAATAACATTGTATTCCATCTGGGGTTAACCTGGGGAAATTTGCGGGGGCAAACTCTTCGCCTCCCCAGTTGAGTCGATGAGCTACCATTGGACACTCATTGAGGGGGGAAGTGGATGTCCTTGGGGTAGGTGAAATGCCTAAAGAGGAAGTCTTAAGCAACGGCCAACTAGGTTTAGGAAGCGGTAACCCGTGAAAGGAGTCGGACGACGTTGGAAGCAGTGGTAAATTCGGAAAATTCCTAGTGGATGTGGAATCTAGACCTTGATCGCGCAAGGAACGTTGGGATTCTGAACAGAGAACCAACCGGTACGAATACGCAGATATACCCGGATTTGGCGTTGAATAGGCCCTAGGTTCGGCATGTAATTACATGTTTCAGTTCGACAATGGTGCACGGACTCCCTTTTTTCCATTGAGGATCTTTGTTATCGTTTAGGAGTGTTGCCACCAACCACGTTGCTATTACGGGCAGGGTACATTAAACTTTGTTACTATCGAGATTAGCTCCATTAGTCTCGCTGTCATCTCGTCCTCCACAGTGAGAGATTATATGAAGAATAGATCACATGAGAAGTCCAATACAGGACTTTGCCGTTTAATATTTACAAGGAGAGCATCCGGCACGCTATATTTTGAGGTTTGAGTAATAATAGGTGCAAAAAATAGTTCAATGACCATTGAATGTGGTCAAAGGTCTCTCGTTTCGTCCGGGCGGTTTGGAATACCGGATTCGGTTCCGCACGTGCAGCTTTCTAGCTTCGGTACTCCGTACATTAGTTGGACCTCTGGTGCGTAATAGATGTTCAGTAGGGGGTCTGCTTGAGCCTCTCATCACAAGCATCAACTGCTCCTTCAGCCATCAACAAGCGTTTGATTGCCCTGATGGGGCCAGGTGGCGATACACGGCTGAAACCCCGGAGCTGATCTGAGCGGGTAAATTGGGAGCGAACTCAAGTTGAGGTATCGGATGAAAGAATATATTGTTGGTGTTAGTGTGTAGTTTATCCTCTCTCGGCCTGATTTGTACCGACCCTTGAACCCGTCTCTTTGGATGTCCTCTGGGTAAATGCATCTAAAATCGTCTAGGAGAATAGGCAAGGGGTGTGTGGTTGAAAGGGATACATCTAACATGATCCTTAACCAACCCCGCTCCGTGCTCTGTTCCCCCAAATTTGTCACGTAACCAGGCCTTAGATAGACTGAAAACCTGTATTGTCGTGAGAATTCTACAAAGTCTGCCGTTAAAGTTCGGACTGATCAAGCTTGCCATAAGGATGAGGCTGGGATGTGGAGGCCATGACTCTGCACTGCAGGCCTCTATGCATATCCTGGCAATTGCAAATGGTAGATAATACGCGCATTGTTGATGGAGAGCACACTGCTCGGCCGGGTGTCAGCCCCACAATAGAGTAAACCAACTTAATATAAATAAAAACATAATTCACACCATCCTGTATATTGGTGTATTCGTGGCTACCAGAATCGAACTATTTCCAACACAAGGATCGATTATCAATACGCGGTTTGTTTTTGTTCACTCATTCACCATGACCAACATGCACTCAGGATCCGCGTCCGTGGCGACAGCACGCAGCTATGTCAATCCTTTACTCTGGGAAGACCTGCCAGACATGGAGGTCATCTGCGTCGAAAACGTATACTACATGAGCGTCTCATCTTTCCACTTCTCCCCTGGCGCACCCATCCTGAAGTCATATAATTTGGTGGACTGGGCGTACATTGGCCATTCGGTCCCCGACTTGGCCGCGTTCGGCCCACGATTCCGCCTCGATGGTCACAACACCTCCGGCTATGTGAAAGGTATCTGGGCGTCAACTTTCAAATACCGCCAGAGCGACGGCCTGTTCTACTGGTATGGCGCTATCCAGGGAACAGATCAGACCTTTTTATATACGGCAAAGAAAGCTGAAGGACCGTGGACTTCGCACCCACCCATTGACCACTACTACTACGACGCCGGGTTGCTGGTTGACGACGACGATACTCTATATATCGCCCATGGTAACAAGACGCTCCAAATTGCACAGTTAACACACGACGGTCTTAAGCAGGTCAAGAACCAAGTAGGTGTGCCCTATCACTAAGGCCTTTCCGGGAAATGATAGCTAACGGGCACAATTCAAGCTTGTATACGAGTCCGAGCTGCATCTTGAAGGTGCTAGAATGTATAAAATCAAGGGCAAATACTATGTTTGGGTGACAAACTCGTGGGCTGGGCAGTATATGCTTAAATCCGATGTCGGGCCATTCGGGCCGTACGAATGTCGGAAGGTCATAGGCGAAATGCGAGCTCCAATTGCAGGAGGCGGGCCGCCTCATCAAGGAGCACTTGTCGAAACTCCTGATGGCAGGTGGTACTATATGGCCTTTATTGACGCCTTTCCAGCCGGTCGAATCCCTACGCTGGCGCCCGTTGAGTTCGATGAAGATGGTTGGCCTCGAGTTGTCGGCGATTATCCCGACAAAGACGGGCAATGGCGGCTGGAGTATCCTCTCATACACGACAACGGCGGCACCAAGAAGCCCAAAGCAAATATTACAAAATACTCATTTGGTCACGATCAGCTGGACCACCGCTGGCAATGGAACCAAAGCCCTGATGATTCAAAATGGAACACGCACCGAGGTCAGCTGGTGCTCGAGACGGCCACTGTAACCGACTGCCTCTTCCTAGCGGCCAACACCCTTACCCATCGTACCATCGGACCGAAGAGCACTGCCACCTTTTGTGTGAATTGTGCTGGTCTAGCCGATGGAGACAGGGCTGGTGCCTCTCTTTTCCGCAACGAGAGCGCATACATCGGCATACACAAGGATGCTGACCAGTCGAAGCTGGTTTATGTCGATGACTTGAAAATTGCCCCAGTTGGAGATGTTATCGGCTGGAAGGAAGGTCGTCCAGTTTCGCAGGACTGGGAGGTGGTGTCAAAGGGTTCCATCAAGGCTGAGACTCTACTGGCAACTGAACGAGTTTGGTTGCGAATTCATGCTAACATCGAAGCCACGTGCGCTGACGGGCGGGAAAAAGAGCCGAGACAGGCATTATTTGAGTACAGCTTTGATGGCACTACCTTCACTCAAATTGGCCCTTTATTTACTATGGATAATACAGGCCTAGGGTGGTTAGGCTATCGCTTCGCCGTGTTTAGCTTTGCGACAAAAGCATTGGGAGGACAGCTGGTAGTAGACACTTGTGAGATTGAGCAAGCGGAAGATTGATATGTTGGTAGATTTTCCATTTGGGCAACCTTCGTATTGTCAAAATATCCCTCGACGCGAAACAAACCCAGCGGAAAGGTTTTTGCTTGAAAATCAATTATTTGATGCAGGTAATTACTGCCATCATTCAGTAGCAAAAATCGTGTGAAAATAGCATGGTCGTTCTTCGAATGGCCAACTCCCTATCATGAAGTAGCAAAGTTCGACTTCGACATTTTAGAGCGTGGCCACGTCAAGCCATTATCAAAAAATAGAAACCGGCGGAACTAGACCATTCACCCAATACATTTGGCAATTCGAAAACGAAGTATTTCGTCGTCAAAATGGCTGTATCACCTGCAAAAGCTAGTTTGACGTCGCTACACCACTGGCCAGGAAGCGATGGCGCCGGCCACCAAAAGGGTGGATCGAGTACAAGAATAGTAACTAGTCTATATACAATGATTTGGTAAATAGTGTCTGTCCTTTCCTTTCTCTGTGTTAAAATTACCTTCTGTCTTGAATTTCCTTGGCAAAGTTAATTCGCTTGCTTGTTACTCCCACAATGGCCTTTCACCGAGGACATCATGACACGTTGCTTTGTGACAGTCATTCGGGTTGGGTGGTGCGCATGGAAACATTTGATATTCATTCTATGGCTTGCTTAGGTCGGTATAGGAGGCTGCCACGCAATCTGTTACACTGATGCGTGCTGAGGCTTGCCTGTGTCTTAATTAATATGTTGTCGTGGTTGGTGTATGTGAGAGATGGTTTGTTCGCTGTGCTGATGGATAATCGGGCAGGTTCAAGTGCATTTTGGGAAACCGTATCCAAGAATATGAGGACTGTTACTATGGTCCGCTTGAGCGAGTATATACTGAGGCTGATGGGTGAGTGTCCAGAGAAAGAAAGCGTCGATTTCATGAAAAAGGTGATTTTGCAAGGTGATCCCAGCGACGGAGAAACAGTAACTTAAGGGTGAATGGTGCTTTTCACAGAGTAAGAGGAGAATATAGATCGGCCAAAATATTCGGCATTTGTATGTAATAGGGCGATAGACCGGTTTTCGGGAGCTAGGGATCACATACCTTTGCAAGATGGACTGTAGTTGTGTAATTGGTCTTTTTTTAAGTCCAGCCCCGAATTATAATGAAAATTTATACAAAGAGAGTGCGGTAAGTTGATGATGCTGTACTCAAAGGACAGACCATAATTTTTCAAATATATAAAAATCAGGATAAAGCAGGGTTAAAGTAGTTACGTCCTGAATGCGTTTATCCTTAACCAATCTCTATATCGTTTCTTCGCTGATTTTCAATAAACGAATATGATCTTCAATAGACCCTTAATAAGGAAGTAGCTCGTGGGTGACGGGTTCTTTCCGTAACCGCGAGAAGTCGGTCTCTATCAAGCCTAGATAATAGCTTATAAGGTCTTTCCCTAATTTGCCACTTTGCGTTAGGAACGTTATAGAAGAAAGGATAGAATATCTAGAACTAATAGGGACCGTATTTAGGACTTAGACCACCGTAGAGTTTCAGTTCCCCCGGATTCCGATTCCAGAAAACAGGACTAACAATTCGGCCCAATACAGAAGCCTTACTCGAAGGGCACCTTCTTGTTCGGGTCTATCGGCGCATCTAAGAAGTATAGACTACTATAAGCCGAAAAGTCTAGGGATACCATCTCTTTTATTACCAGTGAAAGCGACTGTGTGTAAAGCATATATTATTCTGAATTTATTTTGGGCCATATTTAGTGCAACTGGATACCTATTATATACTCCTAGGTGATATACTCTGCGCCGATTAGATTTAACTTATCATCATTCTAGTCTAGAATTTTCGGTATCGTAAGCGAGAGCTTGGTTTTCACTATATAGAATAACAATCAGTAAGCGTGAGAGCTGAATTTTCAAGGAAAGGATAGGTGAATCAGGGTTATAATATATCATTATTATGACCTCCGAGTTAGTTGTTAACCTTGGTGCGCTAGCAATGCTAGTCGGCAACCTTAGACAACACAAGAACCATTATCTATTGCGAAAATAAAGACTCTATTGAACCCACCCTCTAGCTTTTCATACTCGACAACCTTGGTTACTCCTGGACATACGCGGATGGCCCTTTCACAGAGTGCAGTGAAGTCGAACTGGATTTAGCGAGAGTTTCGTTCGAGCTCGTCCCTATTAAGCCACCTTCCACTAGTATAAGAATAAAGATCATGGCCTTTGGTGTAGAGTCAGCAAGAATAATGCCTCTCCAGGTCATCGCGCTTCGGAGTAGATGGTACTACTCAAGTGGAGTGGGCCCTTTCGAATATGTTCCCTCGGATGAGCCGTCCGGGAAGGGATGTTGTGAAATGGGGCAAGGTTCGTGTGCCATGCCCGATAGGCTGCGCTGAGGCGAGCAGCCGAGTTGGAGATATAGGGCTGCTGGCGAAGGGGGTCCCAACTGTCGTCAGAATCGGAGCATATTGCAGATTGTCTGCTGATAGACGGAGTCGTGTCGGTGAATGTTTACCCTTGGGGAGGGGGATCGTCCTAGTGGTCGAGCGTGATAGCGTTGCGACTTTCAATAGCCGGGATAGGAGGTTATGGTAGTGGTTTAGGAATTCTAGGAAAGTTATCCGACGGGTACGCTCTTCAGCCTACTTACGCCTCTGTTCCGCCTGTAGAAAGAGAGCCTTATAATCTAGGGAGCTATTGTCGGCCATCGATCTCTCAGAGGCGGAAAAATAGCCTAAGACGACAACCGCGACAGGTCTCTAGTATTAGGTAAGTTACCTTTTCTAGTATTAGCTAATCACCGTTCCCGGTAGAAGTATTTCCCCGAGAAGTGAAGTAAGGTTTATATTAATCTTGACGTTTATCAATCACTATTTAGTATAAAATTACTTTCGTATTAGTCCGAAGGGGTTAGTAGGAAACTACCGTTCCCTTCTGGTTAACTAGCTACTTTGGCCTAACTGAAGTTAGCCTTGCCGTTAGCCTAACGAATCCTAGGATGGGATTTGATTTGATATGTATATGCGAAGAGACTAAAGTTTCAGCTAGCCCGAGGTGAGCTAATAACGCTGTTTGTGAGCCAGATACGAGAGGTTTAATACTGTAGTCGCGCGACGGAGGGTGAGAATCACCTGCTCTCACCTGGATTCTCACCCTGTCTATTGTCCATTCACCCTACTCACTCTAGTCGCGCGACGCTGAAGCAGCTCTCTATGCATCGTATTTCGATTATCTCAAAGGATATATTCCTCTTCAATGGCATTCCCAGTACATACGACCATAGGGTGTGGAGAACAGGGCTTCCCGTCCGCTCAGCCGTACTTAAGCCACACGCCGGCCAGTTAGTAGTATGGTGGGTGACCACATGCGAATCCTGGCTGTTGTATGTTTTTGTCGTGGAAAAGTGGAGATGTATATTTTAGTGACTCGGCTTTATCGTCTGGAAAACTCAATTACTCTATTTTTTGTATGTAAAAGTGGGTAACGCCTCAACTTCGGTACCGTACTACGGCGGCCGATAAACGCCAAAATCCAAAACTGATAAGAAGCCACTTCCGCCCTCATCACCGCCCCCATCAAAACATCCCCTTTACAAACTTACCCCCCTTACATAACCCTATTCTCGGTAGAAATCCCCTAATACTCTTTGACACAAAGATAGATTAGCCTATCTTATTAAAATATCTTAAAAACGCGACCGAAAAATACTAAAATTTAAGGTACCTAAGGTAGGGGAGTAAGAACCACTAACGTAATTCCCGCCCGACCCGATCACCCTCCCATAGTGTAGAATTTCAGAATCGATTATCTTAACCAACCTACATTAATTTAACTAGATAAAGCGATTTTTACACACATTAATCCTGTGACCAATCTCCCTACACCCACTACACCTAGGAGGTGCCCTAGTACGTGGAGGATTTGTCTGATTAGGCAATTCGCCCTATGCATAAGATTCAGCTTGCTTTAATAAGATGTTTTGCCACCTCCTCTTGGATCTCGAGCGGATTATGAGGCATCGCCTTCGAACGAGTGGTATCTTCCTGGCACACTTCCCAAAACAAAGAAAAGCCGAAGAATCCAAAAGAATCTTCGCAAGTCGACCATTCGCATTTCAGAGTTTCGTAGTTCCAGCGTCAATATACCAGCGACTTAGCATCTTGCGAGCTTTAGGTCACATTCCCTCGATAAGAGAATAGAAGGGAAGCTCGACTCGCGATTATGCGTCTATCTTACTAACTAATAGATGTAGATCTGTCAGATATTAGTCAAGTCGAAACCCAAACAATTACCCCGGGCTAACATACTAGCTCTCCCGGCGACCGAAGTGAGGGAGCTACAATATATGCCCACATAAATGGCCCACGCGACTTGGCATCTAGGATGCCGGAGGCTGACTATACGGAGGACACGAACACTCGAGGCTGTCCTTCCAGAGAAGCATACCAAATTCCCCTGCAGTGATTCATCGAGGCCCCGGGCGTCGCTTCCAAAAACTGCTGCGCACGGGACATGCAGCTGACCACCTTGGCAGCAATACTTGCGGTTGTGGAGAAGATGGAGACCATGGCGAAGATAGTGAAATATTTCCTCTCCCACCGTCCGAAATAGAAATTCATACGACAAGAGATGAGGTCCACATACAGACATACTTGCCATGGTCTAGGAGGCAGTAGCAGATGTTGGCCCTGATGATCAACCGGTTGATAGAACAGGATCATGTATGCAAAACTAACCATTGCGTTGCAGGTGATATTCTCTTCAATTTGTAAAGGATACTGGAAGGCTGGCCAGCAGAATAAGAACGTAGATGATGTACGTAAAATAGAAAAGTGTAAGCCAAGGTAGCTTAGCTTCAGTACGTACTAGCGAGGGGCTACATACAGCCTTCAGCAACGAAAGGTTAGAGGAATCAAGGGATCAACCCGTCACCGTTCCAATGTCCATACTTTGCACCTCGCTCCTACAAAGTCCGATATAACGCGGCTTCCAACTCGAGAAACATATTCGTAATCAACTGACTCTTCATAGGCTGGGCTTGTGTGAACATGACACCGGCAACACCCAACTCACGATCCGCACACCAGTGAAGATTTGGCAGGACACTCCGGCACAAACTTCCCCGTTTGCGGCACCCAGGAACATCGTTTAGATTGACCACGCCTCCAAGGCCATGATTTATTTTAATTTCATACTCTGACGAGCTGGTAGAGAGCAAATATGGGTACGCACGCCAAACATTAGTGTTCTCTTCCCCATGAACCAGATCGGCGTTCAGCGCGGTAAGTGACCCTGAGTTAAGAGCGAACTGCGGTTTGAAGAGCTCATTGACGCTCTCCTTTTTAGGATAGGGCTTAATTTGAATCATTCTTTAGCTGATTATCTCCTACTAAACAATCTAGTCTCACTGACAGTGACTTGAGAGAAAGTTAATCATTTCTCGTGGAAGTAGTCGTACTATCATGCTCATGCCATATTAGACGAGTTTAAGAGAAAGATGAAAAAGTAACAAAATAAATATTCGAAAGCTGCATGTCGTGCGGCTTTAACTTCTTTTTACCCTTTTTTATTGGCATGCTCGATAATTGAAGTCAATGTTGTCAATCCCCACTAAGTTCAAGTCGTTATATCAGCCGTGACCGTCGTTTTCTGCAATGACTCGGTGATGATTGCTCAGGCTACCCGTCCGGGGTAAACATATAGGATCTGGAAACCTCGAACGCGATGTACATTTGGATAGAATGTGGATGTCTGTAGTCGTTGGTGCCTGTCAAGATCGGTATAAATCCGGTTCTGGTTTCCATGGCTTTCCCAACCCCACACGGGGCTTATCAATGTTTTCCTCTGTTTTCCCACTTTCAAAAAGGGAGAAGTCCACAAGATCACAATCCTCCTCAGTGGCAACTTAGAACATGAGTTCGCTTCTAGTCACAGCCTTGCGAATAAGATTGCTAATGTTCTTTGAGACGGTTTCCATTGTCGGCACGTTATGACCCCCAGGGTGCTCGTAAGAATAAGTTAGGTCTTGCTGGCTACTGCATAATCCCAGTAAAGCCACGCTCTGACCTTTATATGGGTCGTCCCGTCCGTATATGTGAACCGTCGGGATATCAATACGATTGGCGACCGTGTTTGCCAATGGATGATAGCGATGTACGGTATCTGTGGGGTCCAGATGGGCGTCGGACAAGGTACCATTCAGCCCGCAATTAACGTGCGGTATGGTGGTAGGCGGGGCTGCTCCGGCGAACGATTTCCAGTATGCCAGATCACTGGTCAACATGTCTCCCCCGGTCTCATATAATCTAGTGATGTTGAATCCTGCCGACGGGTCCGTCGAAAATGGCAGACTACTGCAGATGAAGATAGCTAGGCGAAAAGGCGGGGGCGCTAAAGAGTCGGAGGCTTGAGCTTTCAGAATGTACGAGGCGGCAACAGCAGCTCCCTATAATTGCGCGTGGTTTTCCCTAAATCAACCCTGATATTTGGATGTATAGATTGTGGGAGTTCGCAGAAACCCACCTGACTGAAACCCATGATGGCATCGAAGGGGCCATCCTGTTCGATCATCTCATCGATGAATGCATGCGATTTGGAGACCTCTTTGGTGTAGGGGGTGTTGTAGAAACTCAGGTAGGGCCCAGGGTAGATCTGGCTTACTCCCTCGGCGGCCTCACAGTCATGATCGGCGTCGACAAATTCCCACTCATAATAGTCTGGTAGAAGAGAACGAAACGTAGCTAGTCCATGTTAGTTCTTTATCATGAATTGACAGGAACGACATTCAAGACATGCCAGTTTGGGACTGGAAGATGTCGGCATTGGTGCCCATTCCATGAAGGCAAAGCACACGCATTGTGAATAAGATGTTTCGTCTGCGCGATTAGAAGGAACGGTATGCTCTTTTGAGCCTCGATCAATTCACTACATATGGAAAGAGACTGCGAAATTGTGGGTCATGTCAACCTGCCACAAACCCTCAACATTGGTGAGATTTTAGTTGTCACGGCCCATTTTAAATGCGCCGACTGGCTCGGCGATGGGTCGGCCGATTAGCCCTAAAAGGGCCGAAGTCGAACCGTGAGGGATCTCATCTTCTTCAACATTTTCTTTTCGGCCATACTGTTCAATTATTATTCCAGATCGGAAATACAGAGACGGTTTCGTTGGTTAATTTGCGTTTAGCAGCGGGATGGACGAAGCGAAAGTGGTATCACCGCTGGAGGAGGTGTCGAATGGCTACGCCACCGGTCCTGACGACCGCGAAGGGGAGGAGACAGAGACCTTGGCGACATGGCGCATATCATTGATTCTGTTCAGCCTGTGTGTTGGCTTGATGCTGTCCATGATGGACAATTCCATCGTGTCGACCTCTATATACACAATCGCTCTGCGGTTCGACTCACTTTCTGAGGCAATGTGGGTCATCTTGGCCTACACACTGTCCTATTTGGGTATGGCCAGGTTTTCTTTCATTCTAGAAAGATGTATTGACAATGAGTCTTAGGAATGTCTGTGATTTTTGCGCAGTTGAGCGACTTTGTCGGTCGTATGTATGCTGTGCTCGGCGCATTCACCGTCTTTATCGCTTTCTCCATTGGGGCGGGATGTGCCCAGACACTTCACCAGCTGATCGCCTTCCGGGCCATCCAGGGGGTAGGAGGCTCTGGTCTATATGCACTTAGCCTGATCGTGGCCTTGGAGATCAGTACTCCCAAGATGTGGCCGCTAGTATCAGGATTGGTGGGTGCCTCGATTGCCGTTGCTGGCGTCCTCGGCCCAATCCTTGGTGGAATTTTGACCGAGTACGCGTCGTGGAGATGGATCTTTTGGATCAAGTACGTAACTCCGTTGGTTTGAATTGAAATTGATACTAAATTCATTATATTAGTGCTCCATGCGGCGTGGTCCCTATGGTTATGTTCACGATTGCTTGGCCTCGAGGCCGCTCCCACGAGAAGGTGGCTCGGAAAAGCTTCTCCCAGTTCGATGTAGTCGGCAGTGTGTTACTTTTGTTAGCATCAATTCTGGTCGTTTTCGGACTTCACGAGGGAGGCACGGGTACCGCAGCGTGGGATAGCGCCCTGGTTGTTGCCACACTGGTCATTGGGGCTATTTGTTGGATAGCTCTATTCTTATGGTCGTTTGTGCTTTCCCGGCCTCGATGGTCTCACATCTCTGCAATCTATCCAGCAACTCTCTTTAAGCACCGAGTTCTGGTTGCAGGTATCATGTTAGTCCCTCGATAAAGCCTTTGTTGTTTGATGACTGAAGGCAGCCTACTGACAATCCGGGTCAGATCCACTATGTTTACCGGATTCACGTTTTTTGTCGTGATCTTTAACCTGCCATTGCGCTCTCAAATCGTCAACTCCCAGAGCCCTGCTGCTGCTGGTGTGCGCCTGCTTCCTTTGCTCTGCGCCGTCGCTGTTGGCTCATTCTTGGGAGGAGCGCTATCCAGTAAAAAGAACCGCACCTTTGACACATTTGCTGTGGCGACTGCCTTGGTGATTTTGGGTGCAGGTCTCCTATCGACTATCCCCTCAGACCTGAAAATGCCGGCCAAGGTATATGGGTTTGAGGCAATTGTCGGGTTTGGAATTGGTCTCACCTTTTCCAGTATCAGTCTTTTGACTACTATCGAGACGAGTGCCAATTTGCATGGTATGTCCCCGAGTCCAGAGTTTCACACTCTCCCCTATATATTCAAGATCTGACTCTCGTTTCTATAGCTGTGGCCCAAGGTATTGTTTCACAGGTTCGCGTTTTTGGTGGTAGCGTTGGAGTGACGGCGGCCAATGCTTCGTTTCGACTCCAGTCTCACCGTGATCTCAGAGGAATTCTCTCAGAAGAACAGATTCAAGCCTTGCAGACCTCCCCCAAGATCATAGATACCTTGGGAGCATCCCAGGCTACTGCGGTACGACAGGCGTATTCGGACGCATTTAGCCAGAGCATGCGAGTGTGTGTTTACATGGCAGCGGCGGGATTTGTGGCTGCCCTTTTTACCTGGCAGAGACACCCCAAGCTAAAGAAGACACACTGAAGCCTTGAATAAAAGCATACAGTATAACCCGAAATAAGAATTTCCTGTTTTACTTTCTGTTTGTTTATGTTTGGAAACATGATCGGCCTATCCGCCAACGCTACAGTGTGCGAGCCGTGCTAAAATTGACCGGTAACCAGCTAAAGAAAAAATCCCCTAGGCTAGACTGCAGATATCCTGCAAACCTAGTCGCAAAGAAGAAGGCCCTTAAGGGAGCCACTTTGGCTGCAGGGAATATATAAATAGCACGGGCCAACCAGTCTTGCAACCTCTGCGTCCCCATTTCTTGCTCTTGAAACTACTTGAACTATACATAATTACCGGCTAAATATATATTCGGCATCCACCGATCATGCGAGTACTCTGTCTACACGGCCATGGCACTTCTTCTACAATTTTCGAAACCCAATTGACCGCTATTTGTGAAGCTCTGGACGAGTCTATGGAAAATGAATATATTTTCATCGATGGTCCTGTGGAAAGCGACCGAGTACGAGGTTCGTATTTGCTCCTTTCGTCTGGCATACATTCTCAGCTAATCTTCGGGCTCGCCGAGGCAGGTATGAGTGAGATGGTTCCTGGCCCATTCTTCGGTTGGTTCACTGGGTTTACACCGAACGAGATTCAAGCCTCTCATGATCTGGTGGCTGAGGTGATTGCAGAAGACGGGCCGTTTGACGCCATCTTCGGCTTCAGCCAAGGCGCTACACTAGCCCTTTGTTATCTTCTACAACACTCGGAGCCGCCCCCGGTGCATTTCGCTGTGCTCTTCTCTTGCGCCGGTCCGGCCTTTTCGTCTGACATGTCTTTAAGCTGCGAAATTATTCGTGGATTCGTGTCGGACGATTTTGACACATTGCAATATTTGGCGACGGATATGGAGTCTTCTGGTCCCGACCCATCTGTGCCATTATCCATTGGGTCTGACATTTCGCCAAGGGAAGCCTTTATGGAAACTATATCCTCAGCTCTGCGATTAGGAGGTGATAATGGCTTCATTGCTCCCGCCGCAGCAGTCGAGCAGTGGAGAGCTGCATCCGTGGCCGACCGAGAGGAGCTGATGACCCGTGTATTCCATCCATCATTAACGTCCACGCGAGTGAAGATCCCCACGGTTCATGTACTAGGACAGAGCGATACTGCAGAGGTGTTCGCGCAGGCAGCGCTTTGCCGGAACCTCTGCGATGCCCGCTTGGTTGAGCAGGTGGAGCATTCGGCAGCCCACGATGTGCCTCGGAAGTCTGAAGAGGTGCAGCAAGTGGTCCAAGCAATCCTGGCAGCGAAAAGCGAAGCCGAATTGATGGGATTCTAGAGGTTATTGGCTCAAGAGAATTGAAAAAAAAAACGGATATGTACCCACTACGGTGGAGGCCGACGGGAAGGGCCTCCCCGAATGTTAAATCAGGCCCGGTCCGCAGCCTTCGGCCTATTTATTTAGCCTTTAGCTTCTTTTTAGTCAGATTCATCCAAGGCCGTCATTTTACATCCGTGGGTATGTAGTATAGAGAGAGTTGATTGATTTTCAGAGGAGATAGGTAATTGGATCGTTCGTTACATAGAAATGCGCTTTTACACAGGCGAAATTTGAGGTAGGCTAAGAAGATATTTTGGTCGACCTCGTTAAAGTCTGCTAAGACTAATACATGCAGCTTTGTTTACAATTACAATTGACACGTAAATGTAGGTAGATTTGATTAACTTTTTGTTTCTTTACTCTCGACATGAATCATTCTATAAGAGTTATCAAAAGAGTTATCAAAAGAGGTGTTGAAAGAGGTGTTGAAAGAGGTGTTGAAAGAGGTGTTGAAAGAGGTGTTGAAAGAGGTGTTGAAAGAGGTGTTGAAAGAGGTGTTGAAAGAGGTGTTGAAAGAGGTGTCGAAAGAGGTAACAAAATATGTGTTAGAAGTGAATAGTCAATTCCTCCGAGATGGTAGAAAGTTAGTAGTAAATATTTCAACCCCCGCTGTACCAACAACTCCTGTCACCCAAACATGTCTCTCCACTTCTACCGCCCCCACCCTCGCCAAGTAAGCTCTCAGTACTAGAATTTCTGCTGCTTCCGATACCAAGCCCAAGAATTGTGTCTTCTCATATTACCCGTTATGATGGTGGTCATCATGAATGGCTTTTCCTTGGCAAGTTCGCTCGGGCGAGACTCGGTCTAATACGGACCCTATTACTCCGTCGGCGTATTTCGAATGCTGCCGGATTACAGTGGAGCCAGTTTCAGTAAGCACCGAAGGACTAGTAGGTGGATCGGTCTATAGATCCTTGTGTCTGCAGTGCAGTAGATCTGTTGATATGCATAGAGAGCCTCATCCAGCACGTTTTCATACGAAGGAAAATTCCCCGAGAGTTCCATACCAAGACCTCATTCAATCAGAGACGTGGCGTGACCGAGCTTTGGGGGCCATGGTGATATGGCCTCGACAGTTCCCAAAATGGACAAAGTAAGAAATGAAGAACGATAGCGAAGACAATATCAGTATAAATTAAATAACGGGCGCCTGCACTCTCGAGGCTGGTTTAACAGAGCTCAGGCTTCTACATCACAAGACTACATAATGTCGCTCGACACGAAACAGAGGGACGAGATCCTCGCCCAAGATGCCATTGAGCCCATGGCCATCATTGGTATGGCCGCCCGATACCCGGGAGAGGCTTCTACCTTGTCGGGCTTTTGGGATATGATCAGTAATGCACGCTCGGCTCATTCAGAGGTGCCCGCTGATCGATGGAACGTTGATTCGTGGTACCATCCCAATAATGATCGCAAAGGCACTGTACGTTTGACACAGAATTGTCGTGTTTGCAGTCTTCAGTGAAACTGACCCAGTGCTATAGACCAACGTCAAGACTGGCTGCTTCTTGTCTGAGGATGTGTCCGTCTTTGACGCTCCCTTCTTTTCTATGACCTCCCAAGAGGCAGCTGGTATGGACCCCATGCAGCGTCTCATGCTCGAGGTGGCCTACGAGAGCTTGGAGAATGCAGGCATTCCCATGCAAACTCTCCCAGGGACGATGACCAGCGTCTACTGCGGCTGCTTCACGGGCGACTATGGCGATCTCGCAAACAGCGACATCTACGATGCAGCCCCCTATCAGGCAACTGGCAAAGGAAAGGCCATGTTATCTAACCGTGTCTCCTGGTTCTTTGATTTACGCGGATCATCCTTCACTGTCGACACCGCATGCAGCTCTAGTTTGTACGCCTTGCATTTGGCGTGCCAGTCGCTCCGTCTGAAGGAATCGAAAATGGTACGTCCCGGAGATACTCCCATACACTCCAGTTCGGGGTGTACCCATTCCCTCCCTCCTCTGCCCATCAAAGGCTCGTGATCAATCTAACAGAAGTGCATGTATAGGCCATTGTTGGCGGAACCAACTTGCTTCTCACCCCTGACATGATGCACTCCCTGACAGCTCAACATTTCTTGAGCCCTGACGGAGTCAGCCATACATTCGACGCCCGGGCCAATGGCTACGGTCGTGGTGAGGGTATTGGGGCAATCATTTTGAAGCCCTTGCGCGATGCTCTGGCTGATGGAGACACTATTCGTGCCATCATTCGAGGCAGTGGCCTCAACCAGGACGGTCGAACTCCAGGCATTACGATGCCCGCCGCGGCCGCGCAGGCAGATCTCATCCGCACCACATATGCGGATGCTGGCCTCTCCTAGCCGACACTGGCTTCTTTCAAGCACATGGAACAGGTGAGGCAGTCTGAATCCATTTTATAACTCTGTATGTCCGAGAAAAACAAGGCTAAACGCTAGGTTCATTTAGGAACGGCACTGGGCGACCCAATTGAGCTTTCCGCCATCGGCGCGACGTTCGGGAAGGCCCGTCAGCCTGAGCAGCCTCCCCTATACGTTAGCTCAGTCAAAACCAACATTGGACATACGGAAGGTGCTTCGGGCTTGGCCGGAGTCATCGCCGCAGTCCTAAGTTTGGAGCAGGGCTTCATCCCTCCGAATGCAGGATGGGAAACTCTCAACCCTAAGCTGCGTCTCGATGACTGGAAGGTGGCTCTGCCGCCAAAGTCCATGGCATGGCCTAGTGAGGGCCTTCGTCGTGCCAGTGTAAACTCTTTTGGGTATGTCCTTTCAATTTCATCCTCAGAGTAGCGGTCCGCAGATTCTAACAGTATCTGTTCAACTAGCTATGGAGGTGCCAATGCGCACGTCATCATCGACGATGCATACAATTACCTCACGAGTCGCGGTCTGACCGGCAATCATCAAACTACTGCGATCAGCCCCCAATTGGATGCTGACTCAGGCTTCAACTCGGACAATGTGTCCGAAGAATCAGATATGGAAGAAGACTCTGAGCGCCAGCATCTCTATGTGTTCTCGGCCTTTGACCAAGGAACCCTCCAGCGAATGGCCAAGATCTATGCGGACTCCATTGACAAAAACCTGCAGTCTTCCAAGAGCCTTTCCCCGGCGCAGGACCTGCAGTTGATGCAGAATCGCATGGAGGACATGGCCCACACTCTCGCAACCCGACGAACTATCTTCGGCTACCGTAGCTTTGCCACGGCTAGCTCGCTGGAAGACCTTGTTGAGACTCTCCGGGATGGACTGCCTAAACTTGGTCGCGTTTCCAAGGCCGATAATGTCATCTGGGTCTTCACCGGACAGGGTGCACAGTGGCCGACGATGGGCCTGGAGTTGCTCGCGCATCCGGCCTTCCGTGCTAGTTTGGAGAGAACTCAAACTGCTTTAGAGCAGTGCGGCTGCACCTGGAACGTCTTTGACGAGCTCAAGGTAACCAGCAGCAAGCGGCTAGACAGCCCAATCTTTAGTCAGCCTATGTGTACCGCCGTGCAACTGGGTTTGGTTGATCTGATGAGATATTGGGGAGTGCGTCCCAGGGCTGTTGTTGGCCATTCGAGTGGCGAAATCGGTAAGTCGAGAGCACTCGTTACGCCCATGGATATGATTTACTGACTCCCATGTAGGAGCCGCTTATGCGTCCGGAGCAATCTCCCATGAAGATGCTGTCAAGATCGCTTACCACCGTGGTGTCTACTCCGCTGACGTCGGCAACCGTCAGGAAGGGATCGTGGGAGGCATGTTGGCCGCTGGTCTCAGTCCTGAAGAAGCGCAGCCCTACCTCGATCGTGTTACTGAGGGCACTGCAACCATCGCCTGCTACAATTCACCTAGCAGTGTGACCATTTCCGGAGATCACAAGGCGATTGTGCAGCTCGAGGAAAGCATGAAGAAAGATCAGAAATTTGCTCGCCAACTTCGCGTGCAGACCGCATATCACTCAGCTCACATGGATTTGGTTGCTGAAGACTACAAGACTGCCATGGGAACCATTACTCCTGTGGCCAAGGCGAAGGATGCCGTCCCTATGTTTTCGTCTGTGACTGGAGCAATGATCGACCCGTCGGAGCTCGGCACTTGTTACTGGGTTCAGAACATGGTGCAACCAGTTCGGTTTGCCGAAGCTATGTCTAGCCTGTTGACCTATGCCCCGGCCATGCGCGGCCGACGACGCGCTACTCCGATTGAGTACAGCGCAGTTGTTGAGCTGGGTCCCCACGAAGCCCTGAAGGGTCCTATCAACCAGATTGTTACCAGCGTGAATAGCAAGCTCGCTTCAACCCTCACCTACACGTCGGCCTTGAAGCGCGGCCAGGACGCTCAGGCCACTGCTCTTGCGGCCGCCGCGACGCTCTGGAGCTTAGGCCACGCAGTGGATATCACCAAGGTCAATGGCATCAACGCAGACTATCAGCCCCGAACCTTGGTGGACCTTCCACCTTACCCGTGGAATCATGACAAGGGTTTCTGGCATGAATCGTACAGTAGCCGCTCTAAGCGGTTCCAGAAGTATCCCCGGACCGACCTCCTCGGTGCTCCTGTGCACGACCAGAACCCTATGGCACCCCGATGGAGAAACATTCTGCGCCTGCCTGAAAACCCTTGGCTACAGGACCACAACATTCAAGGATCTATCCTCTTCCCTGCGGCCGGTATGTTGGCGATGGTCATCGAAGCTGCCAATCAAATTGCAGACGCTCGTATGCCCAAGGCCTTTGAGCTCTGCAATGTGCGATTTGACCGCGGCCTGGTGATCCCCTCGGCCGAACACTCCATCGAGACTATCCTGAACCTCCAGCCCCTAGATGCCACTGAGGCAGCACAGGCCTCTTGGTTTGACTTCCATCTCTACTCCTGCTCCGCCTCAGGATCATGGGCAGAGCATTCATCGGGTACGGTACGGATCTTATTTGACGAGACTGACTCTGAATGGAATTCGCACCGCGACCAGTATGCTGAGGTTCAGAAACGCTGCACACAGACCAGCGTGCGCGCTTTCTATAACGGCCTGGATGCAGTGGGCATGCACTACGGCCCCAGTTTCAAGAACATGACTGAAGCGCACGCTCATGGGCCCAGCCGCTCTGCACACGGAACCATCACCGTTCCTGATACTAAGAGTAGCATGCCCAATCAGTTCGAGTTCCCTCATATCATCCACCCTGCCACCCTGGACGCAATGTTCCATCTGCTGTTTGTCGGTGATACTGGCGGCAGCCCTATGCGTGAAGCCTCCGTCCCAGTCTCGTTGGAACGGTTGTTCGTTTCTGCAACGATCCCGTCAACTGCGGGTCTTGAACTGAAGGGTTTCACTCAGTGTCACTCCAAGAGCCAGCGCGAGACCGCCGGAACAGTCGTCATGTCCACAGCTGGATTCGACCAGCCGGGTCTGATTATTCAAGAGTTTGTGGCCCGAGAAGTGACTTCATCTGCCGTACCCCCCGCACCGATGCACTCTCTCAGTGAGTCGCAGGCCCCTAAGCGAACCGGTCACCTACAGTGGGCTGAGGATATCGAGCACTGGAAGGGAGAAGCAGTGATTCAGAGCGGCGAGGCAGCAATCGCGGATCAGACTCTCACCTCAGCAGAGGAGGTGCAGCTTCAAGTCGATGGATGGCTGCAGAGAATCTGTCACAAGGAGCCAGAATTGAACGTACTGGTTATCGGTGAATCGTTGGTTGATATCGTCCGGAAATACGGACCTCTCGCAAGCCGACGATTCTGCTTCCGCAGATGCACAGTTGCTGCCACGTCGCAAGAGGAGCTGGAGCGTGTGAAGCAGGCACTTGGTGACGCATTTGACAAGTTGGAGTATATCCAACTAGATTTGAGTGAGGGAGTCAAGCGCGATCTCCCTGAATTTGATCTCATCTTGTCTAGCACGAGCCCCCAGTCAGACTTGGATATCGAAGTCAGCCTGAAGTCTCTCCGCTCCTTGCTCCGTGCTGGTGGTCGGCTCCTTCTCGCAGGTCAAGATGCAGACACAGTCGAGAAGCAAGCTTGGAATGACAGACTTGTACTCGCAGGCCTGGAGCCCAGCCAGGTTTACAACCAGACATCTCAGAGTACTATTGTGATTACATCGGTGGCCAATGCCAAGGACAGCAACCCTGAGGAAATTGTCATCCTGCAGGCACCTAACATGACGCCCGCGCTTGTCGCTCTGCAAGCCAACCTTGAGCGTGCCATTTCTGCGCAGGAAATCCCAGTCCGGGCCGTCACTCTTGCCGAGAGCGCCAACCTGGCCGACAAATGGATCATCTCTCTGGTTGAAATTGAAGAGCCCTTTGTTCTGGGTTGGAGTGAGGAAAGTCTCACCCAATTCCAAAATCTTGTCACCTCTGCCGAGTACGTGCTCTGGATTACTCGTGGAGGACAGCTTCTCAACTCCTCCAACATTGAATGGAGTCCCACCATTGGTCTGCTTCGCACACTGCGTGTCGAAATGGCAAAGTTGACGATCCCGCACTTGGATCTGTCACCTGCCATAGACCTTTCATCTAGCAGTGCAGTTGAGGTCATTCTAGCATGCTTTGATGCTTCCTCCCCGGCCAAATCCTACCAGACCGAGATGGAGTATGCAGAGAAGGACGGAACTATCTGGATTCCTCGTTTCATGAGCAACAACAGCTTCGATCACGAGATTGATCGCCATGCTGCTCAGTTGAAGTCGCTCTTGCAGCCCCTTCAGCAGAATGATCGGGCTCTACGTCTCTCTGCCGGCAAGACAGGATTACTGAGCGACCTGCGCTGGGTGGACGACGAGATTAACACCTCTGCACTGGGCGAGAACGAGGTCGAGATTCAGGTCCAATACGTCAGCCTTGAGGAGGCTGATGTTCGCATTGCCAAGGGTTTCAGCCAAAACACGGGTATCGGTGGCCAGGTTGCCGGAAAGGTCACACGTGTGGGATCCCTGGTCTCGCGGTTCCAGGTCGGGCAGCAGGTCGTTGCGGTCAGACCTGAGGGTTGCCGCATGTATGCTCGTCAATCGCAGGACTTGGTGCAGCCCGTGCCCCAGCAGGTCGGCTCTATTCAAGCCGTTTCAGCTTTCAAGGCCTATGCCACGGCCTACTACGCTCTGGTCAATTTGACCGGTATCCAAGCTGACGATTCGGTTCTGGTGCACGGTGCTGCTGGCGAAATTGGCCAGGCCGCCATTCAATTGGCTCAGCACCTCGGAGCCAATGTATATGTCACGGCAAAGTCGGAGGAGGAGAAAGCGACTCTTCAGAAGCTACACTCAATTCCTGCGGACCAAGTCTTCGACTCACACAGTGGGGCATTTGCGCGCAGTGTGCTTCGTGCTACCAAGGGTGAGGGTGTCAATGTCGTGCTCAACTTGGCCGATGACGATGCGGCTCGGCCAGCGTGGCTGTGTGTTGGTGAATTCGGACGATTCATCGAGTTTGGTGATAGAGGTAAGGAATCACAGCATCTAATTCACGAGCGCACTTGCTAATCATTTTTTCTTCAGACCAATCTTTCTACCACGGACTGTCTTCTGCCCGACAGACCAATGTTATCTTTGCCAACCTGGACATTGAAGTCTTGGAACGGAACCGGACGCGCGTGATTTCAGATATCCTATCAAAGGTCCAGGTCCTGCTTGCGAATGGCCACCTGAAGCCAGGCTCCACGCCTGAGGTCTATCCTGCATCCCAGGTTGAGCAGGCTTTGCAAACCATTGAACAGGGCACCAGCAAAACAGTTTTGGATCTGACGAGCGATGAACCCGTGCCAGTCATTCTGCCGCGACCTGCAGCGCTTCAACTCGACCCCGAGGCCACCTATATTCTCAGTGGAGGATTGGGAGGACTGGGTCCCAGCATCGCCGAGATGATGATTGAGCACGGCGCCCGTCATCTTGTCTTCCTCTCCCGCTCCGGACCCAAGTCTGCAGACGCGCAGGAACATATCCGCCGATTGAGCGGCCTGGGCTGCCGCGCTGAAGCCTTTGCCTGTGATACCGGCAGTTTGGAATCCGTGCAGTCTATCCAGAAGCTGGGAATCGAGCAAGGATGGAACATCCGGGGTGTCATTCAATGCGCCATGGTGCTGCGCGATAGCACCTTCGAGAACATGACCCACCAGAAATGGACCGAGTCTATTCAGCCGAAGATCTACGGCAGTTGGAACCTGCACCAGGTGTTTGGCAGTCAACCTCTCGACTTCTTCATCATGCTGTCGTCTGTTTCCGGAGTCATCGGTAACCCAGCGCAGGGTAACTACACGGCCGGAAACACCTACCAGGATGGACTGGCGCTGTATCGCCGCCAGTCCGGACTGCCTGGTACGGCACTGGCAGTCGGTGCCGTGATGGACGTCGGCGCGTTTGCCGATAACTCATACTTTGAGAACTTCCTCGAGAAGTTCGAGCACTTGGCGTCCTTGACCGTTAAGATCGAAGAAGTGATGATCATTTTGCAGACGCTGATGAAGGGAAAGACCGAGGATGGTGTTGCAGTGCCGCCACTTCTGGCCATGGGCTTCACCGAACAGCTGAAGCGCGAAGGCAACATTACCAGTCTGTGGCCTAAGGACCGCAAGTTTGACCACCGCATTGAGCTGCCCGAGGATGGCGCGTCTGACGCCGGAGCTTCGAAGGTTCGCCTCGCTGATCTCCTGGCGAAGGTGACCGACCTTGCAGAGGCTGGCCAGGTTGTCGAGGATGCGCTGAAGGCCAACCTGGCCAACGCGATGACTGCGTCGGCTGAGGATGTCGATGCCGATAAGCCCCTGCACTCGTACGGCGTGGACAGCTTGAAGGCGGTCGAAGTGCGCAATTGGCTGTTCCGTGAGTTGAAATGCGATATCTCCGTCTTTGATATCTTGAGTCCCATGCCGCTGGCGAAGCTCAGTGTCAACATTGCTCAGAAGAGCAAGTTCCTGCCGGAGAGTGTCAGGCAACAGGAGATGGAGTGAGTGCAGAGCCCAAATTGCCACCTCCTTGCTCTGTGCGTAGTAATTAAAGCACCCCATAGAGTTTGCAGCACATAGAAGATACACTTGAACCTTGTTTCCTAACGATCTTTCGGATGTCTTTCCAAACATCTTTCCAACCATCTTTCCAGACAGCCCTACTCATAAGCTGCCTTCTGTCTCCCCAATTGGCCCTGTATATGATCCAAATATTATGCCGAAGCATGACCTTGAAAGCCCTAATTCCCCGTAGAAAATCCTCCGAGTGTCAGCATATAAAGAGCTCATCATTCCCACCCATCAAGTCTTGGACTGTCTTTTATTTCTCTTCTCTAGTATCCCCTGCCTTACCGCTTCTCTCTTCCCCAGCCCTTCCAGCATGAAAGCGATTAAGATCGTCGGCTCCCGACGGGCCAAAGTCACCACCAAAGCCGCCATGCCTGAACTCGCCCCCGACTGCGTTCTCATTAAAACCAAAGCCGTGGCCCTAAACCCAACAGACTGGAAGCACATTGATTTCATCTCGATCCGGGGGGCGACAGTGGGATGTGATTATGCGGGCATTATTGAAGAAATCGGGGCAGAGGTAGATCCTGCGCATGGATTGCAGGTTGGAGATCGTGTCGCGGGGTTTAACCACGGATGTAAGTCCATACGTCTAATAGCTTCTTTGCCATCGATTTCCATCTTGCCTATATTTTGTGTCAAAGAATCAAAGTTTCACAGTTGACTTCTTGGTTATGGCAGGTAATGGAGAGAATCTATCGGATGGTTCATTCGCCGAGTACATCGCCGTCAAGGCACACATCAACATCAAGCTGCCCGACTGGGTATCGTTCGCCGACGGAGCCACGCTGGCCGTGGGTATCACGACTGTCGCCCAGGGAATGTACCAGCAACTCCAATTGCCATTGCCGGATCCATCATTCCCATTATCCACGCAGCCCGGAGCAGCCAAGGAGCCCATTCTCATCTACGGCGGGAGCACCGCCACCGGCACGCTGGCCATTCAGTTTGCCAAACTGTATGTTGAATCCCCGACTTATACTATCCACCACATGTCTGACGTCCTTTCTAACCAATTTACAATCAGATCCGGATACACAGTTATCACTACCTGTTCGCCGCACAATTTCGAGCTCGTGCGAGCACGCGGGGCGGATCATGTCCTCGATCACCACTCGCCGGCCCTGGCACAAGACATTCGGGCGCTGACGGGCAATCAACTTTGCATAGTACTGGACTGCATCACGACGGGTGAGTCTATCATTAAATGCTGCGATGCACTGGCCCCGCCGTCGCCTGATCGTCGGCTTCAATACTGCGGGCTGTTCACCGTTGGGGCGCTGCCACGAGCTGATGTCGAAGCGGGCTTCACCATGGCTTACACGGCTCTGGGCGAGTCGTTCCAGAAGTGGGATAACTACTACCCCGGTAGTGTCGAGGATGCACAGTTTATTGGGGATTTCATGAAGTTGACGTCGCGGCTGCTGGAGGGCAGACAGGTTCAGACGCATCCGGCGGAGGTGGGCGAGGGTGGATTAGATGGCGTTTTGAAGGGACTGGATCGTTTACGAAGAGGAGATGTCAGTGGCGTCAAACTCGTATATACGCTATAGTTTGGTTTCAATTCGTTGCTTTATACTGTCTTCTTTTTCTGCCGTTCGTCCACGTTCGTCGCGAGTGATCCTAAGCCACTCTGATTTTTGGTGGCGTTTATAAGCCTATTTAGAACCGCAGATCCCAGCCAATCTGAGGGCCGAGCTTGGGCAGCTCATCGGCGACGCTCTGCACGTCCTTGTCACCACGGCCACTCAAGCACAGGACGATATCCTTGCCGGGTCCCAGCCTCTTTGCGGTCTGGATGGCACCCCAGACGGCGTGGGAGGTCTCCAGGGCGGGGATGATACCTTCCAACTGGCTCAGCAGTCGGAAGCCCTCCAGGGCCTGGGCATCAGTGGCCGACAAGAAGCTTGCGCGGTTGCTCTCCTTCCAGCCCGCGAGCTCCGGACCGACACCAGGGTAATCGAGACCAGCCGAGACAGAGTGGGTGTCGGAAATCTGGCCATGCTGGTCCTGCAGGACATAGGTTCGCACACCGTGCAGCACGCCGACGGAGCCGCGACTCAGGGTCGCCGAGTGGCGGGTAGTGTCCAAACCGTCACCAGCGGCTTCCACACCGACGAGCTCAACCGAAGGGACCTTAGAGAAGGGGTAGAACATGCCGACGGCGTTAGAGCCACCACCGACACAGGCAACGACGGCATCCGGGCTCTTGCCGAGCTCGGCCATCTGGGCCTTTGTTTCCTCTCCAATTACACTCTGGAAGGTACGCACCATAGTCGGGAAGGGATGAGGGCCAATCGCAGATCCAATGATATAATGCGTGGTGTCCAAGCGGGTGATCCATGCCCGGAAGGCTTCATTCACGGCGTCACGGAGGGTGCGCGAACCGGCTTCGACAGGGACCACAGTGGCTCCCAAAAGACGGATACGGAAGACGTTCAACGCTTGACGGCGGACATCCTCTGCTCCCATATAGATCGTGCACTTCATACCGAACTTAGCACAGACCGTCGCCGTAGCCACACCGTGCTGACCGGCGCCAGTCTCGGCAATGATCTCCGTCTTTCCTAGGCGACGTGCCACCAGGATCTGGCCCAGGGCGTTGTTGATCTTGTGAGAACCGGTGTGGTTGAGATCCTCGCGCTTCAGCCAGATGTTCGCGCCACCGGCGTACTCGGAGAGTCGCTGGGCCTGGTGCAGGCTGGAGGGGCGGCCCATAAAGGGATAGTAGGACTTGTATTCCTCCCAGAAAGCGGGATCGTTCCTCGCGGCCTCAAACCCAGCATCTAGTTCGGCCAAACAAGTAGTGAGCGCCTCTGGGGCATACTGTCCACCGAAAATACCGAATTTTCCAGATCCCTCCGTCGTCGCAGTCTCGTCGTCGGCCGTAGATTGGGTGGCAACGTTCTGCTTCTGGCTCGGCGTGGAAGCCAAGGGCTCGCCGACGCGACCCTTTCGCTGGGTGATGTTAAAGCAATACTCCTCCACGGCCCGGGCGGCCTGTCCGGCAGGGGCGTCTCCAAGGACTGTGATAACCTGGCTACCGATGACGGCGCCATCGGCGATAGAGGTGACACTCAGGAAATGTTCGCGTGTGCTGATACCAAATCCGACGGCAACTGGCACATTGCCAGAAAGCTCCTTGACTCGCTGGATGAGGGCGGGCAGGTCAGAGTTAAGAGTGCCCGTGGCGCCCGTGACACCCATTCGCGAGACGAGATAGATGAAGGAGTCGGCAATCTGGCAGAGGGACTTCATACGGTCTTCGGTGGTAGAGGGGGCGATCAGGGGGACGTAGGAGAGACTATGATTTCGCTTGAGTTAGTTGATTTCCCTTGTATGGAGGAGTGCGTCAGGGGAGAGTTTGGTGGGCGCCCTACCCAGTCTTGGTGCAGCCATTGCGGAAGCGCACAGCTTCCTCGGGCGGCAGGTCGACGATAATGAAGCCATTGACACCGGCCTCGAGACAGTCCGCAAGCAGCTGTGACTGTCCGTAACGGAGAATGGGGTTATAGTAGCCCATGAACAAGACCGGAGTGGTCAGCCCCTTCTGTCGCGCCGTCCGCACCATCTCCAACATGGAGGTGATAGTGACGCCATTCTGCAGGGCCTTCAGGTTCGATTTTTGGATGGTAGGACCGTCGGCGATAGGATCGGTAAAGGGCAGGCCGAGTTCAATGATATCTTGCGCAATTGATTAGCATTTCTGCTGTCGCGGGGGATATCGACCGCGAGTGACTCACCAGCGCCGCCGGCCTGCATGCCCAGCATGATGTCCGGGGTTTCCTCCGCGGTAGGGAAACCGGCGGTCACATAGGTGACCAGAGCCGGACGGCCCTCCTGCTGGCATTGAGCGAACACGTTCTTGAGGTGGTCCATGGTGGGATCACTGGTTGCGAGGGGCGGGGAGGGGGGAAGTGGGGGAGAGAGTAAAAAGATAAAGAGGCGCGGTGAGTCCGACTCAAATTCCCAAGTCCGAGCCAACGATACGAGAAGGAATTGGGGCCAGACTGGCACATCTCACAACGGTGGAGTAGACCGCCTACGAAGCCGCTTTCTTGAGGATGTCAGTGACAAATAAACCCGGCAGAATCAGTATATTCCCTCCTGACCTCAATTCCCTCTCCAAATCATCCAAGAGCCAACGGGCCGAGCCGCAAAATCGGCCGACTTTTCGCCCCCATCAAAGACCCAACAAATGGGCGATATCGGCCACTCCAAAGTTCGGCATCGCCTGCAACTAGTCCTTAGTTGCAGGCTGCTCGTATCGCAGTCTCGCCTGATTTATCATGGTGATTGGACGGACTCGTGGCTAGATGGTCTTTGCTTACTTCAAGCCTAGAGGCTACTGGGCTTGGTTGCCACGCAAGTGGACACGTTAGTTAACGTTGCAGAACACCATGGCACGACCAAGACGGCTAAATTCTCCTTACTCGATATTGCGCGAGCTGATATAGAGAGCCCTGGGGGCCAGAATGGTCCCCTTCGTGAAGAAGATTTTTTCTCGCGGCGCGAAAAGATGCACCTTCTCTCGACAACGATGCAGTCCAAGGTTCGCAGCGCGTGCGAAGAATGCCATGAGCGCAAGATTCGTTGTCTCTTGCCGTCAGAGGGAGGTGCTTGTCAGGCCTGTCTGACTTCCAAGCGCCAATGCTACTTTCTCCCCCGCCATAAAGCTGGTCGACCACGGAGGGGCAATCGCCCCTTGTCTAGTCTGCCGGCCAGTCGACATACCACTCCTGCGCCGATACCCTGTCTGTCTCCCAGGAGTGACGGCGCCAACGCGGAAAGGAACAGGGCCAGGAACGAGGCTGCTCCAGAAAACACATGGCAATTGGAGGGTGCGACGCTGCCAGGGTCCTTTCTGGGTAACGGTACCTCTAGCGATGGCCTCACCATGCCGTCCGACCTTCACGCCTTTCCCAGTCCTCCCATCTCCCAGTTTCCAATGCTCCCCGACTACTTCTCTATGGACGAGTCCATCGGCGTCCGCGCCATTTCACAAAGCACCGACCCAAGCGACAGCTCGTTATCGTCGCCAGCGCGGGTTGTGAGCCCGCTGGTTCACGGGCACGAGGGCAGCCGCTTTCCCCGTATAGTATCGCCCATGTGGCCGGAGATGTCAGTCCCGCAGGCGGGTGACACTGAGAGCGTCGGTCTAGATCGGTGGAAAAACAGCTCCGTGTCCTTTGCGACCCTGCTTGAGAAATGCAGTGAGCTCGACTGCGCATCGAAGGTGCTCAAAGAGCGCGACCAGCGGACAGGCATTCACCTTCATCTTCCTCCCATTCTCCGCGCAATTGACGCACTCTGCGACCAATGTGCCGCCTTCATCCACGAGCACCCGGCTCCTTGCCCCAAGGAATCCCTGGACCCTGCCGTTCTGGCCTTGGTGATTGCGGCCAATTTCAAGGTCCTCGAAGTCTGCGCCTTGCTAGTATCGCTGAGCGTCTCCAATGTGCAGCGTCCGCATGACCAGCTCCTGCTGAAACGCATCGATTTCAATCTCACGCAGACCAAGATCGCTCTGGTAGCGATGAAGGAACAAGAGATGACGTCGCCCTCAGTGTTCCAGACTGCGCTTGACCAGGGGGTGCGGATTCATCAGCAAATCGTCTTGATGACTGAGAGCTGATGGAGTGCATGGATGGCCATGTTGCATGGCAACAGCACGAGGGAGAAACAGCCGCGGAGGGTTGTAAAATTTGATCACCTTTGCTGCGCGGTAAACAAATAGAGACAGAAGCCCCATTGACCAATAATCAATGAGGCGCAAGTCCAAATTTCCCGACCAAAGGGTTCATATTGGATGGGTATTCCATCGTCCATCCGAACACAATAAGTGGAGATTTTCTAGAATACCGACAACACGGTCCGTTTCATCTGAAACCCGAGAGCGATGTCTCCAGGGATTGAGCCGCCCAGCACAGCAACCGAACGGAGGACACTTGAAATTTCATACCATTCCCATGGCGGTATCTATATGACACGATATATGATTAGAAGTGCCTAAATACACGTTTTTTGGCGCAATTATTTAGACGAATTTTCAATGATTATCATGATCGTTTCTCATCAACTTCCTCCCCTCATAGCAGGATATCCTCCAAAATCACATAGCATTTAATAGTATTCCTGGCCCGGCACTCTTCATAGTCAACAAATACCTGAATTGGAACGAATAAGTTAAAGGTTGTAGAGAGGTCTTGAGTTTAGGACGGGTGCGGGAGAGAATCAGAGAATTTGTCGCTAAGGTGTTGGCATAATTCGCTTATTACAGACATATTAAATGCATATCGTGAGTATGATTTTTTTTCAAACTAGCACGACAACGGTATCATTAGACTACTTTCACCCATTCCATTCTCGTTAAATCCGATCTCGAAAAGAACAAATCCAAACACAGGCTATCAACTTCCCGAGTATTCATTCCCTTACACCTAAACAGTTGGCTTCTGTGCCCATATCCTCCGTCTCCAGTGCTGTCAGCTAGAGTGAACCGTAGAAATTAAGCTTGAGACGAGTCACTTACCCCCGGTGCCATATATGATGACTAGGATTCATCAGCTCATTTCTCACCTTGGCCACATAAACTTGGACTTCCTCCTTGCTCCATGGATACGGGGCTCCAAATTTAGTAAACAACCGCATACTCCATCCTGCCATTCCACCCATCCAGCGCTGAAGGCTCACCATACCTGCGTCCTTGAACTGTCGTTCCCTGGCCCATGGTCCAACCGGTATCTTATAATTCTTCTGATGAATGTTCACGAATCCGACATGGTGGACACGTGGTACCATAGTGTCGATGATGTAGAAGGTTCGACCTGCCCTTTTAGCACAATCCAGGATATTCAGGCCCCATTCCTTGATGATGTTGTCGGATGCCAAGCTTTCGTTGCCAGTCTCAGCGAGAGGATGGTATTCTAGTTGTTTGATCCATCCACCTGGGCGTAGGTTGCTGTTATTTGTAACATCATATACCAGGTACCAGAATTCAATTAAAGTCTGTCTCTCCAAGAACTCACTCGTAGCATGTCTTGTAGAGAGATTCCCATTCAGCTTCACTGAAAGCCCCTGTCATTGTACGTATATGGATCAAATCGAATTTCTCACGCCACGCCCAGTCTTCCAGCACGTCATCAACTTCGAGAAAACAATTCGGGGGTACCCAAGAATATTTCTTCTGCATTGACGCCAGCTTTTTGGCTTGGCTGCTGAGTTCCGTGAAGATCTCAAGCCCGATGTATGCGTCCAAGACCACAGACCCGATTACGCGCGCCCAAAGAACATCTCGCTCGCCGCGATTGAATAGCGGGTGACTCATGCCCCTAGTATCCTTCAGCATTTCCTGCCGATGGTCCTGGGCATCGAGGACAGCCCTGGAAAAGTAATCAGGATCCTCTCGCAAAGCCCAAAGATGATCTTCCGCAGCAGATGCCCTCGCGGCGAGTAGTGACTCAATAAGTCGAAGGTCAAGTTCCGCTGGCACACGATAGGGAGCCTCTGCCGCCATGATTCCTAGAGACTCAAATCCAGTAATCTCGCTTTCAGGCTTGAGTGGTGGTTCTGGTAGAATTGGAAAAGCATCTCTTATCAGGTCTGACTCTCCCGGAGAAGCTGCAAGCAGCATTTGAGGAGAGCAGTCAAAAGTCTCTCCTGGACCTCCAGGATCAACAAGCCCTCCCCTGGAAGGAATTTTTTTTGTTTGGTCATCCAGTCAAATGCGTCAGGATGCTCATCCCAGCCCACAAGCTTGCCATATTCCAACAAGTTCTCAGTTATGCCATTCAAGACCATGATGTACTGGTTTAGAAAAATAGGCACGATTGCCTTAGTGACCAGGCCCAAGTGCATGGCATCGATATCAGCGGCAGCAAAATGAGATGGTGGGTGGCGGCCTCGCGCGTTCAACAGCAATGGCAGTGTCTAGGTATTTAGGATATCTTCCTGGTTGATGAATGGGGACAAGAAAAACGCGGTATTTGGTGCCTCTGTCAGGGTCGGCCTCTGACTCCTTGCGGAAAGCCTCAAAGTCGGGGCGATGCATTGTCGGCATGTTAGGCCAGGCATTTAGCAAAACTTTAAGCCTTTGGGGCCGTGTTTTCTTGAGCCATCGCTTACGAATTGTAGTTCGTGGCGCTGTAGAATTGCATGCAGCGTCTTGTAACTGGTAAAAATCTTCTCTGACCTTGCTGTAGCCTCTTGACGAACTTCTGGGGCTGATTTTGTTTCAGGCATAGGGATGCCACCCGCGCCAGCACCCGTGGCTTTTAAGAAGGATGAAGGATCACTCCAATCAATACTATAGACGATATCATCGTCAACACCATCATAGGCATCTGCATCAGGACCGAAAGGGTCGAATTGATGATTCGGCCTGAGCTCCATATCTCCTTCAATGGAGCAATAGAAGGTTCATATATGCAATCTGAGGGGATTCTCCTCAATAGTCAATGTAAAGTGACGATGAAAAGTGCCAAGATAGCAAGTGCAGTTATTATGTTTGAATAAACACTGGGAGTGAGGGTCATAGAGTGGGGGGAGTGGCTGGTCACATGATCCCCTTTGTGATGGGCCCATAAATATGCTGCACTATAACCCAATAAGAATCCAGGCTTCCTGGCATCGGGTATTCTTTGCAAAAACACGGTTGTTCGAAGCTTGTTGCCCGTAGATATGGCTAGATATCTCACCCTCTCAATGCGTTTCTTCTGATGGACCCATAAATCTATCCTAGCAACTTTACGGACTTTGCCTCTAACCTTGATGATGTTTCAGGGCCAGATTCGAGAAATATATATCGTAGGATGACGCTTGGGATCTGAACCTTGTTTTGCAAGTAGGCTCAGTCACATCTATCTAAGTAACTAGAGGTCCCGGTACTAAAGTGCGAAGGTGCTTTAAGGTATGTAACCAGGCAGATACATGGAGTATGGTTTGTCGTGGTTCGTTCCATAGGTGGATGCAAAGTAGGGTACACACATCCATGGTAACCTTCAACTAAATCTTACCGTGTACCTCTGAACAATACTTTCTCTTCCACATATTTAGTGCTTAACCTCTTCCTTATTTTTACGTTCATCTTAGTAGACCATGATGGATGCAGCATTCATGTCCGACCTGCAGGCTTGTTTTGGCCCCCGCGCTGACACGACGACCGCCCCAAAAGTGGAGCAGCACCCCCGCCATGTGATTTGACGCTATAAGCCTCACTCCTCGCCAGCTCAGCTGAATGCGCTCTTGCATTCTGCACACGAGGAGTCATGGATCCTGTGACGGCATTTGGGCTCTTTTCAGGCGCCATACAGGTCCTGCAGGCTATTGCTTCGACTGTTGGTGGCCTACGACAGCTGACGGGGAAATTACGAGAGGCCGATTTCACCATCCAATCCCTGATTCAGGAGCTAGCGTGTATTCGGACTGCGCTCACCAGCCTCAAGGAGTGGCTTCGCATCCACCGTAGTGGCAACGGTCGCGATGGGCCCGAATTTGACGAGCTTGACCAGGACCTGGCCGTCGCCATGGACGGATGCCGCGTTATAATGGAGATCTTGTCGTACGAGGTATTTGAGTTGGTCCAGAGTACAGAAGAGAGCGGCGGCATCAACTTTAAGACCCGTATGAAGATTGTTTGGAATGAGGATGCCATGAGAGGGCATCAGGAGAAGCTGCGTGCTCAAGTTCAGGCTTTGCAATTGCTACTTCAAGTCTGTCAATGGTAGGAATGCACACAGCTGATTTGTTGTTATTCTTTGAAAACTAACCAGGACAGCCATTCCTCAACCGAGCAAGTTCGTCTGCTCAGAAGGGCGACAACCCGTCAAATCATAGGCAAAGTCGCCGATGATACTGCGACGCTGAGATCCGGTCGGCTCAGTCGCACCGCGACCGACACAGACGCCGTATCACAGAGCAGCAGTCGGCGGGCTTATAGCGATCGGATCTTTGATTTTGATGCGACTATCATGGACTCGCCTGTTTATCAGCGAGCTTTGCAGCAATGGACGACCCCCAGCCTGCCTTTGGAGACTCAGCAGTCTCAGTCGCAATCAAGTCAACCTAGTATTAGCGTCACTCAAAGCTCCTTTACCGACGAGGGCTATAGTAGCTATCATTCAGGGGGGCATAACAATACTGCGCTGTCCCCCGATATGGCTCAGCAGCAAGAGAACTTTCTTGCGTTGCCAAAAAGTCCTTCAGCACCATTGCATAGTAGGAGTGTATCTCATACACAAGTTCCATTGCGACAAAATATTGGCAGTATACGAAGGATTGTTTCCGACTCAAAAACTTTGACACGGGGGCAATCATCTGGATCTAAGTTAGAAAGGTTCTCATCTTTTCTCGGCCGCATCAATACAACCAGCCGAAGAAGCCTTAGGGTATCGACGGTGGGCTCACAGAATTCGCCAATCAGCCCAAATACCCAGGGACGAGGACACCGGTTACGTCCAAACTTCCATACAAGCATTGATCTCACCAAAGATGGTGCATCGGTATCCCCGCTTATCAAAGCCGCCCAATCAGGCTCTCGAGACGAAGCAGAACGACTCATCGAGCGAGGCTTTGACATCGAAGAGCGACACGAAAGGTCAGGTCGAAACGCGCTTTTAGTCGCTTCTCATTGCGGTAAAGAGAGCGTGGTCGATTTGTTAATTCAAAGTGGCGCTCAACTTGCCGTAACGGACGGATCAGGCGAGACAGCTCTCCATTTGGCCGCATCGCGAGGCCACTGGGAAGCAATGGAATTACTATTGATAGAGCGGAGTCTCATCGAAATTCCGAATCTCAAGGGCCGTACTGCATTGCGTGTAGCAGCAGACTGTGGGCAACCAGATTCCGTGCATGTGCTACTCATGCACAATGCTCAAGTGAATGCCCGAGCCGAAAACCAGATGACAGCTCTCCATGCCGCTGCAAAGCGTGGTGACGGCGAGATTGTACAGCTGCTCGTCACTCATGGGGCTGACGTGGAGGCCAAGGATGGAACGATGATGACAGCGTTACATTATGCCTGTGAAGAAGGCCACCTTGATGCCATTCGCATTCTCCTGGACCATAGAGCGAACATCGAGGCTCAAGGTCGAGACCGAAAAACGCCGTTGATTTGTGCGGCCGAAGCTGGACGTGCGCTAGCGGTAGATTTTCTTCTCAAGCGAAAAGCATCTTCACGCAGCACTGATGATAGCGAAATGACAGCCCTCCACTGGGCAGCCTATAATGGGCATGAACAGACCGTCAGAGCTCTGAGCGAAAAGAAAGGATTGCTTGATATGGTTAACAGTGTGGGTCGAACGGCTCTGCATTTAGCGGTCATTCAGTCACAGTTTGCTGTTGTGGAATTCTTGCAGCGCAAGGGGGTTCCCCTTGAAACTCGATGCAAAACTGGTCTAACAGCTCTCCATTACGCATGCATGGCTGACAGCTTCGAAATAACACGGCTGCTGCTTCTGACAGGCGCTGATGTTGAAGCTTCTGGGTCCAAACACCAAGAGCGGCCTCTGCATATCGTCGCGGCTCGGGGCTCGCTATTTCTGTTAGACCTACTCTGTGAGAAGGGAGCATCGCTCGATGCTCGTAACGGTGTTGGTGATCGGCCTCTTTGCGTGGCTAGCCGGTATGGCCACGTCGAAGTTGTCCAGAAGCTACTCGAGCGAGGATCCCCGCTGTCTGTCAAATTTGGCACTGGATTTCGAGAAGACTCGCCATTGTGCCTGGCCGCCATGGGAGGTCATTGGCATGTAGCATCTCTGTTACTGGCACGTGGTGCATCCGTATTGAAAAAGGATGAGGCCGGGTGGCAGCCAATTCGCTATGCTGCGTATTATGGCCAACCGGATCTCCTGCAACTACTTTTATCAAGCGGGAAAGTGCCCGATGCAGACATTACGGAAATCATCAACATGCCAGACACGGTCGGATTCTCCCCTGGTATTCCTGAGGATCGAATGTATCAAGTGCGACACCTTCTTAGTCAAACACTCAGCCAAAGCCACCGACGTACCAATATACCAGCTCCAATGAGTCAGGTTGGAGTTTTCCAGAGTGGGAGTCTACGCGACTCACTCTCAAGCCCACCCACGCCTCCTCCCGCCCTTCCCCCTACAATCCCGTTTGCTGTTGAAGCAGATAGTTCAACCCCTTTTGAGCTTCCGGGGAGCTTGGATCAGGAGACTTCCAGTGAGGTTAGATCTGCGGATATCAGTCCACGGACTGCCACCCCGGAATCAAGACAATCCATCGAGCAGCCACCCCCTTTGGCCAGTGACCGAGTCACCGCACTATTGCGAGAATCCAGAGGCTCCTCACCACTCAGACGTCCAAACAGACGATCCAATGGGAATAGAAGTCGAAGTCGATCCCGACCGGATGACGCCCCATTGGTGTCTGCAACATTCACACCTATAGCATCTTCATCTTTCAGCTCACCGCCGACACATCAGTCAAGCTCTCATATTCACCGGCCTTTATCACATCGAATGAAAGAGGATACTCCTGTAGCTTTAGTCCCTACTTCAAACCCAACCTCGGAGCAACCAACCGACCTAGAACGAACTCCACGAACAATTCCAACGAAACCTTTTGCAACAACCCGGGCTGGCTCTCGGGCTCGTGCAAACACTCAAGAACATTATGATGACTCTGATTCGGATTCGATATCCTCTGTATATACAGCACCGGAAGGCGAGGCTGGACCTGACAATGCGACCCTGGATTATCGTAGTGGAGTTGCGGAGTCCGCATAACCGAGGGTTTACGCACGTTTAAACCCTCCTTCTGTGGCCATATCGATATATTTTTAACAGAATTCAAAGGGCTTGACCACAATCTCTTCTATGATATCTTCAATCTGTGGAAACGACGTCTTGTTCTTCGTAGATAACATATGCGCCAAGATGGTGGTCGTTCTGCTCACAATCGAACCATTATTCAAACTCCCATCTCATTCGCTTATCCACGAGCCTCCCCTCACATTAGAAGTTAATCAGCTTTGGTGGACTTTGAACATGGTAGCATCTATTCAAATGTCTTAAATGGCCTCTGTAACCTTCACTGTCATTATTCTACAGCATTCTTGGCCATCTCGTAAAGTGTCTCATATATCCCTGGTACATATGACGTCAATATAAGTTTCGACGAGACCCTGACTGCGGCGCAATAATATTCTAAATTAGGATAATTATGGTATAGCCACAGGGGCTTCAGTGGAGAATCCGGGGCCAAAATTCCCTATTTGTCCAGTGAGATCAAGAGTTGATAACAAGGCGCAGATGTGTCCTTAGCGGCTGTCGATCCCCCAGAGATCCTTCCAACCAGCACACAAGCACTGTCCCCTAGGCCACCCATGCTCTTGGCTGACATCGCTAAGATCGATAGATCTCAAAACTTGAAGTTGTTATTAAAGAAGATGCTGCCCGACTAATAGAGTACTCTGTGTTTGGCCGCTTCACAGCAAAATGTCGACCTATTCAACTTCAGTCTCGACTTCAATGTCTCAGTCGGCAGCTGTGGCGGAAGATCTCAAACAGAATCTTGCGATTGCGAAGTTTAGTTTGGATATTCTTGTCTGTATCTGTGCTCTGGGCTGCTCCATTTGGCTATTGGTGCTGCGAAGGCGCAGAAAATATGACTTGAAGGCTTTGCCAATGTGGACTGTCCTAGGGTCTGTCACTTCGGTTTTTCTGTGAGTCACTCATACTTGATGTTCTTCAGTGAGGGATTTCAGTAATAATAACCCCTACAAAACTGCAGTTATGGAATTTTCGCTCTTCCTACCGAAGGCCAGAATATTTTAAAAACCTCCAATTCGTCCAAGGCTTATAGGGACTTTTACTATCCCGGATCTATCATAGGGGCTTTCTTCCGGCATGCAACCATCTGCGCCCTATTCTATATCTTTTACCAAACCATCCATATTTGCCTTGATGTTTTAAGTGCTGGTACCAAGCCACCAAGGTGGATCAAGAACCTCCACTGGGGCATCCTGGGAGTCACCTTAATAACAGCCATCATCAACTGGGCTTTTTACATTCAGCAAATGCTCACACAAAAGTCTCGGTCTACGGGTCACTCTGTCAAAGCAATGACTGACATTTTGAATCGCATGTATGATATCGAGCTTGCATGCTCGATTATCCGATGGATATCTTCCATGGAAATTTTAGCCTGGACTATTTACCTTTCTACCAAAACTATAAAGACTCGAGCAAAGATTAGGGCAAGTATTTGGGAAATCCTCAGGCCTTACCAGCTTCCACTAATCTCCTTCACTTTAGACACCCTCGATCTTCCTCCTTTTCAGCAGCGTATTCTTGTTCGCACTGAACATGATGTGGGCCATCTACTATATCAACCTCTTTGTCACCACAAATATAGCAGCAACGACTATCTCCGGCGTGGGTCTCATTCAGACAATTTTCATCTTCCTTATTTATCTCGGATTGGTGCCATTCTGCGTGAGATGGGGCCTGGTCCGTTGGCATAACTCTGAAAAGGACTTGTTAGACTTGGGACAAATTGCCCGGCAAGATGAAGCTCAAATCGATCAAAGTCCAGCTGAAATGGATGCCAATACCAGGCCTTCTTTCATAGTGGAGGCAGACTCACGGATGGTACTGGAGGTCGGGGAATCCAAACCGATTGTGGAAGCAGATGGATCGAAGTCTCTCGTGGAGGCTGATTCAAGGACGGTTCTCAAAGACCAAAGCGAATCTCCTCCGCGATATGAAAACCCCGAGTAGTCTGAAATATCCAGGGAGTCTTGACATTCTGATACTTGCCTATACTAGGGACGCATCTAATGATTCGACATGAAGTATGAGAAGAGCATGCATTAAGCTAACACTGTGTTATATACCCCGATTTTGGTGTGATTTTATGGACATATACAGAATATCAATCTTTTGATTAATGTTTCTACGCTTGGGTTCCTATTTTCATCGATTAATCACATCAGGCATTTGATGCTTCAAAACACCTACGCAAGCCCTAAGAAGATGTTTTCAGGTTTTCTCTGAAAGTACTGCGAGATATAAGCTTTCTAGTACTTGCTTCAATCCCCCAAAGGCATTTCAATAGAGACGAAGCTGATTCCTATACGGCCTTCAGATGAGCGTGAAGATATGTGAGGGCATCAGCCTGGTACTGCCACTTCCAAGATAAATCGCCTGCCTAGATAGAGGAATCTTATCGAACCTAGAAAGCAGTACTTTCCTTTTCGGATGTGTTGGACATATCCGACATCCACTTGTCCGTCTTTCCTTTCCTCCCTGGCCATCTCCATCCACACTCTCATCCTCCTCCGTCTCCCAACTTTCCACCCCCATTATCAAAACAACCTTCATAAATCCAGAAAGATGTCTTTCCTCTTCGGTGAACATGTCATCACCCACGACGGCGAGTACTTCTGCCGTCTCTGCCAACACCAGTACCCCTCCTACGACGCCATCTGCTCGCACTGCCAAGCCGCCTCGCACCATTCGTGGTGCCAGGCCTGCGAGTTGGTGTTCCCAGACGAGACAGAGCTCTGGGAACACCTGGAGGACCCAAGGTACCACAATCTCTGTCTACATTGCGACGGCAAGGTCGACTTCTCCGATGAGGAGCAGCTCGATGCTCACCGGGCGGAAGCCCATTTCTGGTGCCCGGGGTGCGACCTCACCTGCGCATCGAAGAGGAGCCTGAACACGCACCTCATCTATGAGCATGCTGCCTGCGAGTACTGCTTCGAATGCTTCGAGGACATGGAGCTCTGCCGCGATGTACGTTTTCTCCCACATCTACATTCATCAGACGAATGGTAACTAATATACGATTAAAGCACATGAGAACCCATGTCCCGGATGAGTACCGGTGCCCTGGATGCGGTGACAAAGACGAGGTTTTCTCGACCACCATCCAGCACCTGGAGTCGAGCAGTGACTGTGGCGGCTACCAGCAAGTGATGCGCCTTGTGAAGGCAACGCCTAGCTTCCGGGATTTCTACATCCACTCCGGTTCGGGATTCGACTTCTACTGCAAGAGTTGCCTGCGCCGCTGGTCTACCCTTAGTGAGCTTGCCCTCCATCTGGAGGGTGCCAATGACTGTGGGTGGCTCCTGGACCCGGATGAGGCATTTTCATCCTTGCGACAACTTCTCGGTCGACGCCGCCGGCAAGACTTGCCTACGCAGCAGTAGCTGGAGATTCTGGGGACGATACAGAGCAGACACCTCTTCAGAGTTTCTGAATACTCTCTTTCTTTTTCCTTTTCTTTTTAGTCAGGGGGGCAGGAATGAGTGGACGGCAGTGTTCTTTGTTTTTTTTTGTTTTCTTGTTTTCAAAGTTCGTTCCCGTGAATGTTAGAGTAGACCAATACCCCGATGGCATCGGATCAGCCCCCCAGAGATTGAATTTCAAAGTTATTCTTCCAATTCTGTAATCACGTCGGTAGCAGAGATCGACAAATATGGTTACGTGTGAGCATGTTTCTCCGAGAGGTTAGGGTTAAGGAATATAGTGCGTGGCTCGACTAAAGTGCGTGGTTATATTGGTAGGACGTAAAGCTCTGGGGGTCTAGTTGGGCGTTTTTTGGTGCTGGGTGTTAGTCGTTGATCGCCGCGGCAACACCAACTGGCTAGGCATCTGAGGCATTATTCTGCCTCAGGCATGACTTCTTTATCGGAGCTGGGCTGCTGAGCTCATCTAGGTGCACCAATCGGATTTCAACAGGTCTGAATTGCAAAGAAGCCCCTAGCTAGCAATTTGGTGGGCAAAATAATGACTAATACATGCGGGTCTATAGTAATTCCTTCTTCCGAGTATCCACTCCTGGTTCTGCTCCGACACACCCCCTCAGCGCTTAGCGAGTGTTGAATAGCTTCGCCAATTGGTCTTCCTTGTTGAATTCAATCGAGATGAGCGCTGAATCTCTTCCAACAGCTCTCTCTTTTCTCTCAATTACACCTCAATTAGGTGCTGTATATCTTGCATGCGCAAGATCTTGATGAAATCTTCATGTTTCTGGCGTGGCAGGATCTTTGTGAGCCCATCTGCTGCCATCTTGGCAGTAGGCACCCATTGAATTATGATTCGACCTTCTCTAATCTCTTGTCTTAGCCAGTGCCCATGGATATCGACGTGACGAAGCTTTGTATCGATTTTGGCATGCTCCGAAGTCAATAGGTTGACTGTCTGTTGATTGTCACACTTTAATGTGATTGGGTGGCTTGGTTTGAATGAGATTCGGTCGAGAAACCTCATCCACCATAGGAGAGATCTTCCTGCGTCGGATAATCCAAGCAATTCGGCTTCGGTAGTCGATGTGGTGACTGTGGGTTGCTTGGTAGCTTTCCAATCTACTGGTCCACCATAAACCTGGCAGATATAACCTGCAGAGCTTCGGCGATCTCTGTTATCTGCGAAAGAAGCGTCGCTTGCCAATTCAATCGATTCCATATCTCCTTTGTCACCGAATTGCAAAGCGAGGTATCGCGTGGTATAGAGATAGCAGATGACCCTATCCACTGCACGTTGATGTTGAGGCCCAGGATTCTGAAGGAATTGTGAGAGTTTGGCGGTTGCCTTCGCTGCATCTGGCCTAGTAATTGTAGTGGGATATTGCACAGATCCCACCTTTCCTTAGTACAGTTTGACCTCTGCAGGGGTTGCAGTGCTATCGTATGGCTTCATTTCTTCCACTGGCAGTGGTGTATAGACCGGCGGACGGTCTGTCAGATTGTATCGGGCTGCCATACTGCTAATATAGGCATCTTGGCATAGCCAAAGCTTATGTTCACTGCGGTCGCGGATGATTCGAATGTTCAAGAACCATTCAGCTTCCCCATGGTCTGTGAGCTCCCAGTGTGCCTCGAGGTCCTTTTCTAGCTGCTTAGCTTTCTCGCGCACTGATGGGTGATTAGCAATGAGGATATCGTCAACATAGAAGAAGACGATGATTCCTTGTGAGACGAAGACACAGGGGTCTTCTGGTATTGGTGTGAGACCTAGTTTCTCGAGTACTCGAGATGCTTCTTGTTGCCATAGCTTTGGTGAGATGCGCAATCCATATAGCGCCCGCTGTAGCTTCCAACACATCCCTGGTCTATCGAATCCTTCTGGCATTCTTGTGTAGGTCTCGGTAGGCAGTTCACTATTTAAGAACGCTGTAACTGCATCTCTCTGGCGGAGATCGAGGTTGAACGCTGCGATTAGTGCGAAGATCATCCTCGCAGACCTTGCTGCGAGTGTAACCGCCCTCTTATCCTCTGGGGATATCGTCTCGAGGTCACCTCGCACGCAGATTCGTGCCTTGAGCTTCTGGAGGTAACCGTCCTGGTCGAATTTATATGCAAAGACCCATCGGAGTGGTAGGATCTGCTTCGAAACGTCTCTCGGTCGGTTTATGACGGTAAAGGTTGATTTCTCTTGTAGAGATCGTATCTCTTTCGCGCATGCAGCTAGGAAACCCTCTGCCATTGGATGCTTCATCATCTCTCTCCACCCATTAGGTACTGGTGGTAGATCGTCTCTGTGGCGTTGAATCGGCTTCTCGGTGTATAACGCTGCTGCGAATGTGCGAAGCAGTTCAGGTGGTTCGTTTTCGATCAGTGGTGTTAGGATAGTGGCGTATGCGTGGTAGTCGGGATCTACCCTTGGTCTTCTTCTTCTGCTGCCCTCGAGGATATTGGCAGTGTCGATTCCATCGCTTCTTCGTGTGTGTAGTTCAGTGTGTAGCTGCTGCTCGCTATCAGAAAGCGAATCTTCTTCGGTAACCTCTCCTGTGAGAGTTTCAGGCGGTATCTCCGGCTCTGGCGGCTGGTCTTCATTGAGACAGGATCTCTGGTTGGTAGCCTGGGATATTGGCTGGTTGTCCACCCCCTGACCAGCTGCACTAGGAGACACAGTGGTGATTTGGTCTCCTGGAGGACTTAGTGGTAAAATCGTAGGCTCTTCGATCGGAAATGAGCCTGGTAGGGTCTCCACCGGCAGAGGATGATCTACCAGTAGATGGTCTCTACTGTCAGGTTCCGGGGTAATCGGTATAACCACCCCCTGAGGTTCAGCGGTAGTCTCAACGGTAGGTTCTGCAGGGTCTCCTTGGTCAGGATCTTCTTCTTCAACCTCACAAACACGCTGATGAATCGCTTGGTCTTCGTGACAGATTTCGTTATGATCCTGTTGCCGATCCTCCTCTGTATTTCGGTTCGCTGATAGCTCCGCAGGCATCCCGAGGTCCTCTCGTAGGACATTCAGATGTTCCTCGTCGGTCAAAATCGTCGGTTCAGGTATAGGCAGTTCGATATCTTGCCAGTACTGCATATCAGGTTTCCATCGTCTCGCTTCATCGAACCTTGCGTCTCGCACGATTTCAACCTTTCCTTTCGCAGGGAACCAGACCTTCCAGATATTCGAAGCAACGTATCCTACCAAGAACCCAATCTCTGCACGGGGAGAGGTCTTCTGCAAGCGTGGTATATGGCGGATTCGGCAGTAGGTCAACGACCCATACACGCGGAGATTGGCAAGACTTGCCTTCTTCATCCTCTCGCCGCCGAAGTCCTTTCGTGCTTCATTCCACGGCACAATCCAGTGATTCTCCTCTTTCAGGTGTGTAGGGATTCGATTCAAAATCCATACTGCAGTGCTAACCATCTCTGGCCATAGCTTCTGTGGTAACTGGCTCTCTATTTGTAGGTGCCTAGCCATCGTCAGGATGACACTTCCCGATCGTTCTGCAGAACCGTTCTGCTCAGGGTGGTATGGGATACTGTGTGAGACGACGATGCCGATATTGCTTAGGAAGCTTTCGGTTTCTGCTCCTGCGGATAGCTCGTTGTCATATTGAAACGCTCTGATTGGTAGGTTCCACCAGTTCTTGACTAGGGCAATGAAGTTTCTGACTGCATCCCTACACTCCCATTTGAATTGGTGTGTATATAACCAGTGAAATCTGATGCCTTCAACATAGAAATGGGTCATCCATTGGTGGTTATTGTACCCAGGGGGAAACTGCACTAGATCGAAGTGGATTCGACCGTATCTCCCGAAACTACGACCGATGGGTCGTCTTGAGATCTGGCGTGGTGCGCTTGCAAGATTGCATATCTGACAGAGTTCCCTTTCTTCTTCCTCCGATGTCGAATCTGGCAGATCCTCGTTGATTTTGATGCCATCCACTATCTCGGCGGCCTTCTTGACCACACGCTTGGATACGTGGGCTAATCGTCGGTGCCAGCGGTCTACTGAAGCTTCTGCAACCAGTGGTTTCTCCGATGTGCGTACCGCATGTGCATGTGCATGGGCAAGGTCTTCTGGTAAGATTTGCTCCTTCGGTTGATCGAATGCCCATATATCTAACGCTTCGTTTAGGCGCACATTGATGACGGGTTCACCATTGGAATCCTTAATGCATTCGTTGTCCTCATCCCATTTCAGACCCTTCTTCTTTAGGCCTGCATAAGACATCAAATTCGCATGGAAATCAGGTGAATATAGCACATTGCTTAGTTGGATTGGTCTGGTAGAGCCATCAGGCCCCACGCCTGTCATTATGGCACTTCCAATTCCTTCAACAGCGGTATACGAGTCACCGGTCTTCAAGCCATCTTGCTTCGGTGTGAGCTTAGTGAATAGGTCCCTCTGGTTGCATATATGTACTGATGATGCGGTGTCCAAGAACCATCGCTTGCGAGTATCGTCTTCTCCTGCTGCTTTCACGCTTTGGTACACCTGCTTAATTGGAAAGCTGGTAAAGTACGAGCCCCAGAGCTGCGTTGAATTGGCCATTTTAGTGGTATCGTTAACCCCGTTCTTCTCGTTATGGTCCTTGACCATCTTCTCTATCCAGGTCTTCCACGCTTCATCTTTCGAAAGACGTTCCTCGACACGTTTGACCTTCCATCTCAGTGCAGGTTTGTCTGGGAAAGCCTCTCGGTTGATGACCCAGCAGTCCCATGGCTTATGGACCTTATTACCGCATGGGCACCAGCGCTTTGGAATCGGTGGTAAGAATCGTGGTTGCTGCGGTTGTAGCGGTTGCGCTTGCTGTTGATCTTCTTGCTTTGCTTCTTCGAATCCTTGCAGAGTTGAGAAAGAAGCTTTTGAGATCGTACTAACGGTAGATCTCTGTGGGTGTATCTCACGATAGGTTCCTCTGAAGTTTTCGATCAAATCGCGAGTATCCCACTCTTCTTGATGCAATACAATTGCCTCGAATTTGGATTGCCACCACATAGGAAGCAGATCCTTGACCGCACGAAGGAAGTCCTTGTTAGCGTTTTTTATCTCTGGCAGGTCTAGGCTGACACCCTGCTCTCTTAGTGAATCCCATTCGTTAATCCACTGGTCGATATCTGCACCTTTCTTTGGTGGTAATGCAGACACTCGCTTCCACTGCGTACGCACGTCTTCTTCTGCGGCTGTCGCTCTACCGAATCGAGTATGGAGATACACAAGTCTTTCGTATGGGGTTTGGTAGTTCAACATGGAAGTATGGTGAATTGCATCCAAATTGGAGATGATCCACTCGTTAATAGCGTCTAGGCTCTTATTCTGTTGTTCCCATTCGTTCAAATCGAGCTTATAGATATCCATGCGGTCTCTCCACTCTCTCTTCGCTGATTCGTTGCCATCTTCTGGGTATTGAGGTCTTCGAGGCTTGCGTATTGGTTCCTCGAGGTAACCTTCTTCGGTATGGGGGTCAATGAGGTCCCACACCCTCTTCTGGCGTGCGTACAGCTTAATTCGTGCGAACCAGTTCCTCCATTGCAGAGGGTCTTTCAGCTTTTCGCCCTTCATGGCGGAGATCACTGTTGACTCCATATTGATCGCCTTTCAGCAGTGTATTCAGCGATAGGAAGTTCAGGGGTAAGATAGGGCAGATCGTATATGTGGACTATCGCAATCATCGACGTATAGTCTCGAATTCGACGAATCTCCCTTCTTAATGGCGAATCGGGCTCATAACTATCGGAGCTGGGCTGCTGAGCTCATCTAGGTGCACCAATCGGATTTCAACAGGTCTGAATTGCAAAGAAGCCCCTAGCTAGCAATTTGGTGGGCAAAATAATGACTAATACATGCGGGTCTATAGTAATTCCTTCTTCCGAGTATCCACTCCTGGTTCTGCTCCGACATTCTTCCATCAAATGCCACGAGCCACGCACAAAGGCATCGTCACCCCACGATCTATACGAGCCTACCACAGCGACCTTCTATTGCTCAAAATAGTCAGTTGGTGTGATTCAAGTGGTACATTATACTAACTTGCACTGCATTGTAGGCGTGCCATAGCCTTTCTGTCGCCTGGACCTTCGCCCTTACTTTTGTCGTCAGTTTCCATCAGCATATCTCCCTCGAAGTCGCTTCAAACTAAGAGATCGCGTGCCCTGGAACGCTAAATGGCAATCCCCCACAATCAAATCGCTTGCGACTACTGAATAGAAGGAGTTTACATTTTCTCAAGGATAAACGTAGCGTTATTATTACATCTTGGATGAGAAACCAGTGGCTGCGCGGCAGGCTGCCAGTCGTCCTATCGCTGCTACCAAACGGCGATCCCTTTGTTCCTGAGCTTCATCAATCTTTTTGGGCCACCAAGGGATTCTTCGAGACTACATGTCTTGGGAGCTTTCTGCAGCGAACAAGCTCTGGCGCATATCCACCCTTCCAACTCCCGTTCGCCCGGGTCTTCAGGCCCAAAGTCTGCGTTTCAACTGGGCAACGTCCTCGTCTTCGATTCTCTCCAATCCTATAGATATCCATGCAAATTCTCCGGGTGGCTTCGTACGACGGGCCTGACCAGCGCAACGGCCCCCGTTTTTCAAATAAATGAGGGCCTCGAACGAGACGAAACCCCAATGTAGGATATCTTTAGTGGCTCAAGTAACACACTCCAAGCGATCCCAGAGATTCCAGTGATGAGAGCAAGAATTGTCATCATTACAAATCATCCACCCTTGTCAGCCGTTGCAGCGTATACCATGAATCAGGAAAACAAAGGCGATCAGCCATAAACTATAATATCGCGAAGCGATCCATATCCCTGGTCTTGTCTATTATAAGTCCTAGTTCTCTGCGCATGTGTTTATCGTTCCTGATGTTTTGGCCCCCGCTCAAGCAACCTCTGCAGAGGCACAACGTGGGTTTCTTATTTCTTATTTTTATTTTTAGCATCTAACTTGCGGGCCGGCGCGAACGGGATCAACTGAATTTGACATCTACACCTTCTATTCGCGGTTAGGTCTATGGTCAAAAGGCAATATTAGGTCGTGCTATGTCTATTTAGATCACAATTATTAAACCGGCGTTGTACTACAGTCGGTCGGCGGGATTCGAGAATAGCGTGCCATTTCCACGGGTCCTTGGAACATGAGTGGCTTGATTTAACTAGTAGATAACTAACCGGTTATTGTATAGTTACTCCTGACCGAGTGACTACTCAAGTCAACTACGATGGGGCTATTCTTAGAAATCTGACACAAATACTGACACCATTTCCCGCCTCAAAATGTCCACAACAAACGGTTCTACAAGAAACAATAAACTCGAATACCACCATGCTATCATTCCACGACAAATATGCCAAATCAACCCAAAATGGTCCCCGACGTAACTAACTAGCCGAGAATGCATCCACTCCAGCTGTCTCTCTAGTAATACACGCAAATGAGCCTCAGGCCTAGTCTCAATCTCAAACACGCAGCGCCGACCGTTTAATTTATTTTGTTCTCTTCAGCTGAATCCCCGCCAGTCCCCGCGTCGACTCATCGACTCATCGACTAATCAACCACTCACCTAAGCCGGTCCTTGTCCACCGTAGGCTGCCAACAGGCACCGTCACATTTCCTAATTAAATAATATCAGGCTATGGCGTGCCAAGCTAGTAGATAGTGGCATAGTGGCTCCCAAGCCGATCATTTGTGGCTTTGTCGATGCCCTTGTGGCTAGCAGGGGGGCTTGTAGCTGGGGTCGTAGCTGATAGTTGGTGTTTCCTGTTATCCTTACTCATTCCATTTTTCCTCGTGAAGAGTAGGTACCTATGAGTCGGCCCTGACTCAGACATGCACGCCGCGACGAAGGGCGCCCCATATTTAAAAAAAATAATTCTGGATTTCGACCGGTACTTCGGGCTGTTTCTTTCTGGATTCATCTGGAATATTACTTGAATTGGGAATTGGGGGCTCGGGATTTGCTGGGAGGCTGCGTGGTTCATTGGTGCTGGAGGATGAGCTCAGGCAGACATCGCGCTGTGATTCAGGTGATGCTGTGTTTGGCATTTTTGGGGGTTATTTTTCTGAGTTTTCTTGAAATTGTCAGAATAATTGGAATTTTCCTCTAAGAAGCTTTTTTTATAAATAAGGTCGTCGATCATGGCGATCAGACTTTACTTTTTTCTACATCACAGTTCAGAACATCCATACATTACGATATACTCTTGACTTTATACTTCAGCGACTTCAAAGACTATCATACATACTTGAGACACTATCATACATATTCGTCACAAGGCTAATCTTCCTTCTCAACTGATTGCCTATTTCAATCGATCATCTACCACGTCTGGCCAACCTTTGCTTCAATCCATCATATCGTCTCGATCCACACCTCAAGACATCACCAACACATTCACAATGGGCCGCGGCGGATACAACGGACCTGCCAACGACGCAGATGAGTCGGACGAGCAACGCTTCACCAACTGAACGCATAACCAATGCGCAAAGAGTCCAGTGACGGGCATCATCATCATAACACTCCACTCAAGGGTATCTTGACGGCACACAATGGATACGAGCACGATCACCCAGCAAGGACTGGGAGTTGACTTGAAACAACATCGCCACTCCATTTTGCAAGGGTTTCACGAGCTCTTCGCATCCGAAGATCCAGGATACGAGATCTCGTATCCCCACGACGCATGGATACCGTGAACATCGACATCACTTGCCGACGCAGAATCTACAACAGCGTTAGTCGCGTCGAGAATCATAGGGGTTAATCCGCTGTAGGAGGACTCACTTTTCAAAGACCACGCCGAGCACGTCTTCAACATCCCCGCTCTCGCCTTTGCCGGTGATCTTGGCCAGCATGTCGGCGGCGAAGCGTAAGTGTTCGGCGGCAGTCACAATGTCGATTTCAACATCGACAAAGGTGGAATCACATTCAGACGAGTCAGGAGGATTTGAGGTCGCAGCGGTGGTCTGGGATAAGAAATCGTTCAGGTGATCGAGACATTTCTGTAGATTCGAGCTTTGTCGATGTGTGACGCCCAATGAATCTTCCCAATACGATTTATCATATTGACCACTTTCATCTCCATCCGTGCCTAGCGGCGAGGCTATCTGCTCAAACGTCGAAATGAGCCCGCGTAGAAATGCCTGTAGATTGCCCGGGTCCGTCAGACTTGAGTCTTGATTTCCAACAGAAGGCAGCGACCCGCGCTGGGCTTCATTGCAGGATATAGCAAAAACTCGATCTGCAGGCACAGCAGGGAAGACCTCATGAATAGTCTTCGCCAAAGTCTGCGGCAGCAATGCACCCCTCTCGCCAGCAGGTAAATTGTCGCATTTGTTGACAGCAACGACGAGACATTTCCCAGCCTCGACGCAGTCATTCACGGCGTCCAAGACCTCAGGTTCCACAGACAGCCTCACATCCCCACCAACATCCTCCAACGAAACAACCACAACAACAACATCAGATTCAAGAGCCCTCTCCCTAGCCCTCCGAATCCCCTCCTTCTCAACAGCACCAATCACAACGGCCCCAGACCCGCCCACTTCAGCCCGAATCCCAGCCATATCGCCCAACTTGCAATACCACCCCCCAAGATCAACACCCACATCCACAATATCACGCGTAGTCCCTTCCTCGGTGCTAACAATAGCAGCTTCCTTCCCAACAACCCGATTCAACAACGAACTCTTCCCAGCATTCGGCGCGCCCAGGAGCGCAACACGGATTCCACTTCGCAGAAGCTCGCCTTTACTAGCATTCTGCACATGAAATCCAATCTGCACCGCCAGCGCACGTACCTGTCCCGCAACGGAAGTAACAAGTTCCTCAGTGGACTCGTCGAAATGCTGATCCTCGGAGAAATCAATCAACGCCTCCAACTCGCCGCGCGCATAAAGCAGCGTCTGGCGCCAGGCCTCGTACCGCTTTAGCAAGGCATCGCTGGCCCCGCGCACAGCTAGACGTCGCTGTTGCTCTGTGTCTGCGGATAGTGTATCGCCCAGGGCTTCGATTTGCGGGAGGCCGAGGCGGTCGTTCATGAAGGCGCGGCGGGTGAATTCGCCCGGCTCGGCGTATCGGACTACCGCGTCCGTCTGGCTGGTGCGTGATATAGCAGATAGCACTGCTTTTACGATAGCGGGTCCACCATGGATGTGCAGTTCCAGTACGTCTTCGCCGGTGACTGTCTTCGGGCCGGGGAAGTAGAGGACCAGGGCGCCGGCGTCTAGGACGGTGCTTGGGGAGGGCGGGCGAGAAGGATCGTAGAGGGTGCGTAGCGCCGCGAAACGCGGTTTCGGGAGGGGTTTATTGGGGCATAGTGCTTTGTATATCTAGAGCAAGGGCGTTATCAGTATACGGCGCGAATTGCGGAGTCTGCGAGAATGCATACTGAAGCACAAGCTGGACCAGATATCCGCACCACAGCAATTGCGGCTCTACCCGGAGCTGTTGATAGAGCATAGATTGTAGAGTCGGCATCTAGCATGAACCCCTTGTGTTGAGAAGACGAGAAGCTCCGAACATTGCTACGTGCTTGGTGCGGAGCTCGCGCGGAGACCGGGGCATGATTTCGGAGCAATGGGCGGTCATCTAGCCCTGATATCCTTGTATAGGGTTGTTTCCATGAAGGGCGGAAGGGAGAAGCCCAACGCAAGACTCGAGGGCGAGTTACTTGCATGCAGATGATTAGGCGCTGGTGCGGAGCTGCTGGAAGATTGCTCAAGTCGCCGCAAATGATGCGATAAGGATCTAGTCACGTGACTTCGTTGTAATAGCTCGTGGAATATCAACCTCGTCCTTGGAGGTTAACAGTGGCAGAGGAAAATCATATCATACATCGAATGACACACTTCAAAAAATGATCTTTCAGAGAAAAGGTGAACCCTTGGCTAAGAGGCTAAATGCTATAGGAGCATAAGCATTCCGAAATGTATCCCCATGTACCACGACCCCATTGGGTATCTATCTAGATCTAGGACACCAACAACACACAAGCCTGCCATAGAGACATCAACATACATGAACTAACATCCCTCCTACACATCAACATCTAACCCGACATACCTACCCCAAAATACAAAACACAAGAAAAATTCACCATCGAAGAAGTATATTCGATGCGCACACGCCCAGCAGGGACAGTCCACATAAACCGCCATGACCAGGAACGCATATGAAGACGGCTTTAAAAAGGGAATTATGTACAAAGAGAGAAAGAGCCACACAAAGCTTCAACAGCCAAAGCTAAGTGCGAATGCGAATGCAAGAGAAAAAAAAAATGTACCCTCGACCGGACCCAAAGATTGCACACGAATAGAAGGAGAAAAGGGGGTGGACAGCAAAAGAAAAGATGAAATAATGAATAGAATGGAGAAGATGAAAAAAATTCACAATTAACAGACGATGGTATCATGACACCATGCTTTGCTCATCACGGATAAGTGAAATTGGAGGTAGGTGAGGACAATGAAAAGGAAAAGAAAAAAAATGAGGAAAAAGAAAGATTGGGAGTTCGGAGTTCGAGGTAGTGGCTTGTAGGTCTGGTAGGGATGGAGACTTTGAAGTAAAAGAAGGGAGGGGGAGGGTCGGGTATGATATGATACAGGTCGAGGGCTGTGAAAGGCTGTGTGCGGTATGATGCAAGAGATGACAAGGAAAATAAAAGAGCATTCCGAGACGGCATCAAGGAGAATCTATCAGACATTAGATTATGAGGGTGGCCGAGTAATTGATGAGTGTGAGTCAGGGGGGTTCAGTCTGGTCTCAATCCGATAATTCAATCGGATGGGTGGCAGAGGATCCGTCAGCTGGTGATTCTGTTTCAGGCGGGCCATCGTCATGCTGCTCTGAAACAACAATCTCGGGGGGCACCGAGGGCTTGAAGTCGTCAGGCAGAGGGCTTGGCAATGGCTGATCTTCAGTACCACCAACAGAGTCTGTTTGTGATGGCGATGCCGGTTCCTGGACAGTTGCAAGACCCGATCCAGAGCCATCGGCGCTGTCTTTGCTTCCGCTCGTTGCGCCATTACGGCGTCTCATACGACGTTGACGACGCTCTTCATCAGCGCTTTCTCTTCGGCGACGTTGACGATCTCCATTCGCGTCAGAGTTACTCCTCAATCCCAGGAGCATACTAGCGGCACGGTCAGCAACGTCCTCGCCTTCAGATATCTGAGCCTCTTTAGCGCTTTCTTCACCCTCTGCAGGAATGGGCGGGCTCAGCAAGCCATTCTCATCCGTTTGGGCATTTCCGTCAGCAGGCTGCTCTGACCCTTCGCCTCCCTCGGTTCCCGAGAGATCGGGCACCTTCTGACCAGAAGCAACGCGAACTTGATGGCGTTCCTTGAGACGGGCACGACGACGGCGATCCCGCACGTCCTTAGTTTGAGGCGCAGCAGCACGCAGCTTCTCGAGCAACGAGTCCATGGCTCCACTGGTGGCAGGTGAATTGGGCGACTCGGTAGGAGCGCCATTAGCAAGGTTGACATTGATCCGCTTGCGAGCCAAAGAAGCTTCCGTGCGCTTCCTGGACTCTTCCAAGCCGATATTCTTTTCGCGCGATTTCTATATTGAGATGAATTAGCAACCGCAATCTTATCAGAACCCTTTCCTCTTTGTAACTCACCTTCCATTCCATCAAGAACGAAGCCAACTTCGCAAAGAAGTCTCGCCGAGCATTCTCGTCAGTGTTGTCCTCGCCATAGAAGACCATAATATCATCATAAGTCTTGACCATCTCATCCAGGTACAGCTGCAACTGCTCAGCCTTGCGACGAGCATCCTTCATACTCCGCTGAACGACCTGGCTCACACGATCCTGAGGGTGGAACTTCTTCGGATCGCTGAGGTTACCAGCATCCAAGCTCGACTGCACATTCTTGATATTGCTGATGTACTTGACAGAATCAGTGCGCAGCTGATCAACGCTGACCTTCTGCAATCCAATAACGCCTCCAATCTCGTCACTGAAGCCCTCCCATTCGGGATACTGGTTGCGCACGATACGCTCGACAAGATCTGCAAAAGTAGTCTCGTTCTTGTCATCCTTGACCATACCAAGGCGGGCAAGCGAGCTTAGCTTGAAACCTTGCGCCTGCTTGTTTGCGTCGTTCATGAAGTTACCGATATCAAGAATCAACCCGAGAACGTTCATCAGCGCAACGGAATCACGCAGGGACTCGCTGACCCGAACCACCTCCTGCAGTCTGGTAGAGATGTACTCATACTCATGCTCATAAGAGCGCGTCAACGCAAGAGCCCTCATACGAGCCTTCCAGTAGTGATTCAGTTCAAAGGCAGTTGAGAGATAGATCTGATCTTCACGGGTCAGTTCACTCGGATCCTGCTCGCGCTCAGAGCTAGCAGCACCAGGAACAGTCCAGTCACGACTATACGGAGCCATCAACTTGGCAACATTCTCCGGGATCGCGCACATCTCCTCTCTTTGCAAAAAGTCCATCACAACCATATTATCCAATATCTCCTTGTCACAGTGAATAATCATGCGTGTGACATCGTCAGCTGGGAATTGAGAGAATTTAGAAAGAGCAATCTGGAAATTCTTCGACAGATCATTAGAAATGACCTGCTTCTTGTCCTTGCGCTGCTTGGCTGCGGTGCTTGCTCCAAAGATCTTAGTCTCCTTGGCCATGAAAAGACGCTCGACTTCATCCAGAACACCCTTCTTAGCTAGGTCGGTATACTTCTGCTCCTTCTCTTGTTGAGTTGGTGCGTGGGCAGCCCAAACGGTTACCTGAGGAGTATCGACCTTGTCCCAATGCAGAGCCTTGAGCTTCTTCTTAGGCCGGATAGAAGGCATGCCGGTGATGGAAGAGGATACATCGTCTTGAACCATATACGTAGGTCTCCAGCCAGCGCCCAACGGAGCACTGGGAGGCGGAGGAGGGGGAGGAGCAAAGCCACCGGTTGCTCCAGGAATTGGAGGAGGAGGCGGGGGTGGAAGACCAATACCACCACCAGGTGGAGGTGGCGGAGGGGGAAGCCCAATAGCACCTCCAGGAGGAGGTGGCGGAGGAGGAATGCCAATCTTTCCACCGGGAGGGGGAGGAGGTGGTGGAGGGCCAGGGATAGCTTTGGCGCCACCAGGCGGAGGCGGAGGAGGGATAGCGAGTTTGCCGCCAGGGGGAGGAGGGGGAGGAACGAGAGCTTTGGCACCACCTGGGGGAGGAGGTGGTGGTGGTGGAGGTGGGGGGCATAGCTTTTTGATCTGCCTCTGCCTTGGCTCCAGACTCGGGCACCTGCGTAGGAGTAACATCACCAACATCCTCAGCCTTAGTAGATTCGTCCGCGACGGCGGCAGCAACACCAGCATCAGAATCGTCATCATACTTGGGCACCTTGGAAGCAAGTTCACCAAGCAAGCCAGTAGCCTGGGCAGGGTTCATGCGAGGACGCTGGTACTCAATCAGGCGAGGCTTCTCGTACACAGCCTCTTCATCCTCATCAACGGGAGACATGGGTAGACCATCAGGGCCCTGGTCCATATCCGGTACATGGCTGCGCTTGCGGTAAACAGATCCCAGAGAACCAGGGTCGAGATTACGACGAGTAGACTCGGCGAATTCCTCACTGTAGTCGACGTCACCTTCCATCTGCTCACGCAGCTCACGCAAACGGTCAGACGGGCCATGTTGACCCCAAACCTTGCCCTCAAGCTTGAACTGAGTCTTAGTTCGCTCAAGCTGGCGCTCGAGCCGTTCCATGAGACGCTCGCGATCCATGATGCCCGGCAATTGAGAAGGATCAGCAGGTCCGGCCTCCGATGCATTAGCCTGCTTCCTAGCATTCGAAGCAGCAATGTCCTGTGCGTCACGGAGCATAAGATACAGCTCACGAGTCTCCAATTCATTGCGCTGCAACTCCTGGGCACGTAGTCGCTGGACTTCAGAGACCTCGGCCTTGAGTGTTTCAGTCTGGCGACCTTGCAGCTCAATAATTCCGGCCTGCTCATCGATTTGCTTCTGCAATTTCAAGACTAGACCCTCAGCACCAAGCTCTACCTGGGCTTTCATCTCATCGCGCTCCGCAATGGCAGCCTCGGCAATCTGGCGAGCCTCCAGAGCTTCATCATACACACGTCGAGCCTCAGTATCGGTATGCAGACGATCCAGAAGGCTCTGCACGGTAAAGTTCAAACCCTGACGAAGATCTAGATCGGGTAATCGCCGATCCATAGCAACGTAGCTCATCATAGCATCAACGAGCTGGAACATACGGAGCCCCTCTTCGCCGGCATTCTCCCGAATCAGCAGCATATGCTGCATAGCCGAGAGGAAATAGTCATGCGAACGGGTACCCTGGATCTTCACGGCAATAGCATCCGCAATCTGGAGGGGATCAGTCATATCCTTGACCTCTCCCTCGACACTATCCTTCATACTACTGCCCTCACGCTGGAGCAGGTCCTCATAGTCGATAGCCTCATTTTCGCGGAAGCGCTCGATCTGCTTATCAATGACCTCATACTGGAAGCCCTCCATCTTCGTGAGCAGGCGCTTCACGCCACATGAGATGAATTGCGCACGGATATGGCATCGCAATTGCAGGTCGTTCTCGGCACCATCGACAAGCATGTTGATCAGAATCATTGTCGAGACAGCATACTCCATCAGCAGGTTCTCCATGCCAATACCACCGCTGCGGTACTCCTCGCTAGCGCCGACCAAACTGCCCATCTTGCCGCGGCCATCAATTGTGACCTCGGTGATACGCATCCATGCATCGAAGCGGCCGGTTTCATTATGGTCATGTTTGACTTTGTCCATAGCCTGGAGGACCTTTTGGTGGCCTTGACCCTCGGCCCAGTGGCACAGGAAGGTGAGGACCTCGCTGACAAGTTTCCGGGTATTGAGACGAGGGGACGAAAGCGAGTTGACGAGGGCGACCAGAACACCTTGGTGCTCCAGAGCATCATCCGCACCATATTTGTTGTTCATGAGACCCTTCAAACACTTGGCAATGTCATATTCACGGTCTAAGTCCTTATCACCCGATGGCGGAGCAGGAACGGGACCAGAGGCTTTGCGCCGGTTGATCTTTTGGAGGACATTCGTGAGAGCAACTTGACCCTGAGCTTCGACGAAAGCTTTCACCCAACTATATCCAAAGTCAGCATGGCGTAACACAAAGAGAACAGAGCATATAGCAGTTCAACATACCTGATGGGCTGCGTCCGCAGACTAACGCTAAGACTCGCAAGTTGCTTGGAAGTAATCGTATCATCCATAACCTTCTTCACATACCACTCCGGACTCCCTTCCTCATCAGCCCGCTCCAGCAGGCCAGAAAGTCCGTCATGCCCATGCGTCTGGCGAGCATTCTGTCGTCGTTTCTGCTCGCCTTGCAACTCCGTCAATCGATCCTGGTGAACCAAAGTCCACTTCTTCGAGGCCGGATAAGACAGCATCTGCCGCTTGGCCTGCTCGGGAAGATTCTGCCATCCACGCTTCTGCATCAACTCCAAGAACAACTGATCCACAACCCGATCATCCCGTGGCCGGGTCAAGTAGTTATCCGGCGGGCGCGGTACCGCGGCGGGTATGGGCTGGTGCGAGGCAGCATTCGACAGACGTCCAGAACTGCTGCTAGGAAAGACGGTATTGCGGTCACTCGAGTGGGAGGGGGTGAGGGTGCGGGAGGAGCCGTCGGCGGAGTAATAATTCGAGCCACGGGTGTTGGAAGAATGGGAGGAATATAGGCTGGTCTGATCGAGTGATGTACGAGAATTGGAAGAGGAGTCGATGGAGTGATTTGCAGCGGAGCTGCCAGGGCGACCCCATTGTTGGTATCGTGTGCCTCGGTCTCCGGAGGTGCTGCTGGTCATGGTCATGCCCGAGGTGTGAGGGGGTGGGCGGGGGCCGGAGGGATGTGATGATCCGTTTGGCGCAGAGGTCGATGTCCACGTAGGATATTGGTGGTAGTCACCGCCAGACTTGCCAAGGTTGTTGGGTGAGGGTTCCAGGCGGGAGGAGTCAGGGCGGGACATGCTGTCGATCGGGATAGGTGTTCTCGTGTCAGACGGCATACTATCGTAGGGAATGGAGGTGATGACACCGGCCGTGGGAGCGAGGCTGGCAGAGTCGATGTCTCCGGTCATATCAACAGATTGGATCGAGGAGCGCTTGGAGTATCGGGATGATCGAGAACCGGCTACACTGGCGGGCGGCGCCAGGCTGTCGAAGGAACCCCCATACCCATCCGAGCGCTCATCAGCGGGCCTCTCCTTGTACAATTTCCTCCCGAAAAAGGACTTCCCAGCGGACGTTTGCCTGGACTTATCGGCGGGCGGGCCGGTGGGCATTTTGGCGCGGGTTTCGCTCTCCTCTTCTCACACTCTCTCTTGCTGAGCTGGCAGGGTGCAGCATAAAGGAAGCCAACAGCCCTCCGTCGCGCAAGTCAGGGACGGGTGGCAGAGAGAAAGGCACGAAAGAAGTCGATTCACAGGGTGGTAGCGGGGTCGATCACTATGGATCTCGGTGTGAGAAGCGATAACATTCACAAATTTGACGAAAGTCTGTTTTTGTCCCTCCCTGGCTAAGTTAGTTTAGTATACCCGCTTTTGTTGCTACGGCGGAGCCGCCGCGCGCCTGGGGAGGGGTGTTGGAAGCAGGCGGGCCGCGCCAAAAACACATGGATTGGTGAGACTTACCGCACAAAGAAATGAAGGACAAGAAAATCAAATTATGGAAAATATGAAACGATCGGAAAATAGGTGCAATATGCAAGTCCCGGTCCTGACGCCAGGGTCGATCAAAGCACGGGCGTTTGGATCCCAAAGTGCCTGATTAGGGGGCTGCCAAACTGTCCCGGAGAAACTCCCCGACCGTGGCACGTGATGCTGATAGGAGAGTGTTGTCACGTGATGCGCTATCTTGAAGATCGGCCAGTCCCGTGGGGAAACCACACTTTGTTTCCTTGATTGATTTGACAGGTGTGGGGGAAGTTAAGCTATCACTGGTCTGGACTTGCAGAAAAGGATTACAACCAAAAAAAGAAGGATCCTATCATTTCCACTTCTGCCGTCAGTCCCCTCGATCCCGCCAGAGGCCGAGTTCACTCCCGAGTCCGAAGGTTCAAGGCACCAATCTACAAGCCCCGTTTGCCGAACAACCCGACTATAAACAGAACTCAGAATCCACCACAGACAAGCGGACTCGACACAACCTTGACCACCCATTCCCCCAAGGCTCAGCCAGAGGACAACCCTCCTCCAAACCCTTCCTAGCAAAATGGGCTCCTCACTAAACTTCGCAAAGGTCCGCCTCCCCAACCCCCCTTACCCTCCAATCCCCCATCCACCTCTCTGTACACAAACTAACAAACACAGACAATCTTAATCCCCGCCTCCATAGCCCTAACAATCTACCTCCTCTTCACCCTCCTCATCATCCCCTTCTTCCGCCGCTACCACCAACGCTACTCCCAATACCTCCCCCTACACACCCTCTCCGCGCACACCCTCTCCCTGCGCGACCGCATAGCAGACACCATAATGCGGTTCTTCCTACCATCCTCCTGGCGACGGGACGCACACCTGCACGAGCCTGATAACGACAATATCAGCATCGACGAGGAGGAGGGGGAGTTGATGGTGGGCATGGATATGGATGCGCGGAGGAGGGAGGCGCTTGAGCGGAGGCGGAGTCAGGCGCCGGAGACGCAGGGCAGGCTTAGTCGCGAGTTGGAGGAGGGGTTTATGGATGAGAGTGATGAGGAGGAGGAGACGGAGGTGCTTGTTAGGGGTGTGCTGGGGACGAGGCGTTCATGATGCCAATTTTGGTGTTAACCTTGAGCCTGAGGTTGATGGGTTTGTCGTTATGGGTTACGGTCATGGGTGGCGTTTTTTTAGGTTCAGCGTTTATACTTCGCATAAGAAGGTTTTAGGGCTTGGATGCCCTGGAATCAAGGCATTTGTTCTGTTATTTTTTTTCGAATCGTTTCGAGTATACTAGAAGACTCAAGCTACGTTATAAACTGTTCTTCTTTTTTTGATAGACGAGGTTGAGCTATAGAGAAATCTACATAGTACCGAAACAGCGTTTTACAACTTAAGAATTGACAATTGTAAATCAGACGATAGTAGCAGGACTATTCGCATGATTATCACAAAGCTTCAATCACTGATATCCGGCTTATCTCGAGATCTACAGCCCGTCCAGATCGACGCCCCACAATCGAAGCTCTAGAAGAAGCGGAGCCGGTACCTTACCTGTGACAGGAAAAGCAAACAGAACAAATATAGCAAAGAGGATGTGAACCACCAAAAATCAGAAATATGTATGAACAGGTCATGTCATTGGTATCGTAGCTGCTACATTTTGAAAACATAGCCCATCCCATCCTCCAACCGAGGAAAACAGGGACACATTGTAAGAAATGAAATATGCACAAATGGAAAAAAAAGCCCTTATAAATCCTCCACCCTCGCAATCAAATTATTTCCTTTTATCGCCCATAATTTACTTGCGCTGGCCGTAAGCCTTGGTGGCGTAGTCACCCTTGTGGACAATCAGATCCTCAGGGCGGTAGTCCTCACGACCGGAGAAGTAAGAGTCCAGAATGTTCTTGGTGCCCTCGGCGTAGCGGACCTGGGCATCGATGGAGGTACCAGACATGTGGGGGACCATGGCGTTACCACCGCCCCAGGGGTACTCGGCGTAGCGGAGAGGGTGGTCCTTGGGGGCGGGCTGGGGGAACCAGACATCACCACCGTAGCCGCGGAGGTGACCCGACTTGAGAGCCTCGGCGACGTCCTCCTTGACGACGATAGCGCCACGGGCAGTGTTAACGAGCCAAGCACCGGGCTTCATCTTAGCGATGAGGTCCTTGTTGAAGAGACCGCGGGTCTTCTCGTGCAGGGGGCAGTTAATAGTGACGACGTCGCACTGGGCGAGCATCTCCTCGAGGGAGTCGACGCGACGGCAGCCAATCTCCTTCTCAACCTCAGGGGCCAGGGGCTGGTAGTCGTAGTAGAGGAGCTCCTTGCAGTCGAAGGGCTTCAGGCGGCGCAGGACACGCTCACCGATACGGCCGACAGCGACGGTACCGACGACCTTGCCCTCGAGGTCGAACTCGTTCTTGGCGACGGCCGCGACGTCCCAGTCACCGTTGCGGATCTGGTCATGGGCGGGGACGAAGTTGCGGACAAGGAGGAGGATGGTCATGACGACGTGCTCGGCGACGGAGACGACGTTGGAGCCGGTAACCTCGGCGACGGTGATACCGCCGTTGGTCTTGTTGGCGGCATTCAGGTCGACGTGGTCAGAGCCGATACCAGCAGTGACGGCGAGCTTGAGCTTCTTGGCCTTGGCCAGACGCTCGGCAGTGAGGTAACCGGGGTGGAAGCTGCAATTTGTTAGCTGCGGGAGTTCCATTCTCGATCAATCGAGGGGTTCACTCACGGAGTAGTAATGATAACTTCAGCGTCGACGAGCTCCTTGTCAAAGGTAGAGTTCTCACCCTCCTTGTCGGAGGTGGTGACCAGAGTGTGGCCAGCGTCCTCGAGCCACTTGCGGATGCCGAGCTCGTTCTCGGTAGTACCGAGGAGACGGGGCTGCTGCTTAGCGTGCTCGCCACCCTGTAGAGAGTGTTAGTATATCGGAGAGGTCAATGGCGACGGGGATATCAACTTACGTCGTACAGAACGAGAAGAACCTTGCCCTGAAGATTGGCAGATGCAGTTAGCGTACGTGCATGGGAAAAGGCACCAGACACCGGAGCTCGTGCAAAGGAGCCGGTGGCAAGTGTAGGTTTAGAGCCGGCAGAGATGAACTGAGTGGCAGGACGTCGTAGTTGACGGGAAAGGGAACGGATAAATACCATTTTGAAGGATGATTCAAATAGAAAGTTTGAAGTGTGAAAAAGGGGGAATTGATCAAAGCACGAAGCTGTAGAAAAAAAGAGAGAACCAGGTCAGCAGAATATCCTTTATATAACAGTATCTCAACCGGTCGCATGTCTATGAAGTCAATGCTCCCAAAACGGCGTTGGAGAAGCGGCTAAAAGACTGGGAAGCGGGGGTGGGAAAAAGAGTGGGGAACATGCAGGCCCGTCGAGGCTTGAAGGAGGAAGTTTGGGATTAACCTTACCTAAGATAGATAGATTTTAAGGGGTAAAGAAGGTTAGAAGAAGGTTGGAATGATGAAAAGAAAAAACCAGTATTCGACCGGTCAGAGGAGCCAAATATATAGACAAACAAACAGGGTGGGAAATAGCCCCCTCTCAAAGCCCCTCTTTGAACCGGCCAACACCCCAGGACAGAGAGTGAGTGGGATTGGAGAGCGACAGAACCCAAAACGAGTTGTACACCCCTCAGATCCTCGAATTGTCCTGCAAGAGGGTACGAGAGGGGGACTCCACCATGGTCGGGTCGGAGGACGGGGGGATTGCACCACTCATGATGGTGGTCCGTCTCTCCGCATGAGGGACAACCAAAGAGGGGAGGAGAACCTTCGCAGTTCGTGTTCGTGCAGCCCGAGAGCTGGGGGAATCCATGCAGAAGCCTGGCCAGGTATTCTCGGAGGGACCGGCTTCCCGGACCGATGTTCTCTTAGAGTGACTTATCGACCATCGGATGTCGAGGTGGTGCTGGTGATAGTAGTTGATGGTGATGGCGATGGCAGTGAGCTCGTGCGGGGAAATTCCTAAACTTCTGGCCTGAGGCCACTATCTGATAGCACTCGGGAATTGAACCGTAGTCCACACTCTCAGTCTAGTTCCTACGAGACACTACTATAGAGATACATCCCTCTATGATCGTCCGTTTCATTGACACGGTACATGCATGTACATCCCCCGTCTTCCCCGTCAGCCCATCAGCCCAGCAACACGTCCAAGCGTAACCTTCTACTGGAGTAAGTTGGGCTGCTTCACCCGTTTGGGATAGCTCTCCGCAGCGGGGTGCTGACGTAATGAGGGGTAAATGGCCAGAAGGGCCCCCGCAAACAAGAAAAAAAGTGTCGCCGCGGATCGTAAATGGAGGTGGTGGTCCGAGTCAATTCCGAGCGGATAGCACGGCTGTTTGGGATTGTTGAGGTTGGTGATCAGAGGGATCATGGAAATGCCATCCTGGGTTGGCGATGGCTGATTGAGGTTGACATGGTACCTATACTTTTTTTCTTCTGCCAGCATTGTGTCAGGTCGACGAGCTAATGACTCTCCAGTACGGAGTACTTTGCTAGATTATCGAGTCCTATAATTCGAGCGATTGGAACAAATGCATCAGAGATATTCTCTATTCGACTATTTATACTACCGATTCTATGGAAAGCTATATGGAAAGCTACACTGCCAACCCACGATACACAGCGATCGCGATCGGATCTAGCCAAGTCCAGTCCAAGAGACCATCCCCCAGACAGCGAATAACCTTCAGAACGAAGACCAGGCCTGAACAACCCCATCTCAAGACCAAAGCAACAATCACAATCCTAAAATGCCGAGTCAGTGAGCTGTCAAAAACAAGTCAAGACATATGCAAAGCAAAATTGAAGGAAATTGATCAATCAGAAGGAAGGCAACGGAAATATCGACACGGTTTTGCGCATTCCGAACAGGTCTGTGAGTTTACATCCGAATATATTTCATCATGTGATCAAGTGGCCGACGAGGGAGCGGCCTGGCGAAGTGCAGGTGGAAGAAAAACGAAAAACAACATTCAAGGGGCAACTTACAGCAATGATAGCAGAGTCGTCGGTGCATTTTACATGACCCGACGACTCATCGTGTGTCAATTGGCTCTTGTCAATTGAGCACTCCTATCCCTCCAGTGTCGACTGCGCCCTCTGTCAATCATAGCATCGAGCGAGCGACCGAATGCGACCTGTCCCACCCAGAACGAGTCCGACGAAGACGAAAGCTCGAGCAGAATGCGACCGGTCCCTAGACGAACAGCCCCTTTCTAGACCTTCAGCTTTGTCGAATACACATCCTCGCGACAATAACCCTCGTCTTAACCAAAGCGAAGAACAAAAGAGATCATCGAGATGTCAAATCACGGGCGCATGGCGATGGCGACCACATAAAATCACCATGACCATGACCATGCAGGAAACCCCATGAGGTGAACACGGATGAGAAAGAAGAAGACAAAAGTCGAAAGTCCAAGAGTCAAGAAAGGAGAAGGTAATGTTAGGCGAGGAGAATTTTGCTTGTGGGGCCCAGCCCTAATAATTTGACCAGAACAGCACAATTCACCGCACCCGCTTCTGAATCGGGTCAAGTCTCCCGAAGTTCTCTGAATGAGCTCTGCCTCGAGTATCACCTCAGTAACGGACTGATAGTCTGCCAGGAACAGGCACACGGTATGCCCGTGGTGGATACCAATCGTGAGGGCGAGGAATCTCCAAAAACCTCCTCACGGAGGGGAAAGCAGCACCAGAACCAGAACCACAGAGTCGCTCAGCCAGCACAAGAGAAGCGGGTCCAGCGAGTTGGAGAACGGGCGAGAGGCCGAGTTTCGGCAGAAACGCGGGAATCGCTCGGCGGCGCTTGCCCAAATGCTTGTCCCAGTACTAGTAGTATGGGTTTACTATGGAATAGGATTGGACTACTAGGGGCTGGGAAGACGCGGGGTGATGTTAGCTGTCTACCCCAAGGTCCTTGATGAATATAGACACATTACTGTACGATACTGTAGCACTAAAAAAGGCTGATGTTGGAGTCTCTCCGCGGATCGGAGGCCCCTCCGCTTCGTGCGGGCGGTTCAAAGATAGCTATTCCGTACAGTAGCTTGTTGGAGATAAAGCCTCGTGAGGGGACTCCGATCACCTGGTTCTCTCTGAATTATTCAATTTGATATAACATATCTGTCAATTTCCCCTCCATAACTGAATTGCTGTCTGGAAAACCAACTCTGTGTCAATTCTAAGTCACGTGGACGCTGCGCGACTTGAACCGCACTGTTTATTTATTTCCGAGTTTAGAAAGACAACAGAATTGAATTCGAACTATGTCTTCCAAAATTCCAGTTTATATACCACATAACAATAATTGAGAGTTGAAAGAGTGGTTATAACTCTCCCTGCACCGGGTTCTCAGCCGGAGCTTGGGGAAGATTGACGATCCCGCTAATCTCCGCTCCGAGCGCGTTCTCGGAGATACAACATTTCCCCAATAGCATCTGCCTTATTAACAATTCTGTCGCGCCGCCGTTTCTGACACTGATTTCACTCTTGCGCACCTTGCAAAACCCCAGTTCAAAATATCCGCCAGAACCATTTGGATCAATGAGCGCGTGCCCAACAGCCATCGCGCAGTCGCTTATCCGCGACTTGCGTGGACAATACCACCACTGTCTCAGCACCAGGTTAACAAGACCTCTTTCCACGACACAATGCCGCACCAGTCGACACCGTACGCGCCTCGAAATCCCTCCCCCATTCCCAGTCACAAAGACATGTCCCGAGTCGAGCTGTAACTGCCCACCCACGCCAGCGATGCCCGAGGGCCTGCCTATTGACCACCACCATGCATTGAACGGAACGATGGCGGCGTATGCACAGCAGCTCGTAGTCTGCACCGGACAGCGGGACTGGACGAGTCGAATTGAAGATGACGGGAAAGATCAAGGATGGGGGAATCTTGTCCGAGGGCTGAAGCAGTTGATGGGTCGTGGAGGGCCATATCTCGATGTATGTGAAAGCCGTTTCAAAGATAAACTATACAAGACCAACTGCTAACTTCGGCTTTTTACTAAACAGCCCTTCAACAACATCCTCATCACAAACTCCTCCATCACCCCCGCAACAACAACCCCCTCAACAGCCTCAGCAATCCTCTTCCCATCCTTCAAATACATCCCCTCAATCCCAACCTCCCCACCAACCCTAGAAACCTTCATCCGCGCATACCTCCTCCCCAAAACCCCCCACAAAATGCACCACTCCCTGTCATCCACAAAACAAGCAGCCATGACCCGCGCCCCAGAGCTAGCCTCCCACTTCCCAAACACGCTAGACATAACCCACTCCCCGACAATCCTAATCTGCGGCCACGGCGGCCGCGACATGCGCTGCGGTGTGATGGCACCAGCCCTGGAAACCGAATTCCACCGCGTCCTGCGCGCGGCTGGATTTGATTCCGTCTCGGGTGGGGGCGGGCGGTTGGATGGGTCGGGCCATGCGAATGTGGGATTGATTAGCCATGTGGGCGGGCACAAGTATGCGGGGAATGTTATTGTGTATATCCCGCCGGAGATGACGGTGTCTTCGACGGGTTCGGGTGCCGGATCAGAGTCGGCGTCAACACTGCATCCATTGGCTGGTAAGGGGATTTGGTATGGGCGTGTTGAACCGAAGCATGTGCAGGGTATTGTGGATGAGACTGTGCTGGGGGGTAGGGTTGTGACGGATCATTTCCGGGGTGGGATTGATCGGGAGGGGAATATTTTGAGGTTGTAGATTGATGGATCTAGGGTGGATAGTTGGACGGGGAGGGTGTTGTATATATTGTATGAATATAGATTATGGCGATAGACAAACATACCAACCTTGCAAATAGGTTTTCCTAGAGGGTCCTTTTGAAATTTCCATCGGCTAGAAGGTATGGCTTAGTAGAGTCTCTGAATATTCCATGGAAGTAGGTTTATCATCTAGCGTGTCTCTGACCTCGAGGGCACATGGCGCCATTACATATATCTTAGACCATGCATGGCTTCCCGAAAAAACAGCACCACTGGAATTCCTTACTTTCCCGGCTGTGAATATTATGCTTAAGCCATACAATTACCCTCTCCACACTCCATCCTACAGTGAACAATACCACTCCTTTTGGGTATACATCCAATACAAACCCACCAAGGCAGTCGCAATAGGAATCCATCCCTCTTTCACCCGAACCGTATGCCAAACGAAGAGCTCAGTCGAGAATAAGAAGAATACCCCCGCCCAAGTCAGCATGGCGAGATTGTACAAGTTCGGATCATGTATATTGTACGCAGCGTACAATCGAATCATAGCCGTATAAAAATTTTTGACCCCATAAACATGTGCAGTCAAGGCGTGACGCGGCGGTGCTCTCTCGCCGGAAAACTGTCGCTGCGAGGCGCTAGGGAAGATGTATGTCACGATGGTATGGGTGCTTCCGACTATTACGGCCTATATAGTGAATTGCTCATATGAGAAGCGCCCTGTTCATTTTTGTTTCAGAGATTAGATCTCACATAGAATAAGAAGTATGGGAGATAGCCGTGATCGGCTGATGGGAGAATGGACATGGTTGTAATTCGCTAGCGATAAAATTCGTAAAACTCAAGAACATAAATTGGATAGATATGCAGAAAGGAAGTAAAGGGGGACTGAAATTAATATATTCTGTATGGATGGCCCCCAATCTCGGAGTCTTAACTCCGCGTCAACAGGGGTGCTTCTTAAAGTAAGACCAAGGCTGGGGAGCGCGGACGAAGCTCCGGTTGTGAATCTGACGACATTACGTGGCATAAGCATCGAAATCAATACCACTCGACCAATTCTACACTATGGGCGACAATCTTATTCTATATGTTTGCATATTTCTTCGACGTACATGATACGAAATCGGCACCGATGCTAAGAGATTACTATAGATGTTTGCTCTCGGTTGGAGGGGATTTGACTATTACTCGTCAACCAAACAGTTAAATCAGCGACTACCCATCTAAGGTATATGTTTCTGTATGATAAAACTGGGTCAACCCGGAAACCTGCTCTGTAACAAACTCGTGCGAGCCTCGCCCAGAGCCAACATTATTTTTGGCCCCAGTAAGCTTTATCCTGCCCTTCGATCCTTCAAATGCAATTGGATTTACTGGCTTGGTCGCCTGACCGTGCCCAGCCTTATCCCGCGAGCTGATTTCATCTTACTTGATTCCGCGGCTGGACCCGCGTAGGAATAGGTTCCACGCTGCGACTGGGGCTGTAGTCTCTTTAAGAGCAACCGTACGCAATCCAATTGTGTGCTATAAATAAGGGCTTTACGTCCCAGGCTTTAAGGCCTCGCGAATACTTGATACTCGTCTTGCACACTGCAAAACTAACCGTCACTTTGGTCTTTCAAACCGCTATCAATTCTTTCCTCTCGCATAATGGAGTGGACTCAAGTCTCTCCCACCCGGTGGGAACGCACGCTGAGCGGCATGGAAGAGTATTTCGTATTCATCGGGAACATCACCGCAGCACTCTACGACGGGCGCCAACAGTACACCGTTCTCTCCAAAGTAAAAGTCGACTTGAACATCCCCGACATCGAATCCGCTCTCCGACATGCATGGAAACAAGTGCGATACGAAGAGCCCGATATTGCGACTACCCTTGAACCGGGGAAGAAAGTCTTCGAGGTCCTCGACGATTCAAGCATCGACAAATGGGTCAATTCTACATTTATCATTGACCACGAACATGATGGCGAGGAACTATACCGGCTCGGCCGCACGATGAAGCCGGCGACACTATACTATCTGCCAAAATCGTCAGAGCTGGTCATGCACGCTCACCACGCTACGGTCGACGGTATTGGCATGATCATGTTCTGGGATCGGTTCTTCCGCGCCCTGACTAGTCCTAATGCCAACATCAGCTTTGGCAACGAGCACATCCGTCTGTTGCCTGCATTAGATGACATCCTAGGCTCAAGCGACCGCCCAGCCTCAGAGCAAGCCGAGATGGGAATGGCAGTGCTCATGGAGTACATTGGCAAGCTCCCCGCGATCGGATTCCCCTCTAAGGTGGGGAAGGTGCCCCCAGGCCAGTGCCAGGCTATGGAATATGTGTTTGATGAACAAACCACATCTGCAATTATCAAGGGGGCTAAGGCGAAGGGGATTACGGTAACCTCTGCTGTTCACGCCGCATACATTACCGTTCTCAGCAAATACGCTGATCCGGAATCGAACACCACGCGGTATGCTTCACCCAACGAATTTAATCTTCGCAATCGTCTCCAACCGCCATATAGCCTGGCCGCTGCTGCGAATTACTACATCCCGCTTCCATTCTCAATTGACCTCCCGGCTACCTTTTCGGAACTCTCAGTGGAGTTGAATAAATACTATCGGACGACGCTTAGCGCGAGGCCGGAAATTTTGGAGATTCAGGCGTACTTTACCCGTGCGTTGGAACAGGTTGTCAAAACGCCCGAGTATCAAACTGCACCAATTCCCACGGATGCTCTGGTGAGTAGTCTGGGTATTGTGGAGAACCACTTAAGTCGTTCGTATGGAGAGGGAGACGCCGTTGTTGTTATTAAAGACTGGAAACTTGGGTGTGATTGTATACTGGGTATGACTGGGTTCCATTTCTATACTTTCCGCGACACGTTACGGTTTGTGTACCAGATCAATGAAGCATATCAGGATCCGGCGGATATCAGGATGTACATGGAGGAGATTGAAAAGGTATTGAGGCAAGAACTGTTGAGTTTTATGGCTGTTTAGAGGATTTCTTTCCTGTGTACATAGAGTCTTTCCTTACTGTCGACCTAGTGAAATAACTATCGTCCAGGACTAAGGGGCTTGATTATTGGTATTATCTGTTCATTTTTAATTCTTCTCTTTTGTATGTTTATTCTATTTTGCCTGCCATGGAATTTCAGATGAGTAGGATCCCTCTCAAAGTGACCTTTTACTGCAGAATGCCACTAAAGATTTGGAACAGGACGTTCGCACCGTTTTGAGGCTTTACGAAAGCGAGATTTCGTATGGCGAAATCGCATATCTCTCCACGTGCTCGCCCGCGGAGAACCGAGCGAAGCGTTTAATAGACGAGGTACTCCACGTTGTGAGTGGGTTCCAGGTCGCGGGCTTGAGACATGTTATTGGGACATTGTGGCCGTCTGATGATAGTGTTTGTGTGGAAGTTGTAAGATCATTCTATTCTGAGGTTTGTTGCCCGGGTACGCTGGAATATACTGACAGAGATATCGCAATGGCACTTCACAAGGCAGTTTCAGCGCTTACAACGAGTAGTGAATATCGAGGGTTGCCGTTACGATAGGCGCAGTATGTCCATTATGGAGCATGATTATGATTTTATGAGAGAACAGTGTTATAAAATCCAATTCAATGAGTTACCGAGCACATACGACCATAGGGTGTGGAGAACAGGGCTTCCCGTCCGCTCAGCCGTACTTAAGCCACACGCCGGCCAGTTAGTAGTATGGTGGGTGACCACATGCGAATCCTGGCTGTTGTATGTTTTTATTTTTATGTTTTTCTCTAGCCTACTACTGCCTTGCTGGTTTTATTCTTCAGCCCTCCCGCTCCTCCTCCTCGCTCATGTCCAGTCCTTATTTTTGGTGATCCTGATCGGAGCTGATAGCGGAAAATAGATCCACGGTGGCCAATACAGTACAACGTCTAGTCTGATCTTGCTTATAGTCACAATCGAAAACAGATCCCCCTATGGACACTGACCATTTCTTTCTTATACAGTATCATAATGTTGAGAGAAGACCGCCGAAGACTACCCATTCCGCGGCAGACCGCGCTTCGCAAACGACACTCAGACCCCTGCATCCATCCGCCCGAAGTATCTGAGCAGTCACCCATGATATGGGCATTTGGCTGCATAGCCGGACGACCTCGGTGACAACTTCGGGAAGGATTTGGGCTCAGACTGTCGCACTTTAGGTTTCTCTGGTGTTCGAAGATACCGGTCTCTCTCATGTGGATAAAGCACTGCCCATCTCTCTGCTCTTTTAGAGTTCAATCAACCAATTCACTCTTTTCTCTCTGCAAGATTCCTCCTTACCGCTCAGAATCAGCTTGCCCAACACATAACATGATATAGTCTCTTTTGGATTAGCTGTAAGTTACAATGTCTCCAAGAATACAGAGTACCCTTCTCCACTTTCCTAGAAACGAGTGTGACGTATAATACTGCATACTATGGGTATCCTTAATACGTACTGCCGCTATCCCTCTATGACCGTCAATATTCTAGGGTTGGCAAGTCATTTTTTGTCAATAACCATCATCTCAAGTTTTATCAAGAAGGTCTGTGTTAAGAGATCAGCCTGGCTGATACTCCACATAAGCTAAAAAGACCATTAGATCCGCTATCAGCGCATATGATCCAGGAGCCAATGTATAGAGTAGCGCACTGTAATATTGTTATCGCATAACAGTTTGTACACATGGCCCCGAGACCTACCCCCAAAAAGCTACGGTTTCCTCACGATATGATATAATATGATACAAAGTCAGTCTTTAACAAAGTCTCAAATGCCTGATGCAGCAGAGTGCAGTGAACGGACAATGGAAAAATCCGTAGTAACTTGGGACAGTTTGGCACCCCACTCCCCGAACATATATGTCGGAGACGAAGCATAGCGCCACTGATGCTAGAAGCGCTCTGCGATCGTCAACTTAAAAATCCTGGTCTCTTATCTCGATGAAACGGCGGTCTTAGTATGGGATGGATTTCAGACAAAAGTAATTACTTTCAGTATTAGGTCGATCAATCATACGTGGTTAATCTAGGATAACGCCTAACCTAGCTGCTTTGAAGCCCGAGCTTATTCGTGATATGTTAATCAGTGGAGAATAATCTGCATTATAACTAGGAGCGGCGACTGGGCAAGGCAACGCTCCATCCATCCTCAGGATTGAACGCATCCACCCATGGTGAACACCATGTCTCGTACGTCCATGCCAGCACAGTTTTATCTGTTGCATCAGTAATCAATTGAGACCTAATGATGAACATCGCCCGGATAGTAATTGGTTTAATGATTGTTATATGTCCACATGTCCACTGCATCTTTCCAGGTCATGAAAAAGGGGTTTTGAAACGAAGCTACGTCCCGCTCCCCCAATTCATGGATCCATGGGTGGCCACCACGGGTTGAGGCAACGTGCTCTGAAGCGACATTGTGACCGTACCACCACCAGTGAGCATGATCTTCAGGATTTGTGCTTAGAGGTGGGAGCCCGTATACCTCAATAACGCCAACTGAGAAGAATCCCCGACAGTCGTCACACCAAAAGCTTTCCGAAAGATGAGCGGCGAGTGATCGTGAGGCAGCAACACGTTTAGGACTCAGAGGAGCTACTTGGTTGTGAATCAGGAAGTGAACGAGCGACCAGACTTGGTTAGGCTGCGAGGAAAGCGTGGCCGCACTAGCGAGAGCTTGGTTTATGTCCGAGCCAGGAACGTCAGCTTGAGCGACGCAATCTGAGGGGCTTCCGAAAAGATTGGGATCCGGAATCAGTCGCATAACTTCATCGAAACTGGGTATTTCATCGAAGAGTTGGGTGGGCCACAGGGCAGCGGCAATGTTGTAGATCCGATGCTGTGTAGCGAGTACACTCACGCCGACGTTACTAGTGCGATTCCAATAGGCACACTCCCCAGGAGAGGCAATCTCGCCCGGGTACAACAGGATAGCCCGACGAAGAGCTTCCACCACCTGATTCATGGTCAAGCCGCCTTTTGGTGCATCTGATTCTGTTCTCGGACACTCGGTGGAGTCCCACCATGGACCATCAAAGCACGTATTAGGAGGGCGTTGGATAACACAAGTCGATGGCCGGACTTCAAAGTCAGCACCCGTGCAGGTAAGTCCCGGACCGCAAACGAGCGGGCGAGGGAATGGCCAACCATTCTGTTCCCGGGCATAGTTCAGACCAAATTCGTCTTCAAAAGGACCAAACTCGAGAGGGTTGCCAATGCAGCTCTGCTCTGCTTTTCGGAATGCGACGCATCTGCCTCTTATAGGTTTCCAGGCTTCCGTTTTGGGTCCAAGTTTGATGCCGTAATCGCCAATGGTGCTGGCAATACAGTCAGCATTGTAGCTGGCGATCAACGCCTCATCAGTTGAGTTCGCGACGAAATCTGCGGCACCGTAGCAGTATTCCCATTGAGGAGTAGATCCATCACGGTCCATGGCCCACGGACCCCATCTCTCGTGGATGTCGATCATGCACCATTCATCGGATGAGCAGATACCCGGCTGTTCATAACAGTCGAGTCGAGCTGGTATCGGGCAATAAACGTCGTCGCAAGTCAATTTGATGAGATCCCCCTTTGCAGCCGTGCGAATAACAGTGGTATTACCGCTCATGTCGACATAGGTGAGGTCTTGGCTTGCAAGGCTGCAACCACCCTGAGTGAACCACATCGGCTGACCCTCGTCAGGCGTTCCGCATTGCACGCCGCCGTTACCGTCTGGCATGGTGGTGATCAATGGGTGACCCTGTGACACACGTTCATCCCGTAACATTGCCCAACGGTCCTGAACCGCGGCCGGCCAGGAAGTGCGGTAGTGTTGTGGGTTCGCATACACACTGCTACAGAATGTCGAACTGACGAGGGCGAGAAAGACGTTTTTTTTGTGGCGCGTAGCCCGAGTGCGTGGTAAAAGTATCGAGGCTACTGTATTGGCCGACATTTCTGCTGATATTTGGACTTGCAGATCCAATTGTAATTGAATGTGATCTTGCCATTGGAAGTTCGTGCTTTCGTAGGTATTCCAACCTATATATAAACACAGTGCGGCTACCAAGCCTAGCTGCAACCTTAGTTATCCCACGGAATGTGAATCACCGCTGGACCATGCCTAGCACACAATGTTCATTAAGTGACAGGGACAGCAATCCTCGTTAGAGCTTAAGTTGAAAAGTAACACATTCCATTGAGGATTGCATGGCATCGACGGAATGCATTTGTGGCATGGTGACATTCTAAAAGATGTGAACTAGGAACAGAGACATAGGGAGGATTGAACGAAGCGGGCAATCAGCAGTCAGAACTATTGGCCCGAAAATATTCTGTTGACAAATGACGAAGTGATTAGGCGTATGAATTATAGCCTCGAAAAAGTAATACATAATAGTAAGGAAGGGTGTGGCCTTTTCAGCTCTTTACTGGAGGACGGAATCCCTCGAAAGCTGATTCTGCCCAACCTGCAAGCAGAAATAGTTACGTAATCACAAAATTAACGTAACCTAATGTTTTTCTTGCTAAGTTGGAGCTCGGTGAAGCTGAATTAAGCTGGGCTGTATGATAACAACTAAACCCCCCAGAGGAAACATTTGAGAGTCTTATGCAACAGTCGGGCACGCTTGACCGTGAGTATGTTTTATACTACGATATGCTATAGGACAATTCGCCTCCAAGATCTTTTGGTAAATGAATCCTCCGTGACATTGGTGGACTAAACTAAGCCTTACACTCCTCGCTTGATGAAGGCTGCGGAAGGAAAAGGAAACTAAGTATACTGACGTATATAATCGAATAAAACTTACCATCTCTTCATAATCTGCTCTTTATGTCTCTCATTCTTAATATATATTTGAAAGAGGTCGGGGCTGTTCTCTCTTACGCAGGGTATTGTTATGATACAGTGGTACCGTAAAAGTCTGTGACCCCCTAAAGTATCGCGCTAATATTATGCTAGCAACTAACGTCTGTACCACTCACAAACTATGTATTATTAGCGGGCGGTATGTCTCTTATAAGGAGGCCGTAAAGAAAGGTACTTTGGGGGTTGCCACAGTACCCTGGGGGCGAGCAGCCGATCGTATCGGGCGTAAGCCAGTCATGGTCTATTGGTTGTTTAGCGTGACACAAGCTACGGGTCTCTTTAGATTTGCAAGGACAATTTCATAGATGATTCTGTTCGGATGCACTGCTAGCATTTTTGGTAGACCTATCGTCACCATTCATACCATGGCAGCGGAACATAGCACGCCCAGGACTGTATAAACACGAAGTCTCATAGTTTGGCGTTTCTCGAGATATGTTTAGGTTTATGTATACATGCAGAGGAAGCCCTAATTAGACACCAAGTCGCTCAATTCCTATTCGCGGAATGTTTTGCCGATGTTATTATGCATACCAAAAGCCCTGGTTACATAGTTGACTAGTTAGTTAAGTAGTTGGTTGGTTGACTGACATATTAGTCATCCGTGCGGAAAGAAAACGAGTTACATTCTAGGGAATATGTTCACGCTTTCCATATTGTAGTTTAAGAAGATAGGATATGAAGGCACACATTACCAAATGGGCGCCCTGTTACAAATCTGAGTAAGTGAATGTACTCGCAACATTTCTGTTATTCCGGCGCTATCCTTAGTGTAGACTAGTTGGTCCTTGGTATCTTGTTCTAGAAGACTTTCTTTCGAACAAGGCATAGCTTTTTCGAGATTAATTCCCAGTGGGAACTTAAGACCAAGTCCTCTTCCGTATTCGTCACTAAAATGTTGGTAGTAATGATGGAATTTTCTCATGTCCATTATCCAGATAGCGGATTCTCCTGCTTGGGTACAATATATGTACTTTAACCGCGCTTTTCAAGGCGCAGAACCTATGACTTTGGAATTAAGGTCGAGCTATAAAAAGTAGTTGGTAGTCGTTAGCTAGGGTTCTCTCGGATAAAGCAAAAATAAAAAGGAAAAAACATACAACAGCCAAGATTCGCATGTGGTCACCCACCATACTACTAACTGGCCGGCGTGTGGCTTAAGTACGGCTGAGCGGACGGGAAGCCCTGTTCTCCACACCCTATGGTCGTATGTGCTTGCTAACTCATTGAATTGAATTCTATAGCACTAATGTTTGTCACACAAGAATACTCATGCTCTATCATGTAACTATATACTGCGCCTATTGTTGTGGAAACGTTTAATTTAGAATTTCGATACTGCTCGTTGATTTAGGTCCCCATTAAGGTACCGGTCTGCTGGGATCGCTCAAGACAGTTTAGTTGGTTATCCACAACACGACAAAACTTCTCCGTGGGTAGACGTTCAGAAAGGAGGGTGTCGGTATTAAATAACTTGGACTGCTTCGAATTGTCAATGTACTCGCCGAGCTGTGGAGTTCAAGTTACGGGTTTTGGACGTCTCATTATCAAGGCAAGATCAGTTTTCTGTTAGGTGTAGAGTCCGTAAGAAAGTGAATCAGTTGAGGCGTATTGACATACCTCGAACATAAAAGAAAACAGCCCAACCAGGCTCGTCGGGCCTCCGATCGATTCCACACGCCATGAGTCCTATCAGGAGTCTTTGATTCTTCAATTCGGGCAAAGCTAAGATCTATAGCTATAGACAAAGCCACAGAGGCAAGCTGATTTTGATTCGTCCGTGCGTAAGTCTCTGGTGCCTTGTACCAGAACGACACGACAAGCTATGCCTGAACAAGCTTAAGTGACTTCTCCCCTATGCAAAAAGCAATTTCTGTCAAGAGCTTTCTAGCTTCGAATGCAAATTTCCTCTGTTGATTAAGGGTACAGAACCTAGCGGAAGCAACGCTCAGTATCGACATGAATAGTAATAGCTTTTGTCTTCCGCGTCTATGCTGCCGCTATGGCCAAAGGGAATACAATTATAGGGCATGTCGGAACAAATTGACTAGTATATTGATAGAATATTTGTTCCGCTATTCTTGGATAAAAGAAATTGTCGATCATATAATCAATCTAGCTTGGGTTGCGAAGAATGGCTTGACTGGGAATAAGCTGTAATGTTTGATTAACCAGGGTTTGGGAAGTAATGGGGTTACAGAGAGGACAGAATTTTGACAGGAATCATTGTCATTTGGACCCACATCTGTCAGGATCATTATGAATCGTTAGGAATTCCTCGGGTAATTTCGTTTTCGAGCTGAATTCGATTTCATGCGCCTTCGATCCTGCTTCGCTTGTCGCGTCATTCTTTATTATTCCAGGACTTTGCCCAATGTCTCAGTCAAGTGTTAGACATTATAATATTACAAAGGAGATCAGGCTACCACCTTTTGCTGCAACTAAATCTTTGGTCTCTGGTGGGAGCTAATAAATCATGGGTCTGCTTGAACTCGGGGGACTTGTGCTGTACATGATCATTGTTTACGTGGATAATAGCCGGGAAGGGGCAGCAGCTATAGGAACCAGAGTAGTGCGTTGGCCAGTTCTGTTCACTTTAAATTTATTGAAAGGTATTGTGGGCCCATGAGGTCATTGAATACGCCACGGCTATATTCGAAAATACGAAGCGTGTCAGAAGTTGTAACAGCGGTAGCATTCCGGAGAAAGGAGATACTCTAGTTAGTTAAATCCACAAGATTAGTCATTATTTATGTCAACATAAATTGTCAGTTAAGGGCAAATAGGCTCTCAGCAGAGCTAAACCTTAGGGTCGGCAACCTACCGCTAGCGTCGATTTCATAGGCGCGATGTGGAGCACTATCCGCATGACATGGTTGATCTCGGCCGTGAAGAAGGCCAACGCAGTCAGAGTGTTGTGGACCAGAAAAAAATCTCATCGTGTCGTCGAATTCATCGGCCTTAGTGCTTATGTACGAATATTGACCTAGGAGTCAGTTGTAGTGGTGCTTCTTCGTGGATAGTTAGTTCTCTGGCAGCACTTTTTGAGGGCGTGGACTTCAGAGACAGCAAGCGAATTAATTCCTTCCCTAGCACCCATAATGCTAACGGAGTATCGGGATACTTAGTACATGTAATTATGATATCGAAAGGAAGAACTAGCAGAGAAAATATTCGCATAGCCCTCCGGTGTTCTCATAATGTCCTGATTACAAACACTTTACAGGGCCGGCAAGTCCAGCGCCTTCTTACTCTTTCGCTTTTACAAAAACAGTCAATACACCCAGTATAGCAGGCCAAATTTAAATAATAATGCAACTGCATTTCTTGAAGTTGCCGCTCTTGAGCATTTGCGGAAGGCATACCGGCCCCCTATAGCCACGTGCAAAATGCTACACTTGTGCAGATCTCGTCTCTCTATGCTTCAAGCGAGGCTTCAGATCAGCTCATCCATAGCCTCATATGTAATTTCATTCGAATCCTTCGAATGTAGCCCCACCTACCTAAAGTCTTATGTATTTCTTGTCTGGCGATTGGGCCCATGCCGCGGAGACTTTTTTCGGCTGCTAAAAGAAAGTCCCCGGGCTGCTCTAGAGGGCATAAATAGACCAGTTCTGAACCAAAAGAGTCTCTTTTCATAGTGTATCTCTATTTGGCTTCCATAGATCTACTTTGGTTTCTTTTTATTATTATTTTCTCCCTCCAGGCGGCCCTTTTCATAAACTTGCTTCCCTGCACTAGCTACCACAGACAACGCACGTTGAACTCTCACAATGTCGACCAACAAGCTGCTGTCCAACGGAACTCTCCTTTTCGACGTGCTTATCATTGGCGCGGGCCCGGCTGGTCTTTCGGCTGCGACGGGGCTGGCTCGTCAACTGCACACGGCCGTCGTCTTCGACTCTGGCGTGTATCGCAATGCGAAGGCGCAACACATGCACAATGTCCTTGGATGGGACCACAGAAACCCCAGGGAGCTGCTAGCCGCAGGCCGCGCCGACTTGACCAACCGATACTCGACGGTTCAGTTCGAGAACAGTATTATCGAGACGATCAAGCAGATCAAGGGCCAACAACTGTTCGAAGCGCAGGACACCCAAGGCCAACGCTGGTATGGCCGCAAGGTCGTTCTGGCGACCGGTGTTCGGGATATTCCGCTGGAAATTGAGGGATACTCGACCTGCTGGACGAATGGCATCTACCACTGTCTCTTCTGCGATGGCTACGAAGACCGAGGCCAGGAGACCGCCGGTGTCCTCGCTATGGGACCCATCGCGAGCCCTCCGCGCGCCCTGCATTTGGCTCGGATGGCCCGCCGACTCTCTGAATCTGTCACTGTGTACACCAACGGTGATGAGGTGCTAGCGAAAGAGATCCAACAAGCCGCAGGGGCATCCTCCGACGCCACCTCATGGCTGAAATTCGATGCAAGATCCATCACGCGATTCGAAAAGGGTGGTATCGCCAAGACCGTCATAATTCATTTTGGCGAGACTGACAAGTCGAAAACAGAAGGCTTCTTGGTAAGGATTTTATCCAGGAGTAATCAGGCAAAGATATTTCCTGCTAACAAGACATTATCCACGCACTGCAGGTCTACAACCCCCAAACAGAGGTAATCGCACCGTTTGCCAAGCAACTCGCGTTGACCATGACCGAAGGAGGTGACATCCAGACCACGCCGCCCTTCAATGAGACCAGTGTGTCTGGAGTCTTTGCGGCGGGTGATTGTGCTACCCCGATAAAGGCCGTCTCCCAGGCGGTGGCTATGGGATGCGTAACCGCCGTAGGTGTGGTAGTTCAGCTACAGGCTCAACCATTGCCGGACGTTCGTCTCGATCAGGAACTGTAGGAGTATGATTTGGGAACGTCGTCCATGTGTTCCTAACTTCACGAAGTCTGTGATGTGTTAGGCCCGCGTCTCACTATATATGGCTTTGCTAAACAACCTTTCCCCACACACACTCCGGTCCTACCACTACCCTGCCTGCTATTTAACCAGTATTCTTGTCAAATTTCCACTCTTCCTGTTCTCCAAACTTTGGATGTGGCCGAATCAATTTTGAATCGATTCGGCTTTGGTCCTTCACAATCAGTACATACTTCACATAGTGTAGTAGTTATTGTCTTTCTATCCCATTCATTTCTATGTCATTTGTCATTTCGGGTATAATTATCATGCTTATCCTATAACTAGCAGTTCAGACTTGAATACTGCCATTCTTTTCTGACTACTTTCCTCTATAGATCAAATCATACCATACCATTTTCGTATAATCTTCCTGCAACCACCAGCGTATCTCTCTTACCATCTTCTGTAAGGCTCTCATCGCTGAGAGGAGTTATTGAAGTCACTTGGGTTTACTACTTTAGTGCGGACGACATGGATGAGCGGCCTGGGGACCCGGGTGAGAGTAGGTAAGAATAGGTTGAGCGCATATTTAGCAATTGCAATCCAGATCTATGGTGATTTCTAATATTGGTGCACCCGCAGGATCCACTAGTAATTCGACTACTGTAATCCTCCCCTCCTGGAGTCTTCGAACCTCTTGTTTCTCAGATCCAGTTATTCAGGTAGCCTTAGTTGAAAATGATAGTAGTATAAATAGGCGTATATATGATAGTGGAATCGTATCAAAGATCAAGGGTATAAGGGGACTTATTGTCGCCCAGAAATTATGGCGAATGCTTAGATATAGTACGGTCGGGCAGTCTATTATAGTAACAGATTTTCCTTTGTATGCTAAATCAATGAAGAGCACGGTACTTCTTCTGGTTGGGTAACTCTGAACTATAATTAGGAGTTGTGTGGTGATTTCTGCTACCAGTATGTGCAATATATATCTCTGTTATTTCGGTCGGATCTCGACACATTAAAAGCTGCAGAATGCGCAGAATGACAAGAACCTGGCATTACAAAAACGAGGTAAACCAGCATTTAGCTCGATCTCGACCTCGACCTTCACCTCGACACCATCATAGGTAAACCACGCATCCCGAAGCTTCACAACGCCATAGTACATGTGAACTCTATTCTTTAAGCTGCCTTCAACAGCCTGTCCGGCTAGCTCAATTGGTAGAGCGTGTGACTGTAAGTATCATCTGATTGGCTCCTTACGAATCCATTCTAACCCATTTCCAACAGTTTAAATTCGAAAGAATTAGAAATCCCAAGGTTGCGGGTTCGAGCCCCGCGTCGGACGTTGACAACGTTCAATTACGCTCCAGTATCTTTTTTTTTGTTAGATAAGGCTTATTATAGCACCTATCATATTTCCCCATCGTACCCTAAATTCTGCCTTACTGCTTGATTTCAAGTTTCGGATGAAAACCAAGCATACTGGTTAGGAGTTCAGACGAAATGGCCAATTAGTGGAGCAGAAGGGTCATGTGATTTGAATTGGTGCTGGTTACTAGATAAAATACTCAAGCAATAAGGCAGAATTTAGATTGGTATTAGGCTAATTATCACTCCGGAAGCTGCTTGAAACTTTGAAAGGTCCTGCGGTGCACTCGCGCTATCTTTTGGTTGGCACGGCAATTTTTTGCTCACCGTCAAAGAGTACCCCCCTGACTGGAGCCACGATGAACCAGAGCTCATCATGCCGGCACTCCTCCGACTCCGATTGAAGCCTTCGTTCGCGCAAGCTCGGCCATGCGCGCTCACGTTTCCAAGCCTCCGAGCATCCAATCCCTACTCTACCTCCCTCCGTCGAGCAGCGACCGCATCTCTTTCCCAAAATCTCGACCTTCCAGCCTTAGACAAGAAATGGCAAGCGAAATGGCAGTCCGCGGGCGCGTCATCGCGACCGGCCGCGGAAACGAGCTCGCAACCCAAGCCCAAATCCTACGTCCTGTCCATGTTCCCATACCCGTCTGGCACACTGCATATGGGCCATCTTCGAGTATACACGATCTCCGATGTGATTTCACGCTACTACAAGATGTGCGGACATGATGTCTTGCATCCCATGGGCTGGGATGCGTTCGGGCTGCCAGCGGAGAATGCGGCGATCGAGCGAGGCGTCGACCCGGCGGTTTGGACGGAGCAGAATATCGCGAAGATGAAGGAGCAGTTGCAGTGTATCTCTGCTTCGTTTGACTGGGATAGAGTGAGTGGAATCCGGTTGCTCCGTGTTGTGATGTTGGTACACGTGCTCCTAACTGACTGGGCTGGTTCTTCTAGGAGTTGGCGACTTGCGCACCTGAATTCTACGAGCAAACGCAGCGCATCTTCTTGATGCTATACGAAAAGGGATTGGCATACCAGGCCGAAGCATTGGTCAACTACGACCCCGTTGACAAGACTGTGCTGGCAAACGAACAAGTGGACGCGAATGGCTTCTCATGGCGATCAGGCGCGAAAGTTGAAAAGTTGAATCTGAAGCAGTGGTTCTTCCGTATCACCCAGTTCAAAGAAGCTCTATTGAAAGATCTCGACTCGCTGTCTGGAGGCTGGCCCGAACGCGTTCTGTCTATGCAGCGGAATTGGCTTGGGAAATCACATGGAGCAAACGTCACGTTCCCCGTCACGACTGGCGGAGATGGTCAGGAAGTCAAGGTGGACGTGTTTACGACGCGCCCGGATACTCTGTATGGCGTTGAATACCTCGCCCTGTCGTTGGACCATCCAATCGTCGCAAAGGCTGGCGAGAAGGACGCAGCGCTTCGAAAATTCTTGGACGAAGCTTCCTCGCTGCCGGCGGATTCAAAGGCTGGTTATCGCTTGAACGATGTGTTTGCGTCCCATCCTTTGCGCATGATCGACACAGAAAGTCCCCACGTCCAGAGGAAGCTTCCAATTTTCGTGGCGCCGTATGTCTTGAGTGACTACGGAGAGGGGGCTGTGATGGCCGTTCCTGGCCACGACAACAGAGATATGGCCTTTTTCAAAGAAAATGTCAACCCCGAGTACATTCCCATCGTCATCGAACCAGAGTCTTCCGAAAACGCAACGAGCGACAGCATCGTACTAGCCAAAGGGGCCAAAGCCTTCACTCAGGATGGGCTTTTAACCTCGCGATGCGGAAAGTACCAAGGTCTTCACTCCAAGGAGGCCGCAAAGCAAATTGTGGCAGACCTGGAAAAGGTCGGGCAGGCCAAGTTTGTCGAGACCTGGCGCCTTCGCGACTGGTTGATCAGCCGGCAGAGATACTGGGGAGCTCCTATTCCGATCATCCACTGTGGTGATTGTGGCCCTGTTCCAGTACCGGCGAAAGACCTGCCCGTTAAACTGCCCAAGATTGAAGGAGATTGGCTGAAGGGGAAGAAGGGTAACCCACTTGAATCGTCGAAGGAATGGCTTCACACGAGTTGCCCTAGCTGTGGCGGTGCTGCAAAGCGTGACACCGATACTATGGATACCTTTGTGGATTCGTCTTGGTACTATCTGCGATTCTTGGATCCTGCAAACAAAGACGCTCCATTCTCCTCTTCCGTCGTCCGGCCTGTGGATGTGTACATCGGTGGCGTGGAGCATGCTATCTTGCATCTGCTTTATGCTCGATTTATCTACAAGTTCCTTGCCCAGTCAGACCTGTTCCCAGCCATTTCCCACTCCGATGATGCCCCAGCCGAGCCCTTCAAGACTCTTCTTTCACAGGGCATGGTCCACGGCAAAACATTCACGGAGCCTTCAACTGGTCGATTCTTGCTCCCATCCGAAGTCGACTTGTCTAGCCCTGACAAGCCCCTGATCAAGGGCACCACGATCACGCCCAATGTATCCTTCGAGAAAATGTCCAAGAGCAAATACAATGGCGTTGATCCCACCGTTTGCGCAACCAAGTATGGCGCCGACGCCACTCGCGCCCATATTCTTTTCTCCGCGCCCGTCAGCGAAGTACTAGAATGGGATGAGACCAAGATTGTCGGTGTGGAGCGCTGGTTCGGTCGACTATGGAAGCTCGTCCACGACGCGCAACAGACTCTAGCTAGCGCATCCTTTACTATCAACGCGGCTGATCTGGAAACCTCTACCGGCCATATCGTCTCCCTCCCACCCTCACTCCAAGACCTGAGCGACTCCGATGCCGATGCTGTTCTAGCAACACACAACATCATCTCATCCGTGACATCATGCATCGAGTCAAACCCCTACGGTCTAAACACCGTCATCTCAGACCTAATCAAACTAACCAACGCCCTATCATCGGCTCCCCCCTCCTCCCCTCTAGCCCTCTACCTATCTATCTCCTCACTCCTCCGTCTCCTCTCCCCAATCGCCCCAGCCCTTTCATCCGAATCCTGGGAAATTCTCCACGAACCCCTCCTAAAGAACACCAACCCCCAAACCCCTGTTCCTTCAATCCTCTCCGCCCCATGGCCTACACCCCTCCTCACCCCAGACCAAGCAGAAGCCCTCTCAGCGCGCGGCGGCCAAACCGTCGCAGTCCAGATTAATGGAAAACTGCGCTGCGCCGTGACTATCCCGCGCATGGACTCGTCGGCTACTTCTTCCAAGGGTAAAGGTCCGTCGCAGGAAGAGCAGGACTGGATTATCAGTCGTGTTTTGGAAACCGCTGAAGGCAAGTTGTGGCTTCGGGAGAAGAATGATTGGGAGAAGAGGAGGAGGGTTATTGTTGTTAAGGGTGGGAAATTGGTGAATGTTGTGTTTTAGGTTGGGTTTGGTTTGCTTCGAGGTGCATTGTATTGCGTTGCATTGCGCTGCGTTGCATTTGCATTTTCCTGGTTGTATGTGTGGTCAGCTCTCTCCATTCTGAAACTTGTATTTTTATGTTAAACTAGAACTGTACATTAGATATTAAAATTCATCTCTTTCTCATGGAGATACTGATCTGACACTTTAATGGGTGCTAGGAATTGTTGGGGATGTGGTCCTTAGGCTCCAACTTAAGACTGTTAGCAGGAGCCCCAATATAAAACAAATCCTGCCCGCTGCCTGGAATCCAATGCTACGACGCCTAACTTCACCAGCTCCATTAAGACTCAGAAAAGTGCTATTTTGAAAGAGCAGTTCAAATTAAAAGGCAAAACTGAACAAGATATAAACATGATCCAAAAAAAAACATCAACAATTTATAAAATGTCAAACAGATATTTCTCACAAACCAATTTCTTCCCGGCTTAGACCTCTTTGAACGAATCATAATCCACCCGATATTTATAATGAGATCTAAAATGATAGCCCATCATTCTGGCTTTAATCAAAGAAACACTCTTTTCTGGGTGTGTTCTGTGGAAGAGTATGTTTCCTGCAAATGCCAGAACATCTGGCGGCGTAAAACTGACCACCGAACCCCCTACATCTCTGTCCTTGAAACCAATGTTTCTCATGGCTTGGATAAAACTTGTGAAAGAGAATTTGCCAGGGGGGCCGCCACCTTCCCGATCATGAGCGAACATTGCTCGCCACACTTTCATATCGTTTTTCTTTTTCACATAGAACACAATCGGCTCTGGCTCTGGCTCCGGCGTTTGCGTTGGCTGTGGCGTACTTGATGCGGCTCGTGCGGGATCTGCTATCCCTCTTGTCTTGACCTTGACTTTCTTGTCTCCGATCTTGATAGCCTTGTTTGGTGCTTCAATTTCGGCGTCTCGTTGTCGCTTGTGTCCTTTTTTGGATGTCTCTGCTTTCTCTGGCTCCTCCTCTTGCTCCTGTTCTCCCCCCACGCTTTATCCCATTCTTCCTCCCACATCTTTTTATATCTCTCGTCGCTTGTTTGCTGGACGTCATTCTCATCTTCCTCTAATGCTGGCTCGTCCTGTTGCTCATACTCCTGGATCATCTCCTGCTGCTGCTCTTCTTCTTGATCTTCCTCGTCCTCTTCCATTCCCGGCTCGACTATCTCCTTTCCTTTCTTACTTTTCTTCTTCTTGGGTCGTTGATTCTTCACTTTTGCAGATTCGGCCAATTGTTCTTGTTGTTCAATCTCGTGGGCGTCCTCCACAATTGGATACTCAACGAGGATAGGTCTGAGTTGCCCATCGACTTTCTTCCAGAATTGGGCAAGAGCATTCTCGGATTTCTTTCGTAGAGCTGCGACTTCTACCTTGTGCTTCCCTTCGGTAGGATAGATATCGTCCGGTGATGTGTCGCATAGATGACTCGCCAAATCGAACATGCCCGTCGCGGAACTCGTTAGAGAAAGGTAAGAGGATATGCGGTAAATCACACCTTGGAAATCGCGGAAGTCTTGTGACAAATCGTCTCGTGAAGAATGGTTTTGTGAAAAATCATGCTGAACGGCCAATGACCAAGGATGAAGGAGTTCCAATGTGTTCAAGATCTCTGACAGAAGTCCAATGTCGGCCACCAAGCCGTAAATGTAATTAGTCAGAGAGGCCTGCGAATTCTCCATAGCGTGATGTAGCAAGCTGATCATCAAAACAAACGGAACTTTTCGGTTCGGGCCTGTATTCACGAGCGTGTCAATTAACCAGGAAACATCGGACGGCTTGTCCACGATGGTCAAAGGTTTTCGTCTCTCGATAAGGTATTTTGTCTGGGAGGGTGGCTTCGGATAGATCCAAAACTGCTCCCGTAGCAGCGGAGACGCAGCTATCGTGTCTCCCAGTGCCTCGGTAGCTGGACAAATGATCAAGGTTAACCTGTAGAGAAGATGGCCAAGTTCCTTGAAAACGTGTTTCGGTAGCTCCTTGTCAGGACTGATCAAGGAAGCCGTGGGGTTGGATGGATCGAACGAGTTGTAGATTGTGACAAGCCGGTCGTGCAAGTCGTCGAACAATATGAGTTTCCAAAGGGTCTCTTTAACCAGTTCAATCAAGACATAGTTCCAAAATAGTGGATGTGATTTTTCATCACTCAGAATAGGGTGTTTGCCCCTGTGGGGGTCCTTTCGCTTGTCCCACGGCGGTCTTCTGTTCATGTTTTCCACAACGTAAGCTTTGACTTGAACATGCTCTAGTCGGTGCTCGCTCAGATCTTTCAGAGCTTGGGCAAAATATGCGGGATCACGCCTCAATGATAGGTAGTGAGCTCGGGCAAAGTCTCGAGTCGCTGCCACATTTTGTATCAAGGTTTCGAGATCGAGTTGATCAAACCTCGGTACTCGATATGGGAATTTGATCAACGCATCGACTGTCGAGGTTGGTTTAAGCTGCACAGTCGAATTTCCCAGCGGAGATGCAGGATCAAGGTGGTTATGTGAAGCCTGAAATTGCGCCTTGGTTTCATCCAGAATAACGAGACAACAATCGAACAGGAAACTATAGATGTGTGCTTGTACTACCATCGTCGTCAAGCCATCGCCTGCACGCGCAGCAAACTGAGGCCATATTTTAAACTTCGCATCGGACATCTGTTCCCCCGTAGTGATGTTGCAGTAGTCATCGACAGTGTCTTTTCCAGTGACCTCCATGAGGTGTTCACTTAGCCAATATGCCTGGACATACCGGTTGGCTGCCGCAACAGCCCAGGACTCTTTATCAAGCCAAAAGAACATCCAAGGTGGTTGACGAGTTCGTGAATCAAGGAACCCAAGAAGATTGTCGGATTGTGACAAGCCTTCCACGTTGATATGCGGCCATAGACATGCCGCATCTGGGGGTTTATTGTGCTTCATGATGTCTCGCACATGCGACAGGTGTTTGGCGCTGATAGCTGGCCATACCTGTCTCAAGATCTTCGCACGGCCTTTGGCGTCTGCACGGGCCCATCGATTCTGAATCTCCTTCTCACTGGTTTGCATCAACCTCCGGAGGTTATCGTAGTTCTCGAATATCACCTTTGCATATTTATCACGAAGTGCCTTGGCTTCCTGAAGCGTGGGAAAGAAACTCGGAACTGTAATCTCCAGGTCCAGGCCTTTAGGAACGATCGCAAGCCATACCGCCAAGTTACCAGAGGTTAGGGCGATTTTCATTGCGCCCTCCAAGGTGTCATTCGCTTGCGCGGTTAAATTTGAGGAAATCAAAGTAGGGAGGGTGCATGAGATCCAGGAGAACAGTGCCTTAGCTCGCTGTGTATCTTCAGGGGGAATCGCTAGTAGAACGCGGGCTACCCTGTCCATCCAAATTGTCCCCAAGTCACGATTGAACTTCAACCCAACATCGATAATGAGCTCCTCAAATTCTGGATCCGCATAAAATCGAGCTTTCTTATCCGGCGGCCATCTCACGACCATAGACTGGAGCACCGATTTTGGATCTCCGAACCCCTGCTCACTTGACTTTCGGACTTCTTGATCCATCGTTCTGAATGAGAGGGAGAATTGATACGATTGAGAACAAATGTAGAGAAAATGAGGTAATTTGCAGTAGGAGTAGAATGAGATAGATATATTGACAATATTGGCAATTCTTGGTGACTTGGGAAGGGTAAAAAAATTGACAGTGGGAGAGAAACTGCAAGCGATTTATTTATCTTGAATGTCCTCAAAAAGGGTCGAGCTGCTGGTCTGACCCCGAGGGAAACCTTCCCATGACCCATGGAATCCAGAGTCTTTGTTCGAAAATTTCGGCGATATAAACACGCAGACATTCAGAGAACCATCGTTACATGATTCGAACTGTTCAATCAAAAGTGGAAAAAGAGGATCCATAGGATGGCGCGAGCTGATTTTCTTTGATAGATTATGGAACCTGGGGGAAATCTCAAGATTATGGACAGCCTTCGTTCAAGCTTTGGGACTAGTGGACAAAACCACAGAGGCTGAGTTTGATAAGCCCATGTTCTTTGTTACTCGAAGGTGGGCTGGGAGAATGTGGTTGAACCGCGCCTGTTCGAATCTATGAGGCTATAGAAAGGAAGAATTTACCTTGTGGAAGGTTAACCTACTAGTGATATGTAACCAAATCACTGACAATTTTCACTCCCTAAGTAATAATATACTCGATGCATTCTCCTACTTCTATGTTAAGATCTAAGATACGAGTAACAAAGATGAGAAAATTGTTTTTCTACAATCTCCTCTCGCTTCTACGACTTTGGTAAATTTCTTGGTCCTGTCCTAGATTCTCCCTCGGAGCTGCTTCTCAGACAAAGGGACCTTTAGACTCGGCGCAAATTATTCTTTGTCGGTGTTGATGATGGCGGGGAAAGGTGCAGTTTGTGGCTTACGAAGAGACAAGCCCCAAATCCTACCGTGTTGAAAGCCGTCGAACGAGGGGGCTGTGCATATTCTCAAGACTATTTTTGTTGCTAAAGTCTTATTACAAGAACCTTCTATGGAGTCCAGACTATTGCGTGATTTGGACCTTGACGAGCTTGATGTCTTTGCGTCGCGCACACAGGAAGTAGAATAGCCGGAGAGGCAAGCAACCACGTTTGATTTACCTAAGAGGAAATGAAAGGGGAACATCCACAAAGGTCTAATGGGGCTGACGAGGGGATTGTACTGGAGATCTCCGTGGGAGTATCCTTTGTTCAGACATCGATAGTTGATGTTCGTTTCCAGGAACCTACCGAGCGGGACTAAATCTCGAAAACCGAACTCTTTGTCTAGTCTGAGCGGTGGAGTGAAGTGTATACCGTGTCACAGCCATTAGTGAGGTCAGTCTTTGTCACAAAGAATATCTAGGTCTCTCCGTGGGGTATGAACGCAGCCTGATCTTCATCAATGCCCCGACATTAAGCTATGTACCCGAAGGGACACTGAGCAAATCCAATTTTTCGGATCAATTGGCTAGATGTTGTCGTTCTCCCCTCTCTGTGCATTTATTAGAAGCAACAGCAAGATGGTTCACGAGATCATCGCAAGCCAGATACTGACATAGCCTAACTAGTCATAGATCCTTGCTTTCTGTAGTATTTTATCTACTCCACATGAGTCTTGTCTGTCTTTACAGTTGACTTCAAAGCGATTACCAACTTTAAAATTTTAATAACACATGAACATACCTCTTGGAAGAAGATAAAATAGCCCCATACTATACCTACCAGTGACGTAGTACGCTTTGACACCCAAACTCCAAACCCAGTTAAGGTTAACCGTGTCCCTAATTTCCCCAATGAACTTACCCCGCCCGCTACCGGACTGATGTCACCGCACAAGAATCAAGCAAACGCGTCACAAGAGTTTCTCCAACAAGATTAATCGTTCCTAAAGTCTTTTGTCGGTCGGGATTTGGCTACCATACTAGACCGAAAGTGGACTTGATCTACTATCGGCGCCTTATCGGGCATCAGGCTGCTCCATACAAGAAGACCCTTGGGCGCTTGATAGGCGCGTTGGCCTGTGCATCGACTGGGCGTTTCTCCTGCTCCACCCAAACATCAACATGAGTGCGAATATTTTTGTCACAGGGGCATGTGGTTACATGTATGCTTTTTCCCTTTTTGGCGATGCTTTCCATGCTAATCCGGTCATTTATAGCGGAGGATCTATCGTCGCTGAATTTGCTCGGCATAAGGGCGGGCTCCTTGAGTCAGCTAGAATACACGCTGCAGTCCGGTCAGACGAGCAAGCTGAGAGTTTGTCGACGTTAGACGTCAGCGTTGTCAAGATTGATCTTAGCAATCCCTATGCTTTGGCAGGGTATATGATCCGCAATGACGGTAAGTTAGTAGATGACTTTTTGGTAGTGTAACCTACTGATCCCTCCTTGGTCTAGTTAGCATCGTGATCCATACTGCAACCTCGATAGACGCAGAGGTGGTGCAAAACCTAATAACGGCACTGAAGAAACGGCGTGAGGCTAATGGAAAGAAAGCATTTTTCATCCATGTAAGTTCATCGCGTCCACTCTGGATTCATTGGCCATCATTGACTATGGGACAGACTTCGGGGTTATCAGCATTCGATGACAACACTGGTTGGCCATTCGGGGAAGTAAGAGATATTGACCCAGTTTATTTTCTTGAGAAGCAGTGTACGGACTCGTACATTGTTAGACAGGTAGTCGCTATCATTCTCACCACATCGACTCGAGGACTCTTTCTAATACATCCCAGGTTGACGTTCTTGTCGCCGAACAAACACAAGCAGCCGGTCTAACGGGGTTGATAGTGATGCCCCCAACACTGCGTAAGTATACTTCCCGCACATTATGGAGAGCCTTCTAACAATGATATAGATGGAAGAGGCGGCGGAACCTGGAACCGACTATCCCCGCAAATCCCCGCCCTTGTCAGAGCCGCAATTAAGAATAAACAAGTATATAAGTTTGCAAAGGACAGGGTAGGTTTTATCGTAAATCTCTAACCGCCTAGCCAACCATGCTCATTCTCTCCGCAGGAAGTCGTCTTAACCCACATCTCCGACCTAACCACCTTCTACGCGCAAATGGCCGAAGCAATCCTCCAAAAGCGAGCCCTCCCTGCCGGTATGTCAGGGTACTACTTCACCGTTTCCCACTCCGTCCGGTGGTGGGATATTCTCGACTGTTTAGCAGCAACAATGCACGCACGAGGACTGGTAGACGAACCGACCACGAAAGTATGGCCAAGCAATGCCTTCGCAGCAGAGGCGCTCGGTGTCCCGATTAATTTTGCTCATAGCATGTGGGATTCGAGGTATGACTGTCCAACATCTTTCTTTTTTTCACTTGCAATTTACGAGTACCGATTATTGTATGCGCAAGGCTGATGCGAGATACTATAGTCCGAAGGTTGTCTGCGTGAATAAAGATTTAATTGGCTGGAAGCCAGTATGGAATAGAGAGCGGTTATTGCAGAGTATTGATGAGGAGATTGATGACTTTTTGGAGTTGGGAGTGCCCAAGAGTAGTCTTCTGGATTCTTTGAGACAAGCAAGGGGGTGAGGCTCGGAGGGAGAGCCAGCAGTACAATAGAACCTTGCTTCGAACTACGACGAACACGAGCATGATTACAAAAAGGGTCTTGACAAGCGATGTAGATTTAGCATAACTAAGGCGTGGTGGACTAATAAGCCATTCCGATATGTACAAATGAGGTATCGTGCAGTGCTGTGTGAAGATTGCATCCTCCATGACCTCCCAGTGTCATATCTCGCGCACACAATAAGAAGACGCTAACAGAGTATGGATTCTCTAACGGACTTTCCGAAGGGAGGTAGCGCTATATGACCCGGAGCCAGCAGTCATTGGCGTTTCCGGATGGGGCAGTGTACATCTAGGCGCCTTGCACGCAGACCGTCCCGATAAAAATTTGTTGTATTGTAGGCATGCGTGGTGACAGCCGTAATAGAGTTGCGCGAATAAATACACTGTATAATGAGCGTGGTTTAAAAGGGCCGCTAAGTCGCCTCTGCCCCTATCATCATGAATATGGGAGGTTAGTATCGATCTATGGAACTTGTCGCGGGCTGCTTTACTCACATGCTGAAGAAGCTAAGAACTCTGTCCCAAGGCGAGTTTAAGTTGACAACATTTTAAGGGGCCTCTTGATCTAAAGTGCTACGAAAAAGCACGATCCGGAAGTTCTAAACTTAGGATTCTCTAATCTTCCCTTAATGTAGATCAGCAGTAGAGTTCGGTGGCACTGATATCCAGCACGGCACGGCCAACATTCAATCCTGAGCTTTGTATACCGCCATAGTGTATGCAATCACGGTGATAGGGACTGTGTACGAGCATATCCTGTCCACCAAGGTTTGAATGGGAGGTTGAAGAAATTAAACAAGAAAAACGTCTCCACGATACCACCTACCTTCTAGTAGAATGGAAAGACTGGCCATTGAAATACAATCAATGGATACCCGAAGAAGATGTAAAAAATGCGAAAGGTTTGATTTCAATTTTGGGAAAACAACGAGGACGACCTCTGCCTGAGCGAGGGGGGAACTACTTCACTGCATCAAAATTGGAAAGCTAGAAAGTGAACACACGAAAAAGCATCGAATCCATGCTGAATGGCCGGTTCGACACAGTTTAAACCGTGAGTCGCACAATGGGCCACAAAGATAAGACTGACTCCGTAGGAGCTGCATATACGCATCGACCTTACGTCAGACGATCAAGGCTCCTAACCATTTCGGAATTCTCGAACTCTTTTGCCCGTCTAGCTCAGTGTTTGGGCACCAACCGAAATATCCATCTATCGTCCCCAAAATCTCCTCCCTATGCTGTCCTCGCGCCCTTCCAGCAAAATTTGATGGCATCGACACAGGTTAACATTGACCTGGAAAAGATGAGCGTACTTCTCAAGACCGGCATGGCTCCGGTATTTGGCGGGGCGTTGAATCCTGGCGTACCCAAAAAGTTGTATGTCACGTTCAGTCTGCGGTAGAATTCCTCGACGCTGACGGGGGAAACTATCGTCAGCCGTAAAGGAGGAGACACGTTTATCCTGGAGTTTGCGGATTTCCTTTATAACAGCCTAGGCATGCTTTCCAAGCCTAGGCTCTTTGAATTTAGCGCCAGTTTCAGGGTGAAGTCTCTTGTCCGGCAACTTAGGTCCCTACACAATCTCATCGCTACCTCAGGATAGTCTTTGCTTCTTCTTCAAAGTCGCCGACTCGAGCATTAATGTCTCGTAGACTTTTTTGTCATTTACCCAGGCATTTCGAATGGCATTGTGGAAGATCAGACACTGGACGTGCATGCAATGAGACAGGATGCGAATCTGGCGTTCGATCTTGCTCGGCCCTTTCTTGCCATCCAAGAGGTCTGATACATGAACGAAGACTTCGTTCTTGTCCAGGATTAGCTCTAAATCTTGTAGCTCCAGTTGGGGCCCGGCGACGATAGGCGTCGTTGCGCTGGTCGTATTAGTGTTGATAGCATCCTCCCAGTCGACATCCTCTTCTTCCTTGTCGTCAGAATCAGCTGGACCCAGTCCCTGCGGTGTCTCAAGATCGCCCTCGTCTATACACCGCTGTCTCTTGCACGGCGACCCCAGACCCCAGACTTTTGACCCGTCCCAGTGGACCCGGTCCCCAGGAGCCATGAAGGATCTATGCCCTGCAGTCAGATCCTTAGAGACGAGTGAAGGAGAGATGGCTGGTATTGGAGATAGTTGAGAACAAGACCGAGTGAGAAGAAAAGATGAAGACAAGAGTGAGCAGAAGAAGACGAAGGAGAAGAGATCGCCGATTGAAGCATGGGTCTTGATCTCGTGATATGCTCAAGTGGAATCCAAGCCAGATAGTTTCAAGAAGCATGAGCATGCCACTACCGAGTTAAGACAGTTGTTGACTAGACCCGCCATTACTGGACCGCAAAATGGCTTCTATGAAAGTGCTGGCAAAACCGACCCCTGAAGCTGGGGTGTTCTCCGACTGCTTCTGGAGAAGAAGGTTGGCCTGGAGATCCTCGCGTATCAGAAGAAGAATCTCGTAGGCATGCGCCAGGTTTTGCACGAAGGGTACGATATGGCCGCGGTAATTATACTGGTTCAGGCCGATGTCCGCCATAACAACGCCCAGTCTTGATAGGACCACATCCACTCCTTCCACATTAACCGCCCCCTGATGCATTACGTACTGCCCACGTCCATGTTGTGCCGGTACCGTAGTCGTATCATTTGCCGGGTCGACTCCGAATACCGAAAACCCCCTTGCCAGCAGCGCCTGTGCTAATATGCCGGGATAGTCGCCGATCACGACTGCCCTCTTGTCACCGCAGCACATCGAATGTAGCATATTCGCCATTGTAGAGTATTTGTCTTGTGGCGAATGGCTGGGGTGGAGAACCGCGCTGTCGAGGGACAGGATCGCTGTGGGGCCATCCACCCCATCGCGGAACTCGAGCTATGTCTTGTCGCCTAGCATGGAAACTACGCGCCATGAGGAGCTGGAGAGTGATATAGTGCCAAGATTGGAGAGTTGTTGAGATGCAGAAGCCAGGTGAAGAATCGATGAGTTAAGAGGCCAACACCAAGTAAAAGCAACAAGAGCCAAACCAGCCTCCTCAAGTAAGGCTTAACACACTGGTCCTCGCTCACAAGAGTTCAATGAGCCCCTCCAGGACTCCCTTGGTGATTATGACTTCATCCGCTTTATCGTAGGTGTAGATTCGAACCAAGTTCCTCATGGCATCACTGAAAGCCTTGGAGGCGATGACCGGTCCGAGTAGCCAGTTTCCTCCGGCGATTCTGGTGGTTGCGTTATCCTTGGGAGGTCGGCGAGGATGTAGTAGCCGCGGAAGACAGCGATTCAAGGGACGCCGAACACGGAGAAGAGCGGGCTTGAGTTGAGGGGGACGCGGTCTGCGCGGATTTCGCCAGTAGCATTAATTTTGTCCGTGGAAATGTGCTTCTTCCTCCTCGATAATTGAGAGGCATTTGGTGACCATGTAGACATGTTTGTCCGAGAGTTTGACGTTAGGAGGCGGCAGTTGGTAGGTAGAGAGGGCAAAAACCAGCGCCAAATAAACCACCACTCAACAAGTACTATACATCTTTTTTTCCAGGTCTTTCACTTCCCAGGAAAGTCCCACGACGCAATCACGTGTTCTTGCCAGGTTCAACGCGGATAGACGATCACAAATAAACCGACACATCCCCGTAATGCGGAGGGCACTGTCGAACAGGCAACGCTGATGAAATCAAAGAAGTTGTCGAACCCAGCTTCCAAGACATGGTCGCGGTTTCTCCAGGTTCCAAGTATAAGCCAGAGTACAGCAGTGAGAGCTCTCTTGTTGAGAATGAACACAGAACTTGTCAGGTTCGAGGAGTAGAAGACAGGATATATGCATACTGTATAGTGTGTATAGTGCGGGGAGGTTGGTACTCAAGCCCGTCTGGCTGAACAGGTACCCGAGTGCGGAGTGCGGAGGTGGATGTGGATGTATGAGGTGTTCGGTGCGTATTGAGAGAGAAGCTCAATCTGGTTTCTATGCCGGCGTAGCAGAATCGAGAGTCCTGCCCGGTAGCAAGGAGTGAACAGCGAGGACAGAAGGGGAAGCTCGATAGGACCCTCAGGTCGGAGAGAGGTACCCGTAAGGGTTTCGTTCCAGTGCAAAGCCTTATGATAGCGTGGTCAGAATCGAGAAGGGAGCCTCCAGCTGATGGCTTGAACGATGCACTTTAAGGTGGCTGGGTAATTTCCCGGTCCGTGATATCTCCCAAAGCCCCAACCTTGAAGCGGACGTGTCCGCATTTCCCGAGACTCGTAGGGAAGACGGGGATATATATCTCGCCGAGACAGCAAGGGTAGTTATAAATATATAAATATATGTGCTTCTAGCCCAGCAGTGATGATATATATAAAAATATATTCAGTCTATATTTGCTCTTCGAGAATTTTGAAGAGGAATTTAAAATCAATTAGGTTGAGAAAGGTGATTGTTGTGCTTTGAGGTTGAGGTTGGTTGTTATACCTCTCTCGGTTCAATATTACGCCGAGACCGAAGTGTGTAATTTCCAATATGGAACATCCCGACTACAGTTATGTATGGACTAGTTGCTCCAGCAGATGTAAATCATATTGCGTATTCATTAACCCGTTTCAAACCGGGGATAGCAGCCATGGACATCCATACCGTAGACTTCGTGACATACAGATTCATATTCAAACCGCACTCAAAATGTACCGCCATGCAAAAACACAAATCAATCATAACGAGGAAAACGAAAAAAAAGGAACAACCTCATGGGAGAATCCCTCCTCATTTAACCCCCTTCCTCCCAAAATCTACCAAAGCATTATACGACTCCGTCAACGGCCACAACGTCCACGCAAAACCCACCGCCCCAACAACCAACAACACATAATACACAACCGTCCACCAAACACTCAACTCCCCATCCCCAACACTAACACCCCTCCCCTTCCCATCCTCATCCTCCTTGCCCCGCACCGGCGGTCCCAAAGGCTCGCCAGCCTCCACCCGGCCCCAGAACCGGGGCAGCCCGCACCAATTGCAGAAGCTATGGACCAGGATGACGGCGGGCAGGGAGCCGGTGCGTAGGTAGACAAAGGTAGCGAACCAGCCGAAGATGGTGGTATAGCCGAATTGGAAGAGGGAGCGAAGGAGGGCTGCTAGAGCGGGGGTGTCGGGGTGTGTGAGGCGGAACTCGTAGAAGTGGTGGATGTGCGCGATGCCGAAGTACAGCGGGGAGAGGAAGGTGATGCGTCCTGGGGAGATGTGGGCGAGGATGTGCAGGGGGATTATGGCGGAGCGGAACATGACTTCTTCGGTGATGGGGCCCTGCAGAGGAGATAAGTTAGTTTGATATGATGTGTTGAGGAGGGAGTGGGATGTGAATACGTACCGCGACGTAATTCCTCCACCCAATCCACCCGCCTAGCGACTCGGACCATTTCGCCCGCCTAAACCATGACCGCCATTCACCCTCGACGATTCCACGTTCATACAGCGGGCCGATGAACAGGATCGCGGTCAACAGGAGACTGCGCAGGATATCACCGAGATCAATCGGCCACCAGCCGAGCAGACTCAACGCTGCACTCAGCGAGGAACCGCCCTTATCAACGACAAGCCAAAGTACGACTAGCGAGCAGACGAAACAAGAGCCTGTCACCGTGCGAATACGCGCGCGGATGACGGAGGGCGCATCGCGGCTTAGACTGGGCGACGGCCTGGTTGCGGGGGAGAGGTAGAAGGGAACGACGTAGAGTAATGTAAGGGCGACCTGGGAGGGTTTCGTTAGTGTTGGGCACGGGCGTGGGATTCGAGATGTATATATTCTGGGTGTGATTTACCGAGAAGAGCGCGACGGTGTACACTGATAATGAGGGTTCATCTAAGCGGGCAGGTTAGCTGACAGGTCTGAACTTTGTGTCGGTCAAGAGTATTTGGGGGGTTGGTAGCTCGAGGCCAGGAGGATAGAAGATATAAACCTTGATGCTTAGTGTAGAGGCTCTTAAGACGAGCCAGAATGCCGACGGGAGCCATGGGCAGCAGGTTGAGGGTGATGCTCAACGGACTTTGGAAAAGCGCTGGTCAGCCAGTTTATCAAGGCAGAATCAGAGTCGAGACCTTTGTTGCGTGAGCAGTTGCGGGTGACGCGGGGTGACAATACGAGACCATAATTACCGGTGGTGAATTTGGGTCTATTATGGGAGAGGTCTTACGTGGATGGTAATTACATTGTCACAGGATAGTTTTCTGGCTGGATGGTTCCTGGATGGTTCCTGGATTGTTCTTAGTATTGTTCCGGATATTGTTACCTTCCATCAATGGGAACCGTGGTATTCTGTAAAGTTCATATCCATCCACAGAACCAGTCTGTGACGGTGTCAATTGTAGTTTCAACTACACCTACCCCGGCTCTAGTCCCGACCATAGTCCCGATCGCGATATAGACTTCGTCAACCTGGCTAACGCCAGGAACTATTGAAATAAAACTTCCGTGGCAGGCGAGAGATCTCATTTTCAGTCCCGAACACATGGACCGAGCGTCCTCATCGCTCGTGGGCTAGGATGTGCCTGGATTAGTCTATTTTGTGAGGCATCAACTGCAGGGCCCCATCCCTTGCCCATCTTCATTTCCAAAATCTGAGTCAATGCGAGGGAATCGTGGACGATAAATCTCCGATTTCACGAGCTGCAATAACGGGTGGATTGGAGTGTTTTGGTTGCTAGGTGACGGGCTATAATCGGGAGAGTGTCGGCGAGGGTGGGATATAGTCTTGAGACATGATATGTATGAACTGTATAGTTTGTTGTTCGTACATTGCTTTGACAGGCACTGGCACTCCTTGAGCCTCTCTATTCTGGCTATCTCGGCATGAGGTCAGACGGCGCTAACCATTCTCTCGCTAACTGTTCATAGTTTAGTTGGCCCGAATCCTGGAGGGGGAGGACAACGCATGGGGATCCACCGGGCTGACGGAGAAGAGGAGAAGAGAGGAATTGCAGGGGAACCGATGGAGTTGGATGGGGCGTGTAAATGAAAAGAACGATCTCGATTGCGTGGAGAAGCTAGCTCGGAGATTGCTATTAAACCGGCATCCTACTGTAATCCGAGATAATTATTGACAGTTGTCCCTATTAAACCCTAAATACTTGTTAGCACAGTACTTTCCGAGTTTGCCTTTTTCTTCTCTCAAATCTACACCTATCAGCAGAGCCATAAAAAAAAGAAGCCAGCCATGCAGCTTTAGCATCGTCTCGCGAACCATACAAATCGGAGCAGATCCACTTTGAAAACCAAACAAACCCGTATTTTCCCCTAACGAGGCCAACGGTCGAGGCCGTAATTTCGCGACCGTGCAATGCCTGCATACCCCTGCGCCTCGGTCTCGTCGTGATAGGGGCTCATCAGCCAGTGTCAGCCACTAAACAGAAGTACAACCCACACTGGCTGGCCAACTGTGACTGGCCGATTATCAGGCGCTTCACCGCCGCTGGGGAACAAAATTCCTGGCGCCCCCCTTGAGATCGCCCGAGTGTCTCACCATCTCTCTTTTTTCCCCTTTCGTGTTTGTTTCTTTTCGGTCATTTCGTTGCCAGTCGTTCTGCTTTCCCCGTCCTTCCTTTGAAACTCTTTAATGACCTTCTTGACGCTCTCTAATGTCGCTGAAACGATCATACGCTTAATTTGCTTGTCCTTGACGACTTGAACGCTCATTGAATCACTTCCGCTCTTTCATGAACAATTTGAATCTCCCCCGGCCCCATCGACGAATATAGAGTCTCTTATCCACAGTTACCCACCACAACCACCGGTCTCTCCGGCTACTATCCTTTTCAAAACCGACCCTTCGATCCAACATTCCTTACGTCGTTCCAATCTAGGAAAACAACAACATCTTCCCCCTCCCCAATTATTTCGGTACAACGTCATTCTTGTTTATGATTCTTGATTTTGGCTTTTGCTATTTGTGATTATATCATTCCTTCGCATTCTTCATTGCGGTTGGGTCATCTCTCTGGCTTTCCACCAACCTGGTCCTCGTCTTCCAGACCATGCCCTAATATTCCCCAACTTCGACAACCTCGACAACCTCAACGACAATGCCGACGTCTAACCAGTCAACGTCGCCGCCTCCTCGCCGGCGACGAGCTCTGCAAGAGCGCAGCTCAGCTCACAACAATGAACGATCGCCAACTCGGTCCATCCAATCACTCCGCATGGTCTTCGGGGAGAAAGAAGATGCCGACATGTATACAGCTACTCCATTTCCCACCAAGCCAGAACAGATCTTGCTGCCGATTCCCGGTAAAGGTCAGCAAGGGTATATCTCGGATACGGGCTTTAGCTATGCAGATACCCCCGGCCCATCCACGTCAACCTGGTCATCGCCCACTTTTAGCCATGCCGCGGCTAGTAGCACGCGGGACCTGTCTATTCGCGAGACATGGGATGTATCGTCAACCGTGGATACGGTCAATTCACCACCCCAGATGTGGGATGATCCTACTTCTAGCAAGTCCTCCCTGCCAGAGGTCAGCCCAATGATCAAACATGAGGAGTATATGTCAGACGGCCCCTACGAGCCAGAGTACTCAGATGATGAAATGATAGTACTGCCCACGGCAACACCTACTATCAAAGCTGTCATCTCGGAACCTCCGACCTCGCCCAAGTCTGTCAGTGAAGAGGATCAATCTATCATTGCCTATTCCAGTCCCAACATCGAGCAGATCGGTGCCCCGTCAAGCCCTAACTTTGAACCCATTGGCGCACCATCAAGTCCCAACTTTGTGACACTGGACAACTCGAGCGTCACCTTCCTGCCACATGGTGCAGACAATTCCGACTCAGAACCACGCTCCAATTCGCTCTCATCCTGGAATTCTCGTGGAACGGCCGTTCGACACGCCGGTACGTCCGCTCCCTGGATCCATACGGCTGGCTCATCCGAGCAAGTGAGCACGCGCTCGCCATCACCATTCCACTCCAGCCCGCCATTGCGCTCAGTATCATCATTCCGGTCTGTGACTAGACGTCCATCAGCAAGTCGGTCTCGCTCCACGAATTCCTCCACACGCAGCTTCCGCTCCGTCTCGGAGATGGCCGCCGCCATCGACAGTGGTATCCCAATCCAGTACGCACGTATCAGAGCACCGTCATCTAGCTCCCGCGCCGATACATCGGTCTCCTCAGATCGTGACTTCACTCCGACCCGAGACTTCACACCCGGTCCAGCCTCCGGACGCTGGAACCCGCATCTGTCCCGTGTATCTTCAGTCTGGTCCGACGAAGATCTGTCTAACCTCGCCGCCACGGGTCAACCCGAGTCTACCCCAGTCCGCGAGATGTCAATGTCCGAACCGGCCGTCCCAGATGCAGTCGCTCTAAGCTCGAAAACCAGCAACTCAAGCGACTGGGCGGTAACAGACAGCGACGAAGAGGAGCGACTAGACAGTCTGACAAATCTACCCCCACGCCTGGGCTTCCCAACAAGTCTCTCTTCAGGGTCTAAGCGCAGCAACAGCAATCGCAGTCTCAAACGACCTGGCACAGCTTCAAGCACCGTCTGGCATATCCTGCCCACCTGGGCAAAGATATACTACCGCGCCGACGCACTGGGGCTGAACTCAGCTCTCTCAATAATGGACGTCAGCAGACCTGGTACCTCCAACTCCAGCGTCTTCAATTTCAATCTCATGCCCACACCACTAAACATCCCCCGTCCTCGATCCCCGGACCGTCCTCACTCCCCACCGCAACGCCCAGCATCACCACCCCAACCCCAGCAACTTGCTCAAGAACCCTCCGAGCAAACTGCCATCCAGCAAACTGCAGTCTCACTCCCCCAACGCCCCGGCGCAGTCCGCTTCGTCCAGGGCCACATAGAAAACGACCCCCTCGACCCGCGCGCGCACTGGGTCCCCGACCCCGAAGAAAACGGCCAAGTCGTCGGTCCATCACGACATCGAACCCGACACAGCTGGTCCCCGCATTTACACTCTGACCGACGCGGGATTCCGCACTCGAGTAGTGCATGGACGGCGCCTTCGTTGGATTCTACGAATGAACCCGCCTTCGGGAGGAGGAATGTGCAGGTTTATTCTTTTTGTTTGGGGTTTATTTTTCCGCTTGGTTAGTCTCCCTCCCACTTAGATTAGGAATATGCCGTGTGAGAAGGGTCTAGTTTACTGACGAGGTAACAGCTTGGATAATCGCATCGTTCCTACCTCTCCCGCCAATGCCGAAACTTACGCCGGAGATGGTGCATGTGAATGACGATGATGTCGAGATGGCGCTGGAGTCGCAGTTGATTTCGTTGCAGCGGCGACGACATGAGAATGCGCGGTGGTGGAGGAATCTTAATCGGTGGATGATTTCTCTTGGTGTGGTGATTATCGTTATTATTGTGAGCTTATAACGTATCTTGGATAGATTTGAGTTGAGGCTAACTTGTGTGATGCAGATTGCATTGGCTGTTATTGGGACTACTACCGGCTTTTAATGTCTGATTTTTTGATCCTTTTCGACTTGAGTCTTGTTCTTGTCTTTTGAAGACTGGACTGGACTGGACGTCTTTCGACTACACTTTTCTTTGGAACTTGCACTTGATCGAATCTGCTCGCCTGTTCTCGGGACTTGCCTTGGACAGCCATCTACCTTCTGGTACTTTTCCTACACGTGCTTCGACCTTTTCCCTCTTATCCCCACACTCTCTCCCTTTCACTCAACCTGCAACTGCAACTACACCCTCGACTTGACATTCGACTTTGATTTCAACTTCATAGCGACAACACCCCGCCATTCCCACATTCCACAATACATCTCGAGATAAAACATTTCCCATCTCGGCTTGCTTTCGTCCTTGTTTATTTTTTTTTCTCTTCGTCGCACATTTATCAGATACGACCTCCACGACACGATTGTACGCACATATAATATTCCCCGCAACACGGTTCGCTTGACTTCGCTTGATACTTTTGCACTTTGCACTTTATATTCTACTTTTTTCGTGTTCTCTTCTCTTCTCGTCTTACCTGTCATACTGGCGGTCTTATTATTTACTTTTACTTTATCTTCACCTTTGACACGAAATGTGTTACTTTGAACTTAACTTTCGTCTTCATTTCTATCTTCATTATCAGCTAAGCTTGGGCTTGACTTGACACTTGATTTCTTTTCTTGATTGCATACAGCATCTGTATAATGGATACATGCTCTTATTTTTCAATTCTACTCTTAGCCCCAGTGCTTTTTACAATCCTTATATTCATACCTTGTATGCATTACTCAACGATCTGAATCTCTTTGATAATTTCAATTTCAACACTGTCATTCTTGGAGTAGACTTGACATGCCGCGCACTTATGATTAATGCGATGCTCGTTGATGAATTACATCTTGCGAAGCGAGACTTTTCGATGTCGACATGGACGTTTGGTCTAGCTAATTAGTCAACACCGTCAGTAAATAAGTTAGTTAACTAGTTATGAAATCGTGTATTATAAAGACTTTTTCGCACCATCTCATGTGCAACCCGAAATGACATTCGTCGTGATTAAAACTTGAGAAGCAATGCACTCTCTAAACGCTATTCGCAAAAAGACACCCACAACAAGACCCAGGCCAGACCAGCTCTCGTCTCAACAAGAACGTAGAGCCAGCCACCCCACCACCACAGTGGTCCCCATATCTATATAAGCCCTGACCCACAAGTCAACCAAGCAAATCCAACCTGGACAACAGCCTAAAGCTTCCGTCCAATCTTCTGCTCAACGGCAATCTTCAACTCCTCCCCAGTAGGCATAGTAACCACACTCCCCCTCCGACGCCTCGACTCAATCTCCGCCTTAATCTCGGCGACAGCTTCATCAAAGTCGCGCTCCGGGTCATTCGGCAGACCCAGTGTCGGCGGGCGCACGGTCTCCTGGCTCATCGTGCGCGGGGCATGAGGCCGGTTGCGACGCTTGAGTTGACCCACTAGATAGGCCTTGACTGGGGAGAAGGAGGCAAAGGCAGCGAGGGAGGATGCGGTGCCGATGATACCGTAGAAGTATACTCGGGACCAGACGGTCATTGAGTCGGGAAAACTGAGGAGGATGAAGGGGAGGACGGCGAAGCCGAGGGTGAATTGGGTTACTACCCAGCTGAGGATGTCGTAGTATCGCTTGTTGGGGGTTGGCTTGGAGCCGTCTGGTGTGAGGAAGAAGGGGCGCACGTAGCGGCGGAAGTCTGTAAGATGTTAGCATTGAGACCAAATAATGATGGAAGTTTTATATCTTGTGGTGGAATAGGGGTCATACTCTTTGCAACGGTCTGGATGAAGGAGCCTAGCACAAAGGTCATGTAGTAACCGGGATAGAAGCCGTGCCACAGGGCACTAGTCGCAAAGGTAGCCATGCTAGCACGGAAACCCGGCTTCTTGCCCTTTGGCGTGACACGTAGGTAGACATAATTGCGCAGCCAGTGGTTAGTATTCTTGTTCCAGCTGCCAAGGTAGCTATACGAGTTCTGGGCAGTCTCAAGACCATAGGGGTCGACGTTCTCAAGTCGGTTCCAGAAGACTTTGCCTGACTTAGGATCGAAGCCGTTGTATCCCATGCCAGACAGGATACAGGCGCCCTCGGTCAAGGACCACACGCCATAGTACTTCAGCCGCGTTGTAAAGCCGAGCATGTACACGGTGAAGACACGGCGAGGGAAGGAAAACTCCAAGAATGCATCGGAAAGCACAAACTCAGTGGTGAACCACGAGCCCAGTTTCAGGAAAGCAAAGATCCAGAACAGGCCGATGGCGGCTTTCTTTGCAGCAGGGGTGCCGCTGCGTGGGATCTTGCGCTTCTTCCTTGTCCGAGGGACCTTGGCCGGGTCTGTGCCTGGCGGAATCTCGAACAGGGTTGTATCCAGCCAGCGGCGGTAATCCACATACTCAAAGGAAGGACCAGCAAACAGCGACGGGAAGAACAGTACATAACCCAGGTAGTTGGGGATGCTGGGGAACTCGGTGATTGCAGAGTACTTTTGCGCATCCGATAGCTGTTCCTGAGGGAGACGGCCGTCATGAATATTCCAGCAGAAGGAAGACAGTTTCATGACTAGAACCATCTGTGCTCCGGTAATATCGATCACCTGTGCATCGTCCAGGATTTGGCGGTAAATGTGGCTAATTGACATGTGGCCCATGAGGAAGATGAACCCAATCCAGGGCATCAACGAGCCATCTACATAGTATGCAATGGCATAGGTACCAGCTGCACTGTAAAGAAGTGTCCGGAGACCATCCCATAGGTCGAAAAGGCCGACAATGTAGAAGAGCGAGGCAACGATAATAAAGGCATTCTTTTTCCAGGGCTGAGCGTCGGGAATTCGTTTTAGTAGGCCGGCGAGCGGGTATGAGAGCAGGAAGGAAGCGATCAGCTTGACTAGAGAGAAGAGTTAGAAGCTTGAATCTCGAGTTTCAATCGCGGGTTGAAGACGTACGCTCATCCACCGACGCGCCTGTAAGCTGAGCAGGGTAGCTAAACACTGCGGGGAGGTCAGTCCGAGGTCCAACAGCTATTTGTAGCTTCGCAAGGAGAAAATATGGGGGGACGAACAAGCGTCTATATAGGGCAACATGGTGTCGACCCAGATAGAAGACTGGCGTTTAGATCCAAAGAAGGCATACACGCTGGAAAAGAAGAAAGGCGGAGGAGGAAAAAAGGCGTCAAGAGATCACCGGGGAGGGACGTCATGTGGAAAAGCGGATGCACCCAACATTCAACCACCTCGACTTCTCCACCTTCCCCTCGCGGAAACAACACGACACCCCCGAGATCAGCTGCAACTTCTTTTTAACTTCCTACTCCCTCCTTTCAGTTCCGTTGATTACCTGCACTCGGGCGCATTCTTCTTCCACCATGGACGTCGTCGCGGCCGTCTCGGGCTACATCTCCAAGATGGTGACGGCTGGCGAGTCGGCCTCGGGGTCGTCATCTACCAAGATGAAGATCCTGCTTTTGGATAGTGAGACAGTGGGACTTGCGCTTGACTAATTTAGGATTGGACATGATAGACTAACCACCGTTCACCCAGGTATCCATTGTCTCGACCGCCATCACCCAATCCGCCCTCCTGAATCATGAAGTCTACCTTATTGACCGCCTGGATAACGCCGCGCGCGAGAAGATGCGCCATCTACGATGCTTGTGTTTCGTGCGCCCTTCCCCAAACTCGATCCAGCTTCTTATCGATGAGCTCCGCGAGCCCAAGTACGGCGAATATTACATCTACCTAAGCAACATAATCCGCAAGTCCTCCCTTGAGCGACTGGCCGAGGCGGACAGTCACGAAGTCGTGCAGTGCGTGCAGGAACAGTTTGCCGACTTTCTAGTCATAAACCCGGATCTCTGCACGTTGAACCTAGGATTCCCCCTGTCACGACTATGGAGCCATTCGCCAGATCTATGGAATCCGGACTCGTTGCAGCGGGCCACGGAGGGAACTCTGGCTTTGCTGCTATCGCTGAAAAAGAACCCTTTGATCCGATACGAGAAGAACAGTCTACTAGCTCGGAAACTGGCGACGGAGGTTCGATACCATATCACACAGGAGGAGCAGTTGTTTAATTTCCGCCGGACGGACACCCCTCCCATCCTGCTTATTCTGGACCGTCGCGACGACCCGATCACACCGCTGCTTTCACAGTGGACATATCAGGCTATGGTGCACGAGCTTCTCGGCATCAATAATGGACGAGTTGATTTGCGCGACGTACCGGACATTCGGCCAGAGCTACAGGAGATTGTTCTCGCTCAGGACCAGGATCCCTTTTTCAAGAAGAACATGTACCAGAACTTTGGCGATCTGGGACAGAACATCAAGGAATACGTGGAGCAGTACCAGGTCAAGACGCAAAGCAACATGAATATCGATTCCATTGCCGACATGAAGCGATTTGTGGAGGATTACCCCGAATTCCGCAAGCTCTCTGGCAACGTGAGCAAACACGTCACCTTGGTGGGTGAACTGAGTCGTCGAGTGGGCGAGGATAATTTATTGGATGTGAGTGAGTTGGAGCAGAGCTTGGCCTGTAATGATAACCACTCCAATGACCTAAAGGTATGTTTATTCCCTAAAGGAATGGATTAATTTCGTATACTAATCGAACACTCAGTCACTCCAACGAATTATCCAGCTACCAAATGTCCCAGCAGACAGCAAAGTCCGCCTGGTAGCTCTCTACGGACTCCGCTACGAGAGTCAGCCCAACAACTCCCTTCCAGTCTTGCTCGACCTGCTCGTCACCGCAGGCGACGTTCCCTCCAATCGCGTCAACATCATCCCCAAGCTCCTCGCATATCACCACTCCCTTCAAGCACCGCCAGTTGCTGGCGGCTTCACCGATCTATTTGAATCAACCTCCTTCTTCTCAGGCGCCAGAGACCGCTTCAAGGGTCTCAAGGGTGTTGAAAATGTCTACACCCAACATTCCCCGCGACTAGAGGTGACTCTACAAAATCTAATCAAGGGTCGTCTGAAGGAGCTGCAGTATCCGTTCCTCGAGGGCAGTGGGCATACCCGGGACAAGCCGCAGGATATTATTATCTTCATGGTCGGCGGTACCACATACGAGGAAGCTAAGATGGTGGCACAGGTCAATGCCAGCTCTCCCGGTGTGCGAGTCGTCCTGGGTGGTACCAGTGTACACAACAGCACCACGTTCCTCGAAGAAGTGGATGATGCCGTTGGCAGCTGGCCAGAGCCTGGGCCTACGACAGCTGCTGGTCGGCTGCGGAGGGAAGTTGGGCGCTAGGTGACTAGAATATAGGCGGTGTCTCCTTTTTAGGAATTCAATATATGATAATGTCATTCATCTTTACTATCGAGCCACAAGAGAAGGAATATTTTCCTGTACCTGAACGACAGTACACCGAGGAATACCAAGTGGGTCCGGAGAATGCGGAGAGCCCGCCAGATTTCCACCGCCTGTTCCCCTCGTTCTCACCTCCTCCAACTACCTGCAAATGGAGCAATACTCCCCTCCCAAGGGAGGCCCTTCTTCTCCGGCTGCTTCTCGTGAGCCGCGACTACATCTACCATCAACTACTGATCCCCCAGGCCCGCAGAATCCCCCCAAGCCCCTAGTATGGCTGGTAAGTGCACCGCACCTACTCCCCCACTTTACAGCTCATGCGCAACCTCCAAACAACCTCAAGAAGTCCTTCCAAACTACAATAACTAACCATATATGTTCATTACAGATCTTCGGAGCAACAGGCCACATGGGCCGCTCCCTCGTCAAAAACGCCCTAGCCCGCAACGACCTCGTCGCCGCCGTGGGCCGCACCTACGAGAATAGCCCCGAATGCATGAAAGAGTTAGAAGACGAACACGAAAACTGCCTCGGTCTCCTGTGCGACGTCCGCGCCCGCGAAACCGTCAAACGAGTAATCGACCAAACAATAGCCCGCTTCGGCCGCATCGACGTAATCGCAAACTGCTCCGGGTACGGCGTCATCGGCGCCTGCGAAGACCAAGACGAATTCGACATCCGCAACCAATTCGAGACAAACTTCACCGGCACGCTGAACATGATTCAATTATCGCTGCCGCATTTCCGCGAGAGGCGCGCGGGGCGGTATTTGATTTTTAGCTCGACGTCCGGTGCGTTGGGTGTTCCGGGCTTGGGGCCGTATTGCGCGTCCAAGTATGCGGTTGAGGGGTTGATGGAGAGTATGCTTTACGAAGTGGACAGTTTCAATATCAAGGGCACGCTGGTGGAACCGGGGCATATGCGACGCGATGATATTGGGGATTTAGTTTCCCCGTCCATTATGGCTGCGCATCCCTCCGAGCATAACCTGTCTTCGCCGTTGCCGCTTTACGGCCATTTCTTGGTGAAACCGCCCAGCGAGCCGTATAATACCCAGACATCCCCCGCGGCGCATGCACGGCGTATGTTGATGTGGTTGGGTGATAAACAGCCTGCTTCGGCTGTCAAGGCTGCGCATCTTGTTTGGGAGTTGGGGCATTGCTCGTATCCGCCGCTGAGGTTGATTCTGGGTACTTATGCTGTGGAGAGTATTCGGGATCGGCTGAAGTGTATTATTGAGGAGATTGAGGATTGGAAACATCTTAGTTTTCCGTTGGGGGAGACGCAGCCTGCAGCGGGGAATCGGGATAAGTCTGTGCCTGCTGAGGGGGCTGAAGGTGGAATGGGGTGATGGATAAGGGCTGTCAAGTTTGACGTTTCTATATCTGCTTGAAAGAACTCGATATACCCATCACCACCGGCAAAACACTGCCGAGAGCAATTGCCATTTTGCAATCTGACATCCTGGCGGCTGGAGTCACAACAGCATTACCGGAGCGCCTTTCCGGTTCAGACAGGCCAGCTTTCATAGGCCTATGTGAGGCTTATTCGAGCCTCCGCCTTGTTCTAACCCGAACCTACTGTCATGAACAACACGATAGATACAAGGCGGATTAGCCGCCCAGTTGTTTCCACATAATGCATAATGAAGTCTACGAGTATGGACAGACGCATCGACCAATCCGAGGGACTGCACTAAAAAGCTTAGATGCTAATCACCATGCTCTAAATCAAACAGGATTCATTCATCAGGGTGTATATGTACACGCTAAGACTATGTAAAAAAGTATACAAGAAGAGGACGTGACCCATCATCACATTAGACTTCACGCGCAGCAAATGATAGTCGGAAACGACAAGCTCTATGTATCATGAACGTCACGAAAAAGAAAATAAAAAGGCGGGGGACATTACAGCGCAGCACTGCAAAGCCTAATCCCTCGCAAGAATAACACAAGTCTCCTTCGCATGCCAAATCCGTCGACGCCGAACCACGTCCGCGCCAAAGGTATCCTTGATCCCATCCTCGATGAACCGAGTAGCAGCATCAGGATCTTCCTCCTTGCCATCTTCACCAAATCGCGGCAAAAGTCGAGCTTCCTCGACGCTAGCACCGAACTCGTACTCGCCGCGGCAGAGGACCGTCACACCGATGGATGTTTGTGTGGATGCCCCAGCTTGCAAGATTGGCAGTGCTTGTTGGAGCATACCAGTCCAGGCAAGACGACGGGTGAGGTCTAGCCCGATGTTGTTTGGTTGGTGGCGGAGGCTAGGCTGGAGACGGACGAGGGGGTGGATAGGTCTTGAGGAGCGGTTGCGAACGGTGACGGTTAGAGTGAGGAGGTCGTCTGTTTGGGCTTGGAAGCGGGAGCGGCCGGTTTGTTTTACTGCGGAGGAGATTTCCTGGAAGGAAGGGGATGCTAGCGTGAAGGAGATCTCGACGTCTTCGAGACGCATTGCCTCGACCATGCGGGTGTTTAGACGGATATTGCGTAGGTCGATGGATCCCGCACGGCCGGTAGCTGGCTCGGACCAGCCTCCAAGGACTCGTTTGAGAAGTTCTTCGCGGAACCAGAATGCCTCACGCGAGGCTGCCTCCGCCTCGAAGGTGAGCTTATTAGCGCTGACGACGAATTGGCGACGAGTTCCCGTGTTGACGACGGGGATGCTGGCATATGGGTTGTCGAGGTACACGCGAGGGAGAACTAGGACGAATCGAGAGACTTGGCCTGGTTGGAGGTTACCATCAACAGAGTACTGGCCCTTGCTGCCATCCTTGAAGGACTCGGGAGCTTGGACGATGGAGTGCTCGTTCACGCGCAGCCATACTGACAGAGGGCTTGGCCAAGCATTGCGAAGGTCGATTAGAACAATGCAGTGATCTGGTCCGTAGGCCCCATTGCCGAGACGGGAAAGAATTTGAGAAAATGGATCCTTGTCAGTGGCAGACAACGGGCAGTCTGATGTCTCCGTCGAGTCCGATGGGGCATCGAGATGGTTCTTCCAGGCAAAGTCTCCACTAAAGGGCAAGATGTCACAGCGAGCAACCTCCACACTGGCATTGACAGTGACAGTCAGCGGCACAAACAGTTGCCGAGTGTAAAACACCTCTGGCAGCTGTCCCTGCTTGCTTTTCAGATACGAATAGTCAATCTGTACTGTCGTATCTTGCAACCCAGGCTTGCCCAACACGTCCACAGTGAACGTGGCCTTCTCCCCACGTGGAATATTCCAATCATCAGACTGCGGGCCCTCGCGGCGCCACTTTAGGGCAGGCTGGGTGGCCAACTTCAACTCCAGCTCGTAAATCTCCACGGGAAGTAAGTCCTTGTTTCTCAAGGCTGACTGAAGCTGGCGAGTGGTTGAATCTTGGAAAGTGAACAAGACAAAGTCCACGGGACACGAAGATGTGTTTTGAAGGGTGATAGAGAACGACTTGATCTCCCCCTCAAGGACCATCATTGCCGATTGCGAGAGCGACATAGATTCAATGAGCAGAGACGGCTGTTTGCCAATGACCTTTACCGGACACGTCTCCGTTTGAGGTCCCTTCTTTGCAAACACCTTGCCATCTTTGGATGTAATTGAGCTCCAGGACATTGGGCGATCGCTAAGAGGCTTCTTTGCAGACAGTCCCGTTCGCTTGAACTTGATCTCAGGCTCGGGTCTCCATAAGGTCCTGAAGATGGGGAATCGTCGCTCCCGGCAATGACGCACTTTGACGATGCACCCAGAAATGTTAAGATCGCCCTCCTCGTGAGCAGTACCAAGAACAATGATATCCTGCAGACAGAGTGGAGGAAGAACGATGTTCTCTGCCACGGCCTCAAAGTTAACACCCTCACTTTCTAGCCGCAGGTGTTCGATCTCGATCTCAAACTCATAAGGGTTTTGGAGGGTCACTCGGAAGGAGGCAGGCTCATCAGTCACGGTAAGAACTTCCAAAGCCTTGCTACTTGGCTTGGCAAAGGGGTTGTACAGGAAGGGATCCTTCTTTGCCTTTTCGGATCCCGTGGTAACGGCATCTAGCTCTGTCTTGGAGCGACGGACGGGTCGCCGCGGATCAGGCAGCGCCAGCAACTGAATATCGCGGACAAGGAAATCATCCCAGTATTCGGCAGCCATGTTAGCTGCGCCCAGCCGGTTTCCAGCGCCCACAGTGCGTTTGATATTGTTCAAGAGACGGACTTGCTCGTCTTGTGGCAGGTACGGTGGCACCCTATGAGCTTCGTTCAGCATGAGATCTCCGCGGATAGTTTGCAAAAGCTCCACAGTGAAGCGGAGGACGCCATCAAAATCAGGAAGCGCCTCGCAGCAGTTGATACACGCTTTGAGAACGTCAATCTTGAGATTAAGATCACCATATCGATCCAGCGCAATGTGACGGAAAGACCGCTCTGCAATGCTCGCGATTGAATCATACTCGGGACACTCTTGTGCGCTCCCCGAAGCAGACATCCGACTCTGTCGCTTCTCCCACTCATAGGAGGCTGAAGGCTGAACTCCGTAGATCTCACCAATTGTAGCCAGAAGAAGCCGAACGCTTGATTCCATATTACCAGGACCAACATCGAGAGCATTGACATCGAATGCCGTGTCACTCAGAGATGCTAGACCAGCGGCAGGATGAATACCAACTTCTGCAGCACCAATTTTTCGAGCCTGGACCAGACTGGGTACCATCACAGTGAGAAGCTCACGCAGGACAAATGCCTTTTTCCGTGGCAAGTCAAGAGTGTTGAGAACGGAGATGACACCCACGATGATGGGAACGGCATCCGTAGCAGGCAAGTCTGCCTCAGGGGCAAGTGGGAGAGCCCGGTAGAGGAAGTTGGCAATCTCCGACTTGCGGAGCACGACTGTCCCCCGTGGGAGTTCTGGTTGATGTAATGGAATTAAAGGTTCATTCATCACGATGTGCTTCAAAGCATTGTCATCAAGTCCGCCGTCCCGAATGCGAGCAGAGACCATGAGCCTCGACAGTCGAATCACAGTTTCAGAAAACACTAGCTGAGGGAGGGGTTCGTCCGTGATATTTGCGGCACGAGTGTAGAGGTTCAGGATAGTGTTAGAAAGATCGGGTAAAAGGTTCGCAAGGTTGTGAAGAGAGACCATGCGGTTGCCAGCCGCAGATGGTGCCTGAATTGCATCTCTAACCGCCTTAGAGGCCTTGTCCGCAACTGGATAGAGAACCGGGGGGATTTGGAAATCCATCCCTGCCCATGCGAGCATCACGAGACAGAGAAGAATGTTCTCTAGAGCCTTGCCATGCCAGACATAGTCGCTACCAGCCCGTGCATTATTGGCCGCTTCGACTAGCTCTTTGAGTGCATCTGGCCACCTTCCTGCCTGCAGGAAGAGAGTACCAATGACGACCCCGGAGCGGCCCTTGATACGGTTTTTGGTTCTATCAGTGGCACTGATACCACTCACGGACATGCGGTCTCGGCTATGCTCCTTAGGTGACGCTATTGAGGGGCTTCTGCCACCGGAGTTCGTTCGTGACAAGTGGATGGATCGCGTGATCTCGTCGAATGTCGTAGGTGTTTCGTGGTCACTAGGAGCGGGGGAAGTGGCATTCGAGCTAAGGGGCGTCTCCGGCGGTGCACCATTGGGGTTGGATGGCAGCTGCGCAGGCAGAGTCATGCGATTCAGCAGTCGGTCCACAGGTCGCGGCCGCAACTCCGGATTTCGATGTGGACCCCATGATGAAGCTCTGGGCGACTCTATCGACGGGATATTTTGGATTGTCTTGGCGAATTCATCCAACTCTGATAACAAGACGGATGTAATATCACACAGGACAGTTTTCATGGTAGTCGCTTTGGAGACTTCCGGTCGAGGAACCCAAAGGACATTCTCTGGACCATTGGTGATGTTATCCAGCCCCTCATAGTCGAAGACCAGGAGCTGATTTACCAGTGCCCTCGGGTTCCTCTCCCTCACCGCATCAAGCTCCTCTCGCAACTGATCCAGTTCATGGGGCGTGGGATGCTTTGCGTTTGCTCCGGAGCCTTGGGACAGCTCAGTTCCATCGGCTATCGCAATTATGACCAGTGGTTCCCTGTATATCTCGAATGGGAACAGCTCCAGATGTGATGTGGGGGGAACGGAGAAGGACAGGTCATAGAGGATCATTCCGGTGGGGAAGGCAAGCGGGGAGAACATATCTATAAGTCCAAATAGTCAGTTTTCTGATCAGTTCATTAACAGTTGTATAGGTCCATTGGCACTGCGCTAGGTATTGCGTACTTCGGTTTGGACGAGAGTCTGGACTAATGTCCCCTAGTCGCACCACATTCTCAGCTTGAAGCCTAGCAGCGAAGCTCAAGAAGCGTGAGCGCTTGATCTTGCCAATTGGAAGCAGTAACGCCCGAAGGCGCACTGGCGCAATTGGAGATAGAGGATCAACTCCCATCGTGTCATTTGAGGGCGAACGGGGTAGATGCGGTCGACGGTGTTAGGCCCGCATTCACAACAGACGGAACGGCCCAGCTTCCAAACGGCGCCAGCTCAGGGAAACAACCAGGAGAAGCACAGAATGTCACAAAAGAGCGACCGTAGTGGCTCAACGAGCCACGAAAACAGCGAACGATTTGAGCTCGACCAGGGAACTCCACTCCGCAAATGCTCCTGAAGCCGTGATGCTTTGGAAACAATCATGATTAGGTAAGATTGGCTGCTGATCTAAGCCCCGATAAGCCCGGAGCGATAAGGGGCCCTCCGCAGTCGCCGAGGTGTCTTTCGGAGGTTTCACCTGGCATTTCTTTGGCTTCGGACTGTGCTCGTCATATCCTTCGTTAGTCCAGATCTGTTTTCTGTGACGAAATATCTACGGACACACTCTTTTCGATACACGCGTCTATCGGTCGTTACCCTCCTATTCGAGACCCGTCCCAAGCTTGTTTACACGCCACAAGATGGCATAGGCATCTCCATTTCCACGTGGAGCTTTGCATACACCACTCAAAAATCGAGACAGATACACCTAGAGACATCACCCGAAAATAGACTACAAGATGGCCTTGAACATGGATTTCAACGCTCTGAAAGCCCGGACCATGGGGTCTGGTGCTGATGAAGAAGCAGTGACGGTTGACACACGGGGCCTGATCTCCAAAGTTCTCGCTCGCTATTCTGGAAAATGGTATGGCCCCTGAAGAGGGGTATGCGGCACGAGTGTCGTGATGCTAACCGGATATCTACAGGACCGTCCTGCGTGAAATGATTCAAAACGCTGCCGATGCTTCCGCGACTAAAGTGACAATTAAATTCGAGACTCTCCCCTCCACAACGGTACCAACTCCATCCTCGACGGATCCTACGGCCCTCTTGAAGCATACGATCTCCAATCATACTCTTCGTCGTCTCTTGATCTCAAATAACGGTCTCCCGTTCAGTGAAAAGGACTGGGCTAGATTGAAACGTATTGCCGATGGAAACCCGGATGAAACAAAGATTGGTGCTTTTGGTGTTGGCTTCTACAGTGTGTTTGATGACTGTGAAGAACCATTTGTATCCTCGGGCAGTCAGGCTATGGCCTTTTATTGGAAAGGCAATGCATTATTCACTCGCCGGTTGGACTTGGGTGAAACCCCATCCCGGGACACGACCTTTGTGTTGGACTATCGCAACGATTCTTCCCCAGTTCCGTCCTTGATGCAGCTGTGCCAGTTTCTATCGAGCAGCTTGACATTTGTTGCCTTGGAAGAGATTGAGCTATGGCTGGATGATCGGAACTTGCTCAAGCTGTCAAAGAAGACAGCACCTGGCGTCAATGTTCCAATCCCCAGGGACGTTGAAACAAGAACAAGTGAAGGGTTGATGAAGGTTGCCAGCATCACTCAAGAGATTGCACAGGTTGATGCGGCTTGGATGCGAATTGTGGAGTGGAACCCAAATGCGAGCATGTTAAGCTTGGACAACCTTCGGGATACCACGAGCTCACTCCGCAGCTTCTTCTCCAAGTTCACTGGCCAGAATGGACCCGACAAGCTTGCACAATCCCAACAAGTAGAGAAGGTTGACGAGACAGCCAACATGACTGCGATGCTAAAGGCTACTGTCTTCCTGCACATCAACACCGCGTCTATCCAACCTTCAATTAGCACTGCTCTCAGCAAAGAACTTGAACGAGCCACGAGGAAACCGCCTCCAAAGAGAGCAACCATTGCCATATTGACGCCGTCTTACGATGCCAACATCGCGACGGGCGCATCCGAGTCGCAATCGGAGATCCTGGCCTCCATTCTCCCCACAAAGGCAGGAAGGATATTCATCGGTTTCCCCACCCAGCAAACCACAGGCCTCAACGCTCATGTGTCGGCACCATCAGTTATTCCTACTGTGGAGCGTGAAAGCATCGATCTCAACACTCGTTACATCAGCAAGTGGAATCTTGAGATGCTCCGTGCAGTTGGCGTTGTCTGTCGAATTGCCTGGTCTGCGGAGATGAGCACCATCAAATCCAAGCTTGCTGCCAAGGTTGGCTCAAAACGTGCTTCAAAGATTCGAAAAGAGGATATTGTGGATGTCCTCCCTGAGGCTATCCATACTGCCAATCAGTTCGTCTTCCGCGAGTCTACACCCTCTTCCGTTCTGGGACAAACGATTGAGGATGCCTTCTGGATGTGCAACAGGAATGCATCTATCGAGGTACTTTCTACATGCGGTGTCATTCCCAGTCATCAAACCCGCATTGCTCCCAAGGATCTCAGTTTCATGGACTCGATTCCAGCGTTGCCAGAAGAGCTCGTCCTGAATGCCAAGGATTTTGTTCAGAGGTTGACAGACTTTGGTTTAGTTACAGAAATCACAGTTTCTGATATCAAACGTGAATTGGAGTCGAATACATTACGACCCAATCAGATCATGGAGTTTTTGTCATGGCTTGGTAGCAAGGCTGTTAGTGGACAACTCGACGGCAAGTCTGTGCAGAGTCTACTCCGGGTTGCAGTGGCAAATGATGAAGAGAAAGACGGCCAGCCTACACGTTTGATCGTGTTTGCGGACATCGCTGGGTTCCTGAACCCCCATCGCATCCCAGCTGATCTCCCCGTGCCACCTTCGGTGATGCCATTCCGATTCACTAGATCTCTGAGTAAATCGGAGCTTGAAGCTTTAGGCTGGGGGGAGCTGCAAATCGTGCCCTGGATCAGATGGCTTGTCACGAATGCCGGCGACGAGAGTCTGCTTGAGAAAGAGCAAAACATCTTGAAAAGCCCTGCATTTGCTGGGCAGGTTTTGCCTGTCTTGTCCAAGGGGTGGGAGATCCTGAGCTCTTCGTCGAGGCAGGCAGTCATCGATGTTCTGCAACCGCAAACTGTGATTCCGACCAAACTCGGGATGAAGCAGCCGACGCAGACATATTTCGCCTCGGTTCGGCTTTTTGATGATCTACCTGTCGTCCACGGCCTCAATGGTGTTAAGGAGAAATTTTTGGTCTCACTTGGCGTTCGTAAGACCGTTGAGCTTGGTGTTATCTTCGATCGGTTGATCAATACACCCGAGGCTGTCGATGCTAAGGGGCCTCCAGCCAGGAGATGGAACCATGTGGATCTCATCCGCTACCTCACCTCAGTCCGCGAGGACATTCCTGCCAACGATATCCAGAGACTCAAGAACACGAGCATTTGCACGGCTGAGAATGACGCTCAGAACAGAGGTACTCGCTATAAGATAGCCGAGCTTTATGAGCCAAAGGATTCACTCCGTGCATTGGGCCTACCCATCATTGAATGGCCAGGCATCTACAACAATGCGAGCAATGAAGGCAAGTTCCTTGCCATGATGGGATTGAAGAGCTATCCATCCGGGTCCGAACTCATCCGACTTATGGTAATGAGTGATTCTGAAAAGGATGCCAGTCGAAAGAACAAGGCATTGACGTACTTCCTCAATGAATACCACACGAACGGATATGCCGCATTTGATATCAGTGCCGTCACGGTGCCTTTCCTACCAGTCGAGGGCTCGGAAAGTCTCAGCACGCCAAAGAGATGCTTTACCGACGAGGGTGCATCTTTGTTCGGTTTCAACATTCTGCAAAAGCGTCTCCATCCGCATGCTTCAAAACTGGGTGTGAAGCCCCATCCTCCCATGTCGGATTGTCTTCAGACTCTCATTCGCCAGCCCCCCGCCACTCAAAAGGATGCCAGAACGATCTTCAAATACCTGGCAGGCAGGGTATCTGACCTGAGTCCACAGGATGTTGAGCGAGTTGGAAATGCACCTATCATTCCTGTCGCGATAAACACTCAGTCGGAAAAGGGCCCTCGTACTCGTCTCGTTGCACCCCGGCTTTGCTATCTTGGCGACGGCGAAGACTACAAAGATATCTTTGACTTTGTGGACTTTGGACAGGAAGCGAACCTCTTCCTTATGGCTGTGGGGTCAAGGAGAGAGCCAACCAAGAATGAGATTGCTCGTATGCTGGTGAAAGAGCCCGCTCGTATCTCTGCCGCATTCCAGAGCTCTGACAAGTACTTGATGCTTCTACGGACTCTTGCCGAGCATCTCTCCGTGCTGAAGAAGGACCGAGAACTTTTCAGTGATATGAAGAGGGCCAAGTTCCTGTTAGCCAGTCGTGATATCCCTCCGCAGGCCACAGCTCAGAATGGCAAAGCTAAGTCTAGTGAGAAGGATAGCACAGATGCGGATGAAGACTTGGATATCAGAGAATGGAATCTCTCAACAGCAAAGGAAATCGTTGTTGTAGATGACTTCCAGAGCTTCAACCTCTTCAAAGAGCATATCTTTGCTGCGCCGCAGGAGGAAGCTTTGGAAAATTTCTACGTCGCTCTGGGAGCAGTTCCCCTGAGCAGCCTCGTTGAAGAACAAGCGCGATTCGGTGGCGTGGCGGCTGATCAGAGCTCGGGTGCTAAGTTACACAAAGTGATTCTCGAGCGTGTACGTCTCTTCTTGCACGATCAGCCCGCTGATTCTATTCAGCATGGAGCCAGGTGGCTGGAGACTAGTTTTGTGGTGCAAGTGGTGAATTCGATCACGTTGACACGTTCACTGAAAGGTCGGAGGGCATCTCATACCCAGAAGCGAAGTGCCATTGTGGCACGATTGTCTAACAACTGGGGATTGTGTATTTGCCCGGGCAAATATGATCTCTACGAGATCAGTCAATCACTTGTCCATTTGATTCTCAAGCGGCCAAAGCTCCATTCCACCCTGACCCTGGAGATGCTGTTGAAGACTGATCTTCTGGAGCTACGTGCTCGTGGTTACAACGTGGAGCGTATTCTCCGGCAAAAGGCCCACGAAGCCCGGATGGCAGAGGATAAACGCCAAAAGCAGTTGGAGGAGGAGAGACGGGCGTTGAAAGAAAAGGAAGCGGCATGGGCCGAGGCTCAAGCGCAACGAGCCCAAGAGGAGCAGCCCGAATCAAATTCACAGACCCCTATGCCTGGTGTCTTCCCCGAGTCACCGAATGCTACATCCTCGGTGGACCAAACACCTGCTGCACCAACTGGGGCTGCTATACCCGAGAGAACTCCTCGTGGCTTATTTGCGAACCTGTCGAAGCGATTCGGCCTGGACAAGAACCAATCTTCTTCGATGCCTGAACAGTCACGCTCCTTGCTCCCGGAGTCTGCTACGCCTCCGCCACCACCACCTTATTCCGCCGAGGATCCCAAAAATAAACGCCCGGAACAGCCGGTAAATGTCAGTTCCCCACACCGGTTGAACCAGGAACTTCTCTCCGCCGTTCAGGCTTGTCGGCCTCACGGATCATCGGATGTGTACAGTCGGCCCGAGACGAACCAAATCTCAGAGAGCAAGTCTTACTGCGATGAGAGACCGAGCCACGATCTGGAGTTTGTTGCTACTCTCCCCAGCGGGGTGAACGTGTTGTTTGTCCGAACCATAACCGATCGATCTACCTTCCTCGCAAACAACCGAACTGGCATTAACCTTTTCGCATCAGTTCTTTTGGACTGCGGTTCCATCTTCTCAATGCGTGCCGACAGCTTGAGTATCTTCTATGATCCCGGTGGCAAGACTATTGCTTTCAACCGGGCGGGCAGCATCTTCTGCAATTACTTCTACTTCCAGCAGTTGCAGGAGCAGGCTCTCCTCCAGAGCGCGACCCCCGACCGTACTGACGCAATTGTCTACTGGTGGGTGATTCTGTGTCACGAATTGGCTCACAATCTTGTGGGTGATCATAGCTCTGCGCATAGCTACTACACCGAGGGCTTTGTGGCTCAATACTTCCCCAGAGTGGCAGCCAAGCTCGCCACCCTTCCACAGCAGCAGCAACAGCCGCAGCCGCAGTAGCTCATGCGCCAATGTTTTCGTTTGTATGTGTTGAATAATTTAGAACTTTAATCTGTTTAGAAATGTTGGATACCCTCTACTTTGTTAGTATCGTCATCTATGAAAAGCTTCTCGTAGATAATCTCCAAGATAAACGGCGTCGCCACCCGAATTGCTCCATCCGTTTTCCGGCGGTACCCGCTTTTTGCCTGCAATCCAACCTTAATTTTTCAATTCCTGTAACCTCAGATCCAATTCCTGCACAATACATTGTTAACTGCATCGACTATTTCCAGCCCATCCATCATAGCCGCAATATACGATGCGGCGCTAGTTCTCCTCGCTACAACCTATCAAACGAGGGGCGCGTTGAAGAAACGCTGACCACTTTGCGCCACTCTCCGAGACCCTCAATTGGGACATGTCTGACTCGGCTTCGTGAAGCGCGAAAAAAAATTAATAGCCGGCGCTTTCCACGCGCACCGTCGGTCTAGGCTCTAAGCTATTCTTATACCGAGCTACCAGTTCCTCGGGCCCTGGGAATTTGTGCATGTTTCATCTTCCAGTGCTTTCCCGGTGACTCAACAGGAACATCCCACGATGGCGCCGCTGTTAGGCAATTGGGATGGAGACGCCACTCCATCATCACATTCATCAAACAAGGATGCCACATCTCTGAAAAGTATCCTCTATGTGGATGCCTACGACTCATTCTCGTACAATGTGGTCGCAATGCTGGAGGAGACGCTCGGCGTCCAAGTCACCGTCATGACAATTGACTCGGACTGGCCGGATGGCAACATGAACGAATTCCTCACGCACTATGAAGCGATCGTGCTAGGACCCGGTCCCGGAGACCCCAATCTGCCCAAAGATGTCGGCATCATGCGCGATATCTGGAATCTGCGGGATGCCGAGCTCCTCCCGGTCTTCGGCATCTGTCTGGGCTTTCAGAGTTTGTGTCTGCATCACGGCGTGCCGATCGAACGTCTACCTTATCCACTGCATGGTCAGGTTCGGCATATTTCAACTACGTCGAAGGATATCTTCGAGGGGCTTTCCGATGTTGAAGTTACGCTGTATCACTCGCTTTATGCCGATTTGGATGCCGTGAGCAGATCGCGGGGTGGGGTGTTGGACGATCTCGAATTCTTGGCATGGCTTCCTCTTGAGCAGGCGTCTGGTGCAGTGACGCAGATTCCAATGGCGGTTTCTCATCGCCAGAAACCGTTCTGGGGTGTTCAATTCCATCCTGAATCCTGCAAGTCGGAAAAAGATGCTTGCAGAACGTTGCTGCTGAATTGGTGGCGCAAGGCTCTTACGTTCAATAAGCTTGTTGGACGGGGGGGTATGCAATTCTCCCAGAGACCATTATCACGCCGCACGAAGATACAAAGAGCTTCCCTGAAGTCGCATATGAAATGTTGAAATGGAGTTCATCGACATCGTCCACTTCGGCATACCGGTCTCTCGATCGGAGCAATTTGACTGCAGAGTCTATTAGCGAGCTGTTCAATAAGCCCGGAGCACCGACGGTTCTGTTCCAATCGAATGGCCGCTACAACATCATTTCAGTTCCTAGTCCTGGCTCATGGCGATTCGAATTCAACGTCGAGACTCAGAAATTGACCATGTACCAACTCAGCGCTGGTCGCAAAACAGTCGAGGATTCTCTTACAGTGACTCAAGTGTGGGATGCTCTTCGATACTTGATGGAAATGAAAAAAGTCAATTCGGGCAGTACCGAAATTCCTTTCTGGGGTGGCTTCTTGGGATACTTTTCCTACGAGCTGGGTCTGGCGTGTCTGCCTCATCCCAAGGGATCTTCCTCGCCGACATACCATAACAACGTTTCATTCAATTCGCCGCCTGGCGGTGCTGAAAATCACCCCGCCGATGTCAGTCTACTATGGTGTGAAAGGAGCATCGTCATCGACAACACCACTGGAAATATTATCGTACAGTCTACCTGCGAATCCGACAACTTGCCATGTGGCTGGCTCGATGAGACATTGCAGCTACTCCAGGAGTCTTCTGGAACCGTTCAAAACATGGAAGCCGTCGATACACAGTTCCTAGACTCCATTCTCAGGGATGGCAAGATCACCTTCCCCGAAGAAGCGACCTATAAACGACAAATCCAGGCTTGCCAAGCAGAACTAGAAGCCGGTGAATCATACGAGCTGTGTCTAACCTCCGAAACATCAATTACACTACCAACCCCCACAACAGCCGACGGCAAAGCCACCTTCCCTTGGAAGTTATACAAGAAACTTAGAAAATACAACCCCGCCGCATTCAGCGCCTTCGCCGACCTAGGCCACGCCAAAATCGTCAGCAGCAGCCCGGAATGTTTCCTCAACTGGGACCGCTCGTCCATGCTAGAAATGAAACCAATGAAAGGCACCGTCCGCAAAACACCAGACATGACCATGGAAAAAGCCCGTGAAATCCTAGGAACAACGAAAGAAATGGCCGAAAACTTGATGATTGCCGATTTAATTCGTCATGATCTGTATGGGATCTGTGGATCTGGCGGTGTTCGCGTTGAAAAGTTACTCGAAGTCGAGGACCATGGCCGGGTTTATCAGATGATTACGCACGTCAAGGGCGAAGTTCGCGCTGAACAGCTCGGGTATGCGGTGCGGCATATGCCTCAGCTCAAGTCCTCGAATATGGCGGTTCACGGCCTCACGGCGCTTCAACGTTGTCTGCCTCCTGGTTCTATGACTGGTGCACCCAAGGAGCGATCATGCTTACATCTTCGTCATATCGAGGCGCGTAAGCGCAGCATTTACTCTGGTGTGATGGGTTATCTCGACCTCGGTGGTGGTGGAAGTTTCTCCGTTCTGATTAGAACCGCTTTTACTCGCTATCCCGATGAGGACGTTGCTAGTAAAAGTCATCAGACTTGGAGGATTGGTGCAGGCGGTGCAGTTACTACACTCAGTACGGCCGAGGGCGAATGGCAAGAGATGTTGACCAAGCTGCGGACCGTGTGCAATGTGTTTACTCCGTCGGAGCCAGCTAGCAAGGGCTAAGGCTTAGCTCGGGAGGTCAATTTCCATGCCTGGCGATTTTGTCAGGGCATTGGATAGTTTTGTTTATTTGCTTTCATCTTCACTGGATCACAGACTGCACGGTGGAATCGTGTCTTCAACATCTGGATCAGTACATTGCGAGTGAAGACTTCATTCAACATATAGCGGTGGGAGGAGTTTTTGTGTATTTAGACCTATATCCATTGCATATAACATTCTTGACTATCTCATCTCGACGGTTTTCTATTATTCTCTCTGCGAAGCTTTCCTTTCAAATACTTCTTGCCGGCTAAGCGGCATTGTAAATCCCTGCGGCTCAAGTTACTCCACAAGTTATCCAAATTCCAGGCAACCGTGAGACTAACCTTTCCTAACTCGGCCAAGTTAAAAGCATCTCAGCCTCAAACACCCAAATCATGTCCATTGAATTCCACTGTTCCAGGCTACAGCGGGGCTAGTAGTGTCTAAGCACCGAAATACCCGCCAGAAAAGAGAAAACAGTCTAGCGGGGTTCTTCTTTTCTCTGCGAAGCAGATATATAACTTGATCTCTTCCCCTCCTAGGACTCTCTCATCATCGTCTGCTCTACATACTCTGTACTACCCAACATCCTCAAAATGGAATCGTTACCAAATCGACGAATCCTCCGCCCACGCCCTCCACCAAAAGGGTCTAATAACAATAAACCTGCTTCATCCCAAAACCACCCCGATCTCACCCCCTCACTCCCCGCAATCAACCAAACCTCCTGCTTCCTCTTCACCGTCTTCCCACCCGAAATCCGCAACCGGATTTACACCTTCTCCCTCGAATCCGAAGATACCAGCACCACAAACGAAGACACGACCAACAGCTCTACTCCAAACACCCATCTCTACCGCCAAAACGCCTTCTACTACCGACCAGGCTACAAACAACCAAAACGCATCCAAACCGCCCTCCTCCAAACATGCCAACAAATCTACGAAGAAGCCTCCCTCCTCCCCGCCTCCATAAACGAACACACATTCTGGTTCTACCGCGCACCCCCACACGTCAAAGACGCTTCCTCGCCGCTGGACTATTTCCAAAAAATGACCGCCAAACAACGCGCCCAGGTCCGACACATCCACCTCTTCACGCAACAGTACTTCCTGGAGGATAACTGGTGGACGCGGATTTGGGCGGGGACGTTGACGAATACGGGACACCGGGGCAGCGAACGGGCACCTGCGTACCCTATCGCTCCTAAAAAGCTGACGATCACGTTCCGGCATACGGATTGGTGGTTTTGGGAGAATAATGATCCTTTGGGTATTGATCCGTTCAGATCGGGGCGTACGCGCGCGCATGAAATGGGGAGACCGATGCGCGGTGTCGATGAACATGAGGTTAACCGGGCGTGGGGGAATCAGTTTATCGCTATGCCTGGGTTGGAGGAATTGGTGATTGAATTTGAAACTATTATGCGGAAGAGGGATCAGCTCGATGCTATTATCCAACGAGCGCTATCGTGGAAATTCCCGGTTCAATTGGAGAAACGTTTGTATCTTGTTGCGGAACCCACGTCGCGGAGTGCGTATACTTGGGTTGGTGCTAAGGAGGGGGATTTGAAAAGACAGCCTGGGAGAATGACGATTCCTAATCCTCATGCTATTCCGGAGGAGGAGGAGGTTGTTGTTCCGGCTGTGCCGGTTTTGAGGCCTTTTGATGCTGAAGCTGCTGGTGTTAGTAACGGTGTTGGTACGACATCTGGTAGTCAGGCTGGGGCTGATTCTAACACGGAGGAGTTTTATGTGGTCTTTTTGACTTGGAAAAGGCAAGTGGTTGACCAGTGATTTGGTTTCTTATAGCAATGATCTATACGAATGGAAGGAATCATCAATGGATTGAAATGATCCGATCCTAAACTAGTACTCCCGTCTGTACACCTCGTCTGAATATAGTAAATACTCGTTTAGACCCTACTGTCCTAAATGAACATCACCCATATCAATGCATAACACTCAACATACAATGCAATTGAACTATACGCTTTTATATACTGTACAGGCTCAAGGGTCCAAAAAATCTCGCTAAACATCTCCGCGCCGGGCATCTATATAAACCAAAGCTCGGGTATCACGTCAAAAAACGCCAAACTTATTCTTTTTCACCGGCAGAACGAACCACATTCAGGGGTTCTTCTTTCTCCGGATTTACGCCTCAATCGCGTTCTTGACCCACTTCTCAAGACCGCCCTTGGCAATAATCTCCTGCACGTTGGGAGGAAGCTCGCCGACCTTGTGAGTCCACTTGGCACCGTCGGGGCCCTCCTGGACCTCGATCTGGCTACGGCGAACGTCCCAGGTCAGAGTCCAGCCAGTACGGCGGGTAAGAGCCTTGCCGTCGCCCTCGGCGAAGGTCTCACGGAGACGGGAAATCAGACGGGGCACTTCCAGACCCATCAGCGCGTTGTTGATACTGTTGCGGGAGAAAATGTTGCCGAAGCTGCCTGCGACGACGAGAGGGATCTCCTTGGCAAGGATGGCGGTAGCGGCCTGCTCACGAGAGGAACCGCAGCCGAAGTTGTAGCCGGTGACCAGGATATCACCAGCCTTGGCAATGGTCGAGAACTTGGTGTCGTAGTTCTCCATGCAGACCTGGGCCATGGTCTCGACAGGGACGTTGTCCTGGTAGGTGTACTTGCCGGGGTAGATACCATCGGTGTTGATGTTGTCTCCGTCGCAGAAGACAATCTCTCCGGACACGCGCTCGGGGAAACCGGGGTACACATCGGTCAGAGAGTCCTCGGAAGAGGTCTCCTCAACCTTGGCCTCGGTGGGCTCGGGAGCAAACTTCTTCTCACCATCAGCCACCAGATCGTCAAGCTGGCCGAGAAGCTTCTCAAGAGCCTCCTCGGTGGTAAGCATACGATCCTCCTCAGCAATACCATCACCCTCGCCGCGCTTCACGCCAGTCCAGCCCTCGGGGGTCTGGTACCAGCCAGGACCGGAGAGCTTTCCGCTAAGAGCGCTGGCAGCCACGACTTCGGGAGAGCCCAGGTAGGCCTTGGCATCGGTGGAACCCATGCGACCCTTGAAGTTACGGTTGGAGGCACTGATACCGACCTCACCGGGCTCGAGGAGACCAGCGCCGAGACCAATGCAGGGACCGCAGCCGGCGGGGAGAACGGTAGCACCAGCATCAATCAGAACCTGCCAGTCACCAGCACCCTCGGCAGCAAGCTGCTCGGGGATAGAAGCAGCAGCGATGTAGAACTGAACACCGTCGGCAATCTTGGGGATCTGACCACCGTTCTTCTCGGCAGCCTCCTTGAACACACGGGCGGCAGCAGCAATATCAGAGGCACGCGAGTTAGTGCAAGAAACAAGGTAGGCCTTGTTAACCTTGATATCGGCAGCCTCAAGCTCGCTCAGAGGAGTAGCAACCTTGACCGAGTTAGGGCCGGCGACGTAGGGAGACAGAGATGAGAGGTCCAGGAAGAGCTCCTTGGCGTACTTGGCACCCTTGTCGGCGGTCAGAGGGTTAGCGAAGAGCTCCTCGATAGCCTCGTGGGTGAAGCGTTGAGCAGCAGTGGTCTTGAAGGGGCCATCGGCCAGACCCATGGCGGCGGTAGTAGCCTTGCCCTTCATCCAACCCTTGAGGACGTCATCCATGGGGAAAAGACCAGAGAGGGCACCCCATTCGGTAGTCATGTTGGCAATGGTCATACGGCTATCAATAGGCAGGCTGCGCATCGTCTCCTCGGAACCAGCAAACTCGAGAGCGTGGTTCAGAACGTCGTCCTTGTCGAAGAGACCGCAGAGAGCAACGATAACGTCCTTGCCAGTGACACCGGCGGGGAGAACGCCAGTGAGGGTGATCTTGGCGATGGCAGGCACTTGCCACCAGGTCTGGCCAGTGCTCCAGACACTCGCGGCATCTGTTCGGACAATAGGTGTTCCCTAAGCAGTCAGTATTTGGAGTAAGAGCAGAAAGAATGGGGTATTTACCAAGCAAGCAAGCGCACCGTAGTGGTTGCTGTGGGAATCCGAGGCAACGCAAAGAGTTCCGGGCCAAGCCAATCCCTCTTCAGCCATAATCTGGTGACCAATACCACGTCTAACAATGTAGAGTTAGCAATTGAAAACTACAAACCCCAGATATAGATAGTGTAGCATACCCAGCAGGATAGAACTCGACACCGTGAAGCTTCGCAAAGTCCTCAATCTGCTGATACTTCTGGAGGTTCTTCTCGGTCTTGTTCTGCACATCGTGGTCGAGGGTCATAACAATCTGATCGGGGTTGTGAATCTTGGAAGCGCCAATGGACATGAACTTCAGAGCAACGGGCCATGAGTTGTCGTGGGTCATGCAGCGGTGGGGAGAGATGGTGACATAGTCGCCGGACTGGACAAACTTGTCCTTGGCAAGACCGACGGAGTACTTCTGCACAATCTTTTCAGTCAAGGTCTGGGGCACAGCCTTGGATGCCAGAGACGACAGAATCTCCGGAGTAGCAGTCTCAAGCTGGGAATGGAAGCCCTGCTGGGAATTGAAGGTCTGGAGAAACACGCGGGAGGTCGCAAAGGTTCGGCGCAATGATCGGAAGGGGCTGCGCATGGCCTGGCGGCCCGAAGGCATTAATCGGGACTGCATGAGAGGGGAGATTAGTATGAGTACCAGCTTGAGGTTCAGGCTAGAGTAATTGAGCACTTACAGTCATGATGCCCTTGTGTATAGTCTTGAAGACAAGAAAGACAAGAAAATGAATCCCCGGCTTTCGGCAAATGAGCGACCGGGGATTTAGAGAGGTGACTCATCTGCATTCTGGTTGGCTGCTAATGCCAAGACCAGGAGGCAAACAGGACAAACATCGCACATCACATGACACGTGACTCTATATATTCTGCCGATGTCGGATTGATGTTCACCTTGTCTACCTTCTTTGCTAGTCTCGCTTCTATGGAGTATTCAAAAGCCAATTCATTTGTGTTAGCAGATCAAAAGAACAGAGATATCATATCTATATATCAATTGCTTGATGCTATAGTATTTTACCGGTGGAGATATGACGTAGGCATAGCTCGTCCCAGGTGGACACCGAAGCTACTTCGCATGGTAGCAGAGCTGATTTGAGACTTGATGAGCTATTTACTCTTATAATTGTTCTAGCTGAAGTTCCATAATGCTAAATTTCAATACTGTTTAGTTTCATTGTAGCACGTGCTCATATTCACCAGCTTATAGTAAAGACAAATACACGAGTCTTATCCTATACAGTTTGATGATCGAATGTACTAATAAGATTGGATAGTCCTAATATAGCCTGACTCTTATATTCGATTTGTGTTACCCCTCAATATGTACCCCGGATTCTTCTCGATGGTGAATTACAGTATGCAATGATGAATGTATAGTATACTGTAGTACATATCTTGATCGATAGCGTAGATCAGCCCCACTTCTCTAATCAGGAAGAAAAAAAAGTGAAGACACGAACACAGCTCTATATACAGAAAACTGAAGCCGGAATTGGATAATGTCTTAACTAGGACAATCAATATACGTGTGTTGTCAATTTTCCAGCAATGAAATCAACCTCGAGACCTCCGCAATCGCATCTGCAGCTTGGAACTCTCCCCGCGCACTTGACTCAATACCCCGCCATAGCCGCCAGAATTAGCTGCAACGCACCGCATTATTGGCCCTCAAAAAAGGACAATTCGGTGAATCCTCTCGTAGACATCAAATCTAAAGCATCTAATTTGACGTAGAGCTAAATTGACTAAATACGATGACTCCCAAGATTGATAGATCCACTTGCGGCGCGATCCACCTATGACTCTTTTTCCTTCCCCCACTGCCTTCCCTTCTTCTCTTCTTTCGATACTCAAGATACCCTCTTCCTTACCAACCCACTCCCATCCAACATACACAAAAATGCCCTCCCGGCAAGAAGTCTCCTACTTTGGAGCTGGTCCAGCTCCCCTCCCGACTCCCGTCGTCGAGGCCGCCGGCCAGGCCTCCGTCAACTTCAACGACTCCGGTCTCGGACTCGGCGAGATCTCGCACCGCTCCCCCACCGCGAACAAGATTCTCGATGACGCCAAGGCAAACCTGTCCGCCCTCCTCGATATCCCAGATAACTATGAGATCCTGTTCATGCAGGCCGGTGGTAGCGGTGAGTTTAGCGCCGTCGTCCAGAACCTTGTCCCCGTCTGGATTGAGCGCCGTCGCCGTCGCGCTGAGGCCGATGTGGTCAAGGCCAACCCGGATGCCGAGAAGGCTCAGGTCGATGAATTGGTCTTCCAGAGACTGCAGAAGGAAGTCGATGAGGAGCTGAAGCTTGATTACCTCGTGACGGGATCCTGGTCGCTCAAGGCTTCGCAGGAGGCTGCTCGATTGGTCGGCTCTAAATATGTCAATGTTGCTTTGGATGCTCGCAAGGCCAATGGTGGCAAGTTTGGCACTATTCCTGCTGAGGATACTTGGTCGTTGACCCCGACCAAGCGTGAGGGTGGCAAGGGCTCTGCGTTTGTCTACTTCTGCGACAATGAGACTGTCGATGGTGTCGAATTCCAGAACTTCCCCAAGGTTCTTGAGGCTCAGGGCCAGGATGCCGAGGATGAGCGCCTTGTTGTGGCCGATATGAGCTCCAACTTCATCAGCCGTAAGGTTGATGTCAGCAAATATGCTGTTATCTTCGTACGTTATTATCCAGAACTGTAATTGAGCATCTCAGAACTAACATGCACTATCTATAGGGCGGCGCCCAGAAGAACATCGGTGTCACCGGTATTACTATCGCCATTGTCCGCAAGGACCTCCTCCCTCCTCAGACTGCCACTCCTCCCGCTGCTCTGCTGCACCGGTTGAACATTGGTGGTCTGCCCGGCCCCGTCGTGCTCGACTATGCCACCATCGCCAAGAACAACTCTCTCTACAACACTCTCCCCATCTTCAACCTCTGGGTTGCCGGCAAGGTCATGGCCGACCTGATGGGCGTCTTCGGTGCTCAAAAGGTCAGCGGTCAGGAGCAAATCGCCGACCAAAAGGCCGGCCTCATCTACGGTGCTCTGGACAAGTACCCCCAAGTGTACCGGGTTGTTCCCGATAAGAGCGTTCGCAGCCGCATGAACATTTGCTTCCGTGTCTGTGGTGGTGACGATGCCAAGGAGAAGGAGTTCATTGCCGGTGCTGAGAAGCGCCTTCTTCAGGGTCTCAAGGGCCACCGCAGCGTCGGTGGTATGCGTGCTAGCAACTACAACGCCGTCCCTCTGGAGAACGTCCAGAAGCTGGTGCAGTATCTCGAGGACTTTGCTTCGACCCAGTAAGATGCCCTGGAGGCAGAACAGGCGTTGAGCATGGTCTAGCGAAAACAAACATTCAACCTGGAGCTATTTCTTATTTGGTTTATTGAACTTGAGTGGGCATTGGTATTGAGAATGCGGACGACAAAAGCCGGTCCGGGACTGTTGCAACTATTCAACATAACTCCATGGTATATGCTATATATGCTACCAAAAAATAATATGATACAAATGACTTCAAAAGGGAACACAAAGGAATTCCTCACAGCTTCCATACAGCCCAACCTTTAGGATCCAACTCCTTGATGATTCCCTTCAAAGGACCCTGGAGCTCGGTACCTTGAGCCCACACTTTAGGCCCAGCCATGTAACTGATGAAGCCCTCGGGGCCAGACACTAGAATCAGCTTTCGCGTCTCCTGGTCCTCAACCTCCTTTGTAGGCTTGATAAACTCGGCCAGATCATTCTTTCCAATGAAGCGATTCTCTTCATCCAGATAATAATCCACCGTAATCTGCCCGGGATACTGCGACTTGAGCGCTTCCAATTCGCGCACAATCAGCGACTGTTCCTGATCCTGAGAGACCGGACCGACCGTCTCGCTTTGAGAGACACTGGCACTGCTGGACGAACCAAACCAGCCCGAGAACCACGATCGACTTGACGACGCTGCCGGGGCTTTCGGTGTATCACTCACACCGCCGACACAATCAGCCCTCAATCGACTCGCCCAGATAATATGTATCCTAGGACGATTCTCCTTACTCGTCCGATTCAAAAGCGAATACCCAGCCTGCAACGCCGGCGCAATCCCCGTCCCACCAGCAACAAACAAAATCTCCCTCGTCTCCTCAGGAATCGAACACTCTATTTGCGGCCCTCGCATCTCAATATCCGCCCCAGGTTCCAGCGTATGCAAGTACCTCGAAACCTCCCCAAACGGATCCTTCCGAATAAAGAACCGCAAGTATCCCTCATTCTCCTCGTCAACGGACAACGACGTCGCCGCCGTCGTGGGCAGCGGCGTATAGTCGCGGCCAATTTGGAGCTGTGGCTGCTTGAACATTACGCTCCATACTCCTGTGCGCCAGGCTTCTTCGTAGACGTCGTAGTTGCCATCGCTGTGGTATCGGGGTCGGAGGGTGAATAGGCTGCTCGTTGGGGAGACGGGGTCCCGGGAGACGAGGCTGTATTTTGTGAAGGTTTCTTGGTTCAGGGTTGCTGAGTTTGGTGTTTGGGATCGGATGTAGGCGCCTGCGCCGGCGGCGGCGATGCTCACGAGGGTAATTGCCAGCCAGCGAGTTTTTGGAGACGTGGTTGGGGTTGTCGCCGAGGCCGAGGTTGAGGTTGAGGAGGAGGATGATGAGCTCGAGGTCGAGACATACCGGCGAGATCGAGTAGCTGTCGACCGCAAGGTAGCGCTGCTGCATCGGCAGCGCAAGGAGGATACGGAGGATTTCATGTGTACAGACGAGAGAGAAAGACTATGAAGATCGCATAGTTGAGAAGTTGAACCGCGGGGAAATTGGGTTGCGCGCAGACGGAAAGCCGATTGGGTGAGCGATTGGAATTAAACTGCACTTGGACCCCCCTTGGCACTGGCTCTCCCTCGATTTACTACTACCCACCGAGAAACCCTTTTTCTCCTACATCTCCTTTGTTTCTTGATCGCCCTGGGTTCTTACTGGTGGTTTGCAAGGAAATGGAGAGTCTGGTCGGCTTCTCTTGATTTCAACACTCTCCTCTTGTCCATCTAACCTCCTCCTCGAGAGAGAGCTCCTCTTTGTATCGCACGACCCCCCGGATACAGCAACCACACCAACACCAGACAAAGGGAGAATGTCGAATAGCGCATTCCCCCACGAATCCCGGAATGGCAATCTCGCCGCCCCAAGAGACTCGCTAGAACTCGCCTCACTCGCCTCCTCCTCCCCCGTCTCCGTTGGAGGTTCCTCACGCTCCTCATCCCCCGACGGAATCTCCTCCTCGCGCAAGCTCTCCCTCGAAGATGAAGATCCCCTCGCCGGCGAAGAAGGGGACGTCTACCTAGAAACAGGCCGTCAACGCACTCTCCGCTCATACTCGATCTCCTCCGCCTTCGACTTTGGCCGGAACCTGTTCCCATTGTCGCAAACGCAGACCGGATATGCTCCGCTAGGAACGCCGTCAGCGCTGGGCAGGCAAGGAACCGATGGCTCGTTGGAACGGAATAAGACGTTGACGTACTTGAATGGATTGTCGCTGATCGTGGGGTTGATTATTGGATCCGGTATCTTTTCGTCGCCGAGCCAGGTCAATGCGAACGCGGGGTCACCAGGTGCGGCGCTCATCGTTTGGGCGGTGGCGGGCTTGTTGGCGTGGACGGGCGCTGCGAGCTATGCGGAGCTGGGAGGTGCTATTCCTCTGAATGGAGGTGCGCAGGTTTATCTTTCCAAGATCTTTGGAGAGCTACCGGGTTTCCTCTTCACGTGGTGTGCGGTGCTAGTCTTGAAACCGGGTTCTGCGGCGATTATCTCGATTATCTTTGGCGAGTATATCGTGCGTGCATTTGTCGGGGCCGATGTGGAACAGGTCAATCCCTGGATCAACAAGGGTGTTGCACTGGGAGGTCTGTTGGCAGTTACTCTGTTTAACTGCATCTCCACTAAGATCGCTACTCGGATTGGTGATCTATTCATGTTTTTCAAGTTTGTCGCCCTGCTTGGTGTTACTATTACCGGTATCGTGGTTGCCGTGACTGGCCTTTCGTCCAAGGGGAGTGCCAGTCAGGAATGGAAAACCCACGGCTGGTTCGAGGGTACGAATACTGAGATATCGGATTTCGCCGTGGCGTTGTACGCAGGGCTCTGGGCCTTTGATGGTTGGGACAACGTAAGCAGAGATCCGAATACCGGGAATATTTCTCGAAATGTTCATGCTAATGCTTCTCAGACAAACTATGTCACTGGCGAATTCAAGAATCCCAATCGGGATCTACCACGAGTGATTCATACGGCCATGCCGCTGGTCATTCTGTGTTATCTGATGGCCAACGTCTCCTACTTCCTGGTCCTCCCCCACGAAACAATCGAAGCAAGCAACACCATTGCCGTCCAATTTGGTGGCAAAGTATTTGGCCCCGTAGGCGCTCTGATTCTCGCCCTCGTCGTGGGAGCCAGCTGCTTCGGAGCTTTGAACGCAACCACCTTCACCAGTGGCCGCCTCGTCTACGCCTCCGCCAAAGAAGGCTACCTCCCATCACTCTTCGGCCGCATCGGTCTGGGCAACTCTTCATCCCCCGCTCCCCCAGCCGCAAGCCGTCTTCGCCGCCGGTCATGGGCAAGCAGATCCCTCTCACGAGTCTTCGGCGACGAATCCCGCCTCGGATTCACCCCCATCAACGCCATTGTATTCAACGCCGCCCTGACAACGGTCTACATCGCTGTAGGCGAGTTCAGCACGCTAGTAACCTTCTACGGCGTCGCAGGCTACACATTCTACTTCGTCACCGTGCTAGGCCTAATCGTCCTACGCATTCGCGAACCACACCTCGAACGACCCTACCGCACGTGGATCACCACGCCGATTATTTTCTGCTGCGTTAGTCTCTTCCTTCTCAGCCGCGCGGTGATCGCCGAACCCCTTCAGACCCTCATCGTGGTGGGCTTTATCATCACGGGTATCCCGGTGTACTACTGGCGTATCTACCAGCGTGATGGGTCTACGGGTATCTCAGGCTGGAAGTCTTGGAAGTGGCGCTCGCGTTAGAGCTGCGATGAAAAGATTGGATTATTTAATCCGTATATCTCCGCATAGTTGGTTCCTGTTTTTATGATTTGATACCCATGCATATACAAACCCGGGTGTGAGGAAAACGGGATGCGCCTTCTTATCTGTCTTTCCGTTTACCTCTTTTCGTGTCACGCACTGAGTGTGATTGGGATGACTTCTTGTTTTTCTGAAGCCTGCGATTGGCGTACGAAATGATGACGGTGGGCTTTGGGCCTGTGCATTTTCTTCTTTTTCGAACTTTGAACTTCGGACTTTGTCTTATTACCTTTATGCACTTGATGATATTGCGAGTGTTTTAGATAGATTTGAATAATCATAATATTATATCTTACACGGGAATATTCTTGATTGAGAAGATTAGACACGAGAAACAAGGGCAGTTGGATATTATGAGCCCGCAGGACAAGGCTGGTAGCTAATATAGGTACAACGTCAGGCTATTACCCCCATTAGCCGCCACCTGCCCAAACAATTAGACAGAAAGTGTCTCAATGTTTAGTCAAGCCGCATAAGCTCGTTCAAGGCTCAAAATAACGCCTGACTGCGCCCACTTCCTTCCATTGCCGCGGTCCCTACGCTTATTCGAGGGTCTGGCAAAATACGGAGAATGCAGCATTCGGTTGCGGGACATCGACCTCGGTATCCTTGATTTCCTGGTTCAGGTCCTGGCACTCGGGGTCAAAGTAAATGCTGCATGAGTATCCCAACTCAAGTCGAATGGAACGCACGTTCGTGTCCATTCCACTTCCATCGATGGGAAAACATAGGCCTATTTGACCAATTTGCTAGGACCCTCCTTCAAAACCAGGTTAGTCGTAAATAGTAGCCTGTGTGAATGAAATACGTTAGACGTCTAACACTCTCCTTGTTTGCGAGATGCGGAGTAACGTACGACTGGAGGATCCTGAGCGGCCACGACAGCTGCAAATGCAACGAGGAGGAGTTGAGAGAGTTGCATGGTTGCTGAGTGTGAGGTTTTTGTCTGTCCTATGTGTAGGTTGAGTATGATGGATCCTGTGGATTCGCGTTAGAAATTGGTTGAAAATGGCCGGTTTTGAATTACCAACGTTTCTCGGAGATGATAGCTGAAGGGATGTGTACAATTTGATGGATATCAATTGAGAGTAGTAACACAATGGTGTTTAATCCTTATAGATGGCAGGGGGAAACTCGCGAATTTATATCTTCTTGACCACGACTACGGAAACTCTTCAGTAGTAGCTTTGCCGATAAAATTGTTCGAGCCTTTTAGCGCACCTGTATCTGAGTTACCAGATCAATTTTACCCCTCTATAATTCATAGGAAACACGTAATTAGATATCAGATTACGAAAATATCAATTATGTAGCGCTAATGCACTATGGGCGATCTACAGCCAGAGTTTAAAACCTAGTAGATATAGCTTTATACTGTGCATCTAATAAAAATAAAATAAGATGACTCTACCTCCGAATTAGACTAATGAATGTCTCACATTGAGACTTTCATCTCAGCTGCTCCTTCACCGCTATAGGCGGTATCACTGTTTACCAGACGGATAGCTACATTTTGCTTGACGATCTCTCGTATTCTATGCAGATCAGGGTTCTTGCTCTGTTGTCTAGCTAAAACTAAGCCAGTATCCACAATTTATTGATCTACATATACTCCATGTACACGTACACAACACAGGTCAGAACACAATTTCTAGTCAAGATCCTACTGTATTGACTATCCTACTATCCCATGAAATACAGTGGCTCTCTAAAGGACTTTTCGAGCCTGAGACGATTGAGCTTGAATATCGATATGTTGTTATATCTTGCTGGGGGCGTAGGAGTTGGATACGCCGTGGGAAAGAGTAAGATCTCGCTTGTTGAGAGTCTTCCGGCTAGTCTTGAATATCTGTGTATTCGGGATTACAAGAAGGGGAAGAACGCACGGCATGATGAGGAGATGGATGCACTCAAGGAGGCGTTTGAGTCTGGATCTCTTCGTTTGAAGACCGTGAAGGGTTTTGAGATAATTTCTAGCGCGACGAGTGTGGGTCTACCGAGTGATACTATGTACCAGCTGAGTGAAGTCTTTTGGGGTTTGAGTGATGCTGAATATGAAACGGATGATGAATATGAAACGGATGATGCTAGTGAAGAGAGAGAGCTAGAAGAACGGAACAGAGATTTGTGAGAAAATAGGGACTGAGCTATAGATTTGAAAACAAGTATGGAGCATAATCAAACCCACTCTCGTCCCCTTAGATAAGGCGCCTTGTCTAATGGAGTCAACCTGTAGCTATGATAAAAGAAATCTAACTCTAAATCTACCTATTGATTTAGCCCGACAGAGGCTTCACAGCCACACATCTCAGGCTATAATAAGTAATCCACTGACTCCCATCTTCCTTCGTGGTACCATGTCGCAGCATACGACACATCTGCGTCAAGACACTCTTCTTCTGCTCTTCCGTCTCGAGAGCATCCAACCACGGCTCGCCAAGAAGCCGCATAAAGCCTTCAAGCCCACCATTAATCTCAGCATTCATCTTCAGAGGCTGAGGCTTCAGATCTATCAACTTGACCTGGAAGCCGATGTCTTCTAGCAACCCCTTCATGTAGTCATCAGAAGGATGGAACCAGGGGATCATCGCTTCTACCTTTTCGACAGGAATCCCATGGTTGACAAGCGCGAAAATGTACGACGTGACCATTTCAGGTGCATTTCCGAATCCACACATCTCGAAGAAAAACGTTCCGCCTGGTTTCAGGGAGCGGTACACTGTCTCCAGTGTAGAGACACGGGTGGTTGGATCTCTCAGAACCCAGTGCAGCGCAGCATTAGAGGCCCTATACATATGTTAGTGGGTATTCAGCAGCAGAAGAATAAAAAGCTTACACTTTATCCCAGTTACCATTCACAACATCAGCCTCCTTATTGAGGTACCGGCAATCGACAACTCGGAAGTCCGTGACTGCTCCGCCGTAGTTCTGCGTTTTCGCGGCTTCTATCATCGCCGGAGAAGAATCAACTCCCATCACATATTTCACTGCGGGAGAAAAAGAGGTGGTGAATTTTCCATCACCACATCCGATATCCAAAACTCGATCGGTAGGTTTAAAGTCTATGCTCTGGACTAGGGTGTCTGCGAAATGCGGCACAAAAGAAGCAACTGCTTCGTAGGTCTATATAACGGTCAGCGTGTAGATAACGACATTGGAAGATAACGAACCTCGGTGGACCAAAAGTCCTTCTGACGAGTCTCCACTTCAGTCATACTGCGAGGAGAATATACTTCTAAGGGTAAAATTGAATTCAAAGTGTATGGATACCAGAAATAACCACAGAAGAGGAAGGCATGATTTGTTTAAATAATGATTGTAGTCGGAAGAGCACCTGTCATTACTGATATCGATTTACTCGATGTGGTGTTTGTTGTAGCTCGTGGTAACTATGCTAATTCAGCTGAGCAACTGGATGAGGAAAGTAAGCAAGCCGCTGTGGTCAGGTTTCATTGTCGCATGGTAGTCAACACGAATTGGGGTACTAGGCTGACGAGGGTTTGAACCACGGAGAAATCAGCCAGCCATAGAATCACATTTGAGCCACTTGCTTCTGTATTTACCGTTTAGGAGGCGCGTTGAATATAGTTATTTCTTTCCGAACTAGAATAGGAAGGTGTAAGATCTTGGCGACTAGCACGTGAGATGGCGATATAGGCGCAGCGTGTCAGAAGAACGTTCGTACAATCTGAACATCTGATAGAAGAGATAACGTAATTAAGCACCTAGCCCAGAGGCACCAAAAGACTTGAACAGAACTCAAAAAGAGTTCAATGGAATTCAAAAATTCCTGATTACGGTAATCTTGGGTCCCGTTTAGGTGCCGCAGCTCACGGGGACCTAAAACATCTAGATTCTATGTTCTCAATAGGGTAGTAAGAGACCTAGACTATATCTTACTAAAAAGATAGTAGTGCATATCTTAATCCTTCCCGCTTGGCAGGCTTATAGGGTATTAACTCCAAGGATAGAGTAAAGGACACTAGTTACGAGTCTAGTTAGAAATATAACCTGAATAATACATAAACATCATGCCCACATTATGCCCCATAAACTATATTCTAACCTCAATGCTTAATTATGTTAATGCACACCCAAAATCAACCTCCCAAAAACCCCACTCTAATCCATCGTCCCCATTTCACCTCCTACCTCACACTTCCCCCGCAACCACCTCAAATACGCCCACACCCTCCCGCATCAGCCGAAGCTCTGCCGAGTCCGTCGCCGTAATCACCGGCATGGGCGTGAGGATAAACGACGTCCAGTCGTCATTATGATCTTCACCACTTCTCTTCTCGTCCCTGTCATAAGCTGCTGCTGCTGCGGCCGCGGCGGCCGCGGCTGTGAAGCACACCCAGACGTATGCCTCCGGCGCGTGCTGCAACCATGAGACGAAGTCGATTTTCGGCAGTGTGGCTTTTAAGAGTGAGATGTCGTCGTGTAGGAGGTGGGGTCTTGTGGTAGAAGATGTGGGTATCGTTGCTGTTATTATTGGTTTTATTGGTGATGTCGTTGTTATAGGTTTTAACGTTGCTATTGGTGTTATCGTTCTTATTGGCATTATCGTTGTTGTTGTTGTTCTACTTGTCCTTGTTGGTGGTGATGTGCTCGGTCCAGCCCGTACAGCGCGCAGGAGGAGGTGCTTGCGGCAGATTTTCGCGGCCAGCTGAACGCATTTATTCATGTGTTGTGCCATTGGGCTTTGGTTCTCGAACGAAGGGTATAAAGATGCGCGCCGTAGAGCTTCGGCGCCGAGAGTTAGTATCGTTGGTGTTGTTGTTGTTGCTGCTGCTGCTGCTGTTTTTTCGGCGAGCGATTCGTAGAGAGGGGTATTAGCGTCTTGTTGGGTCACCACGTGTGCTACGCCAATGAGGTCGAGTACGGTGTCTGGGGTAAACACTGGCGATGTAAGGATATCATCATGGGCTGCAGCGCGCGCGAGCACTCGACTGAGAAGACTCGAGGGGGAGATCCCCGACAGAGGATTGACGGGATGAACACCTTTGTCGCTTGATATCGAGGAGTGGGGAAGGGAGAGAGCATCAGTATGTGAGACCATTGCGCGGGTAAAGTGTGTCCTATTCAGGGTCAGTGGGTTTCGAACCAGGTTTCGATATACATGCTTTGCTTACATGTTAGCCAGGCCCAGCAAGGCCTCAGTGTCCGGTCCTTGGTCGTGCTTGGTGGTCAGCATCTGAATGAGGCCCTGATTGTGTGCCTGGACGCCGTCGACATTTCCAATGACGATCTGTTGTATCAAATTAACTATATATAACCAGACAAATATTGTAGGGAAAGAGAGCATACATCGAAGTAGCCTAACCCCAAGACTGCGCCTATCGTTTCGTAATTGACCCGAAAATGCGGTTGTGTTAGTCTCTCACGAAGCAGTTTGACTGCTTGGAGCTGGTGGTAGATTGTACGTGGGTTATCCGCGATGCCGAATAGTCCATCCAGGTGTGCCGACGCGGCGAAGAGGGTCGAGTGGAAGAGGCACGGGTCGTGCATAGCACTAAGCATCCAGGTTGACTGTACATGTCTCGCAAGGCTCTTCGGCAGAGCCGTCGTAGCTGGTATTATAAGGACCGAACAAACTATATACCGGCGATTAGGTTGGCATTCTAAAGATCGGGGAAGAGGAGAGTCCAACAATGATGCAGTAAGCCCGGAATGTGATTTGAATCTCGTACGGGGTAGTCTGTGCAAATTTCCGGCCCATAGATGGTCCGTAGATGTATCTTGGCCCTCGAAACCTCGGTGGATATTTGGTCTAATGCTAAATCGGATAAGAGTTCGGTTTGCCACGAATTTGATACGAGACGGCTGGAAGACTTACCAGGCGACGTCTCCGTACGCCTGTTCACCGGGAAAGCGTTATAGACACATGTTTTAGACTGTCTGTGGTAGATATATTAGCATTACCCGATCAAGAAAAGAAATCAAAGCCTCTTCGTATTCGAGGATGTGATGATTAGATGATAATTAGAAGCGGGTCTCAGCCTTACAATTCACAGCGTGTGCATGAAGGCAAAACCCGATCGCAGGCTCGTTTCTGACTCCGACATTGTCCACAAGCCAACTTGGACTTGGTCGGCGGTCGCACTACAATTGGCCTACCAGGACGACAAACTTATTAGCTGATGTTTGAGCCAAAGCGAGTGACACCTCAAAGGGCAGGCCTTGTCGGACGCTAGCGGAGAGGAGGACGAGGCTCACGCTTCTGGGCCAATGGGCTGCGGCAAATTTTTGTACCGACAGAGTTCATTCGTCCGGATACTAAGGAAATGTCAACGAACTGTGAGATTTATTCTCGAAGGGGATAAGCGGACCTGCTGCAGCGCGAGCACACAGGTAGAAGACGATCACATTTGCGCTTCTTCTGGGCGCAGGGGATACACGCGGCTACTGCGTACTGCATCCCTTCTGTCAAGCGCGAGGAGAGAGTTTATTTTTTTTTTGCCCCGAAAGGAGTTCCAGCCACAATCTACGGGAGTGATGGGAACAGCCTCAAGTGGAAAGAGGTGCGGATGCGCGGTCGGGGATCAAAAATAGCTGGTTCGTCGAGTAGGTGGAGTTTCGGCCTCGCCGAGAGCAAGTCAAGGGAATTGTGACCCCTGTGGAGAACTCCGCAGGGATCAGGATTTCCAAGGAATAACAAACTCTTGCCGCCAGCGTTGTTCCTGCAGAGTACTGTAGTAGAATGTGGATGGAGATTTGACTCTCAGAGCTGAGGAGGTGCCCACGAAGAGTTCGGGGATCAATTCTGGCAGATTGAGGCTTAGCGCTCCTCGCTTATCCTCAACGGCTTGAAAAAGCAGCTTAACTTCCCCGAGAAACCCGTTCAAGTCCCCGATTTCCAGTTTTCCAGTAGTCGCTCCCATCGCCTCAACTTGATAGGGTTTCTACAGACCCAGGGAAGCCGACCGTTTCCTTGGTGAACACTGTAAAAGTACTATGATCCTCTTAAAGTTGAATTAGATTATCCAACTGCCATATTGGGTATATGTAAGAACAAGTGGGGCGAGTCTAACTCTAGTCGGTAGCCCTGGCATGAACCTCGATTAATAATAGTGACGAACAAACCTAAAGAGCTAGATATTTCCAGCAGTTGGCCACTGATTTATTTACATGCTAGCTAGACCTAGATGCTAGACCTAGATCTTCTAGAACCCCTCGCGAAGGATCAGTATGATTGCCTAAATTGAGATAAAGGATCAACACTGACCGCGCACTAGCTCCGTACGGGATATGCCTAAAGTCATGATGAATACGTTAACTCTATCGACAAATCCGGCAGAGACTTGGATGAATGTGGTCTAGGGCTGCTTTTTTTTCAAAAAAAAAAGATGGCAGTCTACTCGCTTTCGTTACGCTCCAGAGCTGAACCCTAGCCTGTGTCTCAGATAGACACTATATAATGTACAGTCTAACCGATAAAGGCTTATGTACAATTAGGATCTACCCCGCCAAGGAAAGGTTCATATTATAATTCTAAACCAGACTGAAAAGGTAAGCTCCACTCGTTTGTATAACCGACAGAGGCAAAGTCAGTTTCAACATCTAACCTAACCATAAATGCCAGATTCTAAACGCCTGACCTTGAGAAAACGAATCTAGACATTTTTACTTGCTTGGCATTTACTGTGCAAAAGAAGGGAAATCCCTTGATTTCTATAGTGTTTCGGTCAACTCTATATCTATCTTATTTTCAGAATTCATTAGTACTCGCACTAAAACTGACGAATACTAGAACACCGGTTTTATGTAGTTCACAGATAGTTATGACAGCCCGTCATCTGGACATAATCCACTTTCATCGGTTAAGATAAACGAGCCAACGAAGACGACTCTCCCTCTGGGCGGGGTGATGTGAGAATTTAGTATGGAATGGCTTGAAAATTCCGCTCTGTTGTTCCCCACGCATATCATAAGAAACAGACGACGAGAGAAGGATACAAAAACGACACGATTCCACGCTTTTCGATCAAGGTCCACAACAAACTACTCTAAAATTCTTTCGAATTTCGGTCCACACATCTTCAATATGAAGTTTCTCAGTCTTGTTGCTGCCTCGTTACTCGCCGGCCACGTCAGTGCATTCCATGGCCAGCTCGCCTCCTCCGACTACATCAAGTCCAGTGACGGTTATACCTACCAAACGATCTATTTAACGGACTACGTCTCTGGGTCTACCTACGCTGGGTCTGTTTACGGGGGCTGGAATAACTGTGCCTCCTCGGAATGTTGGGTCGCGTAAGTCAAGCCATCTTTCAAGGTGCATTTCTATGTGATCATAGGACATTATACTAATGCTTAGCAGCATGTATGAGACCAGCCCTGGTGGATATAACTTTGGTGCATATATATGGCGAACTACCGACGGTTGTCATAATATTGACTTCAAGGGTGCTCTGGACGCTGGGCATGGTTACTGCTGTGGCTCATTACCATGTGATATTACCGCTTAAGGCTTGGAGGATGAGATCAGTCTCCAAGATTTAGAAAGATAAATAAAGTTATAGATAAGCTTCCGCAAAGATTCCAAACACAGACCCATTCTGACTCGGCGGTTGGGGCTAGATCTCTGGCCTAGAACTGGGTCTGGGCCGATATGTAAAACCCTAAACCGACCACTGAGGCTATAGATAGTCGAAGTTGGCGGGTTTCATGATATCGCCCTTAACCCGTGACTGCATAAGTTATGCAGTTACTGCGCTAAACCAGATATAGCAGTGGAGGTGTCGATGTAGTAATTCTCAGCACTATGCGCGTAGTCTACCATATTGACTGCCTAGTGTTCTTTTGATGTTAGAAATATCATTCTGGCTTATTTCAACCTCAAAAGATCAACAGCAGTGCCACCGCGCCCTGTGCAAACTCAAGCTCCTAGACATCCTAAAAGAATCGGGTATATTTGCCTACAGGCTTTATTAGCTTAAGTCTAATATAATACACGTCACGATATCTTAACAACTATACACATCTCACGTCTCCTGCTTCCCAGAACCAACCACCTCCTCCCCAGTCCTCGCCTCACTCGACGTCCGATAAGACCTCCACTTCCAAGCCGGCACCTTCGCCGCATACATCTCATCGATCTCCGCAAACGTCCGGCCCCTGGTCTCCGGCATATAAAAGTACACAAAAACAATAATCGCAGCCATGCACCCCGCAAAGATAAGATACGTCTTTGCGCCTAGACCTGCCGCATCTGCAGATGTCAGTTGCGGGACGACTAGCGTTGTAATCACGGCCGTTACTTCTTGACATGCGATGGTGTAGGACATGGTATGGTGGCGAAGTTTGGGGGTAGCGATTTCTGAAGGCATCAGTGTGGAAAGGGAGTAGAAGGAGGAAGCCCAGAAGAAATTGAAGATGAAGGATAATGCGGCGATGGCGAGGGTGGCTTGATTGTTTTTGCGGTAGAAGGCGAGGGTACCAGCCACGACGTCGATGATGAAGAGGATGGCCATTCCGACGAAAGCTGTTGGTCGACGACCGGCGCGGTCGATGACCAGTGGTGCAGCGATTGTACCAGCCAAAGTACAACATGAAGCGATGATAGTCAGAGAAAAGGCATCCCCAATGCCCAGTTGCGTAAGGAAAACAGTCGTGTACGTCGTTGAGAGAATAATACCCGATATCTGATTCAACGAGAAAAACGAGCCAGCGACAAGAGTCCGTCTGAGATGTTGACGTTGGAAAATGTGCCAGAATTTGACTTCGGCTCGCATTTCACGGTTTTGCTTCTCGCATAGCTCCATCAGACGAAGTTCATCGTTGACCTTTGCGTCGCTGAAGCCGCGGAGTTTGCGAAGGTTTCTTCGGGCTTGGGAGAGGTTGCCTTTTGCAACGAGCCATTCTGGGCTTTCGGGGAGGGGAATTGTAAGTAGAATCAAAATGACTGGTACAGCTGATTGAACCGCGAGGGGAATCTGGAATGATAAATGACCCCCGAGTTTTTGGGTGCCCCATACGATGACGGTGCTGACCACTCCGGCTGTGAGGTTGAGGATGTTGAGGGAGCTGACACTTCGGCCTCGCATTGAAGCAGGGACGACCTGTAAAATGACCATGCATTAGTACTGTATACATAATCATATATAGGGGTGTCTATCTCACCTCTGATAAATAAAGAGGAGCCGTTGCCATTGCAATCCCCATTGCAATCCCATTGATGGATCGACCGCCGACGAAAGCCCCTAGATTCGGCGCAAAGACTTGGAGCAGGCCACCACCAATAGAAACGATATACGCTGCTACCAGAGGCCACTTGCGACCAAAATGAAAATTCAGAGGTGAGGCTAGCAGTCCTCCGAGGATAGCGCCCACCAGAGGCAGCGAAAAGACCAGATTCTGGTTGCGCGCTGTGAGAACCAACTTGCCCGTAACTGGGTTTGGTCCTTGGAATTTTTCAACCTGAAAAGATGGTATCTCGTCAGTTCAGATCTTACCGATCAATACATGTTCTTCAACTCACGAAACCAGACAAGGCCGCCACAGGCGAAATAAGCTTATCATCGTATCCAAACATAAACGACGCTGCTCCAAACACGATACAAGCAAAGACCAAGCGCGCATTAACAACGCCCTTCTCTCGAGCCGAGGGGCCGACATGCTCAGCTTCTGCAGAGCCATTTTCATCCTTGTCGGACATGGCCATCATCGTTCGAAGCGATCCTGCACACCGCGATAGCAAAGCCACCGGGGCCAAAGTGCAAAAACGCAAACGAGACTCTGCCTGCATCGACATGGCCGCTGCTGCTTTATATGCTCGTTTTAGCTCGACTCAGCTCAGTACCTCCTCGGCCATGCTAGTCAGCAGTGCACATCGAATTGTGGATTTCCCCATGGAGAAGAAGTCAGGCGATGAAATGGATGGGGCCACTCCTCTTCCCCAGACTTTTTCGCGTTTCGCAGCGTTCCCGTTTAGAATTTCTTTAGTCAGAGTTGGGTTTCTCCGAGGTTTCCCAGTCAAGCGCATCCTGCCATGATTGGAGTACAGTTGAGTAAACAGCTGGTTTTTGCGAGATAAAGCTCTCCTAATTGGACTATGCGCGTGAAACAGGAGGTTACAGATGGGATAAATCCACCGTCGATCATTGCTGGGGCCGGTAATAGTTTCGTCGTTCTGCAATGGGGTTTCGCCGACGATCCTCCGGTCAGCCAAGTTGCCGAGTCTCCTTCCGACGCTGTGCCGATTTTGATCGGGGAAACCTCCGTTGAATCTTGTCGCCTGGAGGGTTTTATATCTGATCCGATATCCCTGTCTGTGAGGTGGAGTTGGGGAAAGATCCTCGACGCAGGTCTCCACCGGCTATCACAGCGACCATACGACTCTCAGCAACACTGCCTATACTGCCTTACTACTCCCTCTTAATCGACATATCAAGGAATGGTATTCAATTTCACGATCGAAAGACTTTGTCAATATCGCTGGTCTACGGTTCTCTAACCTAAACCCCCACCAGACTACCTACCATGTCTGTCCTGGTGAGCTCGCCCGATACATCCGGGCCCGAACTACGCGATAAGCACCCTGAAGCTGCAACACAGGACCCCAAAGATGAAATAGCTTCAAAGATTTCTACTTCAAAACCATCATTCCATCTAAAGGCCCCAAATGGCTGGATGAACGACCCCTGTGGCCTAGGCTACGATCCCGCCACAGGTCTCTACCATATCTTCTTCCAATGGAATCCCCACGGTAACGACTGGGGCAACATGTCCTGGGGCCACGCGACTTCCACCGACCTAGTTTCATGGAAAGTATCACCCACACCAGCTTTGACTCCATCGACTGAGTATGATTGCTGTGGTGTCTTCACGGGTTGTCTGCAGGCTACAGATATCCATGGGAAACCGGGCTCATTGACAGCAATGTACACCTCTGTCCGCCATCTGCCACTCCATTACACACTGCCTTATACTATTGGCTGCGAATCTATTGGTATGGCTATCTCTGATAATGGTGGACAGACATGGAAGCGTCTAGCTTGTAACCCTGTACTTACAGGTCCCCCTGAACACCTTTCAGTGACGGGCTGGAGAGATCCCCACCTTACGACCTGGCCGGAAGAGCAGAAGACGAACTCGGCGAATCCCAATCAACCATTATACGGCATCGTGTCTGGTGGGATAGTCGACAAGGCACCAGCTATATTCGTCTACAAGGTCAACCCAACAGATCTTCGACAATGGAAATATGCCGGCCTCCTCGTCAATGTCGGTCTCAACTTCCATCCATCACGCTGGTCAGGAGACTTTGGCGTAAACTGGGAAGTTGGCAATCTAGCAACCCTGTCCAATGAGATCGCTGACTCACGAGATTTCGCAATCATGGGCGCTGAAGGATGTCTCCGCGCCGAAAACTCACTCTGGTCAACACCCGGTTCAGCACAACACAAACGACAAGCCCGGGGACAGCTATGGATGTGTGTGAAACCACGCAACCTGGCTGATAACAGCGAAGTCCTCGCCGACTATGCATTCGCTGGACACTTTGATCACGGCTGCTTATACGCCGCTAATTCCTTCTGGGACCCTGTTACATCCCAACGCATCGTATACGGCTGGATCACGGAGGAGGATTTACCAGATGGGCCCCGTCATCGTCAGGGGTGGAGCGGGATGATTTCGATTCCTAGGGTGGTGCACTTGATGACATTGAGAAATGTCACAAAAGCGCGTATCTCGCAGTTGGAAGCTATTACTTCCATCGAGGCTGTTCCTAATACATCTGAGCCACGGACGTATACGATTCACACTCTGGGAATCAAGCCCGATCCGCGACTTTCTCTTCTCAGGGAGGGTGCTGAAAGGAGATCATTCTCATCATCAACTCTACCTATTCCTCTACGGGACATCTCCAACGAGACTCTTCCCTTGACTACATGCCGGTGGGAACTCGAAGCCGCGTTCTCAATCAACCAACGCTGCGAACGAGTCGGTATTCAAATCGCACATTCCTCCGGTAAACAACCTATCCATTCCATCCTCCCTCATTATTACTCGGCCTCTAACATAAGACGCAGACTTCAAACAGATAACAACCCTATCCTACACCCCATCCACAGAAACATTCACAATCCACCGTCCTACACTAGAAGACCAAACCATAAACCACGGCTACGAGTCCGCACCACACACGCTATTCACATATCTCAACGAGACAGGCGTCGAAATCGAAGAATCCCTGCATATCCATGCTTTCTTCGACAAGTCCGTGTTAGAGGTCTTCGTGAATGGGCGGACTGTTATTTCAACGCGTATTTATCATCCCTCGGAGAGGTGTTTTGGCTTACGCTTTTTTGCGGAGGGGAAAGAAGCCAATGGTGTCCATGGTACATTTAATGATGAAGCGCCTGCTTCGCTTACCCAGGCTGAAGTTTGGGATGGCCTTGTTGAAAGTCAGCGATAGATTGGTGGCGGCAATACCCGTCTACAAGCCTCGCGCCCATACAGATCTACGATTCCAAATACAAACAAGAAATAGAGATGAAAGTGACTCGAGGCAGAGAAAGCCTGCATAGATATACACATGATGAATCCAATCCCACCCGGTCTATTGATACAATCCACGCCAAACCCCCATAAAAACACAAAACAATAAAATCCCACACACAAACAAAGAATGTAAACTAAACAAAAACAAGGGTGATCAAAAACACTCACACCCACGATATTAGATTCAAATGAATACATCACATCACAGTCAATGAGCCTGGCCCTGAACTTGGACTTGGACTTGGACTTGAGCAGGTCCAGGTCCCCAGTTCCCAGGGATCTGCAAAGCCCGTAAGTGAGCCTTATACTTCTCCACGAACGGGTGGTTTCCGCCCCGGAAACTGCTCAGCAGTAACAAGAAATCTTCCGCCATGGCTTGCGGCGTGGATGTTGTAGGTAGTGATTCGGAAAAGTTGCCTAGAGGGGTTATTCCCGTGCCGAAGGGTGGGTTGATATTGCAGAGGATATCTGTAGCGCCGACGGCGATGTCGTATAGTTTTTCAGTCTGACGGGGATTGTTAGTGGGATCAATCATGGAGAGATGGAAAGGATGTTTTAGGGAGAAGGGGGGCATACAAATCCAATCCCATGAGCCTCCATCGAACTCAACCGCATCGAACGACACAACTGAATAGTCGATTCAGCAATCGACACGGCAAATCCAAACGTCAACTCCGGCCTATCAGACTGCGTCCTCAAAAGGCCATGATTCAAACACAAAAGCCAAACCCGATTCTGCACCCATTTCTGCGTAATAAAGACATCCGCAGCCTGAGTCTCGCGCAATCCCATAGCCAGCAGCGCATTATTATCATTCCCGTCAACCTTGGCCCGCTCAAACCAGTCATACCCCTTATACCGCTCCGCCTGACTGACTTGCTCGAGACTATCGTACATGGATAGAGCTTTGGCTTCGGTGAAGCGTTGGCAGTACCCGTTGCGTAGGTCGCAGCGCCGGTTCCAGCAGTGGATGAAGTCTTCGTCGATTGCGTCGAAGAGTTCCATTAGTCGGGCTAGACCCATCATGCCTTCGGCGTCTTTTTCGTTGTGCACGATAATTCCGGAGACGAGGCTGTGGGTGGCGTTGTGGAGGAAGTCGTGGACGGAGCGCATGCTGAAGCCGGGTTTGCCGGAGAAAGTGACGGGGTGTAGGCGTTGCAATGCATATGCTCTGTATGAGAATTAGAATATGAATTATAAAGCATGTTGTATGGGGATTAATACCTCTCCGTGATTGACAGGACTAGATATGTCCGTAGTCGCTGACCCTTCTCATCACCGGGTAAATCTCGATATGACTCTGGATCATTCAGTCCCAATGTCGACGCGAGATCGAGAGCTTCTCGTAGACGCAGCCACGCTGCATTATGCTGATTACTTCCAAACAAGCACCCAAAAAGGAAGAAACTCGTCAAAACAGCCTCGATGGTCGGGCTTTCACCAAAATCACAACAACTCCGCATCTTGGTAGCTTCATGCATCATCGATCGAGCCTGGTTGGCACGAGACGAGGTCGTCGCGCGCTCATTGATCTCAATAGGTTGCGTTAGCGAAAACGCACACAGGGATAGCACCATCGCCCCGAATTGGGTATTCTTTCGATGCTCCTGACACATCATCCGCGTGTATAACGAAGACCGACTCAACACGGGGACGGTCGGGTGAAGACGGTCAAAGTAGACGTCAAGCCAGGGAATCATATTCGCCTCGTTGATCGAATTCGGCCAGAATCCTTCCGGTTCCTGACTTTCCGAGGACTGTATTGACCCCACGGCCGGGGAATATGGGATCCCCTGGTGTTCGGCCGGGGGTAGATTGATGGTGGATACATCGGGCACGGGTTGGATAATAGATGGGAGAGAGGGTTTGAGGTAGATGTTGCTGCCGGGGAATTCAAAGACGGGGACCTGCGCGCCCAAATGATCTGGTAGCCAATATTCCACATCCGGGCGATCATTCCAGCCTACGCTGGTACCCGAAGAGTCGAGAGATGCCGTCTCGCCCGCCCAGGCGTCTACGACACCCGATGCTGGGCCGGAGGGTGCAAGGCCGGTTGTTCCCTCCATTGACATGGTAACCTGGCCTTGCGCCGGGGTCCACGATGCTCCGGGTATCGTGACGGACGGGCCCGGTTCCAGGCCAGAGGTTGGGCCATGATATCGGAAGGGTTCCTGCTTGGGGATGGGAGGTTCCTGGGGAGTACGAGAGATAATATGCGTTTGTTGCTGGCGAATTTGCGAGACACGACTTTAGACGAAGGAAGAAGCTTCTAGTTAGCGCACTAATTCGGGCGCGTGGCGCGAGTCATTTCCGACGTCGACTTACTGTCCGGTTGGCCCGCGCTTCTTCTGCGGTTGAAGGAATGTGCAATCAAAGCCCATTGACTGACACGCCTTACAGGGCTGCGATAGGCTACACTATAAGCAAACTATTAGTATTATTCAAATTTCCCCCTAGCGCCAGGCTGGGGGCCACGCGAAGGCGGAGGCCGTTGCGGTTTTCTTCTGGGGCAAAATCAAGTTAAGCATACCTTGATCTTGCGGAACTTGCATTGGTCGCAAGCTCTCTTTGCGATCGAGCCAGAGGTCTTGTTGCGTGTGCGGATGGCGCCGGTCGGACTGGCCGTCGGCGACCCTGAGCTCGTGGAATCCATGGCGCCTCCACTCCATCAAGCTGGGAGATCACAGTCTCAGTTTTCTCTCAGACTCGGACTCGGATCTTTTGAGGGGAGGGAAGAATGGGGGGGGGGGGGGGGGGGTCCAGGATGGTCCTTGTGGCTGAGTGGAACAAGGTTAATCAGAGGGTCCACAGTCATTCCCCGCTCAGTCACCGCGGAATGGAAGCGGTGTTTCAACTTTTGGCCCAAAATTGGGATGATTGGGTTGACATGTGCGAGTATCTCAGATAGATCTGGAATTAAATCATTTACTGTGGCGCTGATAAAATCATAGTAGAAGCTGTATAGCAACAGGAAAGTCCAAATAACCACGTTGGAGATGGTACAGCACCAAGAAAACTACTCCAACTCCGACGAGCTCCCCCACTTTTAGCCACGAGAATGACAATTGGAGCAGTTCTAGCTATTATCAATGGAGTATTGGAGTAAATAAGATAACGGCACGTCTCCCGAATTGCATATATAGTCGGAGGCTTGCCCCAAGGATTCCACCATAAAGATAAGTCACCCAATATTCAATATTCGAGGAAGCCAGGATACTTGAAACGATCAACATTATGGGCACCATTCAGCAACCATGGGAGCAGATCGTCTCTCAAAAACGTGCGATCCGAGAAAACCTGTTGGCGCCATATTTGGTCGACATTGAGCATCGAGTGCCTCGAGTCGATCGTGTGGATTACCGGACTCGTCGAGAGGATGAGCCTGAAGTCCAAAGGATCACCGATCTCGACCTGGCAAGCTTGTTGAAACGACTGGAGACGGGCGAGCTCACTGCGCACGAGGTTATTCACGCGTATATTAAACGGTAAGAAGAGATTTCGCAGAAGTAATCAGAAGATAAACCAAGTATAGCTAACACTGCTCAATTCTAGCGCCGTGGTAGCACACCAGTTGGTAAGACCCTCATCCTCATACCAGAATCACCTGCTAATTACTGGACTAGACCAACTGTTTAACGGAAATTTTATTCGACGAAGCCCTACAGCAAGCTCAAAAGCTAGACGACGAGTTCAGCAGCACTGGAAAGCTCAAAGGGCCCCTACATGGCATTCCCATCACACTCAAGGATCAATTCAACGTCAAGGGCGTTGACTCGACATTGGGATACGTCGGGAGATCCTTTCAACCCGCCAGCGAGGACGCAGTCCTAGTGCAGATATTAAAGGATATGGGGGCTATCGTCATAGCAAAGACGAATCTGTGTCAAAGTATTATGGTGTGTTGACCCTATTTCTACTCTTTCTACATGACTATACAGACGATGTGATAAACTAACACAATGCAGTGGGCAGAAACTGAGAATCCTCTCTGGGGATTAACCACCAACGCCAGAAACCCTGCCTTTACACCCGGTGGTTCAACTGGAGGTGAAGGCCCATTACTAGCACTGCACGGCTCAATCCTCGGCTTCGGCACGGATATAGGAGGAAGTATACGGATCCCCCAGAGTTTCGCAGGTCTATACGGCCTGAAACCGAGTGTAAGCCACCAACCCAAACCACATCCAATCCAATTCCACAAATTCAAACCAAACATCTATTCTAACTCACCAACAGAGCAGCCGCTTCCCCTACGAAGGCGTCCCCGTCTCAACCCAAGGCCAAGAACACGTCCCCTCCTCCATCGGACCCATGACCCGCGACCTCCCCTCCCTAACATACATAACCAAACAAATAACCTCCTGCACCCTATGGACACTGGATCCACGCTGCGCCCCCCTCCCCTGGAACGAAACACTCTTCACATCAACCCAATCCAAGCCCCTAACAATCGGCCTAATCCTAAACGACGGCATAGTCACCCCACACCCCCCAATAACCCGCACCCTCGCCGAACTCTGCTCCGCACTAACCGCGCAAGGCCACGAAGTAATTCCCTGGGATACATCCGACCACGCAGACTGCATCAAGATAATGGACTCCTTCTACACAGTCGACGGCGGCGAGGATATTCGTCGCGATATAGCCGTGGCCGGGGAACCGTATCTGCCCCACGTCCAAGCACTAGTGAACCGGGGCAGCCCGATCTCCGTCTACGAGTATTGGCAATTGAACAAGCGGAAACACGCTGCGCAGAAAAAGTATCTCGACAAGTGGACTACCACGCGGTCCAACTCTGGAAGACAGGTGGATGTCTTGTTAGCGCCGGCTATGCCGCATACGAGTATCCCGCACCGGACGTTTAGATGGGTTGGGTATACTAAGATCTGGAACTTTTTGGATTATACTGCGTTGACGTTTCCGGTTGATCAAGTGCGGAAGGAGATAGATGGGGTTGTGGGGACGGAGTATGTGCCGAGGAATGAGTTGGATGAGTGGAATTGGAAGCTGTGGGATGTTGATGCTGTGGATGGGTATCCGGTGAATTTGCAGATTGTTGGGAAGAAACTTGAGGAGGAGAAGGTTTTGGGCGCTGCGACTGCTATTGAAGGAATTTGGAAGAGTTATGTGGAAGGGAAACACGCAGAGTAGGAGGGATCTGATAGACTGTGAAGTTAATTGATATGCTAAAGAGTACTAAATTATCACATTTCAAAGTAGAGAAATATCATTCATCATTGATTTTAAATAAGACGCCCTCAACGCCATGGGGAATATGCTGCGGAATATCAACTTGCTCAACTCAAGCCTTGGGTGGCTGGAATAGCTCCGGCTTCATGTTAATCTTGCAGAGTTTCGAGATGCAACCACTCAGTTGCAGCAGCGACTGCACTCCATCCAAGATACGCATGTGCGTGAATCCAATCTCCTTGATGAATTCCAACTTGGAATGCTCCGAGAGCGTGGGAATGGTCTTGGTCACCCGGAACATGGTGCTAATGATATCGTGCGAGGAATATCCCAGCGTCCTGTATGACAAAATTAGAGATGTCTTTTCAAAGCACATACCAGTGGGAAAGGGACTTGTCTTACCAGAGCTCATTCAAAATCTCCAACGCAGCATCCACCTTCCCCTCCCAACAAGCCTTGATCATAGCCTGAACCTTGACGGGATGCGGGCTATCCACAACACGGAAGACATTATCGCCGCTCACAAAGCCAAAGCCCGACCAAGTACTCTGCAGGTTATTGATAGCCTGACGCATATCACCCTCGGCACTGAAGACCAAAGCCGCAATTCCATCCTCGGAGTGTTGGACCTTTTCCGCCTCGCAGATCTGCAGCACTCGCTTGACGACCTGGGCGTCGGTCAAGCGAGCATAGCGGAGGATTGCACAACGGGATTGCAGGGGTTCGATGATTTTGTTCGATTGATTGCAGGCAAAAGCGAAACGGGTTGTCGTTGAGTAGATTTCCATTGTACGTCGGAGGGCTTGTTGAGCACCGGGGGTCATGCTGGGGCATGTGAGCAAAGACTTGTAAAACATGGTGAGGGTCTGTCTGTCGCTGTCTTACCTATCGGCTTCGTCGAGAATAACTAGCTTGTGCTTGCCTGGGGGCAATGTGACCTTTTTCTGGGCGAAACCCTTGATTCGGTTACGAACGACGTCGATACCTGAGTAAAGAGTTAGCAACCATCATCATGCCTCCATTCTCCTTCTCTCAACTGACCTCGCTCGTCACTAGCATTCAACTCCAAAACAGCCTCCTTATAGGCATCCCCGAGTAATTGCCTAGCCAGACACAGAATCGAAGTGGTCTTTCCAATACCCGGCATGCCAGAGATAATAACGTGAGGCATATTACCATCCTTGGCAATAATCTTCAGCCGTTCCACCGTCTCTGTGTTACCGACAATATCATCGAGGAAGATCGGGCGGTACTTTTCAACCCTGCAGAGAGAGAGAGAGTAAAAAGTCAGCTCGGTGTCCTTGCATCAGTCACGGTCAATGGATACTGACCAGGGGAGCTCATAGTCTGCAGGAGAACCTGCAGTAACGGCTCTGAGAGCATTGCGCTCGGCAGTCTTGGAGGATTCGGCTTGCACCATGGTGTGGGATGGTTAGGATGATGGTCGTGGGGAAGAAAGCGGGAGAGACGCGAAAGTGGACGCGTTTCGCGATAAGCGGATAAGAGCTTCCTTAAAGGGTGATACTACAAAGGTTGAATTAACGGACATAGTAGAGAATGAGAAGTGATACTAAGCTTACTAGTGATGGATCCTTTTATTTTATACTACTAGTCTAGATCTATTCAAGTTGAAATATGATCAAAACCGAAGTCTTGAAGGAAATGGAGTTCGTGCATTATACATACAAAGAACACCCATCAGGGGGATTTTCTACCAAGATAAAATCTATAAACTATTCGATAAGCTCTTCCTAGACAAACGAAAGTAATGAGACTAGCCTATTCCCAATGCTGAATCTAGTATCGTTGTGTCTGACCTCACAGCTTGACCACTAATTTCCACTTTGACGCGCCGCCGCATCATCTTCCGTTCGCGGCCATCTCCATCTATTTCTCCCCCTCAATATTCAACCTCCAGCACCTCCACAACATACCAGCCTATCCTTACCACCCACACAGTGTCCAGTCAACACTTTACCATCTCTACACCCTAAAATATCCCTCCAGACTCGACCTGACTCGTCAAGTCCGTCCACTCACTTTCCACAACAAACAACCACCTCGGCGCGCTTGTCCATCTCCAAAATAACAAGCTACACAAGCTCCGCTCTACAAACCACCAACACAGCCAAAAAAGCCTCACCCAGTATTCCTACCAAAATGCCAAACATCTCCCAACCCTCCGTCCGCCGCACCCTCTTCCACCAAACCCTCAGCCGCCGCCCCGCCTCCACAGGCCCCCCAAATAGCCTCAATCCAACCGCAAACCCAGCCACAAGCATACCCACAGGCCCAAGCATAGGCATCCAACCAAGCAACACCAACACAACCAACACCCTCACAGCCCGCTCCTCCCACCACCGTCTAAAACCCTCCTCCTCGGAGACATCCCGCCCCATTAAACCAACCGAGAACAGGGAGATTGTCGTCCGGGATAAGAATGGCGGGTATAAGTTGGATGTACCGTCGCTGCCGCATGCGCTTGTTGGGGAGGATGGGGAGGAGTTGGGGGGTCTTGAGGCCGAGGAAGAGGGGGAGGCTGGGTTGGATGTGGAGTTGAATGGGAGGGATAAAGAGAGTATGTTTGATATTTGCTGCAGGTGGATTAGGAGGGGAGCTTGAGCTAACCGTGTTGCGGGATAGAATTCGAGGCTGCGCTTGTTGAGATGGTTATTCGCCATCGGAATCGTCAGTCTAGTGGGGAGCCGGATGGTAAGTCGCTTTCTTTTCTTGAATGTTCGAGAGAAGCTGTAAGGTTACTAACGTTATTGCTAGAAATCTTGAATATTGTCCACCAGAGTCTACGCAAGAAAGTCGCTTCCCTGGACGACGACAATTGGATGTTCGAACCGGAGAGAGATGTACGATTCTAAGTCCATTCCATCTACACGCTGTGATACCATTGTTCAAGTCATTACACCGTCAATTGGGTATGTCCACTACCAAGCCAAGCTTCAAGCTTCTCTTCAACCACCTCCACCGTCGCCTTCTAGTCAAGCTCCATGTTTGAAGGAGGAGCCTCGACCTTCTTCGCGGGTCTCCCACCAACCTGACCCTGGCCCTGACCCTGACCACCGCCAAACAACATGCTACCCATCATATCCAACAACGGGTTCCCTTGCCGGGGAACCTTGATCTTAAAGTACTGCTCGCCAATCTGCGCCAGGAAATCATCCCAAATACCCACCTCCCGGATCTGCGCCGCATAATGCGCCGTCAGCTGCTTGTACATATCCGCACTAACCCGCTGGATAGTGAGCATCAGCAGGCTGAGGAAGTTGAGCAGCGGGAGCGCGGGGAAGAGGCGAATGTCGGAGCTGGAACTGCTTACGTCCTGCACAGCAAGGGCAGGGTTGGCAGTGGAAAGACGCGAGATGAAGATGAGAAGGGCCTTGTTTGCGCTGCGGATGTTGCCGGTCAAGAGGTAGGGGAAGACTGCGCGCGATGCGTACAGGGCGGCCGTGTGCGGTTCATCGTGTGTGTACCACTCATACTCGAGCTTCGCCAGTGTCTCTGCGGACTCGGACGTTCCCAGTACCAGGTGTCTCTCGGCATCGTACGGCTCGTTATCTGTACATTATCAAGTTAGAACCTCATTAATAGCCCGATACCCAGATACCCTAATAATCCAGATATCCAAACCAAACAGCCATCATGATGTCCACTAACCTTCAGCATAGACTGAGCCCACAGCATGGTGTAGCTCGGGATCTCCACGCTCCAAAGGACCATGCCGTCCACTCCACCCAATCATCTCCTGAATATAGCGCTTCCTCGTAGGTTCTTCCGAGGGGAACTCACGCAGAAGCTCAATCAGACGCTCTACCCAGAACACGTAGAAACATTAGCATCAACGCACTTCCACCACTCCAACCACACCGATCCAAGATCAACTCACTCTTCCGCGCCCGACCCTCCGTATCATTGTCACCCCCCTGAATCTCCCACTCAGCCTTGTTATAAACATCCACAACCAACATAATCGCCAAATCACCACCACTAGCCGACGCACCCTGCTGAGAACCAGCCCTCAACAGAGCCGTCGCGCCGCCCGCCAGCAACTCCGCCGCCGCATCGTAGTTGGACTGCTTGATGTAGCGCGCAGCAATGACACGCAGTTGCTGGTGTGCCTCGTAGTAAGCGCCCGCCGCGATCCTAGAGGTGGAAAAGAGAGAGGGTCAGTTTGAGGGATGTACGGGTTAAGCGGGTTGGACGTACTTTTCTCGCTGGCGGGCGATGGTCTTGTCGATGCGGGAGGTCATTGTCGAGATGGCGGGATGTCTCGGACAAGATGGACCGGAAAAGAGAACAGGCGTGAGTGCTATGCAAAGTGTTGAAAGCAGAACCTCAAGCTCGTTGATGGAGAGAGTCCGCGGGGCGTGCAGAGCACAAAGTTGGTGGGGAACGGGAGTCCAATCGGCCGGGCCTTTTCCCCGAGCTACTTTGAGCTGTTTGCGCTCGATCCGGTTAACTTCTTCTTCGACGATTAAGCGCGACGTCAATAGAAGATATTCAGCCTTTGCTTTTTATTACTGGTTTGGCAATAGCGCAGCTATATCAAGTCACGAATTCTTGCGACGATTGCTAGGACAGCGCTGGATCTTACGGCTCATCATTCCCCAGGGCCGCCCTTAGAGACGCTGATATTGGCGCAGCAAGCTCAAGCTTGTCTTTGGGACAGACCTACGAGCGCATTTCCACGACCTATTCAACAGATGTCTGAGAATAGCCCTTGACTGTCATCCCAACCTCAGTCCCAAGGGCCGGCGCATACCCATTGCGCCTGGAGGAACTCCCAGATCACGATTGATCCCTCCCTTCCACAGTCACAACCATGAACCAAGCAACCTTCGACATCCAACCCGTAAACCGCTTCGGCGGTTCAAATACCACAATCCGCAGACCAAAGGTAAAAATTGACCCACAGACCTGCTAGAAACCCCATCCCTTTCACCTTGAACAACCAATCTAAGACCGATATATAGGAAATTGCGTGCTTCTCCTATGATCAGGATCGCCGCTTCTCCCTGGGTGATGCATCTATCGCATACTACTACCCACCAAGTCTACCCGCAGATCTGAATATCGGGTTTGATACATTTCAGAAACTGAATGATGCTGCGGATGAGCATTTGGATGCGTTGCTTGATACTATAGTAGCGATGGAGAAGGAGACGGGGAAGATGTGCGAGACTGATATTGTGACGTGGCGGGGGATGTTGACCAAGGTAAGTGGATGGAGGCTAGTGGTTGTATTGGAGAATACTGACTCGTGTATAGATTTTGACTGCCCCGTTTGATATGATGAATGGGTGGGTAGTCCGTTCGAATCTAGATTTAGTGGGTAGTTTGGCTGACATGGCTTCGTCTTCTACAGGTTTGAGATGAATGCAACGTGTTATCAGGTAAGGCCGACCCTAAGTCCAACAACAGAAGCATCAAACTAACCTCGAATAGGGCACAATGTGCGTATCAAAACTAGTGCTACAACATTCCACAGTATTGACATAACATCTAGATTCATCGAAGAAAACAACTCATACAAAAACCGACAAAAAGAACTACAACGAAACCAAAGAATGCCCCCGGGGATGGCATCCCAAGAACTCATGATGTACTGGGGTATGAAATCACACTATATGATCTATCAAAGTTGCCATCGGGCTAATATGCTTGTTTCAGGCTACAAATTCGAAGTTCTATCCGTCCTCCGAAAACCATGGGACCCATGCACCCGCGACGAAATCGAAAATCGACAAAACGAAGTCGTCAATAATAGCGCCCAATACTGCTCAGTCGTCAAAACGGGCATGGGAAATGTGCGCATGGTCCTTGGCGGCGAAGTCGATGCTGGTACATCTTTCCACACAACCCTGCCCTCCTATTCATAATCCTTCCATCCGTTTTGTATGTGATACTAACACTCTCATCTCTAGTCTGGGACTGTAAACCCGACAGAAAAGAAGATCCCATCCACTGGGTCGAACTCAAAACCTCAGCCGAAATCCGCAACGACCGCGACATGCTCAAATACGAGCGGAAACTACTCAAATTCTGGGCCCAGTCATTCTTACTCGGTGTCCCCAAGATTATCGTCGGATTCCGCGATCAGCAGGGTATCGTGCATCGTCTGGAAGAACTCGAGACTGCTAGTATTCCTGGTAAAGTGAAGAAGGTTGGTCGGGGGAGTTGGGATGGGAATATTTGTATTAATTTTGCGGCGGCGTTTTTGGAGTGTAAGTCTTGTACCGTGTTTGAGAAGTTGTTGAGACTTGATATTGTTTAAGGGTTGGGCTTTGGCTAATGCTTTTTCTGTAGGGCTGAAACAGGTTATCCAAGGAGACGGGGTTTGGAGGATACGAAAGGTGGAAAAGTCTCATGTCATTGAGGTTTATAAGGTTGAAGAGTCTGGGCATGGTGATATCCTCTCGTCTACGTTTAAGACGTGGCGAGAGGGCTCAATGGAGGAGTGAATGGCTGAATTGAGTGTGTGACTATAGATGAGATATGTATGAACTATGTGGTATCCTCAAGATGCTAATACTCTGCACTGAATCCTCCAATTCCAACTTATGCATTCAACTTGCCCTCGGAATCAGCCTCCAGGGCCTCTCCCTTCTGAGCCTCCAGCTCCCGCTTGCGAAAGTACGCATCTCGCTCCGCTTTTCGAGCCGCAGATTTAACACCTCGCTTGTGACTATAACTCTTGAGATGAATCTCCCACTGTTCGTCGCCAACCACAGTCTTCCCGCATACATCACAGGTAAAGCTCTTCATAGCGGATCCAGGCTGCGCCTGCGCCTGTTCTTCCTTAGCGCCGAGCACAGTCTTCGCCAGCACGGAAAGACTCTTCGGATCCGGAGTAGTTTCACTCTGCAGCATCGACTGGACAATCTGCTCTGAGGGATCCGTAATGCATCCACCCCATTGACTCACATTGCTGGTGTCAAGAAGATACAACCGCCTCGTCATGTCCGCCTCCGCGAGGGCCCGCCACAATTTATTGCGAATCCACTTAACCTGCGATCCACCGTATTGCCTCGTCGCAGTCCGAATAGACTCGATACACCTACTGCGCAAAGCCAGCAGCTCCTCCTCACTCATCTCCGCCTGTCGACGCGCTGTAAAGTATGGAGCCAGCTCCTTGAAGCCAATAGACACCCACACACCACGCGTAAGATCAACCGGAATCCCCTGTGCCTCTTTGCTTTGCAAAAAGTCAAACATAGTCTCAGCCTCGGCGAGTAAACCTTGCTGAACCATATCATCAACACGCGCATCCAGTCGCGCATTAAGAATCTCCTTCTCAGCATGAACCCAGAAGATAAGGGTGTTCTCAAATCGCAGCAATCCCTCCTCTTGCGAAACAGCCTTCTCCTTTTGAATCTGCTGTTCAGCATAAATCTCCGAAGCAGGCCGTCCAGTCTGGAAATAAATTTCCAATGACCGGCGAATCTTCCTTGCATCTTTCGGGTGCCAGCGCGCCGCCATAACGGGATCAACCTCCTTCAATTTCTCCATTAGGATTTCCGGCGATGAATCAAGGATAGGCCATTTCTCCGATGTACAGGGTACTTCCTCGTAGGCTTCCACACCATCTTCAACGTCAGATCCCTCCCCGACTAATTGATCCTTGAACAGCACGGCCTGGGTATAATAATGGGTGCCGCCGACGAGAATGGGTAATTTGCCCCGACTCCGGATATCCTCGATAAGACGCAGTGCCTCCTTTTTAAAGTGACTGATCCGCCATGCTTCGGCTTCGAGATCGACACAGCTTAATAGGTGGTGTGGGACGCCCTTGCGTTCGGCGATGGGGATTTGGTTCGTGATGATTGGGAGACCGCGGTACATTTGCATCGCGTCGCCGTTGATGATTTCTCCGTTAAATCGGGCGGCCAAGTCCACGGCGAGCTGTCTGTACCCGTTAGTCCTTGTGCGCGGGGATGGATAGCTAGCTAGCTAGCTGATGGTGGGTTTGGCGGGGTTGCTCTTATTACCTTGGACTTGCCGGTGCCCGTTGCGCCGACGACGGCTATGAGGGGATCCATGAGTGTTCTGCGAGGATTGAATGATCGAAAGGCTGAGAGCATGCCGAGCTCCACATGTTGCCTTTGCGTGGCAGGTAGTTTGAAGATCAGAAGCCAGAATGCGAAGAAGAAAAAGAATCTTATCGCGGGGTTCTTATCGGGCATTACCTCATCCGCGATGGCGAAGACGCTAACATCACAGTCTAGTTTCATTGTCGAACCACCTCGGATGTTACCTTGTTGGACTGAACAAGGCTGTGACTCACCTTGAACTACTCCTGAATTCACTGTCCTTTTTGTATTCAAAATACAGCCCTCGTTCGGGTCAATTCCTCTCCACCAAGAGCTTCCCCCACCTACACCATGGCCAAGCCCGCCCCATCAATCGCAGTCAAGGACCTCTCCTATAAATTCCAAGATGGCTCCGAAGGCCTGGAGCATGTTACCCTCGATCTGCCCGCGGGAAGTCGAACCCTTCTAATCGGCGGTAAATCCCACCCTCTCACCATCTCATCCTATATCACCCCGCTAACAGCACCCACAGCAAACGGCGCAGGCAAAACCACCCTGCTCCGCCTCCTCTCCGGCAAACGCCTCGCACCCACAAACACCGTCTCCGTCGGCGGCGTCGACCCCTTCAAAGACAGTCTCGAAGGCGTAACCTACCTCGGCGTAGAATGGGTCCTTAACAGCATCGTCCGCACAGACATCGACGTGCCTACCCTCCTCGCCTCCGTCGGCGGCAACGCCTGGCCCGAACGCCGCGACGAACTAGTCGACATCCTGGACATCGATCTGCGATGGCGCATGCACGCCGTCTCAGACGGTGAACGGCGCCGCGTCCAGCTCGCAATGGGCCTACTCCGGCCGTGGACTGTGTTGTTGCTTGACGAAATCACCGTGGACCTGGATTTGCTTTCGCGGAGCAACTTCCTCGCGTTCTTGAAGAGGGAGACCGAGTCTAGACCCTGTACTATCGTTTATGCGACGCATATTCTGGATAATTTGGCGCAGTGGCCGACTCATCTTGTGCATATGCATTTGGGCAAGGTTAGGGCTGAGGGTCCCTTGGAGACGTTTTATGATCAGGTGCCCGATTGGACGTCGGAGAATAGTAGGCTTGGTGAGTTGGTTCTGAAGTGGTTGAAGGAGGATTTGAAGGCTCGGGGTCCTAGGAATGGGGCTTCGGGTCAGGCGAAGACTTATGGGGCGAATGATGGTATTGGTGGATATGGGTTGGAGAAGAGGAGTGAGTAGGAGATACTCCTCGTCTTCCACTAGGTATCATTCTCCCGGTTTTTGTCTGCCCTTTTGAGTTTTTCTTTTCTTCTTCGATGCAACGGGAGGAGTCTTGTTAACAATGTGCCATTCAACAATCATCGGGTTCAACCACCAGGGCATGGGCGGGGTTTTGTGGGCATTTGGATTTTGCAGCGGAGGCTTATATTCAACATTTGGAGTTTTTCAACCATGACTCATAGAGGATTCTGATTTCTTTGATTTACTATGTTTTGCATCCATATATATGGAGTACATCCCTTACGAATGTTATGTATGCCATGCAATTTCGAATCGATATTCAGTAGACTGATTGATTGACTATCAAGATACAACTTATAATACACACTGCTTCACTTAACCTAGCCAATGCTCAGGCTGCTTCCAAATAAGTGGATGATCATCATCTGGATAGGCATAATCAGGAACTTCCTTTGCCCGTGGAATAACCGGGTCGAATCCTTCTATCGTTTTCAACGCTGGCAGTTTCTCATCTTTCTCAGCTACCAGCGTCTCCAATAGAGCATCGACGTCCAAATCCGACTGATGTCCAAAGTTAAGCACTGGGTTACTCTCTTCTCCCTTCCCATAGAGCCTAAGACTTTCTAGCGAGCCCGGCAAACGATCCACAAGAGAGAGCGATTCCGCACCGAGTCTATTCGGCCCTATCCCCCGTGCCAGAAAGCAAAGCGAATGAACTCCCAACCCCAGGCGTTTCAATTTAGGGAAATCCATCAGACAAATATCCACCGGCACCGTTTCAAGACTCGTATCGAGTTCGGCCATCTCGCCTTCCCACGCTTCATCATACACCAAGTCCTCGTCCTCGTATAACTCCTCATGACGCTTCACACCATACATTCCATAAATCTCTCGAGCAGACATATTATCCTCAATATCAATATCAAGTTCCTCTAACGTATACCGGTGTTTCCAGAGAGATCTCACCAGTGGTGAAAGCTCGGTAATAGCCAGCCCTTCAGAACCAGCACGCCCACCGATAGTCCATGTAAACTTGCGCAGCGCTTTAGAAGAGTCAATCATAAAACAGAAATCACTCTCCCCGAGATTCGAACGTGTAACGCGAATATCGCTATAATTCGCCGAATTTGGCGGCGGAGGGTTCCCGGCCTCATTATTCCATTCAGCGATCACGAAGGAAACGGATTCCAAAACCGGCAGTCGTCGAACAAGATTCAGTCGCTCGTGGTAATTCTCGCAGGTATTATAATGGAAGCCATTATTACCCATTGACCCTTGGGCGGGAAGGAAAAGGATCTTTTTGAGGTTCTGGAGATACGGAAGTGTGCCTCGGGCCGTGTTTGCACGACGGAATAGTGACAGTAAAGAATACCCTTTGATATAGCGATGATATTCTCCAATAGGGCAGACTGAAAGGGACTCCAGGTTCGGTGCGGTAGTAATCAAGAGCGCTGCGACGGCTTGCTTAAATGCCATGCCGGCAAAGCGGTTATCAGAATATCTGGTAGATCTTATCAGATAAATGACTGACTGACCAGCCAAAGAAACAAAAGGCAAATGGGGAATCACGTACGTATATCGACCGTCGGGATTTTGCAGCAATATATGCAACACCATTTGCGCCTCGTTACCCTCCATAAACCCAGCTTTCTCGATAGCCATCTTCAGACTTTCCAGATCATCGATATCTAGCTGTCTCGGCTCCTGAGGTAGGATACTAAAGTCAGGAGCGCGATCACGATCAAAATGCACATCCGAACTCCCATGAACTTCCAAGTGTCGAAGTTGACCAGCAATCTCAGGAGATTTCACGAAAACCAACAAGGTCTGAAAGGCACTCTCAACATCCCGGAACTCAGCTCCCAGTCGTAGCTCTCGATATTTCTGCTCCTCTTCCGTATTACAGGCCAGATGAATACCTCGAGCTCGCTGAGGAAGAGCTATCGCGTCTACTCGTGACTGGGCATGGATTCCCGTCCTCCACGCTCTCCCGAGTAAAGGGCGTTGCAGGGATGGTGCATGGATAGCTGTGCGGCGGGTAATTTGTCGACAGACCACTCCTGATAAAAGAAATCGACCAGGAAACCCCATTAGAGACCGGTGGGGTGATCTCAGGCTCATGAAGAAATCAAAGTGAACAGCGAGAGGGGGGGGGGGGGGGGGGGGGGGGAAGGGGGGCACCCTAACGTTCAAAGAGTCGGCATTGGCATTGGCATTAGCATCATCCTGGTTCTAGATTAATACCGCTAGCCCGTTTGATCAACACGACGATTTATGAACGTTTCTCAGCACAGCCATAATAAGTGACCGAGTCTTTACAATCACAGTATGATCCTAATAGGAGGAATTCCAAGGCAATTCTAATCTGTGATAGGTCTAATTCTAGAATGGAATGATGGGAGATTTTTAAACACAAAACACAAAGGTTCAAAACGATAAAGCGGATACGGCTTGCAGGCAAAGTGTAGAAGGGGTTTCCACCAGTTGGACAGGATAGGACCACTGAACACTGACTTCGCAAAATAATAGCTATCAGGGAGATCAACACCTTAGTATACACAATTCCATACATACATCCCATTATGTGTTATGTACAGATTTTTACAAAACATGACAGTCTACACCCACTCATCCTTCCATACCAAATTACACCACACTACACAATCTACAACCCCCAAAACCAACCCTCTCCAAAAACCCCCATCTACTTCAAACCCAAAGCAAACACCTCATCACCAACAAGGCAAGAATACGAACAGAAAATAAAGTAGGGCAGAACCAAAGATATGAGTTCGAAAACTTAGAAGTTTAAAGGCAAGTCGACATTCGAGCACTCGAGACTCCGAACCAGGGAAGAACCAGGGAAGGGAACCAGGGACCAGCCGAGCCCGCTAAAAACCAGGACAAATGACATTTGCAACAAAGACATCGAGACATGGGAGGAAGGAAAGAAGAGACAAGAGAAAGCTGGAGATGGGGAAAACGGGGAAGAGGGAAATAGGTAGAGTAAAAAAGTAGGGACATCAAATAGAAGGGAAAGAACAAAGCAACATTAAGAGACGCAAAGGGGAAAGAAAAAAACAGGATTCTAGCGCTGCAGGTCGAAGGGGGCAAGGGGAAGGAAAATTTGATCTCCATTTCCAGTTTCAAGAGAAACAAGGAAAGCTTAGAACCGATGTCCGAATCGAGACTATACCGGATATCAAAAGATCAGATATAAGTTTATCAGATCCAATCCGAACAGACCCAACCAAGCCAGCGGTAGCTCCAACACAGGAAACATTGGAAATCGAGATCGAGAAGAAAAATGAAACAAAAAGGAAACCGGGGAAACAAATAAAAAGCCTTCAAGACCGTCCATAATGCATCCCTGTTGTATGTCCCGGGGAATGTCGGGAGAACCAAGAGCATCAGGCAAGACAAGCCCATAAGCCACAAAGTTCTCCCGAATATCCAAGATCCAGATCCCATTTCCTCTCCCTCGACCGGCGGAGCTATGCAGCCTTCAATCCCCGGCCAGACTTGCAAAGGGTATCACTTTTTCCTCCCAAGAGCATGTCGCAGACACCTCCAAAATCAAAACTCCAGGTCCATGGACCTCCCCACCGTTGACGTGACAATCATCAGGCTTCACCCCGGTTACCGACACCCTTCCATTTGTAATAATGCGAATGATCTTTTTTTCCCGTTTTTCTGGCCATGAAGGAGAAAAGCCATGAAGAAGAAGAAAAAAAAATGTTCCATATTCTGCGTTTGCACGTCCAGGTCCCTTCTCTCTCTCTCTCCGAAACCTCATTTCCATGTCGCACCTTTCTCGTCACCTTCACTCGTTTGCCTCTTCTTTCCACATACTCCCTCCACAAGTCCAACTTCCCCAACTCGACAAAGATTTGCAGTTCCTCACCATGGCTGCTGCCGCTAGGTCCAAAAAGGTGTACAGACTTAGCAATAGGCAATGGGACCCCTCCGTGCTCTTGTGTCAGAGCCCACTCGAAACATGATAGGTTGTCGGATCGGTTAGGCCATCGAATACTCACGCACTGGTGCGGAACGCATTAACAAACAGACGTGTCCCTTCGCGGAGGTGGTATCAATCGACTCAGTCGAGATGAGCCATCATCTCCTCTTTCGATAAGGGCTTGAAGTTGTTGATGTCGAGACCTTGTGCTTCCAGAGCGGGACGAGCGTGAGGGGGGACGATTTGGGCGTTCAACTCGGGGGCAATCGAGAGTTCTGTATTATTGTTAGTTTCGAGCCCGCATGAAAACTTGGACGAAAAAAAAAAGAAATGCGCAGAAAAAGCAAAGGAAGAAAAAAAAAGAAAACATAAAGCTAAAAAATATCGGTTGCACTCACCATGTCGTGTAAAGTTGAAGAGGGCGGGCATGTCCTTAGGCGGGTTGTTGTGGTGTCGCGAATCTGGTAACCGGGTGGCCGGATCCCGCAGTTCGTCGAAGAAGGGATGGCACATGGCTTCGATGGCAGACAACCGTTGGGTAGGAGTGTATTCCAAAAGGGCCGAGATGAGGTCAATGGCCTCTGGGGGTGCCTTGCGGAAAACCTGCGATCGGTCAGCATCGATAGATCGGAGTCTCCCGTACTGGCGATTCATGCGACCGAGGGAAAAGAGGCAGAAATATCAGGGAACATACCTTGTTGAAGGGATGGGGCTTGATTTGAGGGAACTTGTGCTCCATGTAATTGGGGTTCATGGTGCGAATCTGCTCACGAGTCGGAGTGCCGAGCACCTTGATGATTTCCACCAGCTGATCGATACCAGATTCACCGGGGAAGAGAGGTTGACCCAGCATCAGTTCGGCCATCACACAACCAGTCGACCAAACATCTGCAGAAGGAATTAGCCACGCCGGGCCGGTGGAAAAGAGAAGGGTATGAAAGGGGGGATGGGGGAGAGTAGAACGACGTACCGATCTTCGTTGTGTAGTTGGTAGCACCGAAGATCAACTCTGGCGCTCGGTAGTAGCGAGAACAAATGTAGGAGACGTTGGGCTCGTTTTCAATGAGAATCTTGGCGGATCCGAAATCGCACAGCTTCAGGATACCGGTATTGGGGTCCAAGAGCAGGTTCTGGGGCTTGATATCGCGATGGCAGATGCCTTGTGAGTGAATGTAGGCCAGCGACCGGAAAAGTTGGTAGATGTAGAGCTTGACCTCCAACATGGGCATTGTCGTCTTCAACTTGTTGAAGTACCGCGATGCGCGGTACACGGTCTCGGGGACGTATTCGAGGATAAGATTGAGGTAGACTTCATCTTTCTGCAGTCACGGGACAATACCAAGTCAGCCGGAGCGGCGGAAAGTGAAGGTAAGAAAAAGGGAACGAGGAGGGGAGAGAAAGCCAGAGCCAGTTGGGCGGAAAGAGGTAGGGAGAGAAAGTGAGTCCGTCACACACGTACCCTGTCACCGTTAGAGTAGTAGAAAGCCTTCAGTTCGACGATGTTGGGATGGCGCACGATCCGCATAATCTGAAGCTCACGATTCTGTAAAGCAACAAGACAAATCGATTAGCCTGAGGGGGAGGTTCTCCAGCATCAGAGGATATCCGCCAGCGTCCGCCTTACCTTGAACCGCTTGTCTTGCAAGACTCTCTTGATGGCAGCGTCCTCGCCGCTGGGGGCCATCTTAGTCTGAAACACGACACCGAACGATCCATTGCCGACGATCTTGCACTGGGTATAGGAGATCTCCTTGTGCTCGCCCGTCAGGCCATCTTGGACCTTTTCGCGGATGACCTCTGCGCGGGAAAAGAGGGAAAGAGACGTCAGTGAAACACGGACCAGCGAGCGCAATTGACCACGACCAAGGACTTACCACCCATGCGCAAACTTGGGAACAACCCAGGTCGACTCTGTGACATCTCTTGGGGGATGGGGGGATGGGGGGATGTGCTATTGTAGAAGAGAAAGAGAATCCGTTTTGGGCGAGGTGTAGGTCGGTGGTGGAGTAGCTTCGGAGGGGGGGGGGAGGGGTGTGGGAGGAGTGGGCGGCAGGTCCGAACGGGGCGAGTTGAGAAGAAACGGCGAGCGCCAAGAATGCACGAAAGAGAGAGGGAGAGAGAGAGCAAGAAGAATGAAGAGGGAAGAAAGGTGGGCAAATAGCAGGATAATGTTTTGACCAATGAAGAGGACGTGGAGGAAATAAGACGGGTTAGACTGGGAAGGTTAAGTGTGGTGGATTTGGGGGGGGGGGGAGAGAGAGGGAGAGGAGGTCACCTGTTTGGTTAGTCAGAGGGAGAGTCAGTTGGAGGGTCCGGTGGGTAAAGTTGGGTAAGATTGGTAAGATGATGGTTTTGGTGGTGTATTAATGGGTATTGGGTAAGAACCGGGTATGCCTCTGTATAATATGATATTGGAATATTGAGGGGATGGGGAAGGGAAAATATTGGGTCGGAAACCGGGGTGACGTACGAAGAACCACTGGCTCAAGTGGGAAATATTCTTCGTACAAAAGCTTACCAGCAAGAGTACGATAGATGATAAGAAAAAAAGCAGAGGGGCTGAAAGCAAAGAATTAAAGAGGAGGGGTTGGGAAAATAGCACGAGTGATAGGGAAGACGGGAATTGTGGCAGTGGTCGTGGCAGTGTACGGAGTATGAAGTACTGATATAGACAAAAGAGGGGGGCGCCAAACAATTACAAGTTCAATGATCTCTTATGCTTCTTAGAAAAAGGGCAAAAAAAAGAAATATGAAAAGATCTAGCCTCCCATTATGCGTTCCATTCCGGCTTTATAGACCCTCCTTTGAATAATGGATCATGCCCTGAAGAAAGAACATGAAGGGCGATCTGATCTCTCATCATCTCCATCGCCCCCACCCCTAAGCTGAAAGAGCTGGAATATTATGGCTTGATTATTTGCCTCTCATGATTATGATTATGATCTCGTCAATAATGGTGCTTTGGCACGAAGTACACATGCGGTGGCTGGGCAGGTATAGAATACATAATACCATAATGATGGTATAACCGATACGACCCCCGTCTGAGCGGTATTCAAGACGGAGATGATATCATCGGAACGAGGGGTAATCACCAATACACAAATACAACAATACATACCGGCGCCTGGAATTTGAGTGTTCGCTGCCTTCTTTTGCTCTC